ATACAACCTTTGGCTGATGTTGAAGACACGTGCTGGTGTTCAAAGTTTTATTGTTCTCGGTCTGTAAACAATCACTGTCTTTTATACAGTGTGCACTGAGTGCTGGTTCCTGCTGGGGAAAAGGTCAGACCTGTTAATTTAATGGGACCATCAGCGTTGAGTCATTGTGAAAGGGGCAAACGGTCTCAACAAAAGCACACAAACATATTCTAAGTTCATTTTAAGAAGTTAGTCTTTGTTTCAGGGACAGAAAGTATACGGCTTATCAAACACTACTTGATACCGGTAAAACACATTTATAACGTCTGGACGGAGATGTGGTAAGATATAAAAGGAGCAATCCAACTGGTTTATGAGTGGACTTTACTAGCCTTGTAAATATTAAATGAATTACAGACAGAATAAAAACTGCACTAAACATTTAGAGCTCCCCCTGGTGACTGGCTGCGGTAAAGGTCTCACTGTAGCTAACATGGCAGACCAAACCCGGCCAAAATTCCAAGAGATGCCTGCCCACTCGCGCCATGTCATTTAATGTCTTAACTTTTTATTCAATAAAACCAACATTTAATAGTATATCACTGCTTGCTTTTAATGCAGAAATTTAAAAAATTAGAAATTTATTACACAGAACATAAATTTTTCTCCCCCCTGCTTGTGATGTTGACATGTAGTTATTGTAAGACTGGTTTGTGCCCAAGTCCTTTTTTTTCTGTACAGCTCCGTTTTTAAAAGTTAAGGGGTTCATGTTTTCTATGATTGACACCTGGTACAGCCTATGGGCGTTCAGGGATTGCGTCGCTCACCCGGGGGGATAGAGAAGAGAAGTCATGCTAACTTCCGGGTTAGCATGGAGCCCATCAAAATGAATGGACAGATATATATAACTACTGGTCCGCTTTGGTATACGCCGTGGATTTCACATATAATGTTTATCATGTTTAAATTTACATTTTAACCTCGACAAAGCCGTGATTTTAGACATGTTGCTATAACTACAGTTTAATTTAGAGTGAGACCACGTAATGAACTACACCGCTCGTCGCACTATTTTTGCGTCACTGTCTAAGCTTTGACAGACGACGATGGCGGTGACTTTGGATTGAATTGAATTGAATTGAATTGAATCCACCGACTCCTTTTCTTCTTATCAGCCGGGAAACAGCGAAAGGAACATCCTGCTGAACTATTATGGTGACATTCTGGCACAAAACACACAGGCATTTTGGCAATGATAACGAGTTGACAGGAGTTGTCAGCTAGCTAGAAGTAGAAATACTGACGTGACGTCATTTACGCGACTTCTTGAGGTCTGTAGTCTCTCCATTTACGTGTTTTCAAAGACAAATAGATCAACAATTACACAACAAACATAGCCTTTATTTACCTTAATGGTTATCATTTAAGTTAAAATACAACATATTTGTGACTCAGGGTGTAAAACAAAGCTGACCAGAAAATACCATAGACCTGTCCATTCACTCCTATTATCCCAATAGGACCTATAGCGCTAACGCGGAAGTGGGCGTGGCTTCGGTTCCCTATACACTGTTTGAGCGGAGCGTCATCACAGGGACTCTCGGCGACTGCGCAGCTCTGGTTTCTAGGAAGTGGAGCAAAACCCGGAATTACCGAGAGCTTTTTGGCTTCAAATCCGTATGCAGGCGGGAGGCGAAAGCAGGTTGTCCATAATACAGTCTATGGTTTACACTGGCTCGGTCATGGCTGCAAGAAGATCGCTCGTACAACCCTACCAGTTTGAGCCAGAGTCTGATCCAGAGGGAGAGGAAGAGGAAGAAACCTTTAGCCGCGTTCAGACCAAACGCGACTTGAAGCGACCTAGTCGACACATCCTATGTATTATTCAAAGCCGCCAGGAGGGTCACGCTTAGCCGGAACGTCCCGTATTTGAGCCAAAAGAGGCACGTCGCCGCACGGGAAAATGCTAAAGCTACATGCTGCTCCGGAGGGGGATTTTGTCCCCCGCCGCCGGAGTTGTCGGGGAAGAGGCGAGCGGCTAAAATACGGGAGGATCCGGTAAACCGGCGCGGATCCGGTGTGTTTATCAAAGCGTGGTGGCCGTGCTGAGGCACCGGGGGAATTTAGGCAGTAAGTCAAAATAAAACGTTCATACTTACAGATGCCACGTTTGTAGTAGGATCACGGATAGTTGGTACGGATTCATTCTTTATCTTCAGACATCGAGCAAATCCAGCGTTGAACTGTCCCTCGTTGATAAAACAGTCCATAGTGAAATGGTGCGCACATACATGCAGATATGTTGGAAGTGCCGCGGGTACATTCCCATTATAAATAAAACCACCCATTGAGTCCTCAAATCCTCCGATGAGGGAGTTTTCAAAAGAGTTTTGTGCTCGTTTGTGCAGCCAACAACAGAGCAAACGCTGCCTCTTTTTCAGATCGTACTTCCGCCATGGTTCTAACCAGAGCTATGCGAGCGAGCGGCCGGGAATAATGGCGCTGTTTTGATAATTTAGTGGGCAGGGCAGTAGCGGCTTCATGGGCAGAACCATCAACCCGCCAGCACTGACATGACGTCATGTCAGTGGAGTTTTCAGAACGGCCGGTGTTATGCCACATCTGTGGCATTGTGCTGTGATAAAACTGCAGCTTTTATTGTGGCCAGTCTAAGGCACACCTGTGCAACAATCATGCTGTCTAATCAGCATCTTGATATGCCACACCTGTGAGGTGGATGGATTATCTCAGCAAAGGAGAAGTGTTCACTAACACAGATTAAGAGAAATTTGTCAATAATATTTGAAAAAGAGGTCTCGTGTACTTAAAAAAAGTCTTAGATTTTGAGTTTAGCTCATGAAAAATGGGAGCAATAACAAAAGTGTTGTGTTTATATTTTTGTTAAGTGTAGAAGTCTAAATTTAAGCAAACACAGCTGAAGTGGATGGTTAATCTCTTAGCATCTTGGCAGCATTTGGTGTGTCTATACCAGCATTTATGTCATTTGTGTTGCCCTGACAAGAACTTGTGTTTTATCGTTTCTCATTTTTATGTTGACCTGACATGTAATTCCTTTGTGCGAATGACCTTACTCCTATTTGGTGTGAAGTATATTTAAAGATTTGGATTTCTTATTTTCTAGTTTCCTGAAAACTTTCAGGAGGATTGACGAATAGTTTTGAGATAACAGCGTTACGTCTGGACTTGCTTGTTTTGTTATGTTCTCAGATAACTTTCTATATGTTTTGCTGCCATATAAAATAGATAATTAATTTATTTTCTAACTAAATACTGCTAAAAAAAAAGTACAAAAGACTTCTGAACTGCTGCCCCAAAGTTGCTGCTGTTTCCTCCATCCTTATCATTTTATCTGACAAAGATGGTTTATTCAAACAGCCCCTCCTTGTCTGGATGGAGAATAATCCACTGAATCAAATGTAATACCTGGTTACTATCAGCCAAATATTTGACCCTGCCATTTGTAAACAGTCTCTGGACCAGATCTCCTCTTGTAGTCCTGAGTTATCTCCAAGTTAAACTCAAGGTTGGTGTTAGAAGAAAGGAAACTCTGGGCTGTTACCAGGAAATAAATCACAGCTCCAGGTATGATCTGTAACTATTGGAGGCATGATTGTACTTGTCTGAAGTTGTGTTTGCTCAGATGTCTCTGTGTGTGAGGTGAATCAGGAGACACACCCTGTACTTGGACTTAGTCAGTGTGTCTGCGGAGAACGGAGAAAAACATGAGGTGTGTGCTCAGCTGGCCCTCAGGCGACTATTTCTCCTTCAGAGGTGACGATCAGGAGGAATCTGCAGAGTAACATGGAGATGAAATGGTGCCTGCAGGGCATCAATTGTATCTGTAAGAGGTGGCAGGACCGCCCTGTATGACACCATTTAACCCCCAGAATTAATTTTCCTTCACTGAATGGAAAAGACCAGGAATAACATCAACAAAGCAGTAATGGGTTAGGCTTTTATACACACACATCAATTATTAAAAAATACATGAGCGGTATGATATGGTACACTCTCTTTCAATATAAGGCCCTGAAAACTAATCTTAAACATTTACTGACCCAGGAATAACAAATAAAGTTCTTTATTGTGTGCACATATACACCCAGTATTGTGTATATTATACACAATACTGACTGAGACTGGGAATCAAACCAGCAACTGCTGCATCATCGAATACAGGACAAGAACATGGGGGGGATCGATATGCCATAAGCGCCCTGTTTTCTGGCATTTTAGTAGGGAGGATAGAGTTTAACAGGATTCAATAGAAACGTATATAGAAAATGTTGCTAACTTCTTTGGCTGGCATTTTTTCTCATTACAATCAATTAAAATGATGTTTTTGTCAAGGTTTGATTCCAGACTTGTCAGCTTAGCCTGGTTCAAATAAAATGAAATATTCAAACCAGAAATAAGACAAAAACACTTTTCAAGTATATCTTTTCTTCAGCCATGTTGGACAAATATAGACATTAAAACTTCAACGACAAATGAAAATTTACAGATTCATCAGATTTACCAGAATTCATTTATCAGACCCTGAATGTCTTTAACAGAGGTGAGTTTTATGAATAGGAGCTACACCTGTATGACATTTGAGCTGCACGGTAGTTTTTTATTTGAGTTCAAAAATCAGTTTTATCACTCCTAACTTGGTGTGTTTGTTTGTGACTCCTTAGTGTTGGTGTGTGTGTGTGTCTGCCTGCCTGCGTGTCTGTATGAGGGTGTGTTGATTCATGAAGTGAAGGGAGTGGAGGTAAAGGGTGTGACTCTGACACACACTGTATCATACCAACCAAGTGAGACGGTGTTTATAAAGCGCCCGCCAGCCTTACATACACACATTCATAACTCAGATAACAGGGCTGACAATATCGCAGACTTACAGGTGAGTGTAACCTCGAGGAACAGCCAACTAGCTCGGATTATACCTGAGTGATTCTACCTGCTGATTTATTTTTTTTATCTTTTCCAGATTTTTTTCATAAGAGGAACACAACATGAGAATAGTTTTGCTCCTAGCTGGTAAGATTTACTTTTTTTCTTCTTTTTTTCCAGTAGATTGAGAAAATGTTTCAAGTTTTAATGCCTGTTATTCTGTCATTAAGTCACCAGGACCTGACAGCATCAAAGTGTATTATCAGAGTTTTAAAGGGCAGATGAATAGAGGCTGAATAGAGAGTCTGCAGTGATTGTTTGGCATGAAAACCTGCATACTCTTGGTTTCTCGGGTCATGATTGTACATGTTTTAATAACCCTGAAAGGATTTTAATAGTCCATGTCCATGTTAAGCTGCTCCACCCTAAGGAAAGTGACTTAACACTGGGATTTCTCTGAATTTCAAAGAAACACTTTGGCTTTGTCTAAATCACAGGCCGGCATCCTTTTTGAGAACTCAAGATGCGTCCAACTTTTAATATCAGGCATGAGGGTACAGTGAGGTTTACGAGGGAAATAGAAAACCACTGAAGATATGTGGATGTGATCTTTCTCAAACTTACTCAGCAAATTCTCAGAAGCCTTGTTTTGATTTAAATCAGCTTCTCTGCTCAAAGAAAACTGCAGGACCTGAAAGCGTACAGTTATCATGATTTCACAGCGAAAAGAATTATAATCAGTGTTACATATAAATGAAGTACAGATTGATGATTAGGTTAGGATTTAATGAGATGTCTACCATCTTATAATGGTTGGACAGAAAGTCAATCTTTGTTTTAACTGAGCAAAAACTGACCTGCTCTCTTATCGGTAACGGTTTTAAAGAACCGTGATCAGCCAACCACTAGTTAAGATGTCCTGTCTACTTTGACACCTCTTTCATTTTGATCTCTGAGATAAACACTGAACATGTTTGTGGTCCCAATTCCCCTAAGGTGGGTCATAAAGGTATCTGGCAACACTTGACCTGGTCGAATTGAGATTTATGGATAACTAGAGTTTGTTGTGAATTTGTATGAACTGGCAACTTGATAATGGAGGATCGTACTTACCATGCATCACAGGAGCTTCTTGTCCTCAAAGGCCCCTGTCGCTTCACTGATAGGAGGGGTGGGGGAGTGTCTTCATCTGTTACACATAGCTGAATATTCCCATTTCTACAAACTGTACCTTTAATAACTAACTGATTGTGCAAGTGTGCTATCCTCAATTAGAAAAGTTAATTCAGCCTCAAATGAGATTCCATGAGATAGAGCTAAGTGGGGTTTCACATAAACCACTCTATGAAAACAGTCAGAGAATAAAGTAGCCTGTACCGTACAACTTATTTTCTCTCTAATAAATGTTTTTTGAGCCTCTTTAACATATTTGCCAACAGACCTTACAACAGCAGAAGCTGCCTTGTCGAAGAGAATCGGTAGTTCAAGGAGCTAAGTTAGCTAACAGTAGTGAGAGTGAAGCATGTACAACGTAATTTAATCAACATTAGCTATGTGAGTTTGGGGCCAAGATGACATTCGTCTTGATCTGTTTTTTCAACTTATTTGTTTTGTCTTATGTACCTCTCTTAGCCTGTAGGTCTAGAAATAAGTGTATATTAGTATTTGTACATACAAAGCAAGCAGGACAATTACTGTTGCCTGGCAACCATGCTCCACTGTTTACTGCAAGAATGCCAATGACAAGACTTGACTGTTTCCTTTTGAGGGTAGCAGCTGGCTGATGATTTTTTGGCAACATACTTGTCAATGCCATGAATGAAATGTAATTTTAATCTTCAATCACCTGGGAAAAGCGTGTTAGACTTCTGAAACGTTAAAGAGCTCGTCCTTCTCTCTGATTTGGACTGAGCTTAAGATGAATGATGTCTTTGATGACTACTTTCTCATTGTGTCGTCTTCTTCCTTCTCACAGCTATTGCTGCAGTATCACAAGCCCAGACTGACTGCTCTCAGGGGGCCTGTTACCCACCCACCAATGACCTGCTGCTGGGCAGAGGTCACCAGCTTCATGCCTCCTCTACCTGCGGACTCACAGGCTCCGAGGTCTTCTGCACCCCTTACCAAGAGGTAGGAAAACACTCCTTTGTTTAATTCCCAGGTGTTTGGAGGCTCTCATGCACTGAACCCTTTATCATCTTGAAAAAAGGTTGACTTCCTGGCAGGTGAAGGCTGCTGACTTTATACCTGAACAAAGAGGACAGTTTACATGGGCAGCAAAAAGATAGAAAGTAAATTTTAGTTATTGATATTGGCTTATAAAAACTCATATCAGTCATCTCAGGACACACACCCCCGTGTACACCCAGATCACACATGGGTTTTGCACCATCAGGAGGTGTAGAGGTCATGGTGAACAGACAGCTGTGCATGTGTCTATGATGGTTTTGGCTGAAGCATCAATTTTTGAAACAGTCTGATTTGAGTGCCAGAACATTATGTTGCAACTGTACTGTTTGACAAGTGACTGGACACCAGCAACCATGTGCAGGCTCAGCAAAAAAATCTACCAATACCGTGTGAGTGCTGGTTTTGAAATGAAATTTAACTTTAGAAATGAGGGCACACAGTAGGCAAGAAGTGAAATGGATATTTTTGCACAAATAAAGTGGAGAAAGGTTCCACATTATTCCTTAGTTCCTACATTGAAATACAGCTGCAGTATAACTGTCAGTGGGGCTGTATGAACTGCCCTCATCCACTTTTTTGGCTAATTTTGTTAAATTTAAGTTTAGTCGTCTTGTGCATGCTTTGAAGCTGGTACTCTTTCTGGCAGAGAGTTTGTAGAGTCCTATAAAAGATGAGTAAGTTGTACAGCTTTTGAACTTCGCCATGGTCAAAACGTGATAAGAAGGATGGTGCAACATGGACCAAGTGACCAGCAGAGATCAGCAGGACTCTTACCCAACTGCTCCTAAATCTGCTGAATGTGTTAAATGTTTCATTCCTTCTTTTCAAAATAACTGCTTAGTCAGAGAAATGCTGTGATTATGGTGGTCACATTTTTATATCATGATAATTATGCCCCCCCCCCCCCCCCAAAAAAAAAAAAAAAAAAAAAACTATATTATTGCAATATTAATGGAAAACTTTAAAAAATATATACTGCATAGAAAGGTGAAACATGGCTGGAAAAACATTGTTCAATTTGCATAAACATTTCATCTATTAGTCAGGGAACGATTAGTGATACTTTTATTTTGACATTTGTACAGTCTAGTGTTGAGGTTGCTTTTTCTCTGTGTTCTGAAAGCATGCTTTTATTTTGAAATGAAATGAATGCTACTCCCAGTGGAATGTGAGTACACCTAAAAGATGGTCAGAAAGTATACTTAAATGAACATCACTTTTAAAAGGGTCTAACTATCTTTCTGTGGGCTGAGCTACCTCTGCACGACACTAGATAAGCTAACAAAAAGACTACTGCCTGCTACTGTGAACCAACATGTTTCATGGTATGTTTGGTTTAAGCACAATGTCAACATTTAATTTTTCCAAAAGGGTGGTTCTTGTCCATACCGCTTTGGTATGACAGCCTGAGTAGAGGTTTTTCTTTATATTTCATTTCATTTATTTAAAGGAGGAAAAAAGTTTTTTTTCAACTTGTACCAAAGCAAAGAAATCTTTGTTAATTAGTTAAATGAACTTCATCGACTGCCTTGCATTTAAAACTCTGAGTGTCTCTCATAAAAATGTTCACTTAGGTAACCGAAGCCTCACAATCCAAATCCAACCTTAAAGACACAGCAGCAGTGACACAGAGACAGGATAACCTTTGTGTTGAGGTTACATAATTTCCATTCCTGACAGGGTGTGTTGTGTTGAGCACTCCTCAGGGCATGGATATCCCCCCTCCAATTCATCAACACTTTCCCCCTCTGATTTTTTTTCTTACCTGAGCCACACCTTGTCCAGACAGGGAGGGGCAGGTACACTCAGCTGTATCTCAGCTCTGACACACACACAAACACTCACACACGCATGCATGAGTGGCGATAAAGAGAGAGAATTACAAAGATGAAACTTTGCATAGAGCCGTCAGAGCGACCTGTCAGTTCTTGTTAGGTATGCTTAACCACGGAGCCACATTTTGTAACAAATGATCAAACCAATATTTTTTAATGAAGGCCTCTCTGACAGATAGACTGCTCTGCTGAAAGATTAAGATGCTGTTAGTTACAACATCCATCAGATAAGAGGATGCAGACAGAATTTTACTGTGTCACAATGTTGTCTGTCAATGATTTCTACAGTTGAAACTGTAAAGCCTGGTCTTTGCGGTGGGCCAGGTAACTTGTAGCTGTGACTTTCATACTTCAAACCAATGTAAGGGGGTAGGTGCTGGCTGAGCAGCAGGAGAAACAACCCTGTTTGATTTATCTAATTACAATAATGATAGATTTGTTTGTCAAAAGTCAGCCGGATATTTTCTTTTTTTTGTCATTAGACAATATTCAAGCATGAAGAGGCCAAGGAAGACATTAGAGTTGCTGCAAGGAACTTTTAGTTTGTGTCAATTATGGCGCACCCTGTGGACAAAGATATACCTTTTCTCTCTCCTTTGGCTTTCATGTGTAAAATAAGTGTTTCCAGAAAAAAAAAAAAAATCCTGTCACCTCTTGGTTCCAGTTTTACATATTTTCAGATTTACATGACCAAAGGATACTAAATAGTTGAGTGATTTTTCCAGTTTGCCCCCAACATGCTCACACTGTCTTCTCGAGTCAGTAAAAAAGTGACCTATAGGTCTTTAAGTTCTGAAACAATCTGCAAAATGACTGAGGAAATATCTGCACACCAATTTAAAAATTCCATAAACTGAGAAAAATACAGTAAGCATTCAGACGGTGCAGAAAGGTATCTAAGACAGTTGAGAAGGTTACAGCGCAGCAAAGCTTCTCTCTCAATCAGGTGAGACTGAGGTCAGGTGAGACTGAGGTCAGGTGAGACTGAGGTGAGGTTGCGTTTTTTCTTACATAAACTCACTCAGGTCAGGTAACCTCAGATTAGGTAACATTCACAGTTTTGTATTGAAAAAAAACAACTTTTTGTTTAAAACTTTAAAGCCTAAATGAGCCCGTAAGCATTATTTATATTCATACGTTGTAGTATTTTCCTGTTTGCTAGACTCAGTTAATCTAATTGAAGGTGGCTGCTTGGTGAAAGTCTTTGTTAATTTTCTGGGTTTTATCTGACTGAATCTACCTTGACCCTCACAGGTGATGGCTGAAGAGATAAAAATCCTATAGACTAAATTATGAGACTCACCGAGAGTTCACTGTTATCTCAGTGACATAATGACCATGACTATCCAGCCTCCTTCTTAACACAGTTTCATAGTATATTCATTGAGTTAGAGCTCGATGAAGATTGAACAGAGCAAAAACATGTATATTTACTTCCAAGTTTCATGTTGTTTAAACAGGTTTGTTGTCCTTCATCCTAGTTCACTGCTACTCTGTTCAAATCAAAGACCTTTGAGTGAAAAACAAGTTAAAGCGAGTGTGATTAAGGGTTGTTTTTCGATGCAGGGGAGTGGACTGGGCTCAAAAAAACATTTCCTTATCAGCAGGAAAAAGCTAACAGGCCTCTCTAACTTCATAGCCCAAGACAAAACATCTGAACCAGTGCATGAAAAGAAAAATTTAAATGCAGAAGATAAAACTGACGAAAAGATAAAATGTATCAGTTGGTCGCAACCTGGGGGGCGCCAACCAGAGAGGAACGCCACCTGCCAACAATTAAGCATGTTTACAAAAAGTAGTAATATATAAAAGGTAGCAGAAAAAGCAAACAATTGAAAGGTTGAAATGAGTGTTAGAATTAAGAGAAACATACAACAGAGTATTAGGGCCACATTCAAACCATAAAATTTAAGACTTCAAGATCAGATTCGTTATTTTACGAGAATTAAGTCAATTCTGATGAGAATAAAGTCATTATTAACGTGAATTCAGTCGTAATAAAGTCCTTATATTGTAACCTGTTGTTTAAGATGACAGTTGTTGAAATGAGAGCCATGGAGCATTCCATGAAAATATTCTTCAATATAGGTTACTCAAACAAGGAGATACTTGATCTTTGGGACATCAGCACCACATTTCATAAGTATCAAAATGATTTTATTACGACTTTATTCTCAGAAGTCATTACTTTATTACGACTTTATTCTCTCAAGTAATGATTTTGTTACAACTTTATTTTCCTAATTACTTTATTCTCGTAAATTTTTGACTTTAATCTTGAAGTCTTAATTTGTTTTTTTTTCTTAATGCGGTCCTACTACTCCGTTGTAGAAACATGACGTGCTTATGTATGTATACAAATATAAACTTACTTTATAGACCACACCTTTGCCAAACTGTAAACATGAGCAAACCTTTGTTGGTGATTTTTACATGCTCTTCTTTGAGACCTGACTCCTCTTTGGAGTGAGCCTCTAGTGGCCACTCAAGGAACTGCAGTTCTCATTTTTCTTCTCTCCCTCTCTCTCTGCCGGGGGGTTGTCACTGCATTGAGTCATGTTGTCGCAAAGGAAAACTTGATCCAAGTCATTTTTTTTCTTGGACAGAAGAGCAGAGGGAACTTTCTCCCACAGGGACATCAGCCAACTTCTGCCAGCGTGGCGGACGTGTCCAGAGTACTTGATGTAGAAAGGGGGGGCTGGTCTGATGAAAACAGCGGATAAAGACAAATATACCTTATTGTCTCTTCAAACACCTGAGAACTCACCAGGAGAGAAAAACAGCTCACTAAATGACTCTGAAAATGAAGACTCAGCCTTGATCTGTTTACTTCAGTTCATTGAGTGTTTATTTGCTCTGTGAATACACAGATGCTTCACTCTGAGTCCAATCATGTAAAAAGTGAAGCTTAACATCCAAATAAGGCTTTTTTTTACTGCTTTTTCTGTGGTCCCCAGTCAAACTACATGGAGGTATTTATTGGAAATTATTATTTATTCGAAAACATTTTGAGAATAAACTAGGCCATGATCTTTGTTTAATGTGGGCAAAGTTTCCACAAGTTATTGACCAACTGGATTAAACATTGTTAATTCAAAACCCTGCAGGAACTTTAGTCATCAGATTTCACATCTGAGCATTATTGATTCTCTGTCCTTTGGGCCGCCAACTGACCCGTGCAGTGACACATCTTATCTACCTGGCACAGAGATGGGACAGAAAGACAGATTTAGAAGTCAGTCCTGGGTCCATGGGTCAGTTTCAGGACAAATATCCAACACCAGACTTATGTAATCTAGTACCAGTATTTTAAAATCACAAATGGAGTTTTCTTATGTGTGTTTTGTCTTTTCAGAGGAGAATGAAGTGCTGTCCCTGTGACTCCAGGAACCCAGATGGCCCACTCGCCCACACGATCAAAGAGGTCCTTTCCACATCCTCACCAGACAGATGGTGGCAGTCAAAGAAAGGTAGAAAGATATGAAACTAAAGTTTATTGCTATCACAGAATATCCACACTATACACAGGTGACAACATCACTGTATCACACCCCTGAATTATTTCAAAGCAACTGGAGAAAAGCCAGTGATAATTTCAAATTCCCAGTTTTAATACCATATTTGGATCAAAACTTGTTTATAGCAAAGGTTATGCATCACCAGCCACATCCATGATATAAAACAGTTTACGGACACCACCCTTGGATCAGTTTTGCATACAAATAGACACATCTATACCATCAGCAGGTGTGTAGGATACGAATGAGTCAGTCAAAATTGCAGTTCAGCTCCTGCACACTGTCCAAGTTGCAAAAATGACACATTCACTTTTCCTTTAACATGTAAGCTCTTCTAAGTTACTACAAAGGGACAGGAATGACCGTCAGAGGTGTTACTGACACAGAGAGAGGTCTCTTTTTTGAGTTTACTTCATTGGGAAAATGAACATTGATCATCAGCTTACCTGTGTGATAAGCACAATAGCTGTATCCCATCCATATAGTTGTACTGCAGGTACTCAAACTGTATTTTTCCTGATGTGTTGATCTGGAAAACACATTTCTCACAGACTCAGTGGAGGATTTGAGATTGTGAAATACACGGGTTGTATATTTACTGTGGTGTATTAACAAATGAGTCATAATCTGTTGAGGAATAAATCTGCTGTTTAAGGGAGTAGACTTGGGCCTCCAAGCAATTAAATCCTGCAATGAATAACAAAGGCTGTGTATTTTATTCTCTTTTAATTCCAACAAAAAGAAAAAAAGACAGAAGTTTGGGCAAAGTCTACTCCTGAGTGTCCTTTTTTATTTTATTTCTTTTCCACATCATATTGATAGAAACACATTTTAAGCCACCCTCCCCTCAAAGTTTAGGAGCTTATAGGTTTTAACGGATCTGAACAGCACCCTCTGCTGTCAGGACACCAGACAACATCTGCTCGTTCAACTTTACTTTATTTTTCTGATCACACAAGAGCTGTCACAATATAAGATTTTCGTCTGATTACTGAGGCCATAAAATTTCAGTACCACTGGGTTATTTATGGACAATCAATCAGTATTATTGAAGAAAGGTATGACTTTGTATCATGCATTGTAAAACTTTTATTTTAAAGGAAAGAAAACTTCTGGTATCTTGTGAAACTGAATGAAAACATAAAAATAATGATCAGACAGTAAACAATGTTAAATTTATAAGTCAAACAAAGAAGCACAAGCTCTGAGGTTGATTTTGGATTCACTGCTAAGCTCTAAATGTTAGTGTTTAGAAGAACCCAATCATCTCTCTTCAGCAGTCTGCTACTTCTTCTTCATGGGTCTTTGATGGGAATGTGCCTGTTTGTCTTTCAGAGGTGGAACCAGTCACTCTCCAGCTGGACCTCAACAACCTGTTTCAACTTGACAACCTGGTGCTCAATTTCAAGGTGCGTCACTCTTGAAAGTCTGATGAATTTCACGATGTTTCTACTTTGTTAATGTTACGTATGTTGTTCCAAAAACTTAAAGTCTTTTCGTTTTGCCCCTCTGCAGGGTCCTCGTCCCAATGCCTTGATCATAGAGAGGACTCTGGATAATGGCGACACATGGCAGCCTGCTCTCTACATGGCTACAGACTGTCGAAGCTCTTTCCCTGGTGTCTCAACAGTAACTCCTGTGGACCTGGAGCAGACATACTGCTTTACACTGCCCCCTATTGGAACAAATCCATACCAAGATCACACAGTAAGGACGCCTCACAGTATGAAATTTTAAAAAGGGAATGATAGTTATCATTCATGCAATTTATATTAGTCAGCTATCATCAATATCATATTATTAATTATATTATTCTCTATTTTTATACCTTATATTTATTCATATATTTAATGTGAATTATACAAGTATATTTACTAAAACATATACATAGATGTTTATGTGAAAAGCATGAGCAGGAAGTCCACTCAAAGTGAGTTGATTGACAGCTTGACCCTGACAAAAAAAAACAACAAAAAAAAAAAATTATAATAATAATAATAAAGATTTTATGTATGGGTAAAAAGGTCAATATTCTGAGATGAATGGATAACATCCATAATATTAACATAATGAAGTCAGATAAAATATGATTTTCTCTTCTGCAGATCCAGTTCAGTCCTCTGCGTCAGTACACTTACGTTCCTGTCCCGAACAGTGAAAAAATCAGGGGTACGTTTTTTCTCTCACAGACTACATCCTGATCAAAACAGACCTTCCTGTGACTGACAGCTGTCTCTTTCACAGGCCTATCAGGGATCACAGGGCTCAGAGTGAAGCTGGAGGAGCTCGGAGAGGTCCCTCAACTTCCAGGCAGAGCTCTCAGCAAGTTTTTCGCCCTGAGGGACATGAGAGTGATCGGCAGCTGTATGTGCCATGGACACGCCAACAGATGTCTGCCAGGAACCTCCAGCTACCCGCAGTACAACAGTATACCGGTATACATTTTAGAGTTCTTTTTAGAATAAAAGAAACAGCTTTACAGCTTGTTATCTCTGTTTACCTTTGTTATTGTCGTACCTGTAGTGTCTGGTAAGATGCAGGACTAGCATTGACTGCATCCTCAAGCTCTTATTTAGACATCAAGCTGGAGGACTTTCGCAAGGCCAGAGTATTTTTATGCAGATGCTTGAATCTGGTGAATTTAAGGAAAATAATCTCCAAAACAACCAAATTCTGCAAGATAAAAAAAAGTCTGGGCAGGGAGAGCAGCGGCAAAGATTCACCAGGAGAAGAAACAAGATATCAGTGACAATACATATGACAGAGATAAAAATCAGACACAGGGTGGATGTGGGTTGCAGAGTTGTTTGCAGCTGACCTTTAACACTACATCTGCTCACAGGCTTTTTTTTTCTTCATTCACAGGTGAACCCTCAGTGCGACTGCCAGCATAACACAGCAGGTATGAACTGCGAGCGTTGTGCTGATCTCTACAATGATCTGCCCTGGAGGCCTGCTGTGGAGGACAACACTCATACCTGCCAACGTAAGACATCCGTCATTTGGATAATCGGTTTCAAAGGCCGAGGCTCCTTAAGTTAAACTTTAGACTCGTCTTGGAGCCAAAACATCTTTGTAATACAGCGATCTTTCTCATTTACCGTTGGAAAATGTAAATTTTGTTCACTGTCCTGTGTCCTTCCTTCAGGCTGTGAATGTAACAATCACGCCCAGCGCTGCCATTTCGACCAGGCTGTGTACGAGGCCAGTGGACGAAGGAGTGGAGGTGTGTGTGACGCATGTATGCACCACACTACAGGACCAAAGTGTGACCAGTGCGCCCCGGGATACCAGCCGAACCCCCGCAGCCAAATGGACCGCCCCGATGCATGCATACGTAAGTTATGAAAACTCTTTAGGCAAAAAAATAAATAATTAATTAAAATAATAATGAGGGTTATTTTGACTGAGCGGCTGATGTTTATGCTGTTGTTTCTGTCAGGTTGTATCTGCAGTACTGAGGGGACAATAGAAGGAGAGGGGTGTGACGACATTTCAGGCTCCTGTCTGTGTAAAGCCAATGTTGAAGGTCCTCGCTGTGACCGCTGTAAGAGAGGATACTACGGCCTGAGTGCTTCCAACCCTCTGGGCTGCTCCCGTGAGTCATTCAAGTCCTATTTTATCACACTTTCAAACACTCTTTGCTCTTTGTTAATCTTAAATGACTTTGCATTGGTGCCTTTTTTTCTTTTTTTGCCCCTGCACCTCTAGTATGCCTTTAATAATTCATTGGTTTGCATTTAAGAAACACTGTTCAGTTTAGAAACAGTGTAGAAGATGTAACTCCAGGTTAGGTCCCAAACATGAGTGCTAGATCAGAATAAAACTGCATGAGAAGTGTATAAATGAGACCGCGCGTATAGAGCAGTATTTGATGCAGTTTCAGCTCATAGATGATTTTCCTAACTTCGGTGTATTCTGTGTTTTTCAGCATGCTCCTGCTCTGATGACGGGTCACTGTCAGATGCTTGTGACCCGCTGACCGGACAGTGTCTCTGCCGTCCCCACTTCCACGGTCGCACCTGCAACATGTGCTCAAAAGGCTACTGGAAACCGGCTCTGTCAGGGCGCTGTGAACTTTGCGGATGTGACCCCACCAGGTCATACAGTGACGCCTGTAATCAGGTATGTACCCACACCCACAGTCGAGTTCACACAAGTTTCTCCTTATTGGATAAAACCCCAAATTACCAACAAAAGAGAAATATATGCACTTCAAAGTGAAGTGTTACTGATTAAAGTGTCAACACAAATTTTGCGCTTAAAACTAGATAACAGAGATTTTTCTTCTGAAAAACAGTCAGTGATATCATTTTGGTTTCTTCTCCTCAGATAACAGGTCAGTGCGATTGCAGACCAGGATTTGGAGGAAGACGATGTACCGAGTGCCCGGCTAACTCATACGGAGACGCTCTGGTTGGCTGCCAGCGTAAGTCTGCACTCCTTTACCGATCTATTCACAGTGAAGATGCATTTACCGTAGCTCCATTGGAGGTTGTAGTTTGGGTCCCTGTCTGACTGGTTTATAGCAGCTCTATGATTTAAGCATCAACAACTACATTTAGACAGCTTTGTTTCTAATGTCAAACAAAGCTTGAATTATTGCTGTCATTAGCGGACAGCTCTGTACTAGTTTTGTGACAAAAGTGTAAAAAACAAACACGACTGTTTTACGATTTGCACTTTTTAAACAGAGTGAGTGCTTCAGTTCTTGTATATTTCCCGTCCGCTGATATCCTTGTTCCTTCTTCCACAGCGTGCAAGTGCGACGCTGAAGGAACCCTTCCAGAAATGTGCGACAAGAAGACCGGAGCCTGTTTGTGTCGACCGGGCGTCACAGGGACTCGCTGTGACTCCTGCAGCGAAGGACACTGTGACTCTTTCCCCACCTGCCAGTCCTGTCCCTCCTGCTACTTCACCCTGGACGCTCAGAGGCGGAACATCAGTTTGACTCTGGAGAAGTTCTCCCCTGGTTTCCCTTTTCCTCCTGGAGGTACCGGCGACCCTGCAAACTTTGTGCCTCGTATTCGCATCCTTGAGAGCATGCTGAACCAGATCAAGGACTCCCTGAGTCTTCCTCCTATTAGTGGCAAACAGATCGATGATGCTCTGGATGAACTGGATAAGCTCAGGTGAGGGAAAAACCTTACAACCTCTCAGAGAAATAAACTGTTTGTAAATCTCTGGATCATTTTTGTGGATATTGATTTATTCTCTAAAATGCATTTTCTGTTCTTACTTTAAATCATTTTTCTTTTCTTTCAGGGATCAGTTGGAGAAGATCGATGATGATCTACCACCTCTGACCAAGACTCCTGGTCTGGACTCAGAGCTGGATAAACTGAAGGCTCTGCTGGACCGTCTCAATGTGGAGTACAGAGACAAGAAAAATGCTGTAGACAACACCATCAGTCCAGACAATTCAGGTCAGAAACAAAGACACACCTCTTCTTTTTGTTCTCAAACAAACATATCAACGTCATACGAGGAAAAGTAAACTCATGTTGAGTCTTTCTGTCCCACGCAGGAGCTTTTACTGCCATCAAGAACGCCTACGACGAGTCAACAGACGCTAAAAAGAAAGTAGATGACACTAAAGACACAGTTAAGCAGTCGGCTGATAACAGAGAAGAAACTAAAGATCTTCATAAAAATGTCCAGCCAACCAACACCAAAGATCTGAACAAACTCGACCAGGACATGGCCACCAAACCAGACCTCACTCCTGTGGCAAAGGAGGTAAATACCAGGACTCAGGGTGCAGTTATAGTCGCACGATGAAATGGAAAGCAAAAATGTTCCTCCTGCGTAAGTTTCTTTTCATCCTTCAATTTGCTGCATCGTGTGTTTTTGTGTCTCTTTCAGGTGTGTGGCAGCACTCGCACAGAGCCGTGCACCCCTCAGAAGTGTGACGGTGCAGATCTGTGCCCACCTGAGGGAACCCCGCCCTGCAAAAAGGGAGAAAAGTGTGTCGGCGCCCTTCCTCTGGGTAAGAAGGCCGACACTGACGCCAATGATGTGAAAGACAAAGTGAACAAGCTGACAGAGAAGATCACAGACGCTGCAGAAAAGGTGAGCACACACTCTCATTTGTGTTATAAACTTTTTTAAAGACACACTACTTTCACTTTTATATAAAGCCTTGAGACATTTTCCAAAAACAGATTGTTCAAGCAGAGATGTCCTCTTTTTACAGCTCCAGGAGGCACAGGACAAAACCAATCAGGTGCGAAAGACTGCAGATAAGCTGAACAAAGATGTGAAGAAGGCCAAAGACGATCTGGAGGGAGACCTACAGGAGACCCGGGATGTCGTGAAAGAGCTCAGAGACTTCCTGACAGGTAAAAACTGCTGGAGTGAAGAAGCTGAATGGGTAAATGATTGGTTAATCTGTAGCTTATTTTGCCTCTAACTTTGTCTGTATCCTCACAGACCCGACCTCCAACCTGACTCAAGTCAAAGAGGTGAGCGACTGGATCCTGAAAGCCAAACTGCCTCTGCCCTACGATGATATATTGAAGAAGCTGGACGAGCTGAAGGATCTGGCTGATAACCTGCCGGACAGCACAGCCGTGTTGGATGAAGCCCAGCCGCAGCTGGACACCGCCAAGAAACTGCTGGAGGACGCAAAGAACGCCAGGTGGGCTTTCAGACCACTGTAACTCCTGCTTTGAGCAACTTTCAGCTTTGCATATTTAGATCTTTTTAAATTATTATTTTTTTATTTATCTAATTCATTGGTTAAACTCAAGAAAATTCAATATACAGTGTAAACCCAGACAAGTTCAGAATATAAATAATAATAATAATAATAATATCTTACATTTATATAGCGCCTTTCAGGATACCCAAGGCGCTTAACAACACACTACAAAAAAAAACACATAAAAAAAAAAACTAAATACGTTATGTTAGATTTTTGTCGTAAGCGAGTACACAAGGACCCTTAAGTTATGCTGGTAAATTTATTGAGTTACGCTATACTTAAGACACCCTGTTTTTAGTTTGTAATGTTCAAAACAGTTAACACAAATGTTCCCAAATCTGAATGAAAGGAATCAGAAAGAAGAATAATCTATAATCTGCCCCTTTACCCCAAGAAATTAATTTTCAAAAAACTTAAATGGAAAAAAAAAATCCTGTATCCTGCAGGTAACTGCCAGTAAAAATCTACAAGAAGTCCAGCACGTTACAATAAGTATTGATTTTTACCTCCGCCAAGGAGGTTATGTTTTCGGTAGCGTTGGTTTGTTTGTTTGTTTGTCTGTTAGCAACTTTACGGAGAAAGTAACAGACGGATTGACCTGAAAATTTCACCAGAGGTGTGTCTCAGCCCCAGGAGGCTCCCATTAAATTTTGGTGGTGATCCGGACAAAATTCTGGATACTGTGATCCAGAACACACAAAAATAAGGGTGTCGTTGGAATTTTCAATGATGAAAGACAACCAATGGGCGGCACAGTGGTGTAGTGGTTAACACTGATGCTCACAACCAGAAGGTTGTGGATTCCTGAGGCTTTCGTGTATCTTCATACATTTGTTTGAAGTGTTCTTCCTCCGGTTGCGTTCACAGGGACAAAGCATTAGGCGTCAAAGATGACGTGGATGGCATCCTGTCAGGTTTGGACACAGTCGAGGACTCAATGACTGATCTGGAGGAGAAGCTGCAGGACACCATGGATCAGATAGATGAGCTGAAAGACAACTTGACGAAGGTATGAAGCATGATAACGTCACAGATTAGAACTCACAGTGACTCTTTATTCTTTGGGTGTTGATTCAAAGTTTGTTTGTTTTTTTTCATGCAGGCGAATGACCAGATGACTCCAGCAGAGGAGGCACTGGATGATATAACAAAACTGATCGAGCCGCTTAAACCTCAGCTGGATGATCTGAAAAAGCTGCTGGATGATACTGAACCGACAGCAGAGGAGGCACTTAATGACGCAGAGGACGCTGTGACTGAAGCAGATGATGTGAAGAAGGTGAGAGACCCGCTCAGAATAAGAATATTTACCTTATTTACCAAAGTTATATCAAAACTGATGTGAAGTAGAGGTTCATATTTCAAATTTTCAATAACTTTATTGTTCATTAGGTTCCCCATTAGCTTTTGTCAAGACAAACTTAGTCTTCCAAGGGTCTAACACAGAAAACAGAAAAAAAACCGTAAAAAACTTTGATGTAAATTTGGATCTCAGAGAGCATCAAACTTTAAATAAAATATCAAAAGTTTACCCATCAATCCATCCAGCTGCTCTGAATTTATGCCATCATCTGGGAAAATCCAAATTTTGTGTTATAAATGGTTTCTAGATCAAAAAATGATCATAAAACAGGCGTGGAAATGTAAGGGTGGTGATATGTGAATATGTGATATATCTAAGGCATTTGTTCCTGTTGTAACACAGTGATAATTTTAAAGGTCAGATGATTCATTAATTGTTCAACTTCAAACTTGAATCAAACTGGTGAGCAGGATGTCTTTATCAATGTGTTAATGTGTTTGTTTTTAGGAGCTGGTTCCTCTGGAGGATAAGCTGAAGGAGCTTAAAGATAAGGCTGGCAATTTGCCAGGCGGAGAAGATGGACCAGTCGGGGACCGAGTGACAAAGCTAAAGGAGGATATTGGGAATTTGGGCAACACCACCGACACCATGTTAAAAGCTCTGGATGGTAAGACAGAAAAAAAAAAAGCACACTACACCTCATTTATAGTGTCAAGAGAGTCCTCTGAGTTACTTTTACTACACCTGTAAGAGTGTACTGCTGTTCAAGTACAGTCCCTGTGTTTGAATTTCCTCTTTTAGCAAGAAACAGAAACCCCATGAGCTGTTTTTGTCTCATTTGTTCTGTAAGTTCTGTTTAAACAAAAAAGATGGATCATTACGGTCGATATCAATCACCAAAATCATCAAAATAAAGTGTGAAAAAATACAACAGTCAGAACATACAGACAAGATCAGCAAAAACACCAGAGGGATCACTTAGTCTACAGGGGGCGCCAAATCAGCTTAAGCACAAGGTTCCTTATAGGAGCTTTAGAGCTAAAATTAGAAACGTAAAGAGAAAAAACATCAAGATAAAAAAGAACAATCCAAATGAATAAGTTAATATGAAAGGCAGCATTAAATACAAATCCCTCACTCTTAAGCAGACTTCTGCTCTAAATGACTCTAATGTGCCACCAGTAACAGCGAGGTGTAGATAATCTTATAAGAGCCACATGCTGTTCAAACTCAGGTGTTTGTTTGGGTGTTTGTAACCAGCTCGCTCACTCAGCTCTTGCTCTTTTCCAGGTAAAGCAGATTCCCTAAAGACACTGCAGGACGAGATCCTCGACAAGTCATCAGTGCTTGACGGACATAAAGCTACGCTTGAAGACCTGCTGGCAAAACTTCGAAAGAAAGCCGACGACCTGAGCACCTGCAAGGGCTAAGAGACTTCTTCTATCTGTCTATCTGCAGAGCGTCGTCATCATCATTTCATGCCAACCTTTAACATCCACTTTGAAAAAAAATAATCTTCAATTTACTTCTTTGTCTTTTTTTCTGGAAATTTGTTTAGAACTAAGAAAGAGGCAGATGTCACCTGTGATACATAGAGCTGCAAATGACCAGTGTTCTTCATAAAATATCTCTTGTTGTTAAATATACATAAGAAGCTCTTCTCGACTAGAATATTCAGGTTTATAAGTAGATTTCTCAGGCAATATTTAAAAATACAGTACATTTCTTTTTTTTTTATGTAAATAAACTAATAGAATTTGACTTTTCCTATGAATGAAAATAGTTCATCTGTCATAACTCATAATATCCAGATAAGTTTGTGTTTCAAGGGCTCTGACCACATCAAGACGTCATGATTTATTATCTTGATAAAAAGCCCATGTTACAGTATTTTAGAAAGACTAAGGATAAAACTGGCTGTGATGAGAGTTGAAACTTTTGCTCCAGTGTGTTCACTCATCCTCTGAATCCTTCGTTGTCGACCACAGAAATTGTCTTAAGGTCTCTGGCGATTTATTCAGCCATCCATCCAGTGATTTCTTGAGAACCAGTATAGGAGTCACAGTCTGGAAACATGGATATGTTTTTGTACATGACCTAAAACGAGCTCCTGTTTTTTTAAATATTTTTTAGAAACTCATTAAGGCACCTTGCTCTCTTCAAGCTTTTTTTTAAAGCGCTGGTATTGTAAGATTATGTAAAGCAAAAATGGACCTTTTTTAAACAAAACATTTTGGCGTTACGTCTTTTTTGTCTTCCATTTCCATTATTTTAGTATTACACATAGGAAAAGGCCACTAAAGGCCTCTGAATATTTCACGGCTCTGCAAAGACTTAACACACGCTCCACTGTGAATGTTGCACCAGATTGTTTTATTTGTCAGAAATGCTGAAAGGGTGAATGTTACATTATTTATTTGTCTGTCGTTTGTGCAGAATCCACAGTATTTAAATAAAAGTTTCTTAATACTTTGATTCCTGTGTAATGATTTATGAGAGTATAAGAGTCCAGAGTTGTTGCAATCACACAACCCAACAAAACCCAACTGGAGGACTACTTCAGAAAACAATAAATCCATACAAAAAAGAAAAAAAAAAATCATGTCTCTCACTATGTTTGTGAATTTAATATAATGCATGACATCACCAGTATTTACAACATCTTCACATCAGTTTGTGGCACTTAATGAGTTCAGTTTTTTAACAAGACAGCAGCTTATGAGCATGTCACAGAAGACACAGCAGACCTGTAGTCACTGCGAGTCCGTGACTCCACCTCTGAGTAACGAGTAAAGTATCACAGTGTCCAACAGTTTATACAAAGACCGTAACTTGACGAAGAAATACAGAGCATTCATATGATCATGTACAGCCAGGTTAATCTCAGAATACCTTAAAAAAACTCAAATAGCTTTCACAGTGTATTCACAATGTCAGCTACATCTATGGAAAATAAATACATGTTTATATACACAATGTAATGGGGTATTTTTTTAAACTCTCAACATAATATAAATTAATTAACGGTATTATGAAAAGACAAACATCTTTTGAACTGCATTTTAGACTGAATTCCTTCTTTTCCTGAGTCTATGTGGTTCTAACTGCAGTGAGATAGACATTTATTACAGCAGAGATACTGTTTATGTCCATCCATGGTGTTTGTTAAGACCGAGAACCACAATAGATGTCAAAACGCTGAGCTGAAAGATGTGCTGACGTCTTCATACCAAGACGGATGAGTGTCACACATCCAGGAGATTAACTGAAAATAGAGGAGAGGGAGTCAAAAAACAAACAATAGGACTTTTTAAATCCTGTTAGAGCAATCAACACCTCTCCCCAGACTAAGATGGAGACATCTGTTTACCTGCATGGGTTCAACTCAGGTCAGCCAGCCAATCACATGACAGAACACACTCCAGACTGGATATGTTGGCCCTTCCTCTCAGCCACAGCATTCATGCTGCAACACAACACAAAACAAGGAAACATCTCAATCAGTCAATGATGACGGATGTCACATGGTGAAAAAGAGCAGATTATACATGGCAAACTGCATTTCTTGTATATTTAATCTATGTTTGGAAGGACAAGAATCATACAGAGGATGCAGTTGACACAACTTAAGTCTTAAAGGAATGTGTTGTTGCTGCTTCACACTCACGCTAACGTCTACACCATAGACTGTATATTCTGTGGACAAATTGGTTCCGCCTTCCGCCAGTATACGAATTTGAACCAAAAAAGCTCTCAGTATTTCGGGATTTTTTTCTCCACTTCCTGAAACCAACATTGCGCAGTAGCATTGTCCGCACTCCACCACTTGCGTAGAAGCATTGTACGCATTCGGTGGGAGAGTCGCTGTGATGACGCTTGGCTCAAATAGGTGAGCTGCGCAAGCCCGTAGGCTGTATCAAGTGTCAATCATGGAAAACATGAACCCCCTAATAACTTTTAAAAATGGAGCTGTACAGAAAAAAAAAGGACTTGAGCACAAACCAGTCTTACAGTAACTACATGTCAACATCGCAAGCAGGAGGGGAGAAAAATTTATATTCTTTGTATAAATTTCTAAAGTTTGTCCACAGCTCCATAGGGATTGCTAGAGGAGGCGGGATTTATGACCTATACTGCAGCCTGTCACCAGAGGGTGCTGTTCTCGGGGTGGTTTCACCCAGTGAGGAAGCAGACGGCATCCATTATATATACAGTCTATGGTCTACACCTATGCAGTAAGTGTTTCTTGAAGTTCAATCCCACTTCCAAACACATCGCAAAGCTGAGTACTGTGTTGATAAAAACAGATTTTTGGGGGTGCCATCGAAGAGTCTAAGCCTCCTAGGTGTAAAGGCTATAGTCCTCTTCACAATGGTTGCTGGTTCTATGCCTGGCCATGATCCTTTGCTACATGTCTTCCCCATTCCTCTACTAACTTTCTTCATCTGTACTATCCAATGAAGGGAAAAAAATCCCCAATAACATCCTTTAAAAAATCTACATTCTTGGTGGTTTGCAAATTATGTAAGCTCTATATTTAATTGAGAGTAGCTTTGCCACTGAATCAATGTCACGGTCCTAAAATTATTTTGTATGCCTGGGCAGCATTGTTTGAACCAACTAATGTGTGAAGGAGCTGTACATTACAACACAATACAGGGACTTTATTTTTCCCCAAAGGGAAATTCATTTCGGTTCCTTAATTGATGATATACTAAGGGTGAACTCATTAAATAATGCCAGAGTGATTACATCATTGGTTTAGCATGAGCAGCAGGGATTAATGATGCAATCCACATTTATTCATGACTAATGCTTTATTTCAGTATTAATTAGACCACTTTGACTTATTTTATCTATATAACTATAAATAACTGCATTTTGTTAAGACATCTTCATTATTTTTTTCCAATCTAAGATGATTTTTTTCCAGTAGCTACAGCATTACACCACTGCTCACCTCGTTGGCCTCAACGAATCGTCGCTCCCTGAGCTGACTTCCCTTGAGTCATCATCTGTGAGATCAGGCTTAGTGCTCTGTACAAAAGGATTCCCATTCGGATCAAGAACATCAGCCTCATCAAAGCAGGTTTCCAGCCCCTCAAGGTCTTCCTGAGAGGGTGACCGCACAATTGCATCTGGCGTGGAGCAGGGGGAGGGCGAGGAATCGCTCTGAGACAGTTTCTTCATGTGATGGATCGCTGTGGCTGCATTGAACGCTTGCTGTTGTTGGAAAATTCAGAACAAAGACAGAGTATTGTAATGACAATTCCTGTAAACCACATTACACTTCTGTCTTTTATTACAATAACATTTCACTTTCTTTTTTATGATAAGCCGTTACCGTCATGAAATACTGCGTTTGAATGGTGAACCAAGTCATTGTAATTGGAGTTATATGGGTGTCAAATGCTACTTAAACTGCAAACATTTGCAGTATTTGATAAAAGATCCAGAGAGAAATATGAATAACCAAGAGTTGATGGCGGTGATCTTACAGCGTTTTTGTGGCATCGCATTAAAATAGACATGACTCTACAGTGGCAGTTGCTGCAGGGAGCTCAAAATCACTTCCAAAAAGCTGTGAAGACAATTAACTACAACCAATGAAGTAGTCTAAAACTGGACCGTGAATCAAGATCTGAATCATGATCCAGAAATGCCCAAGAATTCTGCAACCCAGAAGACAGAATGAAAAACATGGACATTCTTTTTGGAAATCTTGGACACTGCCTTCTCTGCTCCAAAGAGAGTAGTGTGATCATGGTCTTTGTTTATGTTAAAAAGTTATGTCAGCTTGATAAAAATAGTTAAAAATCAACCAAAGATGAGGAAGTTGTGATATGAAAGTGTCACCTACCTTCCACTTCGATTTGGCAAAGTTTTTCTCCAACTGTTCACAGACAGACTGATAAAGGTCAATGTCCTTAGCGGTGTTCTCAGCGATCCTGCAGCCAAAATAATAACACCGATTAGTTTGACACATATAGACAATATTACATAACAGTGAGTGTGAAGGAGAGGTTACTCACCACGGGTGTCTGAGCGCCTGTTCAGTGAGGAAACGTTTCTTGGGGTTCTTCTCCATCATATTTCTAATGAAGTCTTTGGCTGTTGAGACATAATATGATGATACTATTATGATACAGTATGCCTTATCTTTATATGTACTGAATTGTACGGGTACTTGTGACTCCTCTACAAGTCAACCTCAAATTTCCTGATCATTGCTTCAAACATACAAATAAGAGATTCATCCTGCCAAATGTGAATTCAGAAGAGGATGAGGAATGATGCCAAAAACTGGACCAGATGAAGCTAGAACATTATGTTTGAGAGGGGTTGGGGTTAAATCATTTAACCGTCTGGATTCATAACAGAAGGCAGCAGTGTCACAGATATCTGTAAAATAAGAAAGTCTTTTGTGGCAGATATCCTCACAACTTCTTATAAATGTACCCTCATTTACAAAATAAGTATCAGGTTGAATCTCACAGCTATCAATGCTATTAACAAATCCGAGGTCCTTTCCCCAGCAGGAACTTCCCTCAAGAACTAGGAGCTTTTTGACAAACTCTGAGCTTTTCTGTACTAGGAATCGGGGTCTCAATTTAGGCCCTGTCCAGAAGGTGTACTGTCCAAAGGTTCAGGAACTTCAGAGGCTGGGCCTGCAATGCTGAACATTTCAAGCAGGTTGAGCACCAAGCCTGGATATCGAGAACTTGGAACCATTTTCATATTGGGCTGATTTGCACAATCTTTATAAGCCCTGACTACTCTGCTGGTTGTGAAGCTTTGTGAGTCAAAGATTGTCCACTTCTTATAGAGGATTGATCATTTCTTTTAAATGAGACCTGTGTAACACTAGTTTACTACACTAAGCTCATAATAAGTTTGTCTTTTGATGTATTGCTTATCGTTCAATACAGCATTGTCTTCCAGAAGTTTTTAGATCCTGTTTATTTCTGCACTTTTATTCAGGTCTCTCAAAGAAGTAGTTAAATCCCACATGTTCTCATTGGGTTAAGAAGTCTTTAGCTTAATGCCTCCTACTTAAATACCTCAGGCAGGAGAGAATTTAACTTTCCCCATTTAGTTTGGGCAGTAACCATGTATGACTTAATCTAAACAGGTCACACCGCTGGAGCTTTCCTGGAAGAGATGATGTAATGGCCTAGATAAAGTTAAGGTCAACGGATAACTAATCCGGGTCTAAACTTAGCTACCATGATTGTTTACCAAAGTACTAATGACTCACTTTAGGTCACATTTATGACAGCAGCCTTTTTGCACCAATAACACAGACGCTCTCTTTTTAGCTGAGATTATGACATAAAAATCTACCCAACGATCGTCAATGAACAAAGACTCAACCAGGGTATGATCTTTAAACATGGCGCCTTATTTGGCCAACTGTTGTGTCTTATGTCCAAGTGTCGTAGAAAACAGAGAAGCTTACAGTGAAAGAAACAGCTGATGTAAAACACAAACATCCACGAAAAAGGTGCAGAAACTTGGACGAAACATCACGATCAGCTGATTGTGTTTCAATTTCTATCTACAGCTCATGCAAAGTCACTTAAAATGCCAGCGCCAACCATTTGACATTTGGCTCTTTACATAATGTCACAATATTCTGACAAAGTGCTGGTCCAACAACTGCATTGGATAACAGTATTTTCACCCCTTTCCAGGTTAAGAAAACGTTCACAATTTCTACTCGCTATCTTTAAAAATGATGGGCATCATCCTTTCCATATATGACTGAAGTTTAACAACATGCCCTCAAACAAAACTTTTATGCAACAGTGTTATCTAACCCTTAAAATGTGTGTCGTGGATTCGTATTGAGTGAATTTGGAGTAGAGCCCTGTGTGGGAGTGTTTTCTTAATACCACTTTGACTTGTTTTCTGACTGTTACAATCTGCTCTCGCAATAAACATGAACAAATCAGCCTGCACCTGGGCCAAGTCTGACCATTTATACTTGTTATTCATTTACATACAGTATACATATGAAAAATAACTTTGGTCTTATTGACTTTTCCATGTAGTTTCTGCTGTAATGTGTACTTTCACTTCGAACAAGAGCTCGCTATGATTGTTTGTCTCATATTTGCACTGGGTCTAGCAGGATCCCAACCCCGATGCAGCTCTCTAATTTAGAAATTTCTTAAATACAGACAATTCAGGGAACGAGTTTATAGCCTTTCAGTGCAAACAACAAACCAAGTTTTTAGATTCTGTGACAATACAGAAAGTCCAGATGCCTGCCAACCTCATCCTTTCAAATCCAGGGATTAGGTTTGTTATTGTTAAATTGGATTAGATTAGATAAACTTTATTGATCCTTTTGGGAAGGTTCCCTCAGGCAAATTAAAAATTAGGTAACATTATTTACTATTATGTCAAATCTATTTTTGTCAAATGACTGTCTAACAGGAGTCTGATTCTGCTCGAGGTCTCTGCCTGTTGAGGAAAGTTTTTCCTCTCCACTGCCACTTGATAAATGCTTCACTCTGTGTTTCACTCATGGTGGGTTAAGATGGGATCAGAGCAGGTCTGATCTTACAAAAAGGGACTCAATCTTATCCCATCTTAATGTTGGTCTTTGTAAATGTAGATCTAGATCAACCCCGGCAGCATCCTTGTTTCAAAAACACGACTGCGGGTACTCAGTGAATTAGTTATTGGCATGAAAATATAGCAGCAATGTTGTAATGTGACTTTAACTTGAAAAAGAAGAATGTAGACAAATCCTTAATGGAAAACATGAAATGCTTTGCTGATATTTTCTTACCTGACTCAGAGACATCATCCCAGAATGGTGAATGAAACGCGTACTCCGCTCTCATGATCTTTGAGAACAGACGAGTCTCGTTGTCTTCGAAAAACGGAGGATACCCACAGAGGCTGTGACACGGGAACAGCAAACATAATCAGCTCAGCTTTGTTACTCCCCTTCATCAAAACATTTCAGGGCTACTTCATCAGCTTTTCCGTGTTTTTGTCCCTATTCCAAAGAACTATACATCTATTTTAGAAATAACCATACAATGTATTATATCATTTTAAACCGAAAACTTAGGATATGTACAAGATCATCTCCAGGGCAAGTAAACAATCTCAACACTCCAGTTTGTGATAACTATAGAATCTCAAATTGCTTCATCTTATAAAGTCTTGGTTCATCAGGAAGGTACTCACAGAATATAAGTGATGACTCCAATGGACCAGCAGTCCACTGCTTTGCTGTAGGGTCTCTGCGCCAAAACTTCAGGGGCTGGAAAAATATACACAACTTTACCATATCAAACTATCCCACTCTGTTTTTCTCTGGGCAAGTATCTCACTGGCTTTACATCTTTACACGTGCCACTACAAACACACCAACTAAAAACATTTTGATTGAAAAGATCTACTAAAGAGAAAAACATTCTTTTGATTCTAAATCTACAAATTAATTCAGACAAAAACTGCAGGAAAACTGTAAGAATAAAGGTGTCCTGGTTTACCCACCTACATATCCTGGCGTACCGCAGGCCGTGGACATCACACCGTGCTCCAGTGTTTTAGACAGACCGAAGTCACTGATCATGATCTTTGCATTCTCATCCATGTTATAGTAAAGCAAGTTCTCAGGCTGCACAGAGATACAGAGAGAGAAATAAACTAAATGGCATATACTTAATCATCCCTTGAAGAAAAAACACCTTTGATAATAGACACACGGCTCATTGCAATTTGGTGGAACATAAAACACAAACAGCACGCAAAACTAGTCGTCATAAAATCTAATCAAAAAGAAAATAAAATTAAGAATAATACTCTTAAAGATAAACCATGATTTGAAGCCATCTTAAACATGACGATTAAGGGCCAAAAATATCTTAAACTACTCTTTGACAAGTGTAGCACATCCCAGGTTACTCAAAACAAAAGTGTAAAATATGAGGTGTAAAGTGTCAGTTTGCATGTTTGTGTTTCTGTGTTTGTGCGTGTGTTTTACCTTAAGGTCTCTGTGTACGATGCTGTTTTCATGCAGGTAGCCGACAGCCTCCAGCACCTGTCTGATCACTCTGCTGGCATCCTTCTCAGTGTAAACCCCCTTGTCTAAAATACGATCAAACAGCTCCCCACCTGAAACCCTGCAAACACACAGATGAACAACAGGAAATCAGTTATGCTTCTCACTGCCTGACATTTCAGTTCAAGTGAGTTATTTTAGATCAGGTGGTTCCTTTCCTAACATATTAAATCAATCTGAACTTATATTCAATGAAATATGATATGAGCTCTTGCAATAAAGTCATTAAGGTGATATGAAACTTGAGGATGGAAGCAGCTGCTTTAGATTTTTGGATATAGAACATCACATGATAAAATACTTGGAGCCATTCATGAGTCAGTTCATACATCCATCCATCCACCCATTGATGGGTGCATCCATGCATGCAGGTTTCCTTTTATTTATGGATGCATCTATTCATCCATCCATACATACATATATGCATATATGCATCCATATATCTACCCATGTAAACATCCATCCACCATCCATCCATCCATCTATGGATGCATCAATTAAACCATCCATGCATGTATCAACCATCTAACCATCTATCTATCATATATACTGTATATACATACGTACCTACATACATGCATCAATCCATCTATCTATCCAAGACATACAAACATCCTTTCATATGCATCCAGCCAGCCAGCAATCCATCAATCTATTCATGCTTCCATTCATTCATCCATTCATTTAATCAATATATGCATCAATCAATCTATCTCTTATCCATACAGCCATCTTCCATAAATCCATGTAAGTAGTTTAAAATGAAATTCCCTTGAGGATGGTTATACAGAGGAATGAACAGACTTAAATGTGGACTCTGATCTAATTCAGTATTAGTCTTATTTACCATCATAGAAACTCATTCCAGGATTACAAACTTAGTTTTTTTTTGTTGCTTATCAATTTATCCACCCACAGATTTTTGTCATGATGTTGCAGTATTATTGCATTTTATACTCTATTTGCTGAATGTTGGTTCCAGACAGACAGAGTGCTGAGATCTAATACTAAGCTAATACCAGCATCCAACATGTTAGCTAACACTGCGTGGCAGTGAAAGATAGGACAGCTAAGCATTTACTCCTAATTTAGCTGAGTATGCTATTGGATGAGAGGAAGATTCTGTGCAATAAATTTTACAAACTCAGATTAGGAGATTAGTGGCTGATTTTTTATGGTTACCAAACACTCAGGACAAGATCAGAGACTTATAAAGTTTAAGTGTGCCAGACTAACAACGGCTGTTAAAAACACGATTTGTTCATTTGAGTCCACTTACAATTGCATGACCAAGTAATAGTGTGTTCGGCTCTCATAGAAATCCTCCAGACCCACCACATGGTCATGCTTTATCCTGAAACATGAGGAGAGAGAGTTCACAGTGACAAAGGTCTTGGGCTGATGTTGCAATAAAACTGATAAAACTTATTTCAAAAAGTTTGACAATCATACAAATCTTGTCATTAATTAAAAATGGTGAAAGACATGCTGGATTTATGCTTAAATTTATAAAAGTTTTTGTGTTTCACTGCTATCTGCTACCCATATTTCCCATCTCTCTTTAGCCGTCCTACCAATATAAGGCCAAAAATAGCATTAGCAATAAAAGGCAGCAGCTGTAATAGAAGACTCCATTAATGCTGAACACTACATACAGTTTAGGAGCAACATCTGCTGCCATCCAGACAATGCCTTTTTTAGAGAAGACCTTGACAAACCACATTCTGCAGGGATTACAACAGCATGGCTCTGTAGTAGAAGAGTCCTGCTTCTGCTAAAGTGGTCAGCTGAAATCCTCTATCAGTTAAGAACGGACAGCCTTTCACCTTCAGAACTCCATTAACTGGTCTCCTCAGTTTCCAAACATCCTCAAAGTGCTACTGCTCTCTTTAAACTCTTAATAACAAAGCCCGTCTCTGTTAATGTGAGTTGGTGCAGCTGTGTTTGTTTTTTACCTTCTCAGTACGTTGATTTCATTTTCCAGATTGCTGCGAATAAGGTGTTTCTTCTTCAGACACTTCAGGGCGTACAGTTCTCCTGTTGTCTTTTCTCTCACCATGTAGACTTCTGAGAATGTCCCCCTGCCGAAAAACAGAGACACGTGAATCAAAGTGACAGTCAAAGTGAAGATACTGGTACACAAATGCCAAAAAACCACAACCATACAATCAATACCACTGCCAGCACCGAAGATGACTTCTACAGCCGTCATTTTTGGCTTGGGTTTACACAAGAGTTAGTCTTTCAAAATCCTTTCCATGTGATATGTTTTTAACTCATCTATGTCTACTACCTATATCAGTAAATACATGTTTCCCCTTCATTACAGACCATAAAACCACCTCTGTTGTGTAACTTATGACGTACGGATTCTTATTGCAATGGCCCAACGGCACATGCAGACATAAAATGCACTTCTTTTTAACTGTTCATATTTACTTATCAAACTTTTGCTATTCATATTAAACTTCAAAATCATATAAGACATAGTATATTTATTTTCAAAAATCACTATGAAGAGATGTCACTGATTGTACTCGAGTGCTGAAATCATCAGAAAAGGACTACTTCATTGCAAGTTTTTATTTAATTTACTTTTTCTCTAGGTTTTGTCTAATTTGATCTTTTTGTAAAAATCCTGCAGATCAAGACATTTAATAGGAATCTTATTTTTTGTGTTTGTTCAAACATGCAGTATTTTATGAATGACACATTTTCAGAGATATATTGGGAGCTTAAATGACTGAGTGTATGATCATTCAGATATCAAATGACCTTCACTTTAAGGCACATAAGAGAGCAGTGAGTGTATAAACAGGCTTTCTTTACAGTAACAGCTTGTAACCCAGACAGACCAAGATGGCGTTGGCTGGAATTCAACATGACATCTCTGTCCTTACGTCTACAGCCAAGAGGCAGTCAGGGTTAATTCACCAATGAGGCCAACGTTTGAATCAGAGTGTCAGTGCGTTTTTAGGCTCTGTCACACACTTAAACATAAAGGTACAAAAACAGACTCACTGTGCTTATTTTCATACATGTTGTTTCATGATAAATTACACCTGAACAACGGTTTAACAATTTTAAGATTCAAAAGTTGTTTGATGGAGTACATGTGGCTATTATCCTTTCTGCCTAAAAATACTGAACCACAAAAAATTGAAATAAAATTAAATACAATTTCTGAAAGAAAATTGTAAAAAATTAGCATTCATAACTGCTTATGAATATTGTTGTAAAGTTTAAAAGGAGCAGGCATGATGTCTTACAAATGATGATTCATTATCAGAAGAGGGTTTCGATGAAGTGCTGTTTGGGGATTAATAAAGTTCTTGTTTTGTATTTGTATTGTAAGTTTTGCTGTGTATATTCAACGACCTTTAATTTTAGGAGCATAAAAGAGCAGTGAGTTCATAAACAAGCTTTTTTTACAGTAACAGCTTGTAACCCAGACAGACATGGTGTTGGCTGGAATTCAACATGACATTTCTGTCTTTAGATCCACAGCCCAGACGCAGAGGCGGTCAGTGTTTCTGAACTTCACCACCGAGCCCAACATTTGAACGGTGTTTCAAAATGGTGTTTTGTCATACACTCTAAAATAAAGACACCAAATAGGAGCAAAACGCCAATCATCAAACATCATGTTTTATGTAAAGTTACACTTAGGCAACAAGTATTTTCTGATTTAAAAGTTGCTTGATGGATATATAGTATTGTTTCTTTCTTCCTTTAAACTCCATACGATAAAATAGTCATAATGTTTCTGGAGGAAAAAAGTTCAAGATAAGAAAAAAAATAGCTGATATTATGACGGGGTTAATCTGACAGATTGTTTATATGCCTCTTTTCTAAATACTATTCACACTGTACAGATTGAAAGGAACAGATGTGTTGACTCAGAGTCAGACACGTTTGTACCCCATGTTTGTACAAACACACACCTGCTCCTGCTTATATCACCACACCTCCCATACATTCAGAACACCTACACACCAATATAGGCAGTCAGACTCCTAATCCTATCATCAAGTAGTGCTAGGATGTTCTCACACTGCTGCTCTGACGTAACGGCTCAGTAACCTGCAGGCACACACATGCACACAAACACACACACACACACGCACGCATGGACTCATTCACAGGCAGTCAACGACTGAGAACTTTAAGCCGCTTTCAGGCCACAGAGTGGCTCTGTGAACGCGACACCTTCAGGTAGTTGAATGAACACCTGTTACAGATCATCGCTGTGAGTAGTGGTTCAATTTCTAGATATAGAAAACACTTTAACTTGAATTCTTTATGTCAGGTCTAAAGAGCCCCTGAAGTCCAACAAAGGTGATCATTTTTGTTTTGTGATGATAAAAAGATAGTTGGTCTCCGGCTGTACCTCCAACATACTGCTCGTTATAAAAAAAGAAGCACATAAGCTCCCATACAGCTTCCTTTGTAGTCCCAACACTGTACGTCACATACTGTAGTTTGCATGCCAACATGCTTATATTGCTGTCCTGGTCCAGAATCATGCACGCACTGCAAGATATACTGCATCTGCTCAGCTGCAAAGATGTATGATAATGTCTCCTTAGAGGAGGAGGCAGAATACTTCACTCTGTTATTGACCAGGGGCTGAAATATACACACAGACCTGTGCACTAAAGGAGAGGTGAAGTGGCTCATCTCCAGTAACCATTCAAATGTTCATACTTTGACCTGCTCTAGCGCTGTAACCAGAAACTCTTCAGGTTATAAACCAAGTCTCTACAAATCAAACTACTGCAGCTCTCATCTCCATAGCATGATATAATTGAGTACATACTTTATTCTGTGTACCAATTATAGTTTGAAAGAGCAGCCCCAGTCTTATTCAATTGAGGTCAATATCTACAACATTGCAAAGTTTGGCTTTTTTTGTTCAAGCGGCACCTTGGTCATGTGGTATGATGCTTTCTTTATTGGTGATAATCCTTGAGGTGTTGCTTCCATTCTGTCGCTCAGTCTAAAATAAGATTAAGCCTTTCTTTGTTGTGTCTAAGACATTATTTGCATTTACTCAGTTTTCAAGACTGGTGAATTCAGTTTGACAGGTTAAACTAGTGGAATGTCCCTTTAAGTACAAAAACAAAAGCTCATAGTAGAAAACATTGTTTTTTTTCACTTATCAAACTGCAGCTTTTACATTTTGCAGATATGTCTTCACTCTGACAAAGTGTAAATATAAATATAACATGTTGGAGCTGACTGATCTATTTACTCTTTTCAAACAGGTTAACAATGTCATGTCCCTCATTAGCGGGCTCAGCTGTGAGGGGATTACACAGACGGTGTAAGAAGCTCCATTGACAAATCAACATCTCAGAGAACTCATGAAAGGATTATCCTCACCATGCAGACCAATCTGAGCAGCGGCTGACTGTTTCACCACTGGATTCACAGACCTCTGAGCAAAGAAAACCAACCTCATGTTACTGAACCATCACCAGCTCTCCTAAAATAAGAGTTATCTAAACAAGCTGCAAAAAGCTGTAAGAATGAATCAAACTGGAGTCAAGAAGGAAAATGTTGGATAAGGGATGTCTGAAGACAAATTTCCTACATCAGTTTTAACCTACCCACTATCAGAGCTAAGATGTTGAAAAAATGAAGCTGTAGCGCTTTTACGGCCTTCATAGCCTTCGAACCTCATCTCCTTCAAGCGCATTTATCCTCACCTCATCCTCATTCATCCTTCATCATGGAGAGGACCCAAGAGCGCATGAATTAATGAAATGAGAAGAAGTTTGCTTGCAATGTCAGACTGTATTTACTCCTCCATGAATGTCACAACATTGCTTTCTTTTTTAATTCAAGCTTCCTCCAGTTTATTCTCACAGTTTTTACATTAGATCCTCTTCCCCATGAACCCCAGGCCCACAGTTTCATCAGGTTCTTCTCATCAGTCTCGGAAAACACTATCAACTCCAGCACTGGTGTCTGAACTCAACATTGAGTACAAATTTTACTGCTGCAGACTGGGGCTGTCCTGATACGATATTGATATCAGATATCGATCCGATATCAGCCAAAAAAACAAATATTGGATTATATCGGCCTGCATCTAAAGTCTCCGATATCAGCACTCCGATACAAGCAGTCCATTCCAGACCTCCGGCACCTCTAGCTTGCAGCATCCGGATCCAGCAGAGCCCACTTGATCACAACAACAGTGTGTACTAAGTCTGAAAAAGACATTGCAGCTGAGTGCAAAACTTGTCATGCACAAGTTTGTGCCAATATTGGTATCAGCCGATACTAAAAGCTACAATATCTGTATCTATCGGAAACATCAAATGAGTCCGGTTCAGGGACTAATCTCCAGTACGCACAGAGCAAACACAGGTCTTGTCTTTAGTCTATCCGAAAACATGATTTTAAACCGCAGTACTTACGATCCCATCTTCCCCTTGAACTCAAACACATCCTTGATGTTATTTGTGTTTTTCTTCCAGCTGCAGATGATCTCTTTCCGCCCCATCTCGGCTCTGACGTTGCCGTAGACTCCTGAAGAAAAAACAAGCCAATGTCATTTGGATGAAAATAAAGGTCCTATAAAAACCAAAATGTAGAAAGTTGCTGCCCAGAGCTGTTTTGAAATCCCCAAAAGATTTAAGGTACACCAGTTTGTGTGTTTTTTAAAACATCATTATCACAGCTCTGAGCAAACATACAGTTTAGGTTTGGATCTCAGCTAACGTCATTATGTGACTTGTAACATGGCTTAAGTTTTTTAAGTGATTATGGTAATGAGGATTTTTTGGCTGGTAATGAAACAGGTTAGAATGAACATTTATGCCTCTTGGTGAAGTACAAAAGAAGAAAAAAAAAGACCATCCATGACAAGATTCACAATTTCTATTTTGTGAACTTTGATCCCTGTCCTAACTGTGTTGAGGTAGGTGTTAGACCAGGTAATTGACATACACGAAATAAACTGCCTGAAACACACCCCATGTCCTACACATGAGAGGGGGCGCATAAATCTACACAAACAGTCAAGAATCCTGGTGTAGGTTGACTAGGTTTTAAGGTGTCCTAATTTTGTGTTTGTGCATATAAACATCTTATCCCAGCAACAGAAACTGATTTTGCTCCCTGAGGGTCTCTGAAAAGCAGCTGTGGTAATGTATCCGTGAAACAAGCCTGGTGGTCTCAGTGAAAGCACCTTACTTTCCGGATTAAGTGTTAAATAATTGCTGTCTGCATACCATATCTGCATTGGTGTCATATTGACATTGAACATTCTCCGATTTGAAATTGGTCCTATTTTCTCAGATTTGAGTCATAGTTTGTGCTGTAAGATATACAGCAGGGATATGAATAACCAGGCTTCTCTGTGCATGTAAACACCTCCTGGACATGATCAAAACAAATATAAGGCCTATAACAGGATAAGTCAGTCCAGGTTTGATTCTAGCCTGTGGCTCCTTTTCTGCAAGCCACTCCAGCTCTCTCTTCCCATTTCCTGCTCTGTCTGCTCTCAATAAAGGCAGTAAAAGCCCAAAAATGTAATTCAAAAAAACGCATGTCTAGGATACTAGAGCCGTTCTTGGGTATGCACTGTGGAAAATTCCCAAAAAATGTTAGGACCACATTCATGATTAATGCCAGTAAATGGACTCTGACAGGAAAGTAAAGCACAAGGATATTTCCAACTTGAGCGTACGATCACAATGACATTAAATTTTGGGATGAAGTTTGTTGACCCCATCTGCATCAGGTTATAGTTTGGCGTTTGTGTTGATTTCTTGGCTGGTTTCTTAACAAGCGAGACTACCTGGCCCACTTGAATCAAACTACTCCTTTAAATGATTACCCTGGGACTGAAATCATTATTACAGGGTGTGCAAAAGATCACCATCAAAACTTCTCTTCAATCAGTCTGAGTCTGATTGTATTTAGATGTCACTGTTTCTAAAATCTTGCAGACCAGTATGATCATGAACACAACAGGAGAGTTTTTAGTCCCTTGCCGACCCTCACCTTTCACTGTACCACAACCCTTTAAGATGTCACCCACCTTTCCCTGTGCTCTGGTTACATAAAGTGCTGCATGTCCAGGACTCAGGTCAGCGCTCGCTTGGTAGGCTAAAGCCCGTTTGTACCTATCAGTTACACAAGCCTTAGAAAGGCAAAGGATTAGAGGGCTAAATAGCCATGGTTAGTTAATCTTTTAGGCCTCCTGTAGTCGTTCCTTGTGTCTGCAGTGGGAACAGATTAGCAGGTGATTCTCTAACAGGACACAAAACTGGGTCGTTTTCTAATTTGGGAACAAAGGAGGCCAGTGAACTCTGGTTTCTGAAAATATTACATAAATGTACAAGCATTAGGCGAAATCATTGTCACATTTCTGTTACTTGTATGAATTTTGCATCAGTAAATATTTAAAAGAATATATTGTAAAGTTACCTCTACAAGTTTTATAACATTAATCCAACCCATTAGGACAATAAAGGCCAAAGAAACCACTCAAGAGTCAATCACAAATCTTCTTAGCCCCTTACTTTAGGTCACAATTGTTCCACACAGTAAAGCAACAGTGGGATATTTTACAGACACTCTGTGCAGACTAATTTTCTGTATTATCTGTGCTTTCCATTTTTACATTGCAAATTAAAAAAATCAAGTGCAAACTTTAAATTTCAACTTTTATTTCTGCCCAGTGGCGATAATTGACTTAAAAGCTCAAAAGGTTGTCAGCAAAAGCAAGAGATATTTTACTGTAAGGTCCCACCTTACTGGTGAATGTGTAAAATTTTGAGTTTTAAAGTTCTAAATTTATCAGCAAAGTTACTAAAGTAGGCTTACTGTTTTTAAGTCCCTTTTTGCAAAATACAGTGAACTCAAAGCTTTAACCACAAACAGAGACGATACCGGTGCAGGACCCATAGGAATACAAACAGTGTGCTACTTTTGGACTATCTTTTAACATCTCTTTTAACTTGCAAAGTGAGGGCAGATAAAAATTACAAATCAAAAACAATCTATTTTTACTCTTCTCAATTAGACATGCAAACATCCAGGTTGTAACTCGGATCAGAAGAGTAATAAAAGTGGTTTCTTACCTGAGGAGCGGTGCAGAGGTGTCGGTGCTGAGGTATTCTGGATGTACCTGGCAGGTTTCTGTGAGGTGCCGCCGTTCAGGAGCTGCAGGGGGCGGAGCTTCGGCCATTCATCAGTCTCAGCGCCGGACACCGTGCTGCTGCTGCTGCTGCTGCATTCAAGGACGCTCAGGAACTGCTGGAGATCATCTCTAAGATAGTTTTTTAAACCATTATTTCCTGATCACTTTGTAATACACATATGACATCTCTCCACAGGCTTATCCTTTTTGCTGTGAGAAAAATAGACATCCATGGATGAGGTTTAGACATGATTTAAAGAGCATGACAAAAGTACTGGGGAGCTTTTAAAAAGTCAGGTATATCATATCTGCTTTATTGAGGTACTTTTGACATTTGCAGTTAATTTAGTGGTTATTTTAAGCATTTAAAATAAAAATAAAAACGGGTCGGTGCAGACCCTAACACGGGAGGAAGGTTAGAAGCGGAGATATGCAGCTACACACTCTTGTACAGTAGGTGGCGGTATGCACCTAAACGTTGTTTGCGATCCGTCAGTAAACGAAAGAAGAAGAAGAATCCAACAAAGAGACGCCGCTGACGTCACGGGTTGACGTCGTGTTGATTTTGAGCGGAGAAATAATATATTTATTAACTGACGTAAGGGCGCTAAATCTAAAATAAACCGTGAATAAAATGTGAAAATTCATAAATAATCTGATGAAGCAGCTGCACGCATGAAAGGTGCGATAATATTTGACCTTACACAATAAATCGTTCCGCAGCGTTAAATGTTAAATTGAGAGAAATAGTGGCTAACGCTGCCGCCGGGCGGGTTAGCCTTAGCACGGAGCTAATCTTTACACCTGATATGACTCTGCAAGTACATGTCTGTTAGAAACTGTGTTTTAGTGTTTTTATGTTGTTACACTTTGTGGTGCAGTAAGTTTAAGATTAAGACTTGAATGAATAAGTGTGATAATAGCAGCTGACTGGGTCAGTTAGCGCCACTTAGCTAGCGGAAGGTTACTGACTCAATAACGTCCAGCCTCTATGTTAGCCTGCTGTGTTAGCCTCCATGGGGACACTGACTGTGGGGTGTTTAACAACGAGACTGTCTCTGTCTTAGACTCATATTTGTTCGTGATTATTGCAGGATTATGGCGCCCCGCTTACAGCTGGAGAAAGCGGCTTGGCGTTGGGTGGAAACAGTGAAACCAGAAGAAATCAGACAGGAGCATATTGAGCTAGCATACAGAGTCCACCTTCCGGCCTGCAAGAGAGGAGCCTGCAGGTACAGTTTTCAGGACACCACACCTGGGTCTTTCTTTTTTTTCTCTTTCAAAGGTATTGACAGCAAATGTGGGTATGATCTTAGTCGTAGCAGGTAGCGTGTCTTGTGCTCAGCCATACAGAGAGACTTATGTGCTGTTTTATCTGCTGTTGTTCAGGTTGTGACAGTGTGCAGGACCACTCTGGAGGTTTTTTTGTTTAATCAATAAGGGTTTTGATAGACACTAAAACAGAAAGAGACTGACTCTTATGAAAAGGCTTGCGCAGTTTGCACATTAGAAATGTTACTGAGCTGCACCCACATGTAAAACGCAAATTTCTTGGTTGGATAACTCTGAATTAAAAGCTACTGAGAAAAATGTCATATTCTGATGTGCAGTCTTGCAGCTTTGCTCAGGTGCAGTTATTCAGTCAACTTCAGGTTAAACATGAATAACAAATAGAGCTGGAAAGTGACTCTTTTCTACTTAGGTTAAGCCACAGGTGTCAAACTCAAGGCCGGGGCCGTGGAACAATTATATCTGGCCCACAAGATCATATCATATTTGTATTATTATTGGCCCACCAGTATGAAGTCTGCAGATTTCCTCCAGTATAATAATGCTATTTCTTTTTGCTTGAGTTGACTGGTAGTTTTACTTCTACCTTAATAACAAGTAATTTAAGTATCTGTACTATTTCTTGAGTGTATTTTAGTTCCTTTTTCACCACTGATAAAAGCACTAAAAGAAATTTTATACATGGAAAAAGTTCCTGTGCAGCTCTATCAAGGTGGGGATATTCAGTTAACTTCATGCTCGATATGTATCTTATGAGCAGTTAATAAGCAGAAGTCACTGGCATTACATCTACAAACCCCAAGTTCATAAAGAATGGGATGTTGAGTTTAATGTTTATCAAAACAGATCTGGTGGCTTGTGAGTAATTTTAATCCTTTTTCAAATGAAAGCACTGCAAAGACAACTAACAACACTAGTTATTGGAAAAAAAAATACTAAGTACAAAAAGTTCTTGAAATCCTCAAACCAACGACTGTGCTTTGCTTTTGCAGAAGAAACTGCAAAGGGAATCCCAATTGTCTTGTGGGTATTGGTGAGCAGGCATGGCTTGGGGAGATTGATGAAAATGCTTTCCACAACATCGATGACCCAAACTCAGAGCGCCGGGACAAGGTTTGTCAAATATGTTTGTCTACCTTTTTCTCTGAAGTTCAAACATCTGTTGAAAAATGATCACTTGACCAGAAATGGGGAATAATCTCAATGTCTTTGTGCCTCGGCTCTTTTCCAGAACACATTTGTTGGTCTGACCAACTTAGGTGCGACATGTTATGTCAACACATTTCTGCAAGTGTGGTTCCACAACCTGGAGCTGCGGAGGAGCCTCTATCAGTGCCACAATTCCCGAGCCCAGGAACACAATTCTGAATCTGGTATGAAAAACATCTCAAAATATAGAGTGCCCTGATTTATTTTTCAATCCCTGGTTGGAGTAAGTGTCCTTTAGAAGTATTTGCACTGTTATACATGCATTTACCACCAGCTACAGTTATTATCTAGGGCTGCAGCTATCGAATAATTTAGTAATCGAGTATTCTACAGAATATTCCATCGAGTAATTGGATAAAACATAATTTTTCTTAGTTTAACTTTCTGTAAGGAACTTTCAACTAGATTTAACAAAAAATCTCTTGTTTCTACTGATGTCTCCCTGTTTTAGGGATGATGCTTGTAAGCCCAGGTTTAACAGAATAAAATTCCTAAGCAAAGAGATTTTTGCTCATGTCACTTAATATCAGTTCATTTTAATTTGAACCACATTGCAAAATAAAGAGGTAATTTGGTTGACTGTGCCTTTGCTCTAAAATATTGTTCTCCAATCTCAGTTAAAACAAGCAGTTGCAGACAGACAGGTAAACCAAGTAGTAAGTAATTTTAGGCATCACTCGATGTTCCCAAACATCATTAATTTTTCAGTGCATAAAGATGAGCCGTTTAAACCTATCCCAAAATAAGATCACACAATTGTTGTTGTTAAGACTTGACAGGAGTGAAGACTTGAGCTTTCATTACTCTACCGACTTCTAACTTTATTATTCTTTAGGGCTTTGTTTTTTATCTTTAAGAAAGTATTTCTCCCTCTCTAATGAAGTTTGTGTCTGTTTCAGATTACGAGCCTCAGTCCATCTGTGAGCATTTGCAGTATCTGTTTGCACTCCTGCAGAACAGCAACAGAAAGTACATCGACCCTTCAGGGCTGGTCAAAGCGCTGGGCCTGGACACAGGACAGCAGCAGGTGAAACACAATATGAAGCCTTGAAAATATCAGTTCCCTAACAGTGCCTTTTTTTTTTTTTTGAAGTGGTCAAAATGACACCAAAAGTGAGGTTTTCAAATGAAACTGTCACCTACTGCAAGTGACTATTTGACTGTTTGTATTTCAGATAGCACAACAGCAACAACACTGAGTCAGCATCATTTTTGTGGTCCGTTTATTTTCATTACAGTTCAATGAATTCTAACATTTTGTTTTCAGGATGCCCAAGAGTTTTCAAAGCTTTTCATGTCTCTACTGGAGGACACGCTGTGTCAGCAGAAGAGCTCCAGTCTGCAGAATGTCATCCAGCAGCAGTTCTGTGGACAGTTCTCCTACGTCACTGTGTAAGTCCAGGCAGCCCTGCTGAAACCTCATCAAAGTTGAACCTTTCAGTCCCTCTCAAACAGATTGCTCATCAGTCAGATGGCTGTTCTAGCACACAGTCACATTGGGGGGGATAGGTACATTATTTCCTGGTTTAGCTCTTGGCATCTCAAGGTTTACATAAGTTCTTCATCGTCCTTGGAGTGACGGCCCAGGTTTGTACACTTTTCTTACCTGTGAGCAAAAAGAATCATTTCCTTTCTGCTGATCAGTTTTGGACCAAATTATTGATTGTACAGTTAAATTCTGCGTAATAATACAAGTGATATAAGCTACATCAGCATCCCTCCCATTTTGTTTTGGCCTTTCTATCCTCCTTTGACAATGGGAAGTCCCTCTTTTACATTCACGTCCAGCTGCTGCTGTAACAAAGCTCCTCTTTTCCTTTCCTGCTGTGTCTTTACCTTGAACCCTGCAACACTGTCCCATTGCTGTTCTAGTTCATATTGGTGCTTGTTCAAATCCTACTTGGATGTAAACAAGCACAGATGACATCTCAGATCACAGCACAGGTTTTCAGTGTTTTAATTTTAGGAAACAAAGATAAAGTTGAATGTTGGCTGCATCTGGTTGAACTGGCATGTAATCACTTTACTTAAAGGGATATTTTGGCGTAAAATTAAGTTGGGGTCAAACACACCATAACACTGAGTTAGACACCCCCTCCAGAGATGAATGTTGCCGACTGCCTGCTTCTCTAGTTACACCAACCGGTGTGACGGTGTCAACCTGCAAGCTGGACCAATTTGTGGTGCTGGCTTTGCTAATCTGAGGCACACCGACTGTGGAAACTTATTTGACATGATTAGCTTCCAGACTCTGTGGTCCTGTGTTTGGGCGGTGTTGTGTTGTTTTGTGCTTGTTTTTGAATCCTAGACCAAAACTTTTAAGAGCATTGAAATTTCAGTTCAAACTGTTGGATAATTAGTTGCTTCAGAACATCACGACCCTCACATGTGTGAACTCAGAAGCATGTACACAGAGCACTGTTGCACCCTTCACAGTAGGGATGGGCGATATAGGCAAAAAAATTTATCACAATAAGGTTTGCCATTCTGGCAATAATGATAAAAGTCCCAATGTCAAATATTATAATTCCAGTCTTTATTTTTGACTCATTTTGTCTTGAGTACACCAGTTGGAATAGTCAAATAAGATACTTCATCACAAGTTTGAGTGGTAGGTTATGGAGAAAACTAGTGATATCAGACAAGTCTCAAATGTGAAAACATTTTCAACATTTATTGAAAACTCTTATTGCACAGAGTGAACAGCAGCAGATCCTCCGTCCAATGTCAGGCATACCTGATTTCACTCATCTTAACCCCAATCTTGAATCCCTCATGTTGAGCCTTGTTCAGTAACGAGCTGCTCAGAAACATCTTCTTCATTACCTTCAGCCATGTTTGTTTGTTATTCTGATCTGTGTGGGCGGTGGCTGCGAGTCCATCGCTTGTTCTTACGTCATCATTTTGTATTTATCACAAGATGGCGAATATTTATCATGGAGGATTTTTCTGACGATATATCGTGAATGATAATTTATCGCCCATCCCTACATCACAGTCATCTTTTACATGAACAAAAATGATTTATTTTTTTTCTGTCACTACCTTTGGTGTTTGTTCAGCAGAAGAAAGACATCTTAACACCATAACATTGTAGATGAAGTGTAACAGAGGCATAACAGCCCCACCTGGTGATGTAGAAAGGCATCTTATTGTAGTACTTCAGACTCTTGGTAAAAAGCTGTCAGGTACTGAAGGCCAAGTTTTGTACATGAAAAAAAGTGCATAGAAAATACTTTTTTTTGTCAAGGGCAAAACTTTGAAAGTGTAGAAGAATTTGTACAAATACATGATTGGCAATTTGTAACAAAGACTTTCTTGTCTTTCTGATTTCATCCCTTACAGTTTTGTCTAAATGATGTCTAGGACACTGATGATTTATGGGACAACAGGCTGGCTTTGTGTAAAAACTTTCCTCTTTTCAACCCCATGATGTCTTGGCAACTTTACAGAAATACAGAGTTCAGGTGAAGGTGAGGTGTCAGGTGTTGACGCACAACCAGGACCAGTAAATCAGTCTGTCTTTCAGTTTTAGACAGAAAATAAGTCACTGATTTGCTGGGAAAGAGCTTTAACTTTTGGACGTGTTCCGAGTTTCTATTTTAGCGATCAGATTTCTGAAGTCCAATAAGATGAATTATAGAAGAAGGTAAAGGGAAGTTGTCTTGTTGCTCAAAGAGATACGCTATATTTGTCCTCTTGGGGACATGTTTGAAAACGCCTCGCCGTCTGGTAAAAAAAAAAATCTGATGTGGTGCCAGTCAGGGGTTAGTTGAGGGTTTACAGCCTCTCACTTATATTTTTCTTGGAGCAGTTGGCCTTTTTGGTGTCAAGTTAATAGTGTGAGAAAGATCTCTGGTATTTTAACGAGGCTTGATCCAGGGAAAGCAAAGGTTACTGCGTCTCTTTATTGGAGTTTTCACTTTGACCCAGACTACAGTTCAGACAACTGTCATAACAAACACAATTCTGATATGTTTATTGTTATTTTGCAATGTTTTTAGAGAGATACCAGATTTAGTTTCATCAAACTGCATCATAAAGAAGAAAGCTTTATCAGAATATCTGTTTTGGGCGTCATTTAAATCAGTTCTTGTTATTTTTCTTTCCAGCTGTAACCAGTGTGGGCGATCGTCAGCACTGCTGTCCCGATTCTATGAGCTGGAGCTGAACATCCAGGGCCACAAGAACCTCAACGAGTGTGTCACAGAGTTTCTAAAGGTACCTTTCACATTGAAACACATCATCCCGACCTCTAACAAACACAAAACCCTGTGCTCGTCCATAGAAGCAACTAGCACAAGTCCCACAGTGAGTGAATCTCCCCTGTGTTGATTCAGGGTGGCTCAGTACCAAAGTGTGCTGTATTGTTGCACAGGTCTGTTTATCTTTAAACAGGTCAATGTTGATGTTATAAATAAATATATATAATAAATATAAATAAATATATATCTTGAAAACACATCATGAAGCGAATTTGTTGAAGTGTGTTTTTTTACAACAGTTGCCTTTTCTTTTCCATCACTCAGGACGAGAAGCTGGACGGGGAGAACCGCTACTTCTGTGAGAGCTGTCAGAGTAAACAGAGCGCCACCCGCAGGATCAAACTGCACAGTCTGCCTCCAACACTCAACCTGCAGCTCATGCGCTTTGTCTTCGACAGGTGAGCGTTCACTGTGTAAAAAGTACAAAATAGACTCTAAAGGTCCTTACACACCAGGCGCGAATTCGCCAGATGAATTATTCGCCTTTATTCGCCTTTTTTTAAAACAGCATAAAGTCATTGCAGGCTTCCACACCGGCGGCGAAAAGCATCTTTTATTTTTTCGCTCTTGTGTGGAATTTTTCGGAGATTCGCAGGCGAATATCTGGACCTGCTAGACCTCTGGCCAATCACAAGTCATGTTGTTGATGAAGTCACAGACCCATGCAGCTGCAGTTCACACGACACACACCACCACTGGGAGATGGGAGAGAGGCTGGTAATTGCAGTACAGGACCACCCCGTGTTGTGGGACAAGTACAAAGTTTTTTTGCCAAAAGCATCACAACGAGCTCATCATCGCTTGAGGATGTTGTTGACTCCATTTCTTTGTTCTCCTCTCCTCCGTTGTGTGAAAGAACTCGCGCCAAAGACAATATATATTTATTAATTTTCTTTGCAAAATTTATACGCATATTCGCTTCGCGCCTGGTTTGTATAGGCGAAAGCGATTTTTTGGACCGGCGAATATTTTTCGCTTCGCTCCGCAAATTCGCTGGTGTGTAAGGACCTTAATACCTTGGAACTGAAATGGGCTTTCCCCTTTGACAGCTGTTTAAAGTATCTCACACTGCAAAACCCATTAAAAACAGCATTTTATTGACTTTAGATCAAGTACCTTATTAATCAGGGTTCACAAAGAATTGCTCTCCTCTGCAGACAAACAGGCCACAAGAAGAAGCTCAACACCTTTATCAGTTTTCCTGAGCAGCTGGACATGGGGCCCTTCATGGAAGGAAAACAAGGTAACTCTTTGAATCTCAGTGATACAACCAAAGACACCCTGATAAATCACTTAATGACCATCAGCTTGTTTATGTATTTTTCGAGAAACGTCATATTGCAAATGAACAACAGATTTTTATAGTTTCCTCTCATAACGTTAAAGTCAAGGACAAAATCTTTTAAAATTTGGGAGTAAGAGGGAAGTTTTGAGCAGTTTTCAGTAAGGTAGAAAAAATCAGACAAGAGGTGAGTCTTCTGTCAGAACAGGTGAACAGGTTGCTCAAAGCAGCAGACATTGAACCATTTGTCTTTGTTTTTTTTTTCCAGACCAGAAGTTTGTCTACGAGCTGAGTGCAGTGCTGATCCACCGGGGCATCAGTGCTTACTCGGGCCACTACATCGCACATGTGAAGGACGCACGCACAGGTGATTGGTACAAGTTCAATGACGAGGAAATTGAGAAGATGGAGGGCAAGAAGCTGCAGCTCGGCATCGAGGAGGACATCGGTGAGTAGGGCCAGTGGACATTGGACAGTACCGACGCATGAATAATTTTGGAAGTGTTATTGTTACACAGAGTTGTTTTTGAGTGGGATAATAGTGTTAACTGTTAAAAAAAACACATTACTGTGAATGAAATCAAGCGTTTATTCATCCAAACCTTCTGAGGTTCTCATACATGAATGTTTCGAGTTCACTGCTCTTTACTGTGCCTTTTGTATGCTCTGATTATTGCCGAGACAGTCAAAACTCAAGCTCGGAAGCCAAAGTGCAGTAAAGGCTACCACTGCTCCAGAAATGCCTATATGCTGGTTTATAAAGTCCAAGAGGAGGAGAGCTCAGATCCCCCGATGACTAATGTTGAAGTTCCAGGTGAGAACCACAGTTTTAACCCATTGTTCATTTTCCACGGGTGTGTGCATCGTGTCATTCTTCCCCTAATGTAAACAGATGATAAATCCACAGGTTTTCAATTCCTCTCTCTTCACTTGAATGAAGTTAGACCCATCATACAGCCTTCAGTTTAGGTTATGTTGCCTTGTCTACTGGTTCACTTTACCTCTGTCCTTCCTCGCAGCCTTCCTTCAGAGGTTGGTGGACCAAGACAACCATAAATTTGAGGAGTGGTGCAGTGAGATGGCTGACATGAGAAAACAGAGCGTGGACAAGGGCAAAGCCAAACATGAGGAGGTGAAGGAGCTCTATGAGCTTTTACCTGCAAGAGAAGGTTTGTAAACACACCCCCTAATCACCACAACCCAATTACAAACAAAGAAAATTTAGATTATGTTTCAGATTATGGATTATATTTGTTTACTTGAGGTTTATGAGGTTTATATATTTTGTTTTCATAGAACAAGTCGGTCTTTTCTTAATCTCAGTCAAAGGCTCTGATTATCTCTGATGATTTGTTTACTCTACCTTTGTTCTTTTAGGTGAGCCTTATGAGTTCGTCCCCCTTGACTGGTTGAAGAGGTGGCTGGACGACTCCACTGCCACAAAAGAAATCGACAACACCCTCTTCTTGTGTTCTCACGGCAAGCTGCACCCAGACAAGGTGGGAGACTCCAAGAGGGTTTCCCTCAAAGCTGCTCAGCTCCTCTACGGGCGCTACGGTGGAGGGCCAAGACTGGACGGTGAGTCATACAAAGACTAAGACCTCTTCTAAGGTCATTCTGCAAATATCAAATAGTTCAACCATCCTGGATTTTGATGGCTACACATATTCTGGACTGAAATGCAACAAGAAGTAAAAAAAGTGGTGGAAAAGACTTGTAATCTGACCAAATGTCACTTTTGTGTGTTTGTTCAGACTCGTCTCTGTGCACAGAGTGTGTTAGCCAGCGGTGCAGAGAGCTACGGCTGAAGAACCAGCTCAACGAAGACTTCAAGGAAGTCTCTAATCTGGTCAAACGAACACTTAGGTAAACAGATTCAGGTTTACGCTTGGGGATAACACCATGTTTAGACATATTTCTGTTTCAAACTCAAGATACGATGCCAAGGTCAAAGCCAAGAACAGTCATTTGACTCTCATTACCACAACTGAACAGCCAACTGAATATTGTGTTGGATAAAAAGAGGTTAGTACAGGAGTTGGTTCTTACTCTCTTTGTTGTGTGCTTTTTTCATGTGTTCATCAAAGTGATGAGGGGTACTGGGTGGGTAAAGCGTCTCTGCGCAGCTGGAGGCAGTTGGCTTTGGATCAGCTGGAGGAGGACGACGAGGAAACCAAACACAGTAACGGACAGACAAACGGACAGGGACTACTCACCAACAGCAGTAAAGGTAGGAGGGATGGATGTGTCATTTTCTCCTCTGTCTGTGAAGGTGGTCTTTTATAGTTTGAATACAGCTGATTATATAATCAGAGTTGAAGTTTGGCTGTTTCCTCTCAATCTCACGAAATCAAATGAAAAATGTGTCCTGGTCCTTTTTTTCCTACCGGAGTATTTGGCTGATGATATTTTTATCTGCCGCATGTGAAACCGTCCAAAATCCAGCAGGTACCAGCAAACAAAAACTCTTCATCACACACACAGCAGGTGGAACCCAAAATGTACAAATCCAACAGAGCAGGCGTATTTTAATTTAATAACAGTGAGTATTATCTGTGTCATGGCTCTGTGGTTGGATTCAAGCTGGACTCAGTGGAGGATGTGGTGGATAGATCTACACTGAGGAACTACACTTTACAACACTTTGATGGGCCAAAGGGCCGATGGTGGTGGGCGGCTCCTCTCTCTAGACTTTATAACTCTTGTGTAAATAGATGACTTTAGAGACATGACAAATGAGACGACAGACAATTGAATTTCCCTCCGAGGATCAATCAATTTCTTCTTATTCTTAATATCAGCCCTCCTTTCAGCACAATACATCAATTTTATTTCTACCATTTAAGACACCTCAGATCTTCTGATGGATCTACAGCCAAGAGGGCTCATCTTCTGGGCCTCTAATAGTTGCTTCTGCTCCATTGACGTTTATTAAACACTTTTTTATTGAAAACTGTTTGATTGTAGAGTTCAGCCAAGAGCTCTCAGAGGGAAACGAGGAAGAAATGAAGACTTTCAATGAAGACATCGTCTGCAGTCACGGTACTGTCTTCTATATTAACCTCAGCTGCTTTGAACAGAAACCCTGATCAGTTTTCAACTTTTTTTTTATTACCAACTTACTCAATGTTTAATCTTTTTTTGCTGTGCTGTATTTTGGCTCACAATTGTGTTTATCCTCCAGGTGGTCTGAGTATTCTGGAGACTGAGCGTAAGCTGGTGTCATCTGAAGTGTGGACTAAACTGAGGGAATACTTCCCCAAAGCTCCTGAATTCACCAAGGACCAGGAGTCCTGCCAGCAGTGCTTGGTGAGTCTCTGTGAAGTGTGCCGTTGACACGTCTGCATCATCTCTAGAAGCATTTCAGCAATGAGACAACTTTTGCTGACTGTGTGTGTTGTCTCCTTTAATATTTTACCACTCTCATGGAAACCTGAAAATCAACCCACGCGAACAACATTCATCAGTTGGTCTATATATGAAAAATAAGCAAACTTTTCAGGTTGGGGTTTGAATCAAGCTTGATTTATCTGTTCCAGACGTTAGAGCAGGAGGAAAAGGACAACGAGGCGGTCAGTAAGATGATGGCCCTGGACCAGAAGAACCAACTGCTCAACCTCTTTCATGAGAAGAACCGGCCAGTACTCACCCAGTGGCCTCAGGTAGAAACCAAGCAGTCTGAGTCATCTTCCTTTTTCACATTTCAAATGCAAATATTGAAAGGCCCAAAATGAACAGTGTTTTGGTTGATATGTTGTCAACGTTAAAGGAAAAGTTACTTGGGAAACATTGAAAAATAAAGCAAATTCAGGTTAGAGGCCCTGTGAGGAGTTATTGACTGAGCTAGCCTCACTTTAAAACTGATTTATCAGTAAGAGACACTAAAACCACACAGTAGATATTAAAGTACAATAGAAATGATTGTAAACAGTTAAATCTCTAATGTTTTTCTCCTTCAGGGCACAGATGTACTTTACATTGTTCCTCTTTTCTTCGTGGACGAGTGGAGGAAGTTCATTAGGTATGTTTGCTTCAAAACTAATAAATGTACTTATCTTTATATAATCGGGTTTGTTGAACAGGCTAAACCTACCTTTGCATGAATTACCAGATATGAGTGTTTATCTCTGAATTAGCATGCACCTCGTTAAGGTGAAAATAACCATCAGTAAAATTTCAGAATCAAAGTGCAGAAGTTACAATGAAATGCACTCGGGTTGAAAAGGAGACAGATTAAAAAAAAAAAAAAAGATTGCACTATGAAATAAGTCATTGTTGTTCCGTCTTTGTGTTTTGCAGGAGACCGACCAAATGCTCCCCAGTGTCTAATGTAGGAAACACTTTGCTGCTCTGTCCCCACGGAGGCTTCATGTTCACCTACGACTCTCTTATCAATGGAGATGCACAACAGTGAGTTCTGTTTAGTTTAGTTTGAGTGGTGGCAACAGTTTTTATTTTATCCACAAAAATGCTCTGATGTTTTTCAGATCAGCTGTGTTTGTATTTCAGTGACATGTATAAATAACCTACCAACACTTGTGTACTTAATCCTAAACCCAATGAGGCAGCATGTCTCCTAATTGTTTTGTTTTTCTTGTTTGATACTCATTAGATATGTCCAAACAGACTAATGCAGCTACTGTGTAATCGACAAATGCATTCACATAACACAAATCTGGATCCTATCAGATTTTCAGCTTTTGACTTTAATCACAGAAAGCATGAATAAAATCAGCAAATAAAGGTGTTTAGGTGACTCTGCTTTAGTCTCATGTTGTGCTGTTTATCCTGCACAGTATAGCTCTGCTTTGGCCCGGTGAGTGGGAAGTGATTAGCAGGCTCTTCATCGTGGACCAGCCCATCTCCATCCACTGTTACAGCCAGACCACACCCAGCGGCCCCACCACTCAGTACACAACTCAGCCTGGTGAGTAAGCAAAGTTTGTGTCCGTCAAACCTTAAATGTGCCATGTTTAATTTAAACAAAAGTTATAAAACCTTTTCAACCTTTTTTTGGAACATTTTTGCGATTCAGTGCCCCGGCATTTCTTCTGAGCTTCTTGGTTGTTTCGATAGTTCTGATGTTGATTGAGTTTCATGTCTGTGTGCTCAGATCTGTGTTGGGAGTGCAGAGAGAGCTTCCTTTTCCAGCAGCAGAGAGACCTCAGAGAGTACACCCAGGCAACTATCTACATTCGCAAAGTCATTGAAGACAAGAGGGTATGAAAAACTGGACTTTGTAGGTCAGAAAAATATATTTATACACATAGCAGAGCATGAAATAGGAAATTCTGGTTTGTCATTGTAAACATAGAGTCTTCTTTATGCTGTCCTGTAAACAGATAATAAAGGAGGCAGGTGCAGAGCTAAACGCCAGCAGCTCTGAGGCTGAGGAAGAGAGGGACGGAGATCTGAAGATGGACGGAGAGAGAGACCCTGACTTCAGCCAGGTGAGTCCAGAGAAACTCCTGAATACTTAACTCTGTACAGACTGCAGGATCAGTCCTTTGTGTCACTATCTGGGATGTTTGTAGAAAATCAACTATTTCTTTTTTTCTGGCATTTCATCTGTATTAGCTGCTCCCGGGTATAAATTTCAGCCTAGTAAGGGACAATGAAAACAATGTGACTTACTGCTTGAAATATGTAATAATAGTCAAATTAATTTCTCTAGTCAGAGGATGGTTCAAAGCGACTCAAGCTGGGTGAGAGCAGTGCGGCGTCATCAACATCTGCTCCATCGACAAACGTGACCAAACAGGGAGGAATCAGGAGAAGCACTCGGCACAGGAAACTCAGAGGAGAGAAAGCTCTGATAGTTTCAGCCAATCAGACACTGAAAGAGCTGAAAATACAGGTGAGGAGGACTCCAGATGGTTGGATGATACGGGATTATATAATGAACATTAAGAATCATCGGTGTATGAAACAAAAAGTAAAGAGTAGGATACTGACATAAATAACATCCCCTGTCTTCCTCACCCTGCAGATTATGCACGCCTTCTCTGTGGCGCCGTTTGACCAGAATCTCTCTATCGATGGAAAAAGTCTGACAGACGACTCGGCCACACTGGGCAGTCTGGGTGTCATACCTGAAAGTATCATCTGTCTAAAGGTAAGGGTGCTCAGATATTCTCAAAGAAATCTGATCCTCTTAACTCACTTCAAACCGTCTGAGCTGTAGAGGCAGAAAAACAAATACTCTCTTTCCTTCTAGGCTGATGAGCCGATTGCAGACTATGCTGCGATGGATGATGTCTATCAGGGTGAGTGGTTTTACCTCTGTCTCTACTTGAAATCTCTACTATAAATATAATGTTAATACAGTTTGTCTAATTGTGGGTCACTTCTGCCTCACAGTGAGAATGCCTGAAGAGGGGTTTAAAGGTGAGCATCCTTCGACTTCATTCATTCTGGAAAGGTTTTTAACTCTGTGACGCCCTTAACTTTTACATTAAAACTGAAAGAGTCTTTACAATGACGCTGGAATTGAATTTCCCCTCTGGGATAAATCAAGTTCTTCTTATCATATGGATTCACTGAAAATCATGTTATTGGGACTGTAGACTTGTGGAAACAGTCAGTTGGATTGTGCATCACCAAAACCGCAGCAGTACATGTGAACTCAGCTCAGCTCATCAGCCCATGGCGCCTGTGCAGCCAAAACAGCCGACCATTCAGTCCACTTTCTCTAGCGCAGCGCCTTACAACAAAATGTCAAAGAGACACAAAGACGTCACAGATGCAGTAGCTTATTGTATTGCAAAAGACATGCTACCATTAAACACTGTTTAATTTCATTTTTTATTTATTGTGATATATATCATATCGACTGATATGAAAAAAAAAATATTGTGATAAACTTTTTCCCATATCGCCCAGCCCTACGTCTTGATTGACAGTTAAATTTAGCTTGAATCATAAGACAGCTGAAGAGAGAGAAAGGAAATCTTGGAAATACAGCGAGCACCTGGTTGAGGCTCTGTGTCAAACCAGCGTCTGCCGAGGCGAGGACTCTAGCTTCTGTACATGGAGCACAAGCTTCAATTTGAATGTTTGTGGGGTTTTGTTTTGGGGATATGACACACAGAAAGTCGGGCTAATGGCTGATAGTTAATCATGTTTTGTAAATAAGCTCAGTGAGTTTCCTCCACTCCCCCATTTTAATTTTACAATGATGTTAATTCTGACTGTTTTTGGTCTAATTTGCTCTTTCTCCTTCTGCAGGAACGGGGCTTCTGGGGCACTGAGGAAACCTGTTTGTAGCAATGCTTGAATTTGACCGATGACGGATGGGAATTTTAAGAAAGCTTGAATTTGTCAAGTGTCCATATATAAATAAGTGCTTTAATTTTTTTATGTTTTAAGTAGGCTTTCTTTAATAAAACTGTGACTCTGTTGCAAAGCCGCTGTTTTCTCTCCGTAAGGTGAGCTGGCCTTTGATATTTAAACTTCCTAATCATTCTGAAGGACTGCGTGGTCGTTGTTCAGCCTGACTCACAGAAACGGGCGTTGGATCTGTTCATAACTGAGGATCGCCTTCAGTTGAGCTACTCGAGAAGTTCCGCTTTGTTTTTCACTCTTTTAAATTATGACAGGAGAAAAACTTCAGACACTGCTCTGTCTTTCCATCACGTGGAAGCTTTTGTCCTCTCTGCACAGATTTCAGGTTTCTCATAAGAATGCACGAGTAACTATATTACAGATATAACTGCTCTTCAATGTTAGAACATTTATTACCTCTACAGCAAGTCTATACCCATATACTCCCTGTGGCATTTAGAGATACATAGCTACACAGTATGTATACAGGCTGATTCCTGCAGGAGCCTCAACTGTGTAAACCTCGAGAGTCAGAAATGAGAAACAGTTCGCACACGTTGGTTTGTCCTGTTCTTTTCACTGTTATTTCTTATGGACAATAAAGTTATTTTCAAAGCAGTCTGAACTCTCATTCTCGTATTCATTGCATCGCCTTTACAGGGAAAAAACGCTATACGCACTATGAAGGATAAAGCTACTGCATACTGGCGCCTTTAATTTAAAATCACCTGCTGAAATAGAGACATGTCAACGTGATATTCCTGACACAACTCCCGTATTTTGTAACATTTCATTGGTCATTAAAACACGGATGAACCACTAGTGCAGTTGTATGTCACTGAACATTTTGTGATCACATCAAAAATATTTTAAAAGTTGGCAGAAAGTTGAAGACAACCTCATTTGTCCTCATGTGATGCTGCACATTGAATACCATACACTGATGCAGTAAATCAGTGGTTCTCAGCTGGTGGGTCCCGACCCAGAAGTGGGTCGCCGATGCGTTCTGGATGGGTCACAAACAGCTGGTCAAAAAATGTAAATATTTAATGTGATAATTATTAGATTTTGGATGGGAAAAAGCAATAGAAAATTGATGGATTTATTAGATATTCAAAATTTTCTTTACATGCAATTTCAGTAGTTGTCATGCTCATGTTGTCCCTTTCATGTGCTCTAAAATGTACTTTACTTGATAATACAAGTGGATTTATGTTAAAGATTAGAGTCTTTAAAGGTTTTTTTTACACATATAAAAAATAAATTAGCTTGGTTTGAATTTTATAAAAGTGGGTCCCGGCCTTGGTTCCGCCTCCCGCCTGTGTAAGGTTTTGAAGCTACAGGCTGTGTCCGGAATGGATCCCCAACCCCTATATAGGCGACTACGTGGGGGTTAGCGCCATTTTGAGGGGTGTCCGAAACCTCAGTGATCAATTCCAGTGCCCAATATAGGTGACTCAAAATTTCCCATAACGCATTGCAAAATGTAGTGACCATACGATGGTCACTCAAGGGTGGCGGGCATCCCGTCATGCATTGCGTCTTGCCATGTAGTGTCCGAAACCTCCGGCTATTGAGTTCACTACATAGTTAACAATATAGTAAAATCCCATTTGGGGGTTAGGGATTGAGTGATTCATTTCGGACACAGTTCTGTGTTTCTGGGATTTTAATTCATTTCCTGAAACCAGTGCTGCGCAGTAGCGTTTTGCGCTTTCGACGGGAGAGTCCCTGCGATGTCTATTCTATATACAGTCTATGGCGTCAATCCAGAAAAAAAGAGCATTTTGTACTCTTAAAATGTTCTCATAACTCTGACAAAATTATCTCATTAATTGAGAAAAACGGTCGATTATTTTCTCTTGCTGCCACCTGCAAGTATAATCCTGACCTGCGGGGGGCAGCGGTGTGCCGAGGACAGCGTGACCCGACAGCTCAAGAAACTACGACGACGAAGAAGAATAATCATCTAGCCGTCAATCTCCATTTTCAAAACGGCTAAGCTTTATTGCGCTCGACAGAGTTGTTCGACAGAGGAGTTTAAATAAAGAAACGGATCGTTTGAATAATACAAGGTAAACAGTCGTTGGCCGGAAGCTGCATGCTGCACAGCTGTTGTTGTCCTTAAAGCCTGACTTGTATTTCTACGGTTTTATATCGAGTTAAAATGACCAAACATTAGTTATCCTTGTCTAGGTCTAGGTTAGCATCAGTGGCTAATGCTAATACAGTTCTTGTGCTTGAGTGTGTGCAAACCGGGTTTATTTCATCTGTGAATATCAGTGAGTTTGACTGAAACCAGAGCAGAGGGTTGATGCTTCACTTTTAAAAACACGGGCTCTCATGTTTTCAGACATGCCAGCCTGTCAGAGCCAAAGTCCAGTCCAGAAATGTGATCAGACCCCTCACTTTAAGATAAAGTTTGGTCTCTTCTGGTTTCCTCAAATAGTTCCTTCACCCTTTATTCATATTATTTATACAGGGCCCTGCTGTGATACATGATAACCTGCACAAAGTGACTGAAAGCTGTTTGCCCACTGCCTGATGATAGTTCATGTCAAAAGTAAGAGAAAGCTTTACTGTCAGAGATAAAGTCAAACGGTTGCTGGTTTGTAAAGAAACTGAGAAAACTGAAGTTATTTTCAGTTGTCAAAAAGTTCTCTGAAGAACTTAAAATAATAAACCAAACTGAGTTGAAGTGGAAATACAGAGTTTTTCTACAGCTATACAGAGAGCAAGTCGACCAGTGGGGTGAGGGGCAAACTAATCAATCACTGAGAAGTGTTATCAAACTGATACCAAGTAGGGGAGGGTGGGGTAAGTTGAGCCACCCCCTGTTGCTTGGAAATGGTAAAAGGTAAAATATTTAGGAGATGGGCATCAATTCATGGAGTCTGTGAAGGTAAGAAGCACATGAGTGAAGGGGTTAGACATTTATTTACAAACAAGTAGTAGTAGGGATATGGCTCAACTTACCCCCGCTCCTATGGTCAACTCAGCCCATACACGGGGTAATTTGATCATAGGAGACCACTTTTTTTGGCATGCTATATTATCAAGACAGTTATGTTTACACTCATTCTTTTGGTTTGCAGGGGTGCACAACATCTTGAAATATATGCAGATACACTAGTTAGAGACAAAAATATGATTGCCTTGATGTAGTGATCTGAAATATGAAAAATGGCTCATCTTACCCCACTCTCCCCTACTGATTTTAAGACGGCTTTATTGTCTTAAAAATTATGTATCTACACAGCTTTAAAAACACTCCTCCAGATTGGTTGGTTGTTGATGTTGTCATGACAACACTGTCTTAACTGTTAACAGCCCACTTGCAGGTAAGGTTAATATTGAACTGAACATTGAAGTTAAAATTTTTGTACATGTTGAAGTTTTACTATTGGCAGTTGAATTTTGTTGATGTGTCTTTCCACCTGTTTTTTGTGTATTTTCAAACCCATTACAGGTTTTTAAGCTGTTTTATCTTGTGAAAACCCCCTATGCTGTCTGTCCATGTAGATTCTCATTCATCCAGGTCATGGTTTTCATGAAATCTTCAAAATCCGGCAACTGGACCGTACAATTGCCGGATTTTGAAGATCCCAAGGCTGTCAAACTCCACACCTGCACTCTGGGAATATCTATCGTTCTGTCAGATAACTTTGTTGGAACCCTCTGGAACTTTGTGTAATGCTTAGCATGCTTAAGCAACACAGTCACATATTTAATCTACTAAAGTTAACTTTTAAGTCAATATAGTTTGTTTGTTTCTGGTTTTCTTACTCTAAAAAAATGTCCTGGTGTGTAAAGAAGTCATACTTTCTGTATTACGTCAGATTTTTTTTTTGTTATCTGGATTACGTTTGACATGATGTGTTTTGCTCCACACTAGAGGTAGCAGAACTTTCTGCCTGCCTGACCCCCTGTCAAAATGATGGAGTTGCCAAACTACAGTAGCCAGCTGATGCAGCAGCTGTGGGCTCTAAGGAAGGAAGGACACTTCTGTGACTGCACCATCCTGGTGGGAGACAGCCCTCATCGTGCACATAAACTGGTGCTGGCTGCCTCCAGCATGCTCTTCAGGTACTGTGAGAGTTAGACTGTTAGTGATATCATAAAGTTGAGCATAGACTGGAGCAATCCATCTGGGTGCTTGGCGCCAAGCCTGCAGCACTGGCCTATTTATCGTGAAAGTAGTACATCTAAAATGACACGCTGTAACTGGAAATTCCAGATGAAAGACAAAAGCACATTTATCCATTCAAAACCACTGTTCTTTTTTTTTAACCAATCTTGGCTCTTCAGGAATATATTAGCAGGCTGCAGCTGCTGCTGAAAACATTGGTGGTGTGGAGGTATTTTGTTTTTTTGAGGTCAGACATGAAGCAGAGTAATGTGCTCTGCAAATTATGTTGAGTACATAAAGTCCCCGCAAAGTCAAGGAATACCTCAAATCATCTTTTTTTTTGGTGAGTAGACAATCAGGTTTATTTTTTTATTTATTTATTTATTCTTTTTTAAATTTATTTAACAACAAAACAGAGTGACAACAACAACAGAAACAACAACAACAACAAAAATTAGATAAACAACAAAAATACTTTTGTGAGGGAGGGGAGGGGGAAATAATATATATAATAGAGAATAAAAAAATTAAATAGAAAATAATAAAAATCTTAATTGGATTACATTGAAATATATAATAATAATATATATACATATGTATATATATAAATATACACATACATACATACATACATACAGACATACATATACATATACATATATATACACACACACACACACACACACACACACACCTCAAATCTTTTCTGCCAGCAGTGCCACGCCGCAGAGCACGCGCGATGCAAAAGGTTACAAACCCTGAGTGGAGCAAGAAACTCATGGCACTGAAACAGCTGACCATTCAGTCCACTTTCTCTTGCGCAACACCTTACGACAAAATGTTGAAGAGACACAAAGACCTCAAAGATGCAGTAGCTTATTGTGCTGCGTATGACATGCTACCAATAAGCACTGTTAAATTTCAGTTTTATACTGTGATATATATTGATATCGACTGATATGAAAAAAAAAAATAGTGATAAACTTTTTCCCTTATCGCCCAGCCCTACACATCAGTATCACAGCTCTGTAAAACTCTTGTGGTTTAGAAAAGGATAGATGTTGTCTTTTGAGATCTCTGACTTGTAAAAAGTCTCATAGATGTTCCTTCTTCTCTTTCAGGTCTTTACTGGACAGCTCAGACACCATCTCCATTGACACAGCCATGGTTTCCTCTCAGGAGTTCAGCTGTCTGCTGGACATGATTTACACAGGAAAACTCCCGATAGGCAAACATAACGTCAGCCGCATCGTGGCCGCTGCAGACAGCCTGCAGATGTTTGATGTGGCCGTTGGCTTCAAAAACGTCCTCACCAGTTTAGTGAACCAGCAGCGATCAGTCCCTTCAGCACAGACTCCAAGTTTGACTGTGATTAACAAACTCAAGGGTGTGAATCCTGAAGGATCTGATGAAACCAACGAGAGTGACTCCACTTCAGAGAAGACTGAGCTGAAGACTGAAAGAAACTGTCAGGATGGTGAGGGGGACACAGCAGAGCCACCTTGTAAAAAACCCTCTTTGAAGCCCACAGAGTCGACAGGTCAGTTCTCAAGAGCATGAATTGAATTCTTTTGATGTTCATAAAGTCCAAATGTATTTAATACAACCCAAACTGTCTTTATGTCTGGGTTTTCACAGAGCCTGAAGAAACAGAATCATCAGAACAAATAACAGACCAAAATACGGCGACAGCAGTAGATGTCTCAAAAAAAGCTGAAACAGCTTTTCTGGGTCACATGGTGGAGCTTCTCACCAACTTGCCATCTGTGCTGGAGCTGTTGAGCCAAGCAGCACAGAGCAACCTGGAGGAGACGGAGAGCCAGGTAAAGAAACGTCTTTGCTTCAAGTTGCAAAGATGTATAAACTTGGCAACTTTGTGTATAACCGGGGGAGTTTTGTTCTGCACAACCTTGATGACTTGAAGTTGACTGTGTTAAGACATGGAAGCTACAGCTACAACTCCTTTTGTTGTCTAAAAGTGAAACCACACACTTGCGCATTTGGAGTCTGAGTCTTAGTTCACTTTAAAATAAAAGTGGCCAGTAAGAGTTTGAGAGTATCTTCCTGCAGACAGGATTTTTGTACGTACAGACCCCATTGTCGCTGTAATCACTGAAAATATGGGTTTGTTTCTGCTCCTGCCAGGTTGTGTGTGAGTGCTGTAAAGAGGCGGAGCCGGCCTTAGCGTTGGAAAAGCTGATGAGCAGAGTGACAGAGGGACAGCTCAGTGAGAGGTCTCTGATCAGACTGCTTCGCTCCGTGCAGCAGAAAGCAGCTTCTTTCCCCACGGAGCTGCTGTCTCTGCTGGAGCAGGCAGAAAGGACCACAGGTGATGGGGAAGGAAACCAAAGTGAAGGTAAGAAAAGTGAAGATGTTTTCTTTCTCGTGTTGTAGATGTGGACTGCTTTTCAATTGAGCTCCATTTATTCATTATTTATCAAACCATTTAAATCTCACTAAGTAAACTGTATTATATAAAACACTTTTCACAGACAGCAGTCACAAATGCAGTGACAGAGTTTTATTGTCTTTTTTTAGTCATTTTTTATAAACAAATTAAAAGAAAGAAAAAAAAATCCAGTGAAAAACAATAGCAACACCATTACCAGCCAAGTATAGGGTTAATTATTTCATTTTAGTGTCTTTTTATGCTTTATTTCTTTTTTGCCTCCTCATTTGCTTTGTATTTTTTGACTACTGTTGAAGACTCGTCTGTTAACTTTAATTCTGTTTACTTCTGTTTTTCGGTTTGACTTTTGGCTCAGTGCTTTTTTTTTCTGCATTTGTTGAACTGTCTAGACTTCTCTCACTCTGGCTTTTTCGGTTAAATGTTTATTTAGTCATCCTTGGAAATTCCCCTTGTGGGACTAATAAGTAAGGAGTATCTTATCTTATCTCCTTAGCTGCTGAAATATTTCTTTGGTTGGTCTCTACACTACAGTCCACTGCGATCTGTTAAAAGCTGCTCTTTGGGAAAAAGATTTCTCTTTAACCCTCACAAAAGAAAAAACAATAAATACCTTCATGAGTCTGGACGGACACTTAACTGTCTGGCCTTTCTCTTGTCTCACACAGGGGACTCAAAGAACCAGAACGGCACTAAGACTGGAGAGCAGGAGGAAGAGGAAGAAGACAACCCTAAAGAAGAGACAGAGGAAGAAGAGAGTACCACAAATACTCAGGCGGACTCTCCCTCAACGTCTCCCTCTCCCTCCAAACCTTACCCCTGCCGCTGGTGTAAGAAGGGGTTTGCCTACAAGTGTCGGATGCTGGCCCACGTGAAGCGCTGCCCTCTGTCCAAAGAGTGTGAGCAGCAGTGTCCACATTGCCCTAAGAAGCTGCCCAATCAGCGCGCCCTGCAGCGCCACCAAGCTGAGGCTCACCGCAAGAACACAAAAACGAAGAAGAAGGTGGCCTGTGAGCTCTGTGGGCGAACCTTCGCACACCCATCAGGTGAGATTTATGGATGAAGCAGTGAGTTAAAGCGAGCCTGATGTTTATCAGTGAAGACAAATGAACATAAGGCGTCTGTGCTGTCAACGGTTCATTTACTATCATGCTGAGTTGTACATCCCAGCATGGAGAGATAAGGGTTAGTCATGTTTCTGCTCTCACCTCTCGTATCTCAGGACTGATCTACCACAAACGCACCGAGCACTTTGACGAGAAACCGTTCGCTTGTGAGAACTGCGGCGCAAAGTTTGGCGCCAACTCGTCTCTGAAGAATCACATGAGGTTGCATACAGGGGAGAAACCGTATCAATGCAAACACTGTGACACCAGCTTCAGTGTGGCTGCTGCACTCGCTTACCACACAAAGAAGAAACACTCTGAGGGTAAAATACACACACACAAACACACACACAAATGCATTATTTAAGTTCAGCTGAAGGCCGGTATAATGGTGCGTTCCAGTTGTACTCAGAAGTCGGGATTTTTGAGCTCCGAGTCTGTACTTTGAATTAGATTGAACCTTGAGGTTAAATTTCCGACTCAGAAAGTTGGACAATCCACACAACCCCCGAGTTGACATCAAAAATGTGGCGGCGCAGGTTGTAAAAAGTAAGTAGAAGCTCCTGTAATGGAAACAATAAGCTACCATCTGCGCCTTTGTGTTTCTTCTTTATCCACCACGTTTGCAGGTCGCAGAAAGACTGCATATTTGTCCAGAAGTTGTTTATATTCGGACAAGGCAAGCGCAAGATTAACTTTCATAGATGTAACCATCTTGTTTCCACTTCAGTTTTTGGCCGTTGGCTACTTTTTTCCGCGTTTGTAACTGAAACGCTGATAACTCGGGTGTGACGTCATTCCCAGCTCTGATTTCTGAGGTAAACAGATCGCACCATACGACCTTTTCTTCTGACTTCAACTCACTCCTCCTCTCTTTTGTGCTTTACATCTTTTTTTAAAATATTTTTATCCAGGTAAGATGTACGTGTGTCAGTATTGTAAAGCCACCTTTGCCCAGTCCATTGAGCTGACACGTCACGTGCGAACACACACCGGAGATCGACCTTACGTTTGCAGAGAGTGTGGCAAAGGTTACAGCCAGGCCAGTGGACTCACTGTTCATCTGCAGACCTTTCACAGTGAGTTCAATAGATTATTTACCTTTGTTCAGATCAAAAGATCAAACTGTTGATAGAAATGAATGCCAACTTGAAGTTTACAGCCCCTAGACTGCAGTGGAGGAGGAAAGGCAAGCTAGAGTGAAGCACATAGCTGCTGAAAAGCAAAAAAAAATCAAACTATTGGTACAGACACATTTACATCAGTATTTTACAATGAATAAATGCATTGTTAATGTTTCCTAATAGATGCCAATCTGCGTTTTTTAAAAGACTGAAAAAATGAGGAGAACTAGAAAAAAACTATAATGTCAACAAGTTAAGAAATGTAAAATCAAGCCGTGCTAAAGTTAACAGTTTGTATGACCTCCAGGACCTGCTGTATCAGACAGAGAGTGTTGGAAAAACACAGATTTCTTATGTGACACTGTCGATGATAATTTGTGGTTTTATACGTTTGGAGAAGATGAGTCATAAAATATGTGTTAGAGCTTGAAGAGATTATTTTCTTTCTAAGTTTGTCTGATTTCTTCATGGTTCCACTTCTTTTGTGTCAAACTTGCTGGATGATTAAATTTGCATTAAAAGCTTAATTATTTATTAATCAACATGGAAAAACTATGATAACCATGGTTACTGTTTCCAGCTGTTTGTAAATATCGCGGTGACACCTGTACGTCTGTGATTTCTCTCTCTGTCTGTGTCAGATATGTCGGAGCCTCATGACTGTCAGAAGTGCTGTCTCAGCTTCTCCTCTCTGGATGAGCATCGCCAGCACATCCAAGATTTCCACCCAAAGGAGTACCACAAATGTCCCACCTGTAGTAAGGTGTTCACCAGCGCCGCCCTGCTGGACAAACACAAGGGCACGCACACAGGATCCAAGCCCTTCAGCTGTGACATCTGTAACAAGTCCTACCAGGTGAGACACAGAACTTCGCTGACTTGCTGACCTTCACAACAGAGCAGTGTGATTCATCGAAATGTTTTTTCTTTGTTTCTATAGCAACTATCAGGGCTGTGGTACCACAACAGGACCAACCATCCCGACGTGTTCGCCAGCCACACCCGGCAGCTGAAGGCCCTGGTCCAGTGTGACCTCTGCTTCAAGTTCTTTCCCAGTGCTGCCAGTTTGGCCAAACACCAAGCAACTGATCACCAAGGTGAGACCACACAGACAGGTTCACTCAGGCCTAAATCTGGCGGCGCTTTCTCCACCGCTCCAAGAATGACCCGATGTTTATTCGAGTTAGATTCTTCGCCTGGTTACATTTCCTCTTCGTCTCTGCCCTTTCTTCTGTCGGCTTGCGTTTTCTTTCCACTTTTTGCGGTGGGGCAAACACAAGTGTTTTTTATTTGAGGGGACGAGTCGGAACTAGAGGAGAGGGGTGTGTCGAAAACAGCGAGGTGATTGGATGGAGAGGCGGAGCAGGAGATTGACCAATAGGAGCTGTCCAGGACGGATGGTCAATGTTTTTGCACGGATTAACAGATTTTTTCCATTCTTCTTTCTCTTCACTCTGTGGAGATCGCAATAAAGGGCCATGATCGCCATATAAACAAGGTTCATAATAAAAAGTACCAATCTCTCCAATCGTCAACCACTCCTTTAAAAAAGCTACAATCGTGAAGTTGTCAGCTCAGTCCTGAAAAGGAGAAGAAAACATTGATTTTCAAAAGTTGGGCTTTTTCTTTTAATTTGAAAGGACAGGATACTGGGGCAAAATGGGAAAGGGGGAAAGAAATGGAACAGATATGCTTGAAAGCAACAGCAGGCTGGAATTCAACCCAGACTGTCCATGTGAGGATCACAATTTCCATATATGGGACTTGTACAGACCAGCAAACCAGCAGCTCCTGACAGAAACAACTTTAAAAATGTTTGCTTGATGAATGGAGGTTGGATCCATCATTTTTAAAAACCTTTTGCCTGCATACCTCAAAACCTGCTGAAACGTCAGTAAACAGACTAAAGCAGACCTCTTCCTAACACCAAAGTCCAGGTCCTCCTCACAGATACTGAACTTTACGCTAAATCTGGAAATGAAGATTGCACACTGAGCAGATACTTCCCGGTGCTAAAGTGCCTTTTAAGACTAGAGGAAAAAAGTTCAACACTAAATCCAGTTGCGGCATATTGTTAACACTTAATTAGTTTCTCCATACTGTGCAACTAAAAGACATCAGAAGAGCTTTTTATGATGTTGATATTAAAAAAGAAGCAGATAGAAGTTTGAGTCAACACAAACTTTGTTGCCCACTCTTTTTTTATTAACTCACATTTGAGTTTTCTCTTGTTACCCTCCAGTTTTCAGAGAGACGTGGTGTTTAGATTCACAGCAGATCGTCTGTCTCAAACAATTCTGTCATCGGTAATGGATCAAAGTTGATTCGTGTTTCATGGTTTTCCTCATCTTCAGCTTTAATTATTGATTCTTGAGTAGTTTAGTCAGTGCTGGTCAAAATTGGTTAGAAAACAGATTTTAGGATCAAAGTGTTATGTCTGAGCTCTGCTTAAAAAGGCAGTTTCTGTTCACCCATTTCACACACCAAAGACTCAAAATTTCCTGCAAGTTCCACCAGTTCCCTTCACGTTTGCAACTCGAGTGAACACAATCTGATGAATAAATATCCCTGTTTGTCCTGACAGGCTCTGAGGCATCCACGCTGCGTTGTCCGTTCTGCCCGGCGGTGCTGGGTGGCGAGGAGGAGATGCAGGAGCACATCAGCAGCCAGCATAATAATCAGACTAGCGAGGTGTTTAACTGCCCCCTCTGCTCCCTGATCTGCTCCTCCCACACAGAGCTGCAGGAGCACCTGTTGTCCTGCCACATGGAGACCCAGGAGGAGCAGGGGGCCTCTGTCTCACACACAGTAAGAAGACACACAGAATACCTCATGTTTTTTACCTCTGCCTTTTTAATCCTCGATGCGTTTAGGGGAAAGACGGACTGATCAATTATTTGAGCCGATCAGACAGGCTAATTAAATAATGTTTTAGTCAGTTTTAAAAGAGGACTCTCTGTCTGACATCCTCAGACAGTGGAGCCTGAACAGCAGACGCTCAGTCACCTTTTGTAACTAGCTGAGATTTAGGAACCACAGTTGGGTTTCTTCTAGAAGATCTCAGGCTGCAGTCAGGCTCATAGGGAGTTAGCAGCTCACAGATATAAAGTGGAACTGTTTTAAGCCTGAAGAACTAGTGGTTTAAAATATCTACTCTACAAGTTAGAGAAGAGCTGGGAGGGCTGGTGTTATATGATCCCGTAAAAGCCTGGCTGCAGCATCTTGAATGAATTACAGTCTCTTTAGGGCCCGAGCGTAGCTGCTAAGCAGCTGCGAGAGCCCTCTTGTTCCTGCATGTTTCCTTCTTTTGTTATTAGGGCCCGAGCGTAGCTGCTAAGCAGCTGCGAGAGCCCTATTATTCCCCAAGGGGTTTTTCTTTGTTTCTTTAGGGCCCGAGCGTAGCTGCTAAGCAGCTGCGAGAGCCCTCTTGTTCCTGCATGTTTCCTTCTTTCGTTATTATTTTTCCTCCGCTTTAAACTGGAAAATGGCCCACTTCCCACTGGCGAAAACTCAGGAAATTTGGCAGGACGACCGGGCCTGGTGAAAAATTCGATATTCTGAAGTCGCCCAAACAATAAAATGCAAAATGGCTCCATAGCGCCCCCTAAGGTGAAAATTCACATGACGGCTGTACGCTTTGTCAAAATGACACAAAAATTGACACACACATGTATCTCAATAAGATCTACAAAAAAGTCAGTGCGGGCGTATCTGTCAAATGTACGGTTAATGGGTTATTTTGCATTTTTTGCAGATCTGCACACATTGGAATTTCGCTAACTCCTCCGAAGGCTTTCGTTCGACCGGCACCACATTTGCGCAGGCCAATCTACCCCCCATGGCCATTAAAAGTTGTACAAATCATGACGCTGCACCCCACGGTTTACGTTCTAGGGGGCGCCAAAGATAACCCAAAATCCACATTCTTAAAAGTCTTATAACTTTTTATTTTTGTCCTCAATGCCCTCCAAGTTTTCAAGGATGATGCAATGTCCAGCCATCAACACATTTGTGAAGGAATTTTTACTCCCCAAAAGAGCGCCCCCCATGGCAGGAGAAAAAAGTCAATTTTTTCTTGTCCCCTTACATGAAAATACACATTGTTGAGTGTCATGCCTGAACGCTTTGTCATATTGACACAAAAATTGACAATCACGTGTATCTCAATTAGATCTACGAAAAAGTCAAAAAGCGCGTATCTGTATAATGTACGGTTAAAGGGCTATTTCGCATTTTTTGCCGATTCGCACACATTGGAATGTGGCTATCTCCTCCTAAGGCTTTCGTCCCATCGATACCAAATTTGCTCAGGGCAATCTACACCCCATGCCCATGCAAAGTTGTAAAAATCATGACGCTGCACCCCACGGTTTACGTTCTAGGGGGCACCAAAGATGACCCAAAAATCCACATTCTTAAAAGTCATTTTGGCCACTGCAGGAGTACAGAGTACTGCAGTTCTAGGGGGCGCCAAAGATGACCCAAAAATCCACATTCTTAAAAGTCTTTTTGGCCACTGCAGGAGTACAGAGTACTGCAGGATACACACACATATACACACGCACACACACACATACACACGCACACACACACACACACACACACACACACACACACACACACACACACACACACACACTAAGAGTCTGTTTTTTAGCACCTGCAAAAACATGCTGTTTACATATTTGACAAGAATGCAGAGGCTTCCTTTTGCCCCTGAAAAAAATCAGATTTCAAACACAACTTGACTGTTCATTTCTCCAAAAGACAACCATGAAGCTCCATCCAAACCTGAAGCAGATAGTTGGTGCATGTGTACAGTAACCTGAGGGGAGTGAGGTGACTATTTCTGAGGAGAACATGAGCAGTGAAGATTCACCTTGGAGCTAGAACAGGGACGTGCACATGATTATACAGGGGCAGGGGCTCAAGTTTTTTCCAGTCATTTATACAATATGGAAATTAATGTGAAATTAAAACACAAATATGTGTGATGAACTGTTTTTAAAACTTAAACTTCAAATAAAAATTGTAAACTTCAAAACATATGCAAATTTTTAACAAAGAACATAGTAATTTACCTCTATTTACATCAAAATGCAGGCAATGGCCCAGGCGTTCTTTGTAAAATTATTTACAAAACACTGTATATCCTCCTCTATGTCAGTCCATGTGTAATTTTTCCATAATTCTTTGTTTTTTGCAGCATTTTTGTTAGTGTAACTGCAGATTGTGCTGACAGTCTATGGCAAAAAAAACAAAAACTGAAAATGCCTCAACATGAACCCCTGGTGGTCTCTGAGGGTGAAACCTGCTAACTGCTGCAGCTCTGTCAGCTTCAGTCTCCCATGCAGAGCTTGGAGCGCATGTGTGGCTCTGCACCCTTAGCAGCGTTGCTAACTCCTCAGTAAGGAAAGCCTGCTTCATGTCAGAGTCTCTAAACTCCAGAAGAAGTCGATAAAAGTCCCTTTCTTTCTAAAAAAAAGTCGTTAGGGGGTCTGAAAAGTAATTGAATCTAACAACAAAGTCGCTAGGTTTGCAACTACGTGTCCCAGACTGCATCCCTGCTGAGAGTCCCTCCCTCCCTTCTCATGTTGCAGGAAGAACGTAAGCGCCCGCCCCTTGTCAATCAGTCACCATATAATTTTGGATTGGTTGTTGTGGTGAAGTTTTCCACCAATAGGAGAGATGTTGTGGTGTGTTTTTTTTTTCTTTTGGCAAGCCTTTTCCGCCTGTAAGACCTGTCACTAATGTGTGCATGCTATGTTTTCCTGTCTCATACAGCGCGATCGAGCGCCGAACGTGATCAAAATAAGCAGAAAAAAAGTATCGCGGACATAATTTATCATAACTCTGGTTTTATTTGGCCTATCAACACAATTTAAAAACTGGTATATAGGTTGAGGTCCTCACTTTTGAGATAAGTTGAAACGGAGAGTTAACGAGGCTCCGTCTTGCAGCTACATCCGGTTAAATATGTCATGTGACTTGAACGCTGGGGAGCGTCAATCGAATCGAATCAAACCTAACTTTCAGATGAATCTTCAAAATTCACCTCAGATATATGCTTATTATTCTTCTCAGAGTACTGCAGGATACACACACACACACACAGACACACACACGCACAGACACACACACACACTCAGAGTCTGTTTCTTAGCACCTGCAAAAACATGCTATTTACATATTTGACAAGAATGCAGAGGCTTCCTTTTGCCCCTGAAAAAAATCAAATTTCAAACACAACTTGACTGCTCATTTCTCCAAAAGACAACCATGAAGCTCCATCCAAACCTGAAGCAGGCAGTTGGTGCATGTGTACAGTAACCTGAGGGGAGTGAGGTGACTGCTTCTGAGGAGAACATGAGCAGTGAAGATTCACCTTGGAGCTAGAACAGGGACGTGCACATGATAATACAGGGGCAGGGGCTCAAGTTTTTTCCAGTCGTTTATACAATATGGAAATTAATGTGAAATTAAAAAACAAAGTATGACTGTCCTGTGTAGGTGACAGTGATATCCAATAGGCTAGGCACTCACGAGGCTGGCTGTGGCAAGTGTAAGTGAAAGCAACACGCACTGGCAGGAAGAACAGCAAACGCCGATGAAGGAAAAGGGTCTTTGCAGTGATGGGCGTTACCAAAGAGGGCGATGGCCAGAGGACACAAATGGGACGGGGAGGCAGCGCGTTGGGGGGGGGACGCGACACAGCTCGGGCCCGCCAGTGCCCCAACGGGGCCCTAGTTAGGGCCCGAGCCAGCTGCAGAGCAGCCGGGCGTAGGCCCTGTTATTCCTGTAGGGGTTTTTCTTTGTTTCTTTCTTTCTTCTTTTTCCTCCCCTTTGAACTGGAAAATGGCCCACTTCCCACAGGCGAAAACTCAGGAAATTTGGCAGGACGACCGGGCCTGGTGAAAAATTTGATATTCCGAATTCGCCCAAACAAGAAAATGCAAAATGGCTCCATAGCGCCCCCTAAGGTGAAAATTCACACTATTGACTGTCACGCCTGTACGCTTTGTCAAAATGACACAAAAATTGACACACACATGTATCTCAATAAGATCTACAAAAAAGTCAGTGCGGGCGTATCTGTCTAATGTACGGTTAAAGGGTTATTTCGCATTTTTTGCCGATCCGCACACATTGGAATTTCGCTAACTCCTCCGAAGGCTTTCGTTCCACCGGCACCACATTTGCTCAGGCCAATCTACACCCCATGGCCATTAAAAGTTATTCAAATCATGACGCTGCACCCCACGGTTTAGGTTCTAGGGGGCGCCAAAGATAACCCTAAAATCCACATTTTTAAATGTCTTATAACTTTTTATTTTTGCCCTCACTGGCCTCCAAGTTTTCTAGGATGATGCAATGTCCAGCCATCAACACATTTGTGAAGGAATTTTTACTCCCCAAAAGAGCGCCCCCCCATGGCAGGAGAAAAAAGTTCATTTTTTCTTGTCCCATAAGGTGAAAATTCACACTATTGACTGTCACGCCTGTACGCTTTGTCAAAATGACACAAAAATTGACACACACATGTATCTCAATAAGATCTACAAAAAAGTCAGTGCGGGCGTATCTGTCTAATGTACGGTTAAAGGGTTATTTCGCATTTTTTGCCGATCCGCACACATTGGAATTTCGCTAACTCCTCCGAAGGCTTTCGTTCCACCGGCACCACATTTGCTCAGGCCAATCTACACCCCATGGCCATTAAAAGTTATTCAAATCATGACGCTGCACCCCACGGTTTAGGTTCTAGGGGGCGCCAAAGATAACCCTAAAATCCACATTTTTAAATGTCTTATAACTTTTTATTTTTGCCCTCACTGGCCTCCAAGTTTTCTAGGATGATGCAATGTCCAGCCATCAACACATTTGTGAAGGAATTTTTACTCCCCAAAAGAGCGCCCCCCCATGGCAGGAGAAAAAAGTTCATTTTTTCTTGTCCCATAAGGTGAAAATTCACACTATTGACTGTCACGCCTGTACGCTTTGTCAAAATGACACAAAAATTGACACACACATGTATCTCAATAAGATCTACAAAAAAGTCCATGCGCGCGTATCTGTCAAATGTACGGTTAAAGGGTTATTCCGCATTTTTTGCCGATTCGCACACATTGGAATTTCGCTAACTCCTCCGAAGGCTTTCGTTCCACCGGCACCAAATTTGCTCAGGCCAATCTACACCCCATGGCCATTAAAAGTTATTCAAATCTTGACGCTGCACCCCATGGTTTACGTTCTAGGGGGCGCCAAAGATAACCCAAAAATCCACATTTTTAAAAGTCTTATAACTTTTTATTTTTGTCCTCACTGGCCTCCAAGTTTTCTAGGATGATGCAATGTCCAGCCATCAACACATTTGTGAAGGAATTTTTACTCCCCAAAAGAGCGCCCCCCCCATGGCAGAAGAAAAATGTCCATTTTTTCTTGTCCCCTAAGGTGAAAATACACATTGTTGAGTGTCACGCCTATACGCTTTGTCAAAATGACACAAAAATTGACACACACATGTAACTCAATAAGATCTACGAAAAAGTCAATGCGCGCGTATCTGTCAAATGTACGGTTAAAGGGTTATTCCGCATTTTTTGCCGATCCGCACACATTGGAATGTGGCTAACTCCTCCTAAGGCTTTCGTTCCACCAGCACCACATTTGCTCAGGCCAATCTACACCCCATGGCCATTAAAAGTTATTCAAATCATGACGCTGCACCCCACGGTTTACGTTCTAGGGGGCGCCAAATATAACCTTAAAATCCACATATTTAAAAGTCTTATAACTTTTTATTTTTGTCCTCACTGGCCTCCAAGTTTTCTAGGATGATGCAATGTCCAGCCATCAACACATTTGTGAAGGAATTTTTACTCCCCAAAAGAGCGCCCCCCCATGGCAGGAGAAAAAAGTCCATTTTTTCTTGTCCCCTAAGGTGAAAATACATATTGTTGAGATTCACGCCTATACGCTTTGTCATATTGACACAAAATTTGACAATCACGTGCCTTGCCTGGTATCATTTTTTTCAGCACAACCTCACCTGTGCGAATTTACAGTTATTTTATCATGTTGACATACTGAATTTACACAATGGACCCAAATTCACACACAAAACATAAAATCCGAGTGGAAAAAAGTAAAATTTTTACTGTGAAAACCACAAATATGTGTGATGAACTGTTTTTAAAACTTAAACTTCAAATAAAAATTGTAAACTTCAAAACATATGCAAATTTTTAACAAAGAACATAGTGATTTACCTCTATTTACATCAAAATGCAGGCAATGGCCCAGGCGTTCTTTGTAAAATTATTTACAAAACACTGTATAGTCTCACAAATGTCACTTTTTATTTATGCCACTACAAAAAACATGATGTAAATGATGCATGATGTAAAACATGATGTAAAAAACTTGTGTAGATCCTCCTCTATGTCAGTCCATGTGTAATTTTTCCATAATTCTTTGTTTTTTGCAGCATTTTTGTTAGTGTAACTGCAGATTGTGCTGACAGTGTCTATGGCACAAAAAAAAAAAAAAAAATTAAAATGCCTCAACATGAACCCCTGGTGGTCTCTGAGGGTGAAACCTGCTAACTGCTGCAGCTCTGTCAGCTTCAGTCTCCCATGCAGAGCTCTGAGCGCATGTGTGGCTCTGCACCCTTAGCAGCGTTGCTAACTCCTCAGTAAGGAAAGCCTGCTTCATGTCAGAGTCTCTAAACTCCAGAAGAAGTCGATAAAAGTCCCTTTCTTTCTAAAAAAAAGTCGTTAGGGGGTCTGAAAAGTCATTGAATCTAACAACAAAGTCGCTAGGTTTGCAACTACGTGTCCCAGACTGCATCCCTGCTGAGAGTCCCTCCCTCGCTTCTCATGTTGCAGGAAGAACGTAAGCGCCCTCCCCTTGTCAATCAGTCACCATATAATTTTGGATTGGTTGTTGTGGTGAAGTTTTCCACCAATAGGAGAGATGTTGTGGTGTGTTTTTTTTTTCTTTTGGCAAGCCTTTTCCGCCTGTAAGACCTGTCGCTAATGTCTGCATGCTATGTTTTCCTGTCTCATACAGCGCGATCGAGCGCCGAACGTGATCAAAATAAGCAGAAAAAAAGTATCGCGGACATAATTTATCATAACTCTGGTTTTATTTGGCCTATCAACACAATTTAAAAACTGGTATATAGGTTGAGGTCCTCACTTTTTAGATTAGTTGAAACGGATGCTGCGTCCGAACTGCCCGCTCGGATACTACATGCTACTGCTACGTGCTACTGCTAGATCCTACACCTACATACTAAAAACGTTGGCCCTATTCGGACACACTACACGAGCGGTGGGGAAAGACGACCCCCGCAGGCAGAGAGTAGGTACTGCGCCCGTGCAGACAGTGGTAACTGAAGCCCCTCATCTGCGGGCCTGGCTGTAGTACTGCAGCTGTGCAGTTTCATGATGGAATAAGTGAGCTTTACCTCCATGATGTCGCCACTTGCTCATAAAATGATTACTTGGGCAAATATGACACCATGACATGACAAAGAAATACAACCGCACATTTTTTAGGACAGTGTGTGAAGTTACATGAAACTTACATCTGTACTGCTGCGGTCCCGCCTGCTGCTGCTGCTGCTCCGACATGGTGCGCGCTGCTGTGGCCAGCCGGCGTTCGCGACGCACCTAAATAGGCAGCAGATGGTGGCGCTAGCATAACATGCGCTTCTACAACTTTTAAGAGGACGAAGAAGAAGCCCGCGGTGCATTTTGGGTCAGTAACATGCCCGTAGGATGCACCGAGACCAACCTACAATGTGGGCGTGTCTAGCATCTGAAGTAGTATCTGAAGTAGCATGCTACTCGCTCCGGTGGCCAATTCGGACATGCTAGATACTACTTCGACTACTACTTCGACTACTACTTGGCAATTCGGACGCAGCTGGAGAGTCAACGAGGCTCCGTCTTGCAGCTACATCCGGTTAAATATGTCATGTGACTTGAACGCTGGGGAGCGTCAATCGACTGCAGAGCCAGCAGACAAAGTAGTTATGGCCACTGAGAGGCACACATTTGTCATATGCTATAATCCTAACATATTTGAATGCTTTTTCTATTTAAACCTAATGGATCTAAGGTTTGACCTTCAAAATTTAGGAAGAATATGTTTTTGCAGTAATTACCCCCTTAAACAACCAGAGGTCCTTTCCTAAAGTTTATGGAAATTTTAGTGAAGGCCTTGGTTTCTTTCCTTGCAAAATGTATAGAAATAATAAAGCTAAATACCATAAAATGGTCTTGGTGTATTAGCAGTGATATAAAATAGTGGTTTGAATATGAATGAACAACAAAAAAAACATCAACAGAGCCTTTTTGAGTTGGGATTCTTACACAAAAACAGACATAGATAGACATCTGAAGGGTAAGGGAATGATCAGCCCTCCTAACTCTCAGATGAATCTTCAAAATTCACCTCAGAAATATGCTCATTATTCTTCTCAGAGTACTACAAGATATACACACACACACACAGACACAAACACACACACACACACACACACACACACACACACACACACACACACACACACACACACACACACACACACTCAGAGTCTGTTTTTTAGCACCTGCAAAAACATGCTATTTACATATTTGACAAGAATGCAGAGGCTCCTTTTGCCCCTGAAAAAAATCTAATTTCAAACACAACTTGACTGCTCATTTCTCCAAAACACAACCATGAAGCCCTATGCAAACCTGAAGCAGGCAGTTGGTGCATGTGTACAGTAACCTGAGGGGAGTGAGGTGACTGCTTCTGAGGAGAACATGAGCAGTGAAGCTTCACCTTAGAGCCAGAACAGGGACGTGCACATAATTATACAGGGGCAGGGGCTCAAGTCTTTTCCAGTCATTTATACAATATGGAAATTAATGTGAAATTAAAAAACAAAGTATTAATAGAAAGGTAATGACTGTCCTGTGTAGATGACAGTGATATCCAATAGGCTAGGCACTCACGAGGCTGGCTGTGGCAAGTGTAAGTGAAAGCAACACGCACTGGCAGGAAGAACAGCAAACGCCGATGAAGGAAAAGGGTCTTTGCAGTGATAGGCGTTACCAGAGAGGGCGATGGCCAGAGGACGCGAATGGGACGGGGAGGCAGCGCGTTGGGGGGGGCCGCGCGACACGGCTCGGGCCCGCCAGTGCCCCAACGGGGCCCTAGTTGTTAGTGTAACTGCAGATTGTGCTGACAGTGTCTATGGCACACAAAAAAAAAAAAAATTAAAATGCCTCAACATGAACCCCTGGTGGTCTCTGAGGGTGAAACCTGCTAACTGCTGCAGCTCTGTCAGCTTCAGTCTCCCATGCAGAGCTCTGAGCGCATGTGTGGCTCTGCACCCTTAGCAGCGTTGCTAACTCCTCAGTAAGGAAAGCCTGCTTCATGTCAGAGTCTCTAAACTCCAGAAGAAGTCGATAAAAGTCCCTTTCTTTCTAAAAAAAAGTTGTTAGGGGGTCTGAAAAGTCATTGAATCTAACAACAAAGTCGCTAGGTTTGCAACTACGTGTCCCAGACTGCATCCCTGCTGAGAGTCCCTCCCTCGCTTCTCATGTTGCAGGAAGAACGTAAGCGCCCGCCCCTTGTCAATCAGTCACCATATAATTTTGGATTGGTTGTTGTGGTGAAGTTTTCCACCAATAGGAGAGATGTTGTGGTGTGTTTTTTTTTTCTTTTGGCAAGCCTTTTCCGCCTGTAAGACCTGTCGCTAATGTCTGCATGCTATGTTTTCCTGTCTCATACAGCGCGATCGAGCGCAGAACGTGATCAAAATAAGCAGAAAAAAAGTATCGCGGACATAATTTATCATAACTCTGGTTTTATTTGGCCTATCAACACAATTTAAAAACTGGTATATAGGTTGAGGTCCTCACTTTTGAGATAAGTTGAAACGGAGAGTCAACAAGGCTCCGTCTTGCAGCTACATCCGGTTAAATATGTCATGTGACTTGAACGCACACACAGACACACACACACGCACACACACACACACACACACACACACACACAGACACACACACACACACACACACACACACACACACACACACTCAGAGTCTGGTTTTTAGCACCTGCAAAAACATGCTATTTACATATTTGACAAGAATGCAGAGGCTCCTTTTGCCTCTGAAAAAAATCAAATTTCAAACACAACTTGACTGGTCATTTCTCCAAAAGACAACCATGAAGCTCCATCCAAACCTGAAGCAGGCAGTTGGTGCATGTGTACAGTAACCTGAGGGGAGTGAGGTGAGTGCTTCTGAGGAGAACATGAGCAGTGAAGATTCACCTTGGAGCTAGAACAGAGACATGCACATGATTATACAGGGGCAGGGGCTCAAGTTTTTTCCAGTCGTTTATACAATATGGAAATTAATGTGAAATTAAAACACAAAGTATTAATAGAAAGGTAATGACTGTCCTGTGTAGGTGACAGTGATATCGAATAGGCTAGGCACTCACGAGGCTGGCTGTGGCAAGTGTAAGTGAAAGCAACACGCACTGGCAGGAAGAACAGCAAACGCCGATGAAGGAAAAGGGACTTTGCAGTGATGGGCGTTACCAGAGAGGGCGATGGCCAGAGGACACAAATGGGACGGGGAGGCAGCACGTTGGGGGGGGGGGGGGGGCGACACGGCTCGGGCCCGCCAGTGCCCCAACGGGGTCCTAGTTAGGGCCCGAGCGTAGCTGCTAAGCAGCTGCGAGAGCCCTCTTGTTCCTGCATGTTTCCTTCTTTTGTTATTATTAGGGCCCGAGCCAGCTGCAGAGCAGCCGGGCGTAGGCCCTATTATTCCCCAAGTGGTTTTTCTTTGTTTCTTTCTTTCTTTTTTCTTTTTCCTCCCCTTTGAACTGGAAAATGGCCCACTTCCCACTGGCGAAAACTCATGAAATTTGGCAGGACGACCGGGCCTGGTGAAAAATTCGATATTCTGAAGTCGCCAAAACAATAAAATGCAAAATGGCTCCATAGCGCCCCCTAAGGTGGAAATTCAAACTATTGACTGTCACGCCTGTACGCTTTGTCATATTGACACAAAAATTGACACACACATGTATCTCAATAAGATCTACAAAAAAGTCAGTGCGGCCGTATCTGTCAAAATTACGGTTAAAGGGTTATTTCGCATTTTTTGCCGATCCGCACACATTGGAATGTGGCTAACTCCTCCGAAGGCTTTCGTTCCACCGGCACCACATTTGCTCAGGCCAATCTACACCCCATGGCCATTAAAAGTTATCAAAATCATGACGCTGCACCCCAAGGTTTAGGTTCTAGGGGGCGCCAAAGATAACACTAAAATCCACATATTTAAAAGTCTTATAACTTTTTATTTTTGTCCTCACTGGCCTCCAAGTTTTCTAGGATGATGCAATGTCCAGCCATCAACACATTTGTGAAGGAATTTTTACTCCCCAAAAGAGCGCCCCCCCATGGCAGGAGAAAAAGTCCATTTTTTCTTGTCCCCTAAGGTGAAAATACACATTGTTGAGTGTCACGCCTATACGCTTTGTCAAAATGACACAAAAATTGACACACACATGTAACTCAATAAGATCTACAAAAAAGTCCATGCGCGCGTATCTGTCAAATGTACAGTTAAAGGGTTATTCCGCATTTTTTGGCGATCCGCACACATTGGAATTTCGCTAACTCCTCCGAAGGCTTTCGTTCCACCGGCACCACATTTGCTCAGGCCAATCTACACCCCATGGCCATTAAAAGTTATTCAAATCATGATGCTGCACCCCATGGTTTAGGTTCTAGGGGGCGCCAAAAATAACCAAAAAATCTACATTCTTAAATGTTTTATAACTTTTTATTTTTGTCCTCACTGGCCTCCAAGTTTTCTAGGATGATGCAATGTCCAGCCATCAACACATTTGTTAAGGAATTTTTACTCCCCAAAAGAGCGCCCCCCCATGGTAGGAGAAAAAAGTCAATTTTTTCTTGTCCCCTTACATAAAAATACACATTGTTGAGTGTCATGCCTGAACGCTTTGTCATATTGACACAAAAATTGACAATCATGTGTATCTCAATTAGATCTACGAAAAAGTCAAAGAGCGCGTATCTGTATAATGTACGGTTAAAGGGCTATTTTGCATTTTTTGCCGATTCGCACACATTGGAATGTGGCTATCTCCTCCTAAGGCTTTCGTCCCACCGATACCAAATTTGCTCAGGGCAATCTACACCCCATGCCCATTCAAAGTTGTAAAAATCATGACGCTGCACCCCACGGTTTACGTTCTAGGGGGCGCCAAAGATGACCCAAAAATCCACATTCTTAAAAGTCATTTTGGCCACTGCAGGAGTACAGAGTACTGCAGTTCTAGGGGGCGCCAAAGATGACCCAAAAATCCACATTCTTAAAAGTCTTTTTGGCCACTGCAGGAGTACAGAGTACTGCAGGATACACACACATATACACACACGCCAACATACACACACACACACACACACACACACACACACACACACACACACACACACACTCAGAGTCTGTTTTTTAGCACCTGCAAAAACATGCTGTTTACATATTTGACAAGAATGCAGAGGCTTCCTTTTGCCCCTGAAAAAAATCAAATTTCAAACACAACTTGACTGTTCATTTCTCCAAAAGACAACCATGAAGCTCCATTTCAAACCTGAAGCAGATAGTTGGTGCATGTGTACAGTAACCTGAGGGGAGTGAGGTGACTATTTCTGAGGAGAACATGAGCAGTGAAGATTAACCTTGGAGCTAGAACAGGGACGTGCACATGATTATACAGGGGCAGGGGCTCAAGTTTTTTCCAGTCATTTATACAATATGGAAATTAATGTGAAATTAAACCACAAATATGTGTGATGAACTGTTTTTAAAACTTAAACTTCAAATAAAAATTGTAAACTTCAAAACATATGCAAATTTTTAACAAAGAACATAGTAATTTACCTCTATTTACATCAAAATGCAGGCAATGGCCCAGGCGTTCTTTGTAAAATTATTTACAAAACACTGTATAGTCTCACAAATGTCACTTTTTATTTATGCCACTACAAAAAAACATGATGTAAATGATGCATGATGTAAAACATGATGTAAAAAACTTGTGTAGATCCTCCTCTATGTCAGTCCATGTGTAATTTTTCCATAATTCTTTGTTTTTTGCAGCATTTTTGTTAGTGTAACTGCAGATTGTGCTGACAGTGTCTATGGCACAAAAAAAAAAAAAAAATTAAAATGCCTCAACATGAACCCCTGGTGGTCTCTGAGGGTGAAACCTGCTAACTGCTGCAGCTCTGTCAGCTTCAGTCTCCCATGCAGAGCTCTGAGCGCATGTGTGGCTCTGCACCCTTAGCAGCGTTGCTAACTCCTCAGTAAGGAAAGCCTGCTTCATGTCAGAGTCTCTAAACTCCAGAAGAAGTCGATAAAAGTCCCTTTCTTTCTAAAAAAAGTCGTTAGGGGGTCTGACAACAAAGTCGCTAGGTTTGCAACTACGTGTCCCAGACTGCATCCCTGCTGAGAGTCCCTCCCTCCCTTCTCATGTTGCAGGAAGAACGTAAGCGCCCGCCCCTTGTCAATCAGTCACCATATAATTTTGGATTGGTTGTTGTGGTGAAGTTTTCCACCAATAGGAGAGATGTTGTGGTGTGTTTTTTTTTTCCTTTGGCAAGCCTTTTCCGCCTGTAAGACCTGTCGCTAATGTCTGCATGCTATGTTTTCCTGTCTCATACAGCGCGATCGAGCGCCGAACATGATCAAAATAAGCAGAAAAAAAGTATCGCGGACATAATTTATCATAACTCTGGTTTTATTTGGCCTATCAACACAATTTAAAAACTGGTATATAGGTTGAGGTCCTCACTTTTGAGATGAGTTGAAACGGAGAGTCAACGAGGCTCCGTCTTGCAGCTACATCCGGTTAAATATGTCATGTGATTTGAACGCACACATAGACACACACACACGCACACACACACACACACACACACACACACACACACACACACACACACACACACACTCAGAGTCTGGTTTTTAGCACCTGCAAAAACATGCTATTTACATATTTGACAAGAATGCAGAGGCTCCTTTTGCCCCTGAAAAAAATCAAATTTCAAACACAACTTGACTGGTCATTTCTCCAAAAGACAACCATGAAGCTCCATCCAAACCTGAAGCAGGCAGTTGGTGCATGTGTACAGTAACCTGAGGGGAGTGAGGTGAGTGCTTCTGAGGAGAACATGAGCAGTGAAGATTCACCTTGGAGCTAGGACAGAGACATGCACATGATTATACAGGGGCAGGGGCTCAAGTTTTTTCCAGTCGTTTATACAATATGGAAATTAATGTGAAATTAAAACACAAAGTATTAATAGAAAGGTAATGACTGTCCTGTGTAGGTGACAGTGATATCCAATAGGCTAGGCACTCACGAGGCTGGCTGTGGCAAGTGTAAGTGAAAGCAACACGCACTGGCAGGAAGAACAGCAAACGCCGATGAAGGAAAAGGGTCTTTGCAGTGATGGGCGTTACCAGAGAGGGCGATGGCCAGAGGACACAAATGGGACGGGGAGGCAGCGCGTTGGGGGGGGGACGCGACACAGCTCGGGCCCGCCAGTGCCCCAACGGGGTCCTAGTTCTTTCTTTCTTTCTTTCTTTCTTTCTTTCTTCTTTTTCCTCCCCTTTGAACTGGAAAATGGCCCACTTCCCACTGGCGAAAACTCATGAAATTTGGCAGGACGACCGGGCCTGGTGAAAAATTCGATATTCTGAAGTCGCCCAAACAATAAAATGCAAAATGGCTCCATAGCGCCCCCTAAGGTGGAAATTCACACTATTGACTGTCACGCCTGTACGCTTTGTCATATTGACACAAAAATTGACACACATATGTATCTCAATAAGATCTACAAAAAAGTCAGTGCGGCCGTATCTGTCAAAATTACGGTTAAAGGGTTATTTCGCATTTTTTGCCGATCTGCACACATTGGAATTTCGCTAACTCCTCCGAAGGCTTTCGTTCCACCGGCACCACATTTGCTCAGGCCAATCTACACCCCGTGGCCATTAAAAGTTATCAAAATCATGACGCTGCACCCCAAGGTTTAGGTTCTAGGGGGCGCCAAAGATAACACTAAAATCCACATATTTAAAAGTCTTATAACTTTTTATTTTTGTCCTCACTGGCCTCCAAGTTTTCTAGGATGATGCAATGTCCAGCCATCAACACATTTGTGAAGGAATTTTTACTCCCCAAAAGAGCGCCCCCCCATGGCAGGAGAAAAAAGTCCATTTTTTCTTGTCCCCTAAGGTGAAAATACACATTGTTGAGTGTCACGCCTATACGCTTTGTCAAAATGACACAAAAATTGACACACACATGTAACTCAATAAGATCTACAAAAAAGTCCATGCGCGCGTATCTGTCAAATGTACAGTTAAAGGGTTATTCCGCATTTTTTGCCGATACGCACACATTGGAATTTCGCTAACTCCTCCGAAGGCTTTCGTTCCACCGGCACCACATTTGCTCAGGCCAATCTACACCCCATGGCCATTAAAAGTTATTCAAATCATGATGCTGCACCCCATGGTTTAGGTTCTAGGGGGCGCCAAAAATAACCCAAAAATCCACATTCTTAAATGTTTTATAACTTTTTATTTTTGTCCTCACTGGCCTCCAAGTTTTCTAGGATGATGCAATGTCCAGCCATCAACACATTTGTGAAGGAATTTTTACTCCCCAAAAGAGCGCCCCCCCATGGTAGGAGAAAAAAGTCAATTTTTTCTTGTCCCCTTACATAAAAATACACATTGTTGAGTGTCACGCCTGAACGCTTTGTCATATTGACACAAAAATTGACAATCATGTGTATCTCAATTAGATCTACGAAAAAGTCAAAGAGCGCGTATCTGTATAATGTACGGTTAAAGGGCTATTTTGCATTTTTTGCCGATTCGCACACATTGGAATGTGGCTATCTCCTCCTAAGGCTTTCGTCCCACCGATACCAAATTTGCTCAGGGCAATCTACACCCCATGCCCATTCAAAGTTGTAAAAATCATGACGCTGCACCCCACGGTTTACGTTCTAGGGGGCGCCAAAGATGACCCAAAAATCCACATTCTTAAAAGTCATTTTGGCCACTGCAGGAGTACAGAGTACTGCAGTTCTAGGGGGCGCCAAAGATGACCCAAAAATCCACATTCTTAAAAGTCTTTTTGGCCACTGCAGGAGTACAGAGTACTGCAGGATACACACACATATACACACACGCCAACATACACACACACACACACACACACACACACACACACACACACACACACACACACACACACACACTCAGAGTCTGTTTTTTAGCACCTGCAAAAACATGCTGTTTACATATTTGACAAGAATGCAGAGGCTTCCTTTTGCCCCTGAAAAAAAATCAAATTTCAAACACAACTTGACTGTTCATTTCTCCAAAAGACAACCATGAAGCTCCATTTCAAACCTGAAGCAGATAGTTGGTGCATGTGTACAGTAACCTGAGGGGAGTGAGGTGACTATTTCTGAGGAGAACATGAGCAGTGAAGATTCACCTTGGAGCTAGAACAGGGACGTGCACATGATTATACAGGGGCAGGGGCTCAAGTTTTTTCCAGTCATTTATACAATATGGAAATTAATGTGAAATTAAACCACAAATATGTGTGATGAACTGTTTTTAAAACTTAAACTTCAAATAAAAATTGTAAACTTCAAAACATATGCAAATTTTTAACAAAGAACATAGTAATTTACCTCTATTTACATCAAAATGCAGGCAATGGCCCAGGCGTTCTTTGTAAAATTATTTACAAAACACTGTATAGTCTCACAAATGTCACTTTTTATTTATGCCACTACAAAAAAACATGATGTAAATGATGCATGATGTAAAACATGATGTAAAAAACTTGTGTAGATCCTCCTCTATGTCAGTCCATGTGTAATTTTTCCATAATTCTTTGTTTTTTGCAGCATTTTTGTTAGTGTAACTGCAGATTTTGCTGACAGTGTCTATGGCACAAAAAAAAAAAAAAATAAAATGCCTCAACATGAACCCCTGGTGGTCTCTGAGGGTGAAACCTGCTAACTGCTGCAGCTCTGTCAGCTTCATTCTCCCATGCAGAGCTCTGAGCGCATGTGTGGCTCTGCACCCTTAGCAGCGTTGCTAACTCCTCAGTAAGGAAAGCCTGCTTCATGTCAGAGTCTCTAAACTCCAGAAGAAGTCGATAAAAGTCCCTTTCTTTCTAAAAAAAAGTCGTTAGGGTGTCTGAAAAGTCATTGAATCTAACAACAAAGTCGCTAGGTTTGCAACTACGTGTCCCAGACTGCATCCCTGCTGAGAGTCCCTCCCTCCCTTCTCATGTTGCAGGAAGAACGTAAGCGCCCGCCCCTTGTCAATCAGTCACCATATAATTTTGGATTGGTTGTTGTGGTGAAGTTTTCCACCAATAGGAGAGATGTTGTGGTGTGTTTTTTTTTTCTTTTGGCAAGCCTTTTCCGCCTGTAAGACCTGTCGCTAATGTCTGCATGCTATGTTTTCCTGTCTCATACAGCGCGATCGAGCGCCGAACGTGATCAAAATAAGCAGAAAAAAAGTATCGCGGACATAATTTATCATAACTCTGGTTTTATTTGGCCTATCAACACAATTTAAAAACTGGTATATAGGTTGAGGTCCTCACTTTTGAGATAAGTTGAAACGGAGAGTCAACGAGGCTCCGTCTTGCAGCTACATCAGGTTAAATATGTCATGTGACTTGAACGCACACATAGACACACACACACGCACACACACACACACACACACACACACACACACACACACACACTCAGAGTCTGGTTTTTAGCACCTGCAAAAACATGCTATTTACATATTTGACAAGAATGCAGAGGCTCCTTTTGCCCCTGAAAAAAATCAAATTTCAAACACAACTTGACTGGTCATTTCTCCAAAAGACAACCATGAAGCTCCATCCAAACCTGAAGCAGGCAGTTGGTGCATGTGTACAGTAACCTGAGGGGAGTGAGGTGAGTGCTTCTGAGGAGAACATGAGCAGTGAAGATTCACCTTGGAGCTAGAACAGAGACATGCACATGATTATACAGGGGCAGGGGCTCAAGTTTTTTCCAGTCGTTTATACAATATGGAAATTAATGTGAAATTAAAACACAAAGTATTAATAGAAAGGTAATGACTGTCCTGTGTAGGTGACAGTGATATCCAATAGGCTAGGCACTCACGAGGCTGGCTGTGGCAAGTGTAAGTGAAAGCAACACGCACTGGCAGGAAGAACAGCAAACGCCGATGAAGGAAAAGGGTCTTTGCAGTGATGGGCGTTACCAGAGAGGGCGATGGCCAGAGGACACAAATGGGACGGGGAGGCAGCACGTTGGGGGGGGGGGACGCGACACGGCTCGGGCCCGCCAGTGCCCCAACGGGGTCCTAGTTATTATTATTTTTCCTCCCCTTTGAACTGGAAAATGGCCCACTTCCCACTGGCGAAAACTCCAGAAATTTGGCAGGACGACCGGGCCTGGTGAAAAATTTGATATTCCGAAGTCGCCCAAACAAGAAAATGCAAAATGGCTCCATAGCGCCCCCTAAGGTGAAAATTCACACTATTGACTGTCACGCCTGTACGCTTTGTCAAAATGACACAAAAATTGACACACACATGTATCTCAATAAGATCTACAAAAAAGTCAGTGCGGGCGTATCTGTCAAATGTACGGTTAAAGGGTTATTTCGCATTTTTTGCCGATCCGCACACATTGGAATTTCGCTAACTCCTCCGAAGGCTTTCGTTCCACCGGCACCACATTTGCTCAGGCCAATCTACACCCCATGGCCATAAAAAGTTATTCAAATCATGACGCTGCACCCCACGGTTTAGGTTCTAGGGGGCGCCAAAGATAACCCTAAGATCCACATATTTAAAAGTCTTATAACTTTTTATTTTTGCCCTCACTGGCCTCCAAGTTTTCTAGGATGATGCAATGTCCAGCCATCAACACATTTGTGAAGGAATTTTTACTCCCCAAAAGAGCGCCCCCCCATGGCAGGAGAAAAAAGTCAATTTTTTCTTGTCCCCTAAGGTGAAAATACACATTGTTGAGTGTAACACCTGTACGCTTTGGCAAAATGACACCAAAATTGAGACACACATGTATCTCAATAAGATCTACGAAAAAGTCAATGCGCACGTATCTGTCAAATGTACGGTTAAAGGGTTATTCCGCATTTTTTGCCGATGCGCACACATTGGAATTTCGCTAACTCCTCCGAAGGCTTTCGTTCCACCGGCACCACATTTTCTCAGGCCAATCTACACCCCATGGCCATTAAAAGTTATTCAAATCATGACGCTGCACCCCACGGTTTAGGTTCTAGGGGGCGCCAAAGATAACACTAAAATCCACATATTTAAAAGTCTTATAACTTTTTATTTTTGTCCCCACTGGCCTCCAAGTTTTCTAGGATGATGCAATGTCCAGCCATCAACACATTTGTGAAGGAATTTTTACTCGCCAAAAGAGCGCCCCCCCATGGCAGGAGAAAAAAGTCCATTTTTTCTTGTCCACTAAGGTGAAAATACACATTGTTGAGTGCTACGCCTGTATGTTTTGTCATATTGACACAAAATTTTACATACACGTGTCTTTCAATAAGATCTTCGAAAAAGTCAATGGCCACGTATCTGTAAAATGTACGGTTAAAGGGTTATTTCGCATTTTTTGCAGATTCGCACACATTGGAATTTCGCTAACTCCTCCAAAGGCTTTCGTTCCACCGGCACCACATTTGCTCAGGCCAATCTTCACCCCATGGCCATTAAAAGTTATTCAAATCATGACGCTGCACCCCACGGTTTAGGTTCTAGGGGGCGCCAAAGAAAACCCTAAAATCCACATATTTAAAAGTCTTATAACTTTTTATTTTTGTCCTCACTGGCCTCCATGTTTTCTAGGATGATGCAATGTCCAGCCATCAACACATTTGTGAAGGAGTTTTTTCTCGTTAAAAGAGCGCCCCCCCATGGCAGGAGAATAAAGTCAAGTTTTTCCTGTTCATCATTCAATGGCTCAAACGCACTGCTCTCTCGGCAAAAGCGAAAGGAGGAGCAACTTGCCATTTGGATATATCTTAGCTGTGTTTGTGCCCTCACTCATGGTCCAGACTTTTTTCAAATAGGACATGGAGTTTTTCTGCAGCGAGCGTTTTGGTAGAAACTGCGCCTCCCGTTCATTATAATGGTAAATGACCACAAACAAGTGCGCACACCATCTTTGGACCTTGAGTGTGACGCGATCGGGTGGGGGAGGCGGTAGTGCTGGGGGCGGCGTGACACGGCTCGGGCCCGCCAGTGCCCCAACGGGGCCCTAGTTAGGGCCCGAGCGTAGCTGCTAAGCAGCTGCGAGAGCCCTCTTGTTCCTGTAGTTTCCTTCTTTTGTTATTAGGGCCCGAGCCAGCTGCAGAGCAGCCGGGCGTAGGCCCTATTATTCCCCAAGTGGTTTTTCTTTGTTTCTTTCTTTCTTTCTTTCTTTCTTTCTTTCTTCTTTTTCCTCCCCTTTGAACTGGAAAATGGCCCACTTCCCACTGGCGAAAACTCATGAAATTTGGCAGGACGACCGGGCCTGGTGAAAAATTTGATATTCTGAAGTCGCCCAAACAATAAAATGCAAAATGGCTCCATAGCGCCCCCTAAGGTGGAAATTCACACTATTGACTGTCACGCCTGTACGCTTTGTCATATTGACACAAAAATTGACACACATATGTATCTCAATAAGATCTACAAAAAAGTCAGTGCGGGCGTATCTGTCAAATGTACGGTTAAAGGGTTAGTCCGCATTTTTTTCCGATCCGCACACATTGGAATTTCGCTAACTCCTCCGAAGGCTTTCGTTCCACCGGCACCACATTTGCTCAGGCCAATCTACACCCCGTGGCCATTAAAAGTTATCAAAATCATGACGCTGCACCCCAAGGTTTAGGTTCTAGGGGGCGCCAAAGATAACACTAAAATCCACATATTTAAAAGTCTTATAACTTTTTATTTTTGTCCTCACTGGCCTCCAAGTTTTCTAGGATGATGCAATGTCCAGCCATCAACACATTTGTGAAGGAATTTTTACTCCCCAAAAGAGCGCCCCCCCATGGCAGGAGAAAAAAGTCAATTTTTTCTTGTCCCCTAAGGTGAAAATACACATTGTTGAGTGTCACGCCTATACACTTTGTCAAAATGACACAAAAATTGACACACACATGTAACTCAATAAGATCTACGAAAAAGTCAATGCGCGCGTATCTGTCAAATGTACGGTTAAAGGGTTATTCCGCATTTTTTGCCGATCCGCACACATTGGAATGTGGCTAACTCCTCCTAAGGCTTTCGTTCCACCGGCACCACATTTGCTCAGGACAATCTACACCCCATGGCCATTAAAAGTTATTCAAATCATGACGCTGCACCCCACGGTTTAGGTTCTAGGGGGCGCCAAAGATAACCCTAAAATCCACATATTTAAAAGTCTTATAACTTTTTATTTTTGTCCTCACTGGCCTCCAAGTTTTCTAGGATGATGCAATGTCCAGCCATCAACACATTTGTGAAGGAATTTTTACTCCCCAAAAGAGCGCCCCCCCATGGCAGGAGAAAAAAGTCCATTTTTTCTTGTCCCCTAAGGTGAAAATACATATTGTTGAGATTCACGCCTATACGCTTTGTCATATTGACACAAAATTTGACAATCACGTGCCTTGCCTGGTATCATTTTTTTCAGCACAACCTCACCTGTGCGAATTTACAGTTATTTTATCATGTTGACATACTGAATTTACACAATGGACCCAAATTCACACACAAAACATAAAATCCGAGTGGAAAAAAGTAACATTTTTACTGTGAAAACCACAAATATGTGTGATGAACTGTTTTTAAAACTTAAACTTCAAATAAAAATTGTAAACTTCAAAACATATGCAAATTTTTAACAAAGAACATAGTGATTTACCTCTATTTTCATCAAAATGCAGGCAATGGCCCAGGCGTTCTTTGTAAAATTATTTACAAAACACTGTATAGTCTCACAAATGTCACTTTTTATTTATGCCACTACAAAAAAACATGATGTAAATGATGCATGATGTAAAACATGATGTAAAAAACTTGTGTAGATCCTCCTCTATGTCAGTCCATGTGTAATTTTTCCATAATTCTTTGTTTTTTGCAGCATTTTTGTTAGTGTAACTGCAGATTGTGCTGACAGTGTCTATGGCACAAAAAAAAAAAAAATTAAAATGCCTCAACATGAACCCCTGGTGGTCTCTGAGGGTGAAACCTGCTAACTGCTGCAGCTCTGTCAGCTTCAGTCTCCCATGCAGAGCTCTGAGCGCATGTGTGGCTCTGCACCCTTAGCAGCGTTGCTAACTCCTCAGTAAGGAAAGCCTGCTTCATGTCAGAGTCTCTAAACTCCAGAAGAAGTCGATAAAAGTCCCTTTCTTTCTAAAAAAAAGTCGTTAGGGGGTCTGAAAAGTCATTGAATCTAACAACAAAGTCGCTAGGTTTGCAACTACGTGTCCCAGACTGCATCCCTGCTGAGAGTCCCTCCCTCCCTTCTCATGTTGCAGGAAGAACGTAAGCACCCGCCCCTTGTCAATCAGTCACCATATAATTTTGGATTGGTTGTTGTGGTGAAGTTTTCCACCAATAGGAGAGATGTTGTGGTGTGTTTTTTTTTTCTTTTGGCAAGCCTTTTCCGCCTGTAAGACCTGTCGCTTATGTCTGCATGCTATGTTTTCCTGTCTCATACAGCGCGATCGAGCGCCGAACGTGATCAAAATAAGCAGAAAAAAAGTATCGCGGACATAATTTATCATAACTCTGGTTTTATTTGGCCTATCAACACAATTTAAAAACTGGTATATAGGTTGAGGTCCTCACTTTTGAGATAAGTTGAAACGGAGAGTCAACGAGGCTCCGTCTTGCAGCTACATCCGGTTAAATATGTCATGTGACTTGAACGCGCACACACACACACGCACACACACACACACACACACTCAGAGTCTGGTTTTTAGCACCTGCAAAAACATGCTATTTACATATTTGACAAGAATGCAGAGGCTCCTTTTGCCCCTGAAAAAAATCAAATTTCAAACACAACTTGACTGGTCATTTCTCCAAAAGACAACCATGAAGCTCCATCCAAACCTGAAGCAGGCAGTTGGTGCATGTGTACAGTAACCTGAGGGGAGTGAGGTGAGTGCTTCTGAGGAGAACATGAGCAGTGAAGATTCACCTTGGAGCTAGAACAGAGACATGCACATGATTATACAGGGGCAGGGGCTCAAGTTTTTTCCAGTCGTTTATACAATATGGAAATTAATGTGAAATTAAAACACAAAGTATTAATAGAAAGGTAATGACTGTCCTGTGTAGGTGACAGTGATATCCAATAGGCTAGGCACTCACGAGGCTGGCTGTGGCAAGTGTAAGTGAAAGCAACACGCACTGGCAGGAAGAACAGCAAACGCCGATGAAGGAAAAGGGTCTTTGCAGTGATGGGCGTTAACAGAGAGGGCGATGGCCAGAGGACACAAATGGGACGGGGAGGCAGCACGTTGGGGGGGGGGGGGGAGACGCGATACGGCTCGGGCCCGCCAGTGCCCCAACGGGGTCCTAGTTATTATTTTTCCTCCCCTTTGAACTGGAAAATGGCCCACTTCCCACTGGCGAAAACTCATGAAATTTGGCAGGACGACCGGGCCTGGTGAAAAATTTGATATTCCGAAGTCGCCCAAACAAGAAAATGCAAAATGGCTCCATAGCGCCCCCTAAGGTGAAAATTCACACTATTGACTGTCACGCCTGTACGCTTTGTCAAAATGACACAAAAATTGACACACACATGTATCTCAATAAGATCTACAAAAAAGTCAGTGCGGGCATATCTGTCAAATGTACGGTTAAAGGGTTATTTCGCATTTTTTGCCGATCCGCACACATTGGAATTTCGCTAACTCCTCCGAAGGCTTTCGTTCCACCGGCACCACATTTGCTCAGGCCAATCTACACCCCATGGCCATTAAAAGTTATTCAAATCATGACGCTGCACCCCACGGTTTAGGTTCTAGGGGGCGCCAAAGATAACCCTAAGATCCACATATTTAAAAGTCTTATAACTTTTTATTTTTGCCCTCACTGGCCTCCAAGTTTTCTAGGATGATGCAATGTCCAGCCATCAACACATTTGTGAAGGAATTTTTACTCCCCAAAAGAGCGCCCCCCCCATGGCAGGAGAAAAAAGTCCATTTTTTCTTGTCCCCTAAGGTGAAAATACACATTGTTGAGTGTAACACCTGTACGCTTTGGCAAAATGACACAAAAATTGACACACACATGTATCTCAATAAGATCTACGAAAAAGTCAATGCGCGCGTATCTGTCAAATGTACGGTTAAAGGGTTATTCCGCATTTTTTGCCGATCCGCACACATTGGAATTTCGCTAACTCCTCCGAAGGCTTTCGTTCCACCGGCACCACATTTGCTCAGGCCAATCTACACCCCATGGCCATTAAAAGTTATTCAAATCATGACGCTGCACCCCACGGTTTAGGTTCTAGGGGGCGCCAAAGATAACCGTAAAATCCACATATTTAAAAGTCTTATAACTTTTTATTTTGGTCCCCACTGGCCTCCAAGTTTTCTAGGATGATGCAATGTCCAGCCATCAACACATTTGTGAAGGAATTTTTACTCGCCAAAAGAGCGCCCCCCCATGGCAGGAGAAAAAAGTCCATTTTTTCTTGTCCACTAAGGTGAAAATACACATTGTTGAGTGTAACACCTGTACGCTTTGGCAAAATGACACAAAAATTGACACACACATGTATCTCAATAAGATCTACGAAAAAGTCAATGCGCGCGTATCTGTCAAATGTACGGTTAAAGGGTTATTCCGCATTTTTTGCCGATCCGCACACATTGGAATTTCGCTAACTCCTCCGAAGGCTTTCGTTCCACCGGCACCACATTTGCTCAGGCCAATCTACACCCCATGGCCATTAAAAGTTATTCAAATCATGACGCTGCATCCCACGGTTTAGGTTCTAGGGGGCGCCAAAGATAACCCTAAAATCCACATATTTAAAAGTCTTATAACTTTTTATTTTTGTCCTCACTGGCCTCCAAGTTTTCTAGGATGATGCAATGTCCAGCCATCAACACATTTGTGAAGGAATTTTTACTCCCCAAAAGAGCGCCCCCCCATGGCAGGAGAAAAAAGTCAATTTTTTCTTGTCCCCTAAGGTGGAAATTCACACTATTGACTGTCACGCCTGTACGCTTTATCATATTGACACAAAAATTGACACACATATGTATCTCAATAAGATCTACAAAAAAGTCAATTCGCGCGTATCTGTCAAATGTACGGTTAAAGGGCTATTTTGCATTTTTTGCCGATTCGCACACATTGGAATGTGGCTAACTCCTCCTAAGGCTTTCGTCCCACTGACACCAAATTTGCTCAGGCCAATCTACACCCCATGGCCATTCAAAGTTGTAAAAATCATGACGCTGCACCCCACGGTTTACGTTCTAGGGGGCGCCAAAGATGACCCAAAAATCCACATTCTTAAAAGAATCCACATCCCCCCCTATGGCAGGAGAAAAAGTCAAGTTTTTCCTGCCCATCGCTCAATGGCTCAATCGCATCGCTCTCCAGGCAACACCGTAAGGAGGAGCAACCTGGCATTTCGATATATCATAGCTGTGTTTGTGCCCTCACTCATGGTCCAGACTTTTTTCAAATAGGACATGAAGTTTGTCTGCAGCGAGTGTTTTGGTAGAAACTGCGCCTCCCATTCATTATAATGGGAAATGACCACAGACAAGTGCGCACACCATCTTTGGTTCTTGAGTGTGACTCGATCGGGACGGGGAGGCGGTCGCACTGGGGGCGGCGCGACGCGGCTCGGGCCCGACAGTGCCCCACCGGGGCCCTAGTTCTTTCTTTCTTTCTTCTTTTTCCTCCCCTTTGAACTGGAAAATGGCCCACTTCCCACTGGCGAAAACTCAGGAAATTTGGCAGGACGACCGGGCCTGGTGAAAAATTCGATATTCTGAAGTCGCCCAAACAATAAAATGCAAAATGGCTCCATAGCGCCCCCTAAGGTGGAAATTCACACTATTGACTGTCACGCCTGTACGCTTTGTCATATTGACACAAAAATTGACACACATATGTATCTCAATAAGATCTACAAAAAAGTCAGTGCGGCCGTATCTGTCAAATGTACGGTTAAAGGGTTATTTCGCATTTTTTTCCGATCCGCACACATTGGAATTTCGCTAACTCCTCCGAAGGCTTTCGTTCCACCGGCACCACATTTGCTCAGGCCAATCTACACCCCGTGGCCATTAAAAGTTATCAAAATCATGACGCTGCACCCCAAGGTTTAGGTTCTAGGGGGCGCCAAAGATAACACTAAAATCCACATATTTAAAAGTCTTATAACTTTTTATTTTTGTCCTCTCTGGCCTCCAAGTTTTCTAGGATGATGCAATGTCCAGCCATCAACACATTTGTGAAGGAATTTTTACTCCCCAAAAGAGCGCCCCCCCACATTGTTGAGTGTCACGCCTATACGCTTTGTCAAAATGACACAAAAATTGACACACACATGTAACTCAATAAGATCTACGAAAAAGTCAATGCGCGCGTATCTGTCAAATGTACGGTTAAAGGGTTATTCCGCATTTTTTGCCGATCCGCACACATTGGAATGTGGCTAACTCCTCCTAAGGCTTTCGTTCCACCGGCACCACATTTGCTCAGGCCAATCTACACCCCATGGCCATTAAAAGTTATTTAAATCATGACGCTGCACCCCACGGTTTAGGTTCTAGGGGGCGCCAAAGATAACCCTAAAATCCACATATTTAAAAGTCTTATAACTTTTTATTTTTGTCCTCACTGGCCTCCAAGTTTTCTAGGATGATGCAATGTCCAGCCATCAACACATTTGTGAAGGAATTTTTACTCCCCAAAAGAGCGCCCCCCCATGGCAGGAGAAAAAAGTCCATTTTTTCTTGTCCCCTAAGGTGAAAATACATATTGTTGAGATTCACGCCTATACGCTTTGTCATATTGACACAAAATTTGACAATCACGTGCCTTGCCTGGTATCATTTTTTTCAGCACAACCTCACCTGTGCGAATTTACAGTTATTTTATCATGTTGACATACTGAATTTACACAATGGACCCAAATTCACACACAAAACATAAAATCCGAGTGGAAAAAAGTAACATTTTTACTGTGAAAACCACAAATATGTGTGATGAACTGTTTTTAAAACTTAAACTTCAAATAAAAATTGTAAACTTCAAAACATATGCAAATTTTTAACAAAGAACATAGTGATTTACCTCTATTTACATCAAAATGCAGGCAATGGCCCAGGCGTTCTTTGTAAAATTATTTACAAAACACTGTATAGTCTCACAAATGTCACTTTTTATTTATGCCACTACAAAAAAACATGATGTAAATGATGCATGATGTAAAACATGATGTAAAAAACTTGTGTAGATCCTCCTCTATGTCAGTCCATGTGTAATTTTTCCATAATTCTTTGTTTTTTGCAGCATTTTTGTTAGTGTAACTGCAGATTGTGCTGACAGTGTCTATGGCACAAAAAAAAAAACTGAAAATGCCTCAACATGAACCCCTGGTGGTCTCTGAGGGTGAAACCTGCTAACTGCTGCAGCTCTGTCAGCTTCAGTCTCCCATGCAGAGCTCTGAGCGCATGTGTGGCTCTGCACCCTTAGCAGCGTTGCTAACTCCTCAGTAAGGAAAGCCTGCTTCATGTCAGAGTCTCTAAACTCCAGAAGAAGTCGATAAAAGTCCCTTTCTTTCTAAAAAAAAGTCGTTAGGGGGTCTGAAAAGTCATTGAATCTAACAACAAAGTCGCTAGGTTTGCAACTACGTGTCCCAGACTGCATCCCTGCTGAGAGTCCCTCCCTCGCTTCTCATGTTGCAGGAAGAACGTAAGCGCCCGCCCCTTGTCAATCAGTCACCATATAATTTTGGATTGGTTTTTGTGGTGAAGTTTTCCACCAATAGGAGAGATGTTGTGGTGTGTTTTTTTTTTCCTTTGGCAAGCCTTTTCCGCCTGTAAGACCTGTCGCTAATGTCTGCATGCTATGTTTTCCTGTCTCATACAGCGCGATCGAGCGCCGAACGTGATCAAAATAAGCAGAAAAAAAGTATCGCGGACATAATTTATCATAACTCTGGTTTTATTTGGCCTATCAACACAATTTAAAAACTGGTATATAGGTTGAGGTCCTCACTTTTGAGATAAGTTGAAACGGAGAGTCAACGAGGCTCCGTCTTGCAGCTACATCCGGTTAAATATGTCATGTGACTTGAACGCACACACAGACACACACACGCACACACACACACACACACACACACACTCAGAGTCTGGTTTTTAGCACCTGCAAAAACATGCTATTTACATATTTGACAAGAATGCAGAGGCTCCTTTTGCCCCTGAAAAAAATCAAATTTCAAACACAACTTGACTGCTCATTTCTCCAAAAGACAACCATGAAGCTCCATCCAAACCTGAAGCAGGCAGTTGGTGCATGTGTACAGTAACCTGAGGGGAGTGAGGTGAGTGCTTCTGAGGAGAACATGAGCAGTGAAGATTCACCTTGGAGCTAGAACAGAGACATGCACATGATTATACAGGGGCAGGGGCTCAAGTTTTTTCCAGTCGTTTATACAATATGGAAATTAATGTGAAATTAAAACACAAAGTATTAATAGAAAGGTAATGACTGTCCTGTGTAGGTGACAGTGATATCCAATAGGCTAGGCACTCACGAGGCTGGCTGTGGCAAGTGTAAGTGAAAGCAACACGCACTGGCAGGAAGAACAGCAAACGCCGATGAAGGAAAAGGGTCTTTGCAGTGATGGGCGTTACCAGAGAGGGCGATGGCCAGAGGACACAAATGCGACGGGGAGGCAGCACGTTGGGGGGGGGGACGCGACACGGCTCGGGCCCGCCAGTGCCCCAACGGGGTCCTAGTTAGGGCCCGAGCGTAGCTGCTAAGCAGCTGCGAGAGCCCTCTTGTTCCTGATGGATTCTTCTTTTGTTATTATTATTATTTTTCCTCCGCTTTAAACTGGAAAATGGCCCACTTCCCACTGGCGAAAACTCATGAAAATTGGCAGGACGACCGGGCCTGGTGAAAAATTCGATATTCTGAAGTCGCCCAAACAAGAAAATGCAAAATGGCTCAATAGCGCCCCCAAAGGTGAAAATTCACACTATTGACTGTCACGCCTGTACGCTTTGTCATATTGACACAAAAATTGACACACACATGTATCTCAATAAGATCTACAAAAAAGTCAGTGCGGGCGTATCTGTCAAATGTACGGTTAAAGGGTTATTTCGCATTTTTTGCCGTTCCGCACACATTGGAATTTCGCTAACTCCTCCGAAGGCTTTCGTTCCACCGGCACTACATTTGCTCAGGCCAATCTACACCCCATGGCCATTGAAAGTTGTACAGATCATGACGCTGCACCCCACGGTTTACGTTCTAGGGGGCGCCAAAGATAACCCACAAATCCACATTCTTAAAAATCTTATAACTTTTTATTTTTGTCCTCATTGGCCTCCAAGTTTTCTAGGATGATGCAATGTCCAGCCATCAACACATTTGTGAAGGAATTTTTACTCCCCAAAACAGCGCCCCCCCCCATGGCAGGACAAAAAAGGCCATTTTTTCTTGTCCCCTAAGGTGAAAATACACATTGTTCAGTGTCACGCCTATACGCTTTGTCATATTGACACAAAATTTGACACACACATGTATCGCAATAAGATCTACGAAAAAGTCAATAGGCACATATCTGTAAAATGTACGGTTAAAGGGCTATCTTGCATTTTTTGCCGATTCGCACACATTGGAATGTGGCTAACTCCTCCTAAGGCTTTCGTTCTACTGACACCACATTTGCTCAGGCCAATCTACACCCCATGGCCATTCAAAGTTGTACAAATAATGACGCTGCACCCCACGGTTTAGGTTCTAGGGGGCGCCAAAGATGACCCAAATATCCACATTTTTAAAAGTCTTATAACTTTTTATTTTTGTCCTCACTGGCCTCCAAGTTTTCTAGGATGATGCAATGTGCAGCCATCAACACATCTGTGAAGGAATTTTTTCTCCCCAAAAGAGCGCCCCCCCCCCCCCCCCCATGGCAGGAGAAAAAGTCAAGTTTTTCCAGCCCATCGCTTAATGGCTCAAACGCATTGCTCTCCCGCTAAAACCAAAAGGAGGAGCAACTTGCCATTTGGATATGTCCTAGCTGTGTTTGTGCCCTCACTCATGGTCCAGAGTTTTTTCAAATAGGACATGTAGTTTGTCTGCAGCGAGCGTTTTGGTAGAAACTGTGCCTCCCATTCATTATAATGGGAAATGACCAAAGACAGGTGCGCACACCATCTTTGGACCTTGACTTTGACGTCACAGTTTGAGATACAAATGTTATTTGACCTCTGACCTTTGGTGGACACCCTAACCTTTCAACCCGCGAAAACGGCGTTTCAATAGCTCTTACGGCTTTCCTACAAATACACTTTGTTCAGCTACTCCTACTGTCCTTTAAGCTCTGCTTCTCAGATCATCAAAGAGTGTGCACGTGTGTAATGAGCGCATATTGAATGTTAATTATGTTAAATATGTTAATTATTAGAAGAAAAAACAACAACAGTCCTTTTGGACAAAATTTCTTTTTATTACAGAATTAGAATAATGGAAGCATAGTCCAAGGAAACCATTCAAGTGATGTCATACCTCATAATTTATTGAGATGTTGGCTAGTCTGGGCATTTCTTCATTCATCAGGTTTCCTGCATGCATACTAACAGAGCACATCAGTAGCAGTGAGTGATAAGTATGAGTGTGTCATTGTGTAAGAAAGAAAGTGGTTTACTTACACATCCATAGAAAATAGGTGGTTGAGCACAGCACGCAAACAAAGCTTTGCCACAACGGTTGAACTTCCCAAGTAGCTGATACCAAGGTCACACAATCATGGTGAGCAAAGGTCAAACCAGGCCAGGCACTCACGAGGCTGGCTGTTGCAAGTGTAAGTGAAAGCAACACGCAATGGCAGGAAGAACAGCAAACACCGATGAAGGAAAAGGGTCTTTGCAGTGATGGGCGTCACCAGAGAGGGCGATGGCCAGAGGGCACGAATGGGACGGGGAGGCGGTCGCGCTGGGGGCGGCACGACGCGGCTCGGGCCCGCCAGTGCCCCAACGGGGCCCTAGTTATTATTAGGGCCCGAGCCAGCTGCAGAGCAGCCGGGCGTAGGCCCTATTATTCCCCAAGTGGTTTTTCTTTGTTTCTTTCTTTCTTTCTTTCTTCTTTTTCCTCCCCTTTGAACTGGAAAATGGCCCACTTCCCACTGGCGAAAACTCATGAAATTTGGCAGGACGACCGGGCCTGGTGAAAAATTTGATATTCTGAAGTCGCCCAAACAATAAAATGCAAAATGGCTCCATAGCGCCCCCTAAGGTGGAAATTCACACTATTGACTGTCACGCCTGTACGCTTTGTCATATTGACACAAAAATTGACACACATATGTATCTCAATAAGATCTACAAAAAAGTCAGTGCGGGCGTATCTGTCAAAATTACGGTTAAAGGGTTATTTCGCATTTTTTGCCGATCCGCACACATTGGAATTTCGCTAACTCCTCCGAAGGCTTTCGTTCCACCGGCACCACATTTGCTCAGGCCAATCTACACCCCGTGGCCATTAAAAGTTATCAAAATCATGACGCTGCACCCCAAGGTTTAGGTTCTAGGGGGCGCCAAAGATAACACTAAAATCCACATATTTAAAAGTCTTATAACTTTTTATTTTTGTCCTCACTGGCCTCCAAGTTTTCTAGGATGATGCAATGTCCAGCCATCAACACATTTGTGAAGGAATTTTTACTCCCCAAAAGAGCGCCCCCCCATGGCAGGAGAAAAAAGTCCATTTTTTCTTGTCCCCTAAGGTGAAAAAAAACATTGTTGAGTGTCACGCCTATACGCTTTGTCAAAATGACACAAAAATTGACACACACATGTAACTCAATAAGATCTACGAAAAAGTCAATGCCCGCGTATCTGTCAAATGTACGGTTAAAGGGTTATTCCGCATTTTTTGCCGATCCGCACACATTGGAATGTGGCTAACTCCTCCTAAGGCTTTCGTTCCACCGGCACCACATTTGCTCAGGCCAATCTACACCCCATGGCCATTAAAAGTTATTCAAATCATGACGCTGCACCCCACGGTTTAGGTTCTAGGGGGCGCCAAAGATAACCCTAAAATCCACATATTTAAAAGTCTTATAACTTTTTATTTTTGTCCTCACTGGCCTCCAAGTTTTCTAGGATGATGCAATGTCCAGCCATCAACACATTTGTGAAGGAATTTTTACTCCCCAAAAGAGCGCCCCCCATGGCAGGAGAAAAAAGTCCATTTTTTCTTGTCCCCTAAGGTGAAAATACATATTGTTGAGATTCACGCCTATACGCTTTGTCATATTGACACAAAATTTGACAATCACGTGCCTTGCCTGGTATCATTTTTTTCAGCACAACCTCACCTGTGCGAATTTACAGTTATTTTATCATGTTGACATACTGAATTTACACAATGGACCCAAATTCACACACAAAACATAAAATCCGAGTGGAAAAAAGTAACATTTTTACTGTGAAAACCACAAATATGTGTGATGAACTGTTTTTAAAACTTAAACTTCAAATAAAAATTGTAAACTTCAAAACATATGCAAATTTTTAACAAAGAACATAGTGATTTACCTCTATTTTCATCAAAATGCAGGCAATGGCCCAGGCGTTCTTTGTAAATTATTTACAAAACACTGTATAGTCTCACAAATGTCACTTTTTATTTATGCCACTACAAAAAAACATGATGTAAATGATGCATGATGTAAAACATGATGTAAAAAACTTGTGTAGATCCTCCTCTATGTCAGTCCATGTGTAATTTTTCCATAATTCTTTGTTTTTTGCAGCATTTTTGTTAGTGTAACTGCAGATTGTGCTGACAGTGTCTATGGCACAAAAAAAAAAAAAATTAAAATGCCTCAACATGAACCCCTGGTGGTCTCTGAGGGTGAAACCTGCTAACTGCTGCAGCTCTGTCAGCTTCAGTCTCCCATGCAGAGCTCTGAGCGCATGTGTGGCTCTGCATCCTTAGCAGCGTTGCTAACTCCTCAGTAAGGAAAGCCTGCTTCATGTCAGAGTCTCTAAACTCCAGAAGAAGTCGATAAAAGTCCCTTTCTTTCTAAAAAAAAAGTTGTTAGGGGGTCTGAAAAGTCATTGAATCTAACAACAAAGTCGCTAGGTTTGCAACTACGTGTCCCAGACTGCATCCCTGCTGAGAGTCCCTCCCTCCCTTCTCATGTTGCAGGAAGAACGTAAGCACCCGCCCCTTGTCAATCAGTCACCATATAATTTTGGATTGGTTGTTGTGGTGAAGTTTTCCACCAATAGGAGAGATGTTGTGGTGTGTTTTTTTTTTCTTTTGGCAAGCCTTTTCCGCCTGTAAGACCTGTCGCTAATGTCTGCATGCTATGTTTTCCTGTCTCATACAGCGCGATCGAGCGCCGAACGTGATCAAAATAAGCAGAAAAAAAGTATCGCGGACATAATTTATCATAACTCTGGTTTTATTTGGCCTATCAACACAATTTAAAAACTGGTATATAGGTTGAGGTCCTCACTTTTGAGATAAGTTGAAACGGAGAGTCAACGAGGCTCCGTCTTGCAGCTACATCCGGTTAAATATGTCATGTGACTTGAACGCACACACACACACGCACACACACACAGACACACGCACACACACACACACACTCAGAGTCTGGTTTTTAGCACCTGCAAAAACATGCTATTTACATATTTGACAAGAATGCAGAGGCTCCTTTTGCCCCTGAAAAAAATCAAATTTCAAACACAACTTGACTGCTCATTTCTCCAAAAGACAACCATGAAGCTCCATCCAAACCTGAAGCAGGCAGTTGGTGCATGTGTACAGTAACCTGAGGGGAGTGAGGTGACTGCTTCTGAGGAGAACATGAGCAGTGAAGATTCACCTTAGAGCTAGAACAGAGACGTGCACATGATTATACAGGGGCAGGGGCTCAAGTTTTTTCCAGTTGTTTATACAATATGGAAATTAATGTGAAATTAAAAAACAAAGTATTAATAGAAAGGTAATGACTGTCCTGTGTAGGTGACAGTGATATCCAATAGGCTAGGCACTCACGAGGCTGGCTGTGGCAAGTGTAAGTGAAAGCAACACGCACTGGCAGGAAGAACAGCAAACGCCGATGAAGGAAAAGGGTCTTTGCAGTGATGGGCGTTACCAGAGAGGGCGATGGCCAGAGGACACAAATGGGACGGGGAGGCAGCGCGTTGGGGGGGGGGACGCGACACAGCTCGGGCCCGCCAGTGCCCCAACGGGGTCCTAGTTAGGGCCCGAGCGTAGCTGCTAAGCAGCTGCGAGAGCCCTCTTGTTCCTGTAGTTTCCTTCTTTTGTTATTAGGGCCCGAGCCAGCTGCAGAGCAGCCGGGCGTAGGCCCTATTATTCCCCAAGTGGTTTTTCTTTGTTTCTTTCTTTCTTTTTTCTTTTTCCTCCCCTTTGAACTGGAAAATGGCCCACTTCCCACTGGCGAAAACTCATGAAATTTGGCAGGACGACCAGGCCTGGTGAAAAATTCGATATTCTGAAGTCGCCCAAACAATAAAATGCAAAATGGCTCCATAGCGCCCCCTAAGGTGGAAATTCACACTATTGACTGTCACGCCTGTACGCTTTGTCATATTGACACAAAAATTGACACACATATGTATCTCAATACGATCTACAAAAAAGTCAGTGCGGCCGTATCTGTCAAAATTACGGTTAAAGGGTTATTTCGCATTTTTTGCCGATCCGCACACATTGGAATTTCGCTAACTCCTCCGAAGGCTTTCGTTCCACCGGCACCACATTTGCTCAGGCCAATCTACACCCCGTGGCCATTAAAAGTTATCAAAATCATGACGCTGCACCCCTCGGTTTACGTTCTAGGGGGCGCCAAAGATAACACTAAAATCCACATATTTAAAAGTCTTATAACTTTTTATTTTTGTCCTCACTGGCCTCCAAGTTTTCTAGGATGATGCAATGTCCAGCCATCAACACATTTGTGAAGGAATTTTTACTCCCCAAAAGAGCGCCCCCCCATGGCAGGAGAAAAAAGTCCATTTTTTCTTGTCCCCTAAGGTGAAAATACACATTGTTGAGTGTCACGCCTATACGCTTTGTCAAAATGACACAAAAATTGACACACACATGTAACTCAATAAGATCTACGAAAAAGTCAATGCGCGCGTATCTGTCAAATGTACGGTTAAAGGGTTATTCCGCATTTTTTGCCGATCCGCACACATTGGAATGTGGCTAACTCCTCCGAAGGCTTTCGTTCCACCGGCACCACATTTGCTCAGGCCAATCTACACCCCATGGCCATTAAAAGTTATTCAAATCATGACGCTGCACACCACGGTTTAGGTTCTAGGGGGCACCAAACATAACCCTAAAATCCACATATTTAAAAGTCTTATAACTTTTTATTTTTGTCCTCACTGGCCTCCAAGTTTTCTAGGATGATGCAATGTCCAGCCATCAACACATTTGTGAAGGAATTTTTACTCCCCAAAAGAGCGCCCCCCCATGGCAGGAGAAAAAAGTCAATTTTTTCTTGTCCCCTAAGGTGAAAATACACATTGTTGAGTGTAACACCTGTACGCTTTGGCAAAATGACACAAAAATTGACACACACATGTATCTCAATAAGATCTACGAAAAAGTCAATGCGCGCGTATCTGTCAAATGTACGGTTAAAGGGTTATTCCGCATTTTTTGCCGATCCGCACACATTGGAATTTCGCTAACTCCTCCGAAGGCTTTCGTTCCACCGGCACCACATTTGCTCAGGCCTATCTACACCCCATGGCCATTAAAAGTTATTCAAATCATGACGCTGCACCCCACGGTTTAGGTTCTAGGGGGAGCCAAAGATAACCGTAAAATCCACATATTTAAAAGTCTTATAACTTTTTATTTTTGTCCCCACTGGCCTCCAAGTTTTCTAGGATGATGCAATGTCCAGCCATCAACACATTTGTGAAGGAATTTTTACTCGCCAAAAGAGCGCCCCCCATGGCAGGAGAAAAAAGTCCATTTTTTCTTGTCCACTAAGGTGAAAATACACATTGTTGAGTGCTACGCCTGTATGTTTTGTCGTATTGACACAAAATTTTACATACACGTGTATTTCAATAAGATCTTCGAAAAAGTCAATGGCCACGTATCTGTAAAATGTACGGTTAAAGGGTTATTTCGCATTTTTTGCAGATTCGCACACATTGGAATTTCGCTATTTCCTCCGAAGGCTTTCGTTCCACCGGCACCACATTTGCTCAGGCCAATCTACACCCTATGGCCATTAAAAGTTATTCAAATCATGACGCTGCACCCCACGGTTTAGGTTCTAGGGGGCGCCAAATATAACCCTAAAATCCACATATTTAAAAGTCTTATAACTTTTTATTTTTGTCCTCACTGGCCTCCATGTTTTCTAGGATGATGCAATGTCCAGCCATCAACACATTTGTGAAGGAGTTTTTTCTCTTTAAAAGAGCGCCCCCCATGGCAGGAGAATAAAGTCAAGTTTTTCCTGTTCATCATTCAATGGCTCAAACGCACTGCTCTCTCGGCAAAAGCGAAAGGAGGAGCAACTTGCCATTTGGATATATCTTAGCTGTGTTTGTGCCCTCACTCATGGTCCAGACTTTTTTCAAATAGGACATGGAGTTTTTCTGCAGCGAGCGTTTTGGTAGAAACTGCGCCTCCCGTTCATTATAATGGTAAATGACCACAAACAAATGCGCACACCATCTTTGGACCTTGAGTGTGACGCGATCGGGTGGGGGAGGCGGTCGCGCTGGGGGCGGCGTGACACGGCTCGGGCCCGCCAGTGCCCCAACGGGGCCCTAGTTATTATTTTTCCTCCCCTTTGAACTGGAAAATGGCCCACTTCCCACTGGCGAAAACTCATGAAATTTGGCAGGACGACCGGGCCTGGTGAAAAATTTGATATTCCGAAGTCGCCCAAACAAGAAAATGCAAAATGGCTCCATAGCGCCCCCTAAGGTGAAAATTCACACTATTCACTGTCACGCCTGTACGCTTTGTCAAAATGACACAAAAATTGACACACACATGTATCTCAATAAGATCTACAAAAAAGTCAGTGCGGGCGTATCTGTCAAATGTACGGTTAAAGGGTTATTTCGCATTTTTTGCCGATCCGCACACATTGGAATTTCGCTAACTCCTCCGAAGGCTTTCGTTCCACCGGCACCACATTTGCTCAGGCCAATCTACACCCCATGGCCATTAAAAGTTATTCAAATCATGACGCTGCACCCCACGGTTTAGGTTCTAGGGGGCGCCAAAGATAACCCTAAGATCCACATATTTAAAAGTCTTATAACTTTTTATTTTTGCCCTCACTGGCCTCCAAGTTTTCTAGGATGATGCAATGTCCAGCCATCAACACATTTGTGAAGGAATTTTTACTCCCCAAAAGAGCGCCCCCCCATGGCAGGAGAAAAAAGTCCATTTTTTCTTGTCCCCTAAGGTGAAAATACACATTGTTGAGTGTAACACCTGTACGCTTTGGCAAAATGACACAAAAATTGACACACACATGTATCTCAATAAGATCTACGAAAAAGTCAATGCGCGCGTATCTGTCAAATGTACGGTTAAAGGGTTATTCCGCATTTTTTGCCGATCCGCACACATTGGAATTTCGCTAACTCCTCCGAAGGCTTTCGTTCCACCGGCACCACATTTGCTCAGGCCAATCTACACCCCATGGCCATTAAAAGTTATTCAAATCATGACGCTGCACCCCACGGTTTAGGTTCTAGGGGGCGCCAAAGATAACCCTAAAATCCACATATTTCAAAGTCTTATAACTTTTTATTTTTGTCCTCACTGGCCTCCAAGTTTTCTAGGATGATGCAATGTCCAGCCATCAACACATTTGTGAAGGAATTTTTACTCCCCAAAAGAGCGCCCCCCCATGGCAGGAGAAAAAAGTCCATTTTTTCTTGTCCCATAAGGTGAAAAAACACATTGTTGACTGTCATACCTGTACGCTTTGTCATATTGACACAAAATTTGACAATCACATGTATCTCAATAAGATCTACGAAAAAGTCAATGCGCGCGTATCTGTAAAATGTACGGTTAAAGGGCTATTTTGCATTTTTTGCCGATTCGCACACATTGGAATGTGGCTAACTCCTCCTAAGGCTTTCGTCCCACTGACACCAAATTTGCTCAGGCCAATCTACACCCCATGGCCATTCAAAGTTGTAAAAATCATGACGCTGCACCCCACGGTTTACGTTCTAGGGGGCGCCAAAGATGACCCAAATATCCACATTCTTAAAAGAATCCAATCCCCCCCCCCCCCCCATCCCTCAACCCCCAACCCCCATGGCAGGAGAAACAGTCAAGTTTTTCCTGCCCATCACTCAATGGCTCAATTGCATCACTCTCCCGGCAACACCGTAACGAGGAGCAACCTGCCATTTGGATATATCCTAGCTGTGTTTGTGCCCTCACTCATGGTCCAGACTTTTTTCAAATAGGACATGAAGTTTGTCTGCAGCGAGTGTTTTGGTAGAAACTGCGCCTCCCATTCATTATAATGGGAAATGACCACAGACAAGTGCGCACACCATCTTTGGACCTTGAGTGTGACGCGATCGGGAGGGGGAGGCGGTCGCGCTGGGGGCGGCGCGATGCGGCTCGGGCCCGACAGTGCCCCACCGGGGTCCTAGTTAGGGCCCGAGCCAGCTGCAGAGCAGCCGGGCGTAGGCCCTATTATTCCCCAAGTGGTTTTTCTTTGTTTCTTTCTTTAGGGCCCGAGCCAGCTGCAGAGCAGCCGGGCGTAGGCCCTATTATTCCCCAAGTGGTTTTTCTTTGTTTCTTTCTTTCTTTTTTCTTTTTCCTCCCCTTTGAACTGGAAAATGGCCCACTTCCCACTGGCGAAAACTCATGAAATTTGGCAGGACGACCGGGCCTGGTGAAAAATTCGATATTCTGAAGTCGCCAAAACAATAAAATGCAAAATGGCTCCATAGCGCCCCCTAAGGTGGAAATTCAAACTATTGACTGTCACGCCTGTACGCTTTGTCATATTGACACAAAAATTGACACACACATGTATCTCAATAAGATCTACAAAAAAGTCAGTGCGGCCGTATCTGTCAAAATTACGGTTAAAGGGTTATTTCGCATTTTTTGCCGATCCGCACACATTGGAATTTCGCTAACTCCTCCGAAGGCTTTCGTTCCACCGGCACCACATTTGCTCAGGCCAATCTACACCCCATGGCCATTAAAAGTTATCAAAATCATGACGCTGCACCCCAAGGTTTAGGTTCTAGGGGGCGCCAAAGATAACACTAAAATCCACATATTTAAAAGTCTTATAACTTTTTATTTTTGTCCTCACTGGCCTCCAAGTTTTCTAGGATGATGCAATGTCCAGCCATCAACACATTTGTGAAGGAATTTTTACTCCCCAAAAGAGCGCCCCCCCATGGCAGGAGAAAAAAGTCCATTTTTTCTTGTCCCCTAAGGTGAAAATACACATTGTTGAGTGTCACGCCTATACGCTTTGTCAAAATGACACAAAAATTGACACACACATGTAACTCAATAAGATCTACAAAAAAGTCCATGCGCGCGTATCTGTCAAATGTACAGTTAAAGGGTTATTCCGCATTTTTTGGCGATCCGCACACATTGGAATTTCGCTAACTCCTCCGAAGGCTTTCGTTCCACCGGCACCACATTTGCTCAGGCCAATCTACACCCCATGGCCATTAAAAGTTATTCAAATCATGATGCTGCACCCCATGGTTTAGGTTCTAGGGGGCGCCAAAAATAACCAAAAAATCTACATTCTTAAATGTTTTATAACTTTTTATTTTTGTCCTCACTGGCCTCCAAGTTTTCTAGGATGATGCAATGTCCAGCCATCAACACATTTGTTAAGGAATTTTTACTCCCCAAAAGAGCGCCCCCCCATGGTAGGAGAAAAAAGTCAATTTTTTCTTGTCCCCTTACATAAAAATACACATTGTTGAGTGTCATGCCTGAACGCTTTGTCATATTGACACAAAAATTGACAATCATGTGTATCTCAATTAGATCTACGAAAAAGTCAAAGAGCGCGTATCTGTATAATGTACGGTTAAAGGGCTATTTTGCATTTTTTGCCGATTCGCACACATTGGAATGTGGCTATCTCCTCCTAAGGCTTTCGTCCCACCGATACCAAATTTGCTCAGGGCAATCTACACCCCATGCCCATTCAAAGTTGTAAAAATCATGACGCTGCACCCCACGGTTTACGTTCTAGGGGGCGCCAAAGATGACCCAAAAATCCACATTCTTAAAAGTCATTTTGGCCACTGCAGGAGTACAGAGTACTGCAGTTCTAGGGGGCGCCAAAGATGACCCAAAAATCCACATTCTTAAAAGTCTTTTTGGCCACTGCAGGAGTACAGAGTACTGCAGGATACACACACATATACACACACGCCAACATACACACACACACACACACACACACACACACAGACACACACACACACACACTCAGAGTCTGTTTTTTAGCACCTGCAAAAACATGCTGTTTACATATTTGACAAGAATGCAGAGGCTTCCTTTTGCCCCTGAAAAAAATCAAATTTCAAACACAACTTGACTGTTCATTTCTCCAAAAGACAACCATGAAGCTCCATTTCAAACCTGAAGCAGATAGTTGGTGCATGTGTACAGTAACCTGAGGGGAGTGAGGTGACTATTTCTGAGGAGAACATGAGCAGTGAAGATTAACCTTGGAGCTAGAACAGGGACGTGCACATGATTATACAGGGGCAGGGGCTCAAGTTTTTTCCAGTCATTTATACAATATGGAAATTAATGTGAAATTAAACCACAAATATGTGTGATGAACTGTTTTTAAAACTTAAACTTCAAATAAAAATTGTAAACTTCAAAACATATGCAAATTTTTAACAAAGAACATAGTAATTTACCTCTATTTACATCAAAATGCAGGCAATGGCCCAGGCGTTCTTTGTAAAATTATTTACAAAACACTGTATAGTCTCACAAATGTCACTTTTTATTTATGCCACTACAAAAAAACATGATGTAAATGATGCATGATGTAAAACATGATGTAAAAAACTTGTGTAGATCCTCCTCTATGTCAGTCCATGTGTAATTTTTCCATAATTCTTTGTTTTTTGCAGCATTTTTGTTAGTGTAACTGCAGATTGTGCTGACAGTGTCTATGGCACAAAAAAAAAAAAAAAATTAAAATGCCTCAACATGAACCCCTGGTGGTCTCTGAGGGTGAAACCTGCTAACTGCTGCAGCTCTGTCAGCTTCAGTCTCCCATGCAGAGCTCTGAGCGCATGTGTGGCTCTGCACCCTTAGCAGCGTTGCTAACTCCTCAGTAAGGAAAGCCTGCTTCATGTCAGAGTCTCTAAACTCCAGAAGAAGTCGATAAAAGTCCCTTTCTTTCTAAAAAAAAGTCGTTAGGGGGTCTGACAACAAAGTCGCTAGGTTTGCAACTACGTGTCCCAGACTGCATCCCTGCTGAGAGTCCCTCCCTCCCTTCTCATGTTGCAGGAAGAACGTAAGCGCCCGCCCCTTGTCAATCAGTCACCATATAATTTTGGATTGGTTGTTGTGGTGAAGTTTTCCACCAATAGGAGAGATGTTGTGGTGTGTTTTTTTTTTCCTTTGGCAAGCCTTTTCCGCCTGTAAGACCTGTCGCTAATGTCTGCATGCTATGTTTTCCTGTCTCATACAGCGCGATCGAGCGCCGAACATGATCAAAATAAGCAGAAAAAAAGTATCGCGGACATAATTTATCATAACTCTGGTTTTATTTGGCCTATCAACACAATTTAAAAACTGGTATATAGGTTGAGGTCCTCACTTTTGAGATGAGTTGAAACGGAGAGTCAACGAGGCTCCGTCTTGCAGCTACATCCGGTTAAATATGTCATGTGATTTGAACGCACACATAGACACACACACACGCACACACACACACACACACACACACACACACACACACACACACACACACACACACACTCAGAGTCTGGTTTTTAGCACCTGCAAAAACATGCTATTTACATATTTGACAAGAATGCAGAGGCTCCTTTTGCCCCTGAAAAAAATCAAATTTCAAACACAACTTGACTGGTCATTTCTCCAAAAGACAACCATGAAGCTCCATCCAAACCTGAAGCAGGCAGTTGGTGCATGTGTACAGTAACCTGAGGGGAGTGAGGTGAGTGCTTCTGAGGAGAACATGAGCAGTGAAGATTCACCTTGGAGCTAGGACAGAGACATGCACATGATTATACAGGGGCAGGGGCTCAAGTTTTTTCCAGTCGTTTATACAATATGGAAATTAATGTGAAATTAAAACACAAAGTATTAATAGAAAGGTAATGACTGTCCTGTGTAGGTGACAGTGATATCCAATAGGCTAGGCACTCACGAGGCTGGCTGTGGCAAGTGTAAGTGAAAGCAACACGCACTGGCAGGAAGAACAGCAAACGCCGATGAAGGAAAAGGGTCTTTGCAGTGATGGGCGTTACCAGAGAGGGCGATGGCCAGAGGACACAAATGGGACGGGGAGGCAGCGCGTTGGGGGGGGGACGCGACACAGCTCGGGCCCGCCAGTGCCCCAACGGGGTCCTAGTTAGGGCCCGAGCGTAGCTGCTAAGCAGCTGCGAGAGCCCTCTTGTTCCTGTAGTTTCCTTCTTTTGTTATTATTATTATTTTTCCTCCCCTTTGAACTGGAAAATGGCCCACTTCCCACTGGCGAAAACTCATGATATTTGGCAGGACGACCGGGCCTGGTGAAAAATTTGATTTTCTGAAGTCGCCCAAACAAGAAAATGCAAAATGGCTCCATAGCGCCCCCTAAGGTGAAAATTCACACTATTGACTGTCACGCCTGTACGCTTTGTCAAAATGACACAAAAATTGACACACACATGTATCTCAATAAGATCTACAAAAAAGTCAGTGCGGGCGTATCTGTCAAATGTACGGTTAAAGGGTTATTTCGCATTTTTTGCCGATCCGCACACATTGGAATTTCGCTAACTCCTCCGAAGGCTTTCGTTCCACCGGCACCACATTTGCTCAGGCCAATCTACACCCCATGGCCATTAAAAGTTATTCAAATTGAGACGCTGCACCCCACGGTTTAGGTTCTAGGGGGCGCCAAAGATAACCCTAAAATCCACATATTTAAAAGTCTTATAACTTTTTATTTTTGTCCTCACTGGCCTCCAAGTTTTCTAGGATGATGCAATGTCCAGCCATCAACACATCTGTGAAGGAATTTTTACTCCCCAAAAGAGCGCCCCCCCATGGCAGGAGAAAAAAGTCCATTTTTTCTTGACCCCTAAGGTGAAAATACACATTGTTGAGTGTCATGCCTGTACGCTTTGGCAAAATGACACAAAAATTGACACACACGTGTATCTCAATAAGATCTACGAAAAAGTCAATGCGCGCGTACCTGTCAAATGTACGGTTAAAGGGTTATTCCGCATTTTTTGCCGATCCGCACACATTGGAATTTCGCTAACTCCTCCGAAGGCTTTCGTTCCACCGGCACCACATTTGCTCAGGCCAATCTACACCCCATGGCCATTAAAAGTTATTCAAATCATGACGCTGCACCCCACGGTTTACGTTCTAGGGGGCGCCAAAGATAACCCTAAAATCCACATATTTCAAAGTCTTATAACTTTTTATTTTTGTCCTCACTGGCCTCCAAGTTTTCTAGGATGATGCAATGTCCAGCCATCAACACATTTGTGAAGGAATTTTTACTCCCCAAAAGAGCGCCCCCCCATGGCAGGAGAAAAAAGTCAATTTTTTCTTGTCCCGTAAGGTGAAAATTCACATTGTTGAGTGTGACACCTGTACGCTTTGTCATATTGACACAAAATTTGACAATCACGTGTATCTCAATAAGATCTACGAAAAAGTCAATGCACGCGTATCTGTCAAATATATGGTTAGAGGGCTATTTTGCATTTTTTGCCGATTCGCACACATTGGAATGTGGCTAACTCCTCCTAAGGCTTTCGTCCCACTGAAACCAAATTTGCTCAGGCCAATCTACACCCCATGGCCATTCAAAGTTGTAAAAATCATGACGCTGCACCCCACGGTTTACGTTCTAGGGGGCGCCAAAGATGACCCAAAAATCCACATTATTAAAAGAATCCACATTCCCCCCCCCCCCCCCATGGCACGAGAAAAAGTCAAGTTTTTCCTGCCCATCGCTCAATGGCTCAATCGCATCGCTCTCCAGGCAAAACCGTAAGGAGGAGCAACCTGCCATTTGGATATATATCCCAGCTGTGTTTGTGCCCTCACTCATGGTCCACACTTTTTTCAAATAGGACAAGAAGTTTGTCTGCAGCGAGTGTTTTGGTAGAAACTGCGCCTCCCATTCATTATAATGGGAAATGACTACAGACAAGTGCGCACACCATCTTTGGACCTTGAGTGTGACGCGATTGGGAGGGGGAGGCGGTCGCGCTGGGGGCGGCGCGACGCGGCTCGGGCCCGACAGTGCCCCACCGGGGCCCTAGTTAGGGCCCGAGCGTAGCTGCTAAGCAGCTGCGAGAGCCCTCTTGTTCCTGTAGTTTCCTTCTTTTGTTATTATTATTTTTCCTCCCCTTTGAACTGGAAAATGGCCCACTTCCCACTGGCGAAAACTCATGAAATTTGGCAGGACGACCGGGCCTGGTGAAAAATTTGATATTCCGAAGTCGCCCAAACAAGAAAATGCAAAATGGCTCCATAGCGCCCCCTAAGGTGAAAATTCACACTATTGACTGTCACGCCTGTACGCTTTGTCAAAATGACACAAAAATTGACACACACATGTATCTCAATAAGATCTACAAAAAAGTCAGTGCGGGCGTATCTGTCAAATGTACGGTTAAAGGGTTATTTCGCATTTTTTGCCGATCCGCACACATTGGAATTTCGCTAACTCCTCCGAAGGCTTTCGTTCCACCGGCACCACATTTGCTCAGGCCAATCTACACCCCATGGCCATTAAAAGTTATTCAAATCATGACGCTGCACCCCACGGTTTAGGTTCTAGGGGGCGCCAAAGATAACCCTAAAATCCACATATTTAAAAGTCTTATAACTTTTTATTTTTGTCCTCACTGGCCTCCAAGTTTTCTAGGATGATGCAATGTCCAGCCATCAACACATTTGTGAAGGAATTTTTACTCCCCAAAAGAGCGCCCCCCATGGCAGGAGAAAAAAGTCAATTTTTTCTTGTCCCCTAAGGTGGAAATTCACACTATTGACTGTCACGCCTGTATGCTTTATCATATTGACACAAAATTTGACAATCACATGTATCTCAATAAGATCTACAAAAAAGTCAATGCGCGCGTATCTGTCAAATGTACGGTTAAAGGGCTATTTTGCATTTTTTGCCGATTCGCACACATTGGAATGTGGCTAACTCCTCCTAAGGCTTTCGTCCCACTGACACCAAATTTGCTCAGGCCAATCTACACCCCATGGTCATTCAAAGTTGTAAAAATCATGACGCTGCACCCCACGGTTTACGTTCTAGGGGGCGCCAAAGATGACCCAAATATCCACATTCTTAAAAGAATCCACATCCCCCCCCCCCCCCATCCCCCAACCCCCATGGCAGGAGAAACAGTCAAGTTTTTCCTGCCCATCACTCAATGGCTCAATCGCATCACTCTCCCGGCAACACCGTAACAAGGAGCAACTTGCCGTTTGGATATATCCTAGCTGTGTTTGTGCCCTCACTCATGGTCCAGACTTTTTTCAAATAGGACATGTAGTTTGTCTGCAGCGAGTGTTTTGGTAGAAACTGCGCCTCCCATTCATTATAATGGGAAATGACCACAGACAAGTGCGCACACCATCTTTGGACCTTGAGTGTGACGCGATCGGGAGGGGGAGGCGGTCGCGCTGGGGGCGGCGCAACGCAGCTCGGGCCCGACAGTGCCCCACCGGGGCCCTAGTTCTTTCTTTCTTTCTTCTTTTTCCTCCCCTTTGAACTGGAAAATGGCCCACTTCCCACTGGCGAAAACTCATGAAATTTGGCAGGACGACCGGGCCTGGTGAAAAATTCGATATTCTGAAGTCGCCCAAACAATAAAATGCAAAATGGCTCCATAGCGCCCCCTAAGGTGGAAATTCACACTATTGACTGTCACGCCTGTACGCTTTGTCATATTGACACAAAAATTGACACACATATGTATCTCAATAAGATCTACAAAAAAGTCAGTGCGGCCGTATCTGTCAAAATTACGGTTAAAGGGTTATTTCGCATTTTTTGCCGATCCGCACACATTGGAATTTCGCTAACTCCTCCGAAGGCTTTCGTTCCACCGGCACCACATTTGCTCAGGCCAATCTACACCCCGTGGCCATTAAAAGTTATTCAAATCATGATGCTGCACCCCATGGTTTAGGTTCTAGGGGGCGCCAAAAATAACCCAAAAATCCACATTCTTAAATGTTTTATAACTTTTTATTTTTGTCCTCACTGGCCTCCAAGTTTTCTAGGATGATGCAATGTCCAGCCATCAACACATTTGTGAAGGAATTTTTACTCCCCAAAAGAGCGCCCCCCATGGTAGGAGAAAAAAGTCAATTTTTTCTTGTCCCCTTACATAAAAATACACATTGTTGAGTGTCACGCCTGAACGCTTTGTCATATTGACACAAAAATTGACAATCATGTGTATCTCAATTAGATCTACGAAAAAGTCAAAGAGCGCGTATCTGTATAATGTACGGTTAAAGGGCTATTTTGCATTTTTTGCCGATTCGCACACATTGGAATGTGGCTATCTCCTCCTAAGGCTTTCGTCCCACCGATACCAAATTTGCTCAGGGCAATCTACACCCCATGCCCATTCAAAGTTGTAAAAATCATGACGCTGCACCCCACGGTTTACGTTCTAGGGGGCGCCAAAGATGACCCAAAAATCCACATTCTTAAAAGTCATTTTGGCCACTGCAGGAGTACAGAGTACTGCAGTTCTAGGGGGCGCCAAAGATGACCCAAAAATCCACATTCTTAAAAGTCTTTTTGGCCACTGCAGGAGTACAGAGTACTGCAGGATACACACACATATACACACACGCCAACATACATACACACACACACACACACACACACACACACACACACACACACACACACACACACACACACACACACACACACACACACACTCAGAGTCTGTTTTTTAGCACCTGCAAAAACATGCTGTTTACATATTTGACAAGAATGCAGAGGCTTCCTTTTGCCCCTGAAAAAAATCAAATTTCAAACACAACTTGACTGTTCATTTCTCCAAAAGACAACCATGAAGCTCCATTTCAAACCTGAAGCAGATAGTTGGTGCATGTGTACAGTAACCTGAGGGGAGTGAGGTGACTATTTCTGAGGAGAACATGAGCAGTGAAGATTCACCTTGGAGCTAGAACAGGGACGTGCACATGATTATACAGGGGCAGGGGCTCAAGTTTTTTCCAGTCATTTATACAATATGGAAATTAATGTGAAATTAAACCACAAATATGTGTGATGAACTGTTTTTAAAACTTAAACTTCAAATAAAAATTGTAAACTTCAAAACATATGCAAATTTTTAACAAAGAACATAGTAATTTACCTCTATTTACATCAAAATGCAGGCAATGGCCCAGGCGTTCTTTGTAAAATTATTTACAAAACACTGTATAGTCTCACAAATGTCACTTTTTATTTATGCCACTACAAAAAAACATGATGTAAATGATGCATGATGTAAAACATGATGTAAAAAACTTGTGTAGATCCTCCTCTATGTCAGTCCATGTGTAATTTTTCCATAATTCTTTGTTTTTTGCAGCATTTTTGTTAGTGTAACTGCAGATTGTGCTGACAGTGTCTATGGCACAAAAAAAAAAAAAATTAAAATGCCTCAACATGAACCCCTGGTGGTCTCTGAGGGTGAAACCTGCTAACTGCTGCAGCTCTGTCAGCTTCAGTCTCCCATGCAGAGCTCTGAGCGCATGTGTGGCTCTGCACCCTTAGCAGCGTTGCTAACTCCTCAGTAAGGAAAGCCTGCTTCATGTCAGAGTCTCTAAACTCCAGAAGAAGTCGATAAAAGTCCCTTTCTTTCTAAAAAAAAAGTCGTTAGGGGGTCTGAAAAGTCATTGAATCTAACAACAAAGTCGCTAGGTTTGCAACTACGTGTCCCAGACTGCATCCCTGCTGAGAGTCCCTCCCTCGCTTCTCATGTTGCAGGAAGAACGTAAGCACCCGCCCCTTGTCAATCAGTCACCATATAATTTTGGATTGGTTGTTGTGGTGAAGTTTTCCACCAATAGGAGAGATGTTGTGGTGTGTTTTTTTTTTCTTTTGGCAAGCCTTTTCCGCCTGTAAGACCTGTCGCTAATGTCTGCATGCTATGTTTTCCTGTCTCATACAGCGCGATCGAGCGCCGAACGTGATCAAAATAAGCAGAAAAAAAGTATCGCGGACATAATTTATCATAACTCTGGTTTTATTTGGCCTATCAACACAATTTAAAAACTGGTATATAGGTTGAGGTCCTCACTTTTGAGATAAGTTGAAACGGAGAGTCAACGAGGCTCCGTCTTGCAGCTACATCCGGTTAAATATGTCATGTGACTTGAACGCACACACAGACACACACACACGCACACACACACACACACACTCAGAGTCTGGTTTTTAGCACCTGCAAAAACATGCTATTTACATATTTGACAAGAATGCAGAGGCTCCTTTTGCCCCTGAAAAAAATCAAATTTCAAACACAACTTGACTGGTCATTTCTCCAAAAGACAACCATGAAGCTCCATCCAAACCTGAAGCAGGCAGTTGGTGCATGTGTACAGTAACCTGAGGGGAGTGAGGTGAGTGCTTCTGAGGAGAACATGAGCAGTGAAGATTCACCTTGGAGCTAGAACAGAGACATGCACATGATTATACAGGGGCAGGGGCTCAAGTTTTTTCCAGTCGTTTATACAATATGGAAATTAATGTGAAATTAAAACACAAAGTATTAATAGAAAGGTAATGACTGTCCTGTGTAGGTGACAGTGATATCGAATAGGCTAGGCACTCACGAGGCTGGCTGTGGCAAGTGTAAGTGAAAGCAACACGCACTGGCAGGAAGAACAGCAAACGCCGATGAAGGAAAAGGGTCTTTGCAGTGATGGGCGTTACCAGAGAGGGCGATGGCCAGAGGACACAAATGGGACGGGGAGGCAGCACGTTGGGGGGGGGGGGGGGGGGGGGCGACACGGCTCGGGCCCGCCAGTGCCCCAACGGGGTCCTAGTTCTTTCTTTCTTTCTTCTTTTTCCTCCCCTTTGAACTGGAAAATGGCCCACTTCCCACTGGCGAAAACTCATGAAATTTGGCAGGACGACCGGGCCTGGTGAAAAATTCGATATTCTGAAGTCGCCCAAACAATAAAATGCAAAATGGCTCCATAGCGCCCCCTAAGGTGGAAATTCACACTATTGACTGTCACGCCTGTACGCTTTGTCATATTGACACAAAAATTGACACACATATGTATCTCAATAAGATCTACAAAAAAGTCAGTGCGGGCGTATCTGTCAAAATTACGGTTAAAGGGTTATTTCGCATTTTTTGCCGATCCGCACACATTGGAATTTCGCTAACTCCTCCGAAGGCTTTCGTTCCACCGGAACCACATTTGCTCAGGCCAATCTACACCCCGTGGCCATTAAAAGTTATCAAAATCATGACGCTGCACCCCAAGGTTTAGGTTCTAGGGGGCGCCAAAGATAACACTAAAATCCACATATTTAAAAGTCTTATAACTTTTTATTTTTGTCCTCACTGGCCTCCAAGTTTTCTAGGATGATGCAATGTCCAGCCATCAACACATTTGTGAAGGAATTTTTACTCCCCAAAAGAGCGCCCCCCATGGCAGGAGAAAAAAGTCCATTTTTTCTTGTCCCCTAAGGTGAAAATACACATTGTTGAGTGTCACGCCTATACGCTTTGTCAAAATGACACAAAAATTGACACACACATGTAACTCAATAAGATCTACGAAAAAGTCAATGCGCGCGTATCTGTCAAATGTACGGTTAAAGGGTTATTCCGCATTTTTTGCCGATCCGCACACATTGGAATTTCGCTAACTCCTCCTAAGGCTTTCTTTCCACCGGCACCACATTTGCTCAGGCCAATCTACACCCCATGGCCATTAAAAGTTATCAAAATCATGACGCTGCACCCCACGGTTTAGGTTCTAGGGGGCGCCAAAGATAACCCTAAAATCCACATATTTAAAAGTCTTATAACTTTTTAGGGCCCGAGCGTAGCTGCTAAGCAGCTGCGAGAGCCCTATTATTCCCCAAGTGGTTTTTCTTTGTTTCTTTCTTTCTTTCTTTCTTTCTTTCTTCTTTTTCCTCCCCTTTGAACTGGAAAATGGCCCACTTCCCACTGGCGAAAACTCATGAAATTTGGCAGGACGACCGGGCCTGGTGAAAAATTCGATATTCTGAAGTCGCCCAAACAATAAAATGCAAAATGGCTCCATAGCGCCCCCTAAGGTGGAAATTCACACTATTGACTGTCACGCCTGTACGCTTTGTCATATTGACACAAAAATTGACACACATATGTATCTCAATAAGATCTACAAGAAAGTCAGTGCGGCCGTATCTGTCAAAATTACGGTTAAAGGGTTATTTCGCATTTTTTGCCGATCCGCACACATTGGAATTTCGCTAACTCCTCCGAAGGCTTTCGTTCCACCGGCACCACATTTGCTCAGGCCAATCTACACCCCGTGGCCATTAAAAGTTATCAAAATCATGACGCTGCACCCCAAGGTTTAGGTTCTAGGGGGCGCCAAAGATAACACTAAAATCCACATATTTAAAAGTCTTATAACTTTTTATTTTTGCCCTCACTGGCCTCCAAGTTTTCTAGGATGATGCAATGTCCAGCCATCAACACATTTATGAAGGAATTTTTACTCCCCAAAAGAGCGCCCCCCCATGGCAGGAGAAAAAAGTCAATTTTTTCTTGTCCCCTAAGGTGAAAATACACATTGTTGAGTGTCACGCCTATACGCTTTGTCAAAATGACACAAAAATTGACACACACATGTAACTCAATAAGATCTACGAAAAAGTCAATGCGCGCGTATCTGTCAAATGTACGGTTAAAGGGTTATTCCGCATTTTTTGCCGATCCGCACACATTGGAATGTGGCTAACTCCTCCTAAGGCTTTCGTTCCACCGGCACCACATTTGCTCAGGCCAATCTACACCCCATGGCCATTAAAAGTTATCAAAATCATGACGCTGCACCCCACGGTTTAGGTTCTAGGGGGCGCCAAAGATAACCCTAAAATCCACATATTTAAAAGTCTTATAACTTTTTATTTTTGTCCTCACTGGCCTCCAAGTTTTCTAGGATGATGCAATGTCCAGCCATCAACACAATTGTGAAGGAATTTTTACTCCCCAAAAGAGCGCCCCCCCCATGGCAGGAGAAAAAAGTCCATTTTTTCTTGTCCCCTAAGGTGAAAATACACATTGTTGAGTGTCACGCCTATACGCTTTGTCAAAATGACACAAAAATTGACACACACGTAACTCAATAAGATCTACGAAAAAGTCAATGCGCGCGTATCTGTCAAATGTACGGTTAAAGGGTTATTTCGCATTTTTTGCCGATCCGCACACATTGGAATGTGGCTAACTCCTCCTAAGGCTTTCGTTCCACCGGCACCACATTTGCTCAGGCCAATCTACACCCCATGGCCATTAAAAGTTATCAAAATCATGACGCTGCACCCCACGGTTTAGGTTCTAGGGGGCGCCAAAGATAACCCTAAAATCCACATATTTAAAAGTCTTATAACTTTTTATTTTTGTCCTCACTGGCCTCCAAGTTTTCTAGGATGATGCAATGTCCAGCCATCAACACATTTGTGAAGGAATTTTTACTCCCCAAAAGAGCACCCCCCCATGGCAGGAGAAAAAAGTCCATTTTTTCTTGTCCCTTAAGGTGAAAATACATATTGTTGAGATTCACGCCTATACGCTTTGTCATATTGACACAAAATTTGACAATCACGTGCCTTGCCTGGTATCATTTTTTTCAGCACAACCTCACCTGTGCGAATTTACAGTTATTTTATCATGTTGACATACTGAATTTACACAATGGACCCAAATTCACACACAAAACATAAAATCCGAGTGGAAAAAAGTAACATTTTTACTGTGAAAACCACAAATATGTGTGATGAACTGTTTTTAAAACTTAAACTTCAAATAAAAATTGTAAACTTCAAAACATATGCAAATTTTTAACAAAGAACATAGTGATTTACCTCTATTTACATCAAAATGCAGGCAATGGCCCAGGCGTTCTTTGTAAAATTATTTACAAAACACTGTATAGTCTCACAAATGTCACTTTTTATTTATGCCACTACAATTAAACATGATGTAAATGATGCATGATGTAAAACATGATGTAAAAAACTTGTGTAGATCCTCCTCTATGTCAGTCCATGTGTAATTTTTCCATAATTCTTTGTTTTTTGCAGCATTTTTGTTAGTGTAACTGCAGATTGTGCTGACAGTGTCTATGGCACAAAAAAAAAAAAAAATTAAAATGCCTCAACATGAACCCCTGGTGGTCTCTGAGGGTGAAACCTGCTAACTGCTGCAGCTCTGTCAGCTTCAGTCTCCCATGCAGAGCTCGGAGCGCATGTGTGGCTCTGCACCCTTAGCAGCGTTGCTAACTCCTCAGTAAGGAAAGCCTGCTTCATGTCAGAGTCTCTAAACTCCAGAAGAAGTCGATAAAAGTCCCTTTGTTTAAAAAAAAAAGTCGTTAGGGGGTCTGAAAAGTCATTGAATCTAACAACAAAGTCGCTAGGTTTGCAACTACGTGTCCCAGACTGCATCCTTGCTGAGAGTCCCTCCCTCCCTTCTCATGCTGCAGGAAGAACGTAAGCGCCCGCCCCTTGTCAATCAGTCACCATATAATTTTGGATTGGTTGTTGTGGTGAAGTTTTCCACCAATAGGAGAGATGTTGTGGTGTGTTTTTTTTCTTTTGGCAAGCCTTTTCCGCCTGTAAGAGCTGTCGCTAATGTCTGCATGCTATGTTTTCCTGTCTCATACAGCGCGATCGAGCGCCGAACGTGATCAAAATAAGCAGAAAAAAAGTATCGCGGACATAATTTATCATAACTCTGGTTTTATTTGGCCTATCAACACAATTTAAAAACTGGTATATAGGTTGAGGTCCTCACTTTTGAGATAAGTTGAAACGGAGAGTCAACGAGGCTCCGTCTTGCAGCTACATCCGGTTAAATATGTCATGTGACTTGAACGCACACACAGACACACACACACGCACACACACACACACACACACGCACACACGCACACACACACACACACACACACACACACACACACACACACACACACACACACACACTCAGAGTCTGGTTTTTAGCACCTGCAAAAACATGCTATTTACATATTTGACAAGAATGCAGAGGCTCCTTTTGCCCCTGAAAAAAATCTCATTTCAAACACAACTTGACTGGTCATTTCTCCAAAAGACAACCATGAAGCTCCATCCAAACCTGAAGCAGGCAGTTGGTGCATGTGTACAGTAACCTGAGGGGAGTGAGGTGAGTGCTTCTGAGGAGAACATGAGCAGTGAAGATTCACCTTGGAGCTAGAACAGAGACATGCACATGATTATACAGGGGCAGGGGCTCAAGTTTTTTCCAGTCGTTTATACAATATGGAAATTAATGTGAAATTAAAACACAAAGTATTAATAGAAAGGTAATGACTGTCCTGTGTAGGTGACAGTGATATCGAATAGGCTAGGCACTCACGAGGCTGGCTGTGGCAAGTGTAAGTGAAAGCAACACGCACTGGCAGGAAGAACAGCAAACGCCGATGAAGGGAAAGGGTCTTTGCAGTGATGGGCGTTAACAGAGAGGGCGATGGCCAGAGGACACAAATGGGACGGGGAGGCAGCACGTTGGGGGGGGGGGGGGGGGGCGACGCGACACGGCTCGGGCCCGCCAGTGCCCCAACGGGGTCCTAGTTATTTTTGTCCTCACTGGCCTCCAAGTTTTCTAGGATGATGCAATGTCCAGCCATCAACACATTTGTGAAGGAATTTTTACTCCCCAAAAGAGCGCCCCCCCATGGCAGGAGAAAAAAGTCCATTTTTTCTTGTCCCTTAAGGTGAAAATACATATTGTTGAGATTCACGCCTATACGCTTTGTCATATTGACACAAAATTTGACAATCACGTGCCTTGCCTGGTATCATTTTTTTCAGCACAACCTCACCTGTGCGAATTTACAGTTATTTTATCATGTTGACATACTGAATTTACACAATGGACCCAAATTCACACACAAAACATAAAATCCGAGTGGAAAAAAGTAACATTTTTACTGTGAAAACCACAAATATGTGTGATGAACTGTTTTTAAAACTTAAACTTCAAATAAAAATTGTAAACTTCAAAACATATGCAAATTTTTAACAAAGAACATAGTGATTTACCTCTATTTACATCAAAATGCAGGCAATGGCCCAGGCGTTCTTTGTAAAATTATTTACAAAACACTGTATAGTCTCACAAATGTCACTTTTTATTTATGCCACTACAAAAAAACATGATGTAAATGATGCATGATGTAAAACATGATGTAAAATACTTGTGTAGATCCTCCTCTATGTCAGTCCATGTGTAATTTTTCCACAATTCTTTGTTTTTTGCAGCATTTTTGTTAGTGTAACTGCAGATTGTGCTGACAGTGTCTATGGCACAAAAAAAAAAAAATTAAAATGCCTCAACATGAACCCCTGGTGGTCTCTGAGGGTGAAACCTGCTAACTGCTGCAGCTCTGTCAGCTTCAGTCTCCCATGCAGAGCTCTGAGCGCATGTGTGGCTCTGCACCCTTAGCAGCGTTGCTAACTCCTCAGTAAGGAAAGCCTGCTTCATGTCAGAGTCTCTAAACTCCAGAAGAAGTAGATAAAAGTCCCTTTCTTTCTAAAAAAAAGTCGTTAGGGGGTCTGAAAAGTCATTGAATCTAACAACAAAGTCGCTAGGTTTGCAACTACGTGTCCCAGACTGCATCCCTGCTGAGAGTCCCTCCCTCCCTTCTCATGTTGCAGGAAGAACGTAAGCACCCGCCCCTTGTCAATCAGTCACCATATAATTTTGGATTGGTTGTTGTGGTGAAGTTTTCCACCAATAGGAGAGATGTTGTGGTGTGTTTTTTTTTTCCTTTGGCAAGCCTTTTCCGCCTGTAAGACCTGTCGCTAATGTCTGCATGCTATGTTTTCCTGTCTCATACAGCGCGATCGAGCGCCGAACGTGATCAAAATAAGCAGAAAACAAGTATCGCGGACATAATTTATCATAACTCTGGTTTTATTTGGCCTATCAACACAATTTAAAAACTGGTATATAGGTTGAGGTCCTCACTTTTGAGATTAGTTGAAACGGAGAGTCAACGAGGCTCCGTCTTGCAGCTACATCCGGTTAAATATGTCATGTGACTTGAACGCACACACACACACACACACACACACACACACACACACACACAGACACACACACACACGCACACACACACACTCAGAGTCTGGTTTTTAGCACCTGCAAAAACATGCTATTTACATATTTGACAAGAATGCAGAGGCTCCTTTTGCCCCTGAAAAAAATCACATTTCAAACACAACTTGACTGCTCATTTCTCCAAAAGACAACCATGAAGCTCCATCCAAACCTGAAGCAGGCAGTTGGTGCATGTGTACAGTAACCTGAGGGGAGTGAGGTGACTGCTTCTGAGGAGAACATGAGCAGTGAAGATTCACCTTAGAGCTAGAACAGAGACGTGCACATGATTATACAGGGGCAGGGGCTCAAGTTTTTTCCAGTTGTTTATACAATATGGAAATTAATGTGAAATTAAAAAACAAAGTATTAATAGAAAGGTAATGACTGTCCTGTGTAGGTGACAGTGATATCCAATAGGCTAGGCACTCACGAGGCTGGCTGTGGCAAGTGTAAGTGAAAGCAACACGCACTGGCAGGAAGAACAGCAAACGCCGATGAAGGAAAAGGGTCTTTGCAGTGATGGGCGTTACCAGAGAGGGCGATGGCCAGAGGACACAAATAAGACGGGGAGGCAGCGCGTTGGGGGGGGGACGCGACACGGCTCGGGCCCGCCAGTGCCCCAACGGGGTCCTAGTTCTTTCTTTCTTTCTTCTTTTTCCTCCCCTTTGAACTGGAAAATGGCCCACTTCCCACTGGCGAAAACTCATGAAATTTGGCAGGACGACCGGGCCTGGTGAAAAATTCGATATTCTGAAGTCGCCCAAACAATGAAATGCAAAATGGCTCCATAGCGCCCCCTAAGGTGGAAATTCACACTATTGACTGTCACGCCTGTACGCTTTGTCATATTGACACAAAAATTGACACACATATGTATCTCAATAAGATCTACAAAAAAGTCAGTGCGGCCGTATCTGTCAAATGTACGGTTAAAGGGTTATTTCGCATTTTTTGCCGATCCGCACACATTGGAATTTCGCTAACTCCTCCGAAGGCTTTCGTTCCACCGGCACCACATTTGCTCAGGCCAATCTACACCCCGTGGCCATTAAAAGTTATCAAAATCATGACGCTGCACCCCAAGGTTTAGGTTCTAGGGGGCGCCAAAGATAACACTAAAATCCACATATTTAAAAGTCTTATAACTTTTTATTTTTGTCCTCACTGGCCTCCAAGTTTTCTAGGATGATGCAATGTCCAGCCATCAACACATTTGTGAAGGAATTTTTACTCCCCAAAAGAGCGCCCCCCCATGGCAGGAGAAAAAAGTCCATTTTTTCTTGTCCCCTAAGGTGAAAAAAAACATTGTTGAGTGTCACGCCTATACGCTTTGTCAAAATGACACAAAAATTGACACACACATGTAACTCAATAAGATCTACGAAAAAGTCAATGCCCGCGTATCTGTCAAATGTACGGTTAAAGGGTTATTCCGCATTTTTTGCCGATCCGCACACATTGGAATGTGGCTAACTCCTCCTAAGGCTTTCGTTCCACCGGCACCACATTTGCTCAGGCCAATCTACACCCCATGGCCATTAAAAGTTATTCAAATCATGACGCTGCACCCCACGGTTTAGGTTCTAGGGGGCGCCAAAGATAACCCTAAAATCCACATATTTAAAAGTCTTATAACTTTTTATTTTTGTCCTCACTGGCCTCCAAGTTTTCTAGGATGATGCAATGTCCAGCCATCAACACATTTGTGAAGGAATTTTTACTCCCCAAAAGAGCGCCCCCCCATGGCAGGAGAAAAAAGTCCATTTTTTCTTGTCCCCTAAGGTGAAAATACATATTGTTGAGATTCACGCCTATACGCTTTGTCATATTGACACAAAATTTGACAATCACGTGCCTTGCCTGGTATCATTTTTTTCAGCACAACCTCACCTGTGCGAATTTACAGTTATTTTATCATGTTGACATACTGAATTTACACAATGGACCCAAATTCACACACAAAACATAAAATCCGAGTGGAAAAAAGTAACATTTTTACTGTGAAAACCACAAATATGTGTGATGAACTGTTTTTAAAACTTAAACTTCAAATAAAAATTGTAAACTTCAAAACATATGCAAATTTTTAACAAAGAACATAGTGATTTACCTCTATTTTCATCAAAATGCAGGCAATGGCCCAGGCGTTCTTTGTAAATTATTTACAAAACACTGTATAGTCTCACAAATGTCACTTTTTATTTATGCCACTACAAAAAAACATGATGTAAATGATGCATGATGTAAAACATGATGTAAAAAACTTGTGTAGATCCTCCTCTATGTCAGTCCATGTGTAATTTTTCCATAATTCTTTGTTTTTTGCAGCATTTTTGTTAGTGTAACTGCAGATTGTGCTGACAGTGTCTATGGCACAAAAAAAAAAAAAATTAAAATGCCTCAACATGAACCCCTGGTGGTCTCTGAGGGTGAAACCTGCTAACTGCTGCAGCTCTGTCAGCTTCAGTCTCCCATGCAGAGCTCTGAGCGCATGTGTGGCTCTGCATCCTTAGCAGCGTTGCTAACTCCTCAGTAAGGAAAGCCTGCTTCATGTCAGAGTCTCTAAACTCCAGAAGAAGTCGATAAAAGTCCCTTTCTTTCTAAAAAAAAAGTTGTTAGGGGGTCTGAAAAGTCATTGAATCTAACAACAAAGTCGCTAGGTTTGCAACTACGTGTCCCAGACTGCATCCCTGCTGAGAGTCCCTCCCTCCCTTCTCATGTTGCAGGAAGAACGTAAGCACCCGCCCCTTGTCAATCAGTCACCATATAATTTTGGATTGGTTGTTGTGGTGAAGTTTTCCACCAATAGGAGAGATGTTGTGGTGTGTTTTTTTTTTCTTTTGGCAAGCCTTTTCCGCCTGTAAGACCTGTCGCTAATGTCTGCATGCTATGTTTTCCTGTCTCATACAGCGCGATCGAGCGCCGAACGTGATCAAAATAAGCAGAAAAAAAGTATCGCGGACATAATTTATCATAACTCTGGTTTTATTTGGCCTATCAACACAATTTAAAAACTGGTATATAGGTTGAGGTCCTCACTTTTGAGATAAGTTGAAACGGAGAGTCAACGAGGCTCCGTCTTGCAGCTACATCCGGTTAAATATGTCATGTGACTTGAACGCACACACACACACGCACACACACACAGACACACGCACACACACACACACACTCAGAGTCTGGTTTTTAGCACCTGCAAAAACATGCTATTTACATATTTGACAAGAATGCAGAGGCTCCTTTTGCCCCTGAAAAAAATCAAATTTCAAACACAACTTGACTGCTCATTTCTCCAAAAGACAACCATGAAGCTCCATCCAAACCTGAAGCAGGCAGTTGGTGCATGTGTACAGTAACCTGAGGGGAGTGAGGTGACTGCTTCTGAGGAGAACATGAGCAGTGAAGATTCACCTTAGAGCTAGAACAGAGACGTGCACATGATTATACAGGGGCAGGGGCTCAAGTTTTTTCCAGTTGTTTATACAATATGGAAATTAATGTGAAATTAAAAAACAAAGTATTAATAGAAAGGTAATGACTGTCCTGTGTAGGTGACAGTGATATCCAATAGGCTAGGCACTCACGAGGCTGGCTGTGGCAAGTGTAAGTGAAAGCAACACGCACTGGCAGGAAGAACAGCAAACGCCGATGAAGGAAAAGGGTCTTTGCAGTGATGGGCGTTACCAGAGAGGGCGATGGCCAGAGGAAACAAATGGGACGGGGAGGCAGCGCGTTGGGGGGGGGACGCGACACAGCTCGGGCCCGCCAGTGCCCCAACGGGGTCCTAGTTAGGGCCCGAGCCAGCTGCAGAGCAGCCGGGCGTAGGCCCTATTATTCCCCAAGTGGTTTTTCTTTGTTTCTTTCTTTCTTTTTTCTTTTTCCTCCCCTTTGAACTGGAAAATGGCCCACTTCCCACTGGCGAAAACTCATGAAATTTGGCAGGACGACCAGGCCTGGTGAAAAATTCGATATTCTGAAGTCGCCCAAACAATAAAATGCAAAATGGCTCCATAGCGCCCCCTAAGGTGGAAATTCACACTATTGACTGTCACGCCTGTACGCTTTGTCATATTGACACAAAAATTGACACACATATGTATCTCAATACGATCTACAAAAAAGTCAGTGCGGCCGTATCTGTCAAAATTACGGTTAAAGGGTTATTTCGCATTTTTTGCCGATCCGCACACATTGGAATTTCGCTAACTCCTCCGAAGGCTTTCGTTCCACCGGCACCACATTTGCTCAGGCCAATCTACACCCCGTGGCCATTAAAAGTTATCAAAATCATGACGCTGCACCCCTCGGTTTACGTTCTAGGGGGCGCCAAAGATAACACTAAAATCCACATATTTAAAAGTCTTATAACTTTTTATTTTTGTCCTCACTGGCCTCCAAGTTTTCTAGGATGATGCAATGTCCAGCCATCAACACATTTGTGAAGGAATTTTTACTCCCCAAAAGAGCGCCCCCCCATGGCAGGAGAAAAAAGTCCATTTTTTCTTGTCCCCTAAGGTGAAAATACACATTGTTGAGTGTCACGCCTATACGCTTTGTCAAAATGACACAAAAATTGACACACACATGTAACTCAATAAGATCTACGAAAAAGTCAATGCGCGCGTATCTGTCAAATGTACGGTTAAAGGGTTATTCCGCATTTTTTGCCGATCCGCACACATTGGAATGTGGCTAACTCCTCCGAAGGCTTTCGTTCCACCGGCACCACATTTGCTCAGGCCAATCTACACCCCATGGCCATTAAAAGTTATTCAAATCATGACGCTGCACACCACGGTTTAGGTTCTAGGGGGCACCAAACATAACCCTAAAATCCACATATTTAAAAGTCTTATAACTTTTTATTTTTGTCCTCACTGGCCTCCAAGTTTTCTAGGATGATGCAATGTCCAGCCATCAACACATTTGTGAAGGAATTTTTACTCCCCAAAAGAGCGCCCCCCATGGCAGGAGAAAAAAGTCAATTTTTTCTTGTCCCCTAAGGTGAAAATACACATTGTTGAGTGTAACACCTGTACGCTTTGGCAAAATGACACAAAAATTGACACACACATGTATCTCAATAAGATCTACGAAAAAGTCAATGCGCGCGTATCTGTCAAATGTACGGTTAAAGGGTTATTCCGCATTTTTTGCCGATCCGCACACATTGGAATTTCGCTAACTCCTCCGAAGGCTTTCGTTCCACCGGCACCACATTTGCTCAGGCCTATCTACACCCCATGGCCATTAAAAGTTATTCAAATCATGACGCTGCACCCCACGGTTTAGGTTCTAGGGGGAGCCAAAGATAACCGTAAAATCCACATATTTAAAAGTCTTATAACTTTTTATTTTTGTCCCCACTGGCCTCCAAGTTTTCTAGGATGATGCAATGTCCAGCCATCAACACATTTGTGAAGGAATTTTTACTCGCCAAAAGAGCGCCCCCCATGGCAGGAGAAAAAAGTCCATTTTTTCTTGTCCACTAAGGTGAAAATACACATTGTTGAGTGCTACGCCTGTATGTTTTGTCGTATTGACACAAAATTTTACATACACGTGTATTTCAATAAGATCTTCGAAAAAGTCAATGGCCACGTATCTGTAAAATGTACGGTTAAAGGGTTATTTCGCATTTTTTGCAGATTCGCACACATTGGAATTTCGCTATTTCCTCCGAAGGCTTTCGTTCCACCGGCACCACATTTGCTCAGGCCAATCTACACCCTATGGCCATTAAAAGTTATTCAAATCATGACGCTGCACCCCACGGTTTAGGTTCTAGGGGGCGCCAAATATAACCCTAAAATCCACATATTTAAAAGTCTTATAACTTTTTATTTTTGTCCTCACTGGCCTCCATGTTTTCTAGGATGATGCAATGTCCAGCCATCAACACATTTGTGAAGGAGTTTTTTCTCTTTAAAAGAGCGCCCCCCATGGCAGGAGAATAAAGTCAAGTTTTTCCTGTTCATCATTCAATGGCTCAAACGCACTGCTCTCTCGGCAAAAGCGAAAGGAGGAGCAACTTGCCATTTGGATATATCTTAGCTGTGTTTGTGCCCTCACTCATGGTCCAGACTTTTTTCAAATAGGACATGGAGTTTTTCTGCAGCGAGCGTTTTGGTAGAAACTGCGCCTCCCGTTCATTATAATGGTAAATGACCACAAACAAATGCGCACACCATCTTTGGACCTTGAGTGTGACGCGATCGGGTGGGGGAGGCGGTCGCGCTGGGGGCGGCGTGACACGGCTCGGGCCCGCCAGTGCCCCAACGGGGCCCTAGTTATTTTTCCTCCCCTTTGAACTGGAAAATGGCCCACTTCCCACTGGCGAAAACTCATGAAATTTGGCAGGACGACCGGGCCTGGTGAAAAATTTGATATTCTGAAGTCGCCCAAACAATACAATGCAAAATGGCTCCATAGCGCCCCCTAAGGTGAAAAATTCACCTGACGCCTGTACGCTTTGTCAAAATGACACAAAAATTGACACACACATGTATCTCAATAAGATCTACAAAAAAGTCAGTGCGGGCGTATCTGTCAAATGTACGGTTAAAGGGTTATTTCGCATTTTTTGCCGATCCGCACACATTGGAATTTCGCTAACTCCTCCGAAGGCTTTCGTTCCACCGGCACCACATTTGCTCAGGCCAATCAACACCCCATGGCCATTAAAAGTTATTCAAATCATGACGCTGCACCCCACGGTTTAGGTTCTAGGGGGCGCCAAAGATAACCCTAAGATCCACATATTTAAAAGTCTTATAACTTTTTATTTTTGCCCTCACTGGCCTCCAAGTTTTCTAGGATGATGCAATGTCCAGCCATCAACACATTTGTGAAGGAATTTTTACTCCCCAAAAGAGCGCCCCCCCATGGCAGGAGAAAAAAGTCCATTTTTTCTTGTCCCCTAAGGTGAAAATACACATTGTTGAGTGTCACGCCTCTACGCTTTGTCAAAATGACACAAAAATTGACACACACATGTAACTCAATAAGATCTACGAAAAAGTCAATGCGCGCGTATCTGTCAAATGTACGGTTAAAGGGTTATTCCGCATTTTTTGCCGATCCGCACACATTGGAATTTCGCTAACTCCTCCTAAGGCTTTCGTTCCACCGGCACCACATTTGCTCAGGCCAATCTACACCCCATGGCCATTAAAAGTTATTCAAATCATGACGCTGCACCCCACGGTTTAGGTTCTAGGGGGCGCCAAAGATAACACTAAAATCCACATATTTAAAAGTCTTATAACTTTTTATTTTTGTCCTCACTGGCCTCCAAGTTTTCTAGGATGATGCAATGTCCAGCCATCAACACATTTGTGAAGGAATTTTTACTCCCCAAAAGAGCGCCCCCCCATGGCAGGAGAAAAAAGTCCATTTTTTCTTGTCCCCTAAGGTGAAAATACATATTGTTGAGATTCACGCCTATACGCTTTGTCATATTGACACAAAATTTGACAATCACGTGCCTTGCCTGGTATCATTTTTTTCAGCACAACCTCACCTGTGCGAATTTACAGTTATTTTATCATGTTGACATACTGAATTTACACAATGGACCCAAATTCACACACAAAACATAAAATCCGAGTGGAAAAAAGTAACATTTTTACTGTGAAAACCACAAATATGTGTGATGAACTGTTTTTAAAACTTAAACTTCAAATAAAAATTGTAAACTTCAAAACATATGCAAATTTTTAACAAAGAACATAGTGATTTACCTCTATTTACATCAAAATGCAGGCAATGGCCCAGGCGTTCTTTGTAAAATTATTTACAAAACACTGTATAGTCTCACAAATGTCACTTTTTATTTATGCCACTACAAAAAAACATGATGTAAATGATGCATGATGTAAAACATGATGTAAAAAACTTGTGTAGATCCTCCTCTATGTCAGTCCATGTGTAATTTTTCCATAATTCTTTGTTTTTTGCGGCATTTTTGTTAGTGTAACTGCAGATTGTGCTGACAGTGTCTATGGCACACAAAAAAAAAAATTTAAAATGCCTCAACATGAACCCCTGGTGGTCTCTGAGGGTGAAACCTGCTAACTGCTGCAGCTCTGTCAGCTTCAGTCTCCCATGCAGAGCTCTGAGCGCATGTGTGGCTCTGCACCCTTAGCAGCGTTGCTAACTCCTCAGTAAGGAAAGCCTGCTTCATGTCAGAGTCTCTAAACTCCAGAAGAAGTCGATAAAAGTCCCTTTCTTTCTAAAAAAAAGTCGTTAGGGGGTCTGAAAAGTCATTGAATCTAACAACAAAGTCGCTAGGTTTGCAACTACGTGTCCCAGACTGCATCCCTGCTGAGAGTCCCTCCCTCGCTTCTCATGTTGCAGGAAGAACGTAAGCGCCCGCCCCTTGTCAATCAGTCACCATATAATTTTGGATTGGTTGTTGTGGTGAAGTTTTCCACCAATAGGAGAGATGTTGTGGTGTGTTTTTTTTTTCTTTTGGCAAGCCTTTTCTGCCTGTAAGACCTGTCGCTAATGTCTGCATGCTATGTTTTCCTGTCTCATACAGCGCGATCGAGCGCCGAACGTGATCAAAATAAGCAGAAAAAAAGTATCGCGGACATAATTTATCATAACTCTGGTTTTATTTGGCCTATCAACACAATTTAAAAACTGGTATATAGATTGAGGTCCTCACTTTTGAGATAAGTTGAAACGGAGAGTCAACGAGGCTCCGTCTTGCAGCTACATCCGGTTAAATATGTCATGTGACTTGAACGCACACACAATAACACACACACGCACACACACACACACACACACACACACACACTCAGAGTCTGGTTTTTAGCACCTGCAAAAACATGCTATTTACATATTTGACAAGAATGCAGAGGCTCCTTTTGCCCCTGAAAAAAATCAAATTTCAAACACAACTTGACTGGTCATTTCTCCAAAAGACAACCATGAAGCTCCATCAAACCTGAAGCAGGCAGTTGGTGCATGTGTACAGTAACCTGAGGGGAGTGAGGTGACTGCTTCTGAGGAGAACATGAGCAGTGAAGATTCACCTTGGAGCTAGAACAGAGACATGCACATGATTATCCAGGGGCAGGGGCTCAAGTTTTTTCCAGTCGTTTATACAATATGGAAATTAATGTGAAATTAAAACACAAAGTATTAATAGAAAGGTAATGACTGTCCTGTGTAGGTGACAGTGATATCCAATAGGCTAGGCACTCACGAGGCTGGCTGTGGCAAGTGTAAGTGAAAGCAACACGCACTGGCAGGAAGAACAGCAAACGCCGATGAAGGAAAAGGGTCTTTGCAGTGATAGCGTTACCAGAGAGGGCGATGGCCAGAGGACACAAATGGGACGGGGAGGCAGCACGTTGGGGGGGGGGGGACGCGACACGGCTCGGGCCCGCCAGTGCCCCAACGGGGTCCTAGTTATGTTGTTGGTGCTGATGCCAAAATAAGGTAGCCTGGCTGGGCCATCCTGATGCGTGAATCACTTGCCGTTCCTTCCCACAACAGTCTGGACTTCGGCCCATTGGGAGCGTGTATTCCCGATCAGAGAATAACTGGGCCAAAGTCGGAAGAAATCGTTTATATCCGCAGAAGACTTCGGATATAAACGATTTCTGCCAACTTTGCAAAGTCAACTGCAGAATTCACGGCGTTCTGAATGAACGGCGCTTTGAAAAGTCCCGCAGAATTGGACGTCACCATCTACACATGGACCAATCAGGGGCTGCCTTTCCCTGTTGTCCGGGTAACAGTGGAAACACAGTCTCTGATTGGCCCAGTTATTTTCTGATCGGGAATACACGCTCCCAATGGGCCGAAGTCCAGACTGTTGTGGGAAGGAACGGCAAGTGATTCACGCAACAGGATGGCCCAGCCAGGCTAAAAATAAGGTGCATCACAGTAGTCAAGTCAGGAAGGAATAAATGCATGCATCAGAAACACAGCAGGGAGAGAGTGTGGATAATTATGCTGCGTTCCAGTTGTACTTGGAAGTCAGAATTTCCGAGCTCCCAGTCAGAAATCCATCTGGAAGCCCCTCTGAAGTCGGATTCCTGACTCGGAAAGGCAGACGATCCTCACCCACCCTGACTTGACAACAATGTCATAATCCAAGATGGCAGCTCAGTCGATCAACACTAAAGAGTAACAGTTAAAGTATTATTTATTAACACTTCTGTTTAGTTTTTGTGAAATTAAATAAGTGGTTAATGTTGTACTGCCCAACGTCTAACTGTGAACACGGTGCTGTGGTGTTTGTAAGAGTAAAATACTGTGTTATGCGTTTTTTACAACTGGTATAGCCAACAACAACTACAACAACTGACAACAGCCGATACAGCTGACAATTGTAAACAACAGCTAACAACGTCTAACAGTAGGTGTCCTTCTTGGTTTTCCGACTTGTTTACTGGAACGTCGTCACATCTGTTATAACGTCATTTCTAGTTCCGACATCCGAAGTAACTGGAATGCAGCATAACTACACACTAAAAGTCTGAAAATGCAAACAGAGTAAGAACACAAGAGTGTTTAATTCACACTGTGACACAAGGGTACAAGTACAGGAACACTTCACAGCGCACAGAGATTCATTTAATTTAACTTCAAACTTCTCTGTCCAATCAGGTGATATCAGCTGATCAGGCAGAGGCTGAGGGGGCCGGATCAGGGATCTCAGATGAGCAGGCTCACCTGGAGGCTGCCCAACAGGTGTTAGTGGCTCTGGCAGGAGGAAGAGAGGGCGGATCATCAGCGGAGGTGGTGGAGGTGAACATGTTCGACCTGCTGAACAATTCAGTCACCTTCATCTGTGAGGACAAACCTGCAGAGACAGACTCCTGATCATAAACTTTCACCCTGTGAGGAACCCTCTGATCTGATTCCTGGTTTTATCATCTCATCTGGTCATCAACGAAAACGAAAAAATCACGAACAGAGACTTTTTCTGCTCAAGCTGCTGAAGTTGGTGTAAACCTTTTTTTCTTGTTCTTCAGCACAGTTTCTGTATAGAAACCCAGGCTGACTTACACACACTCATCTCTGCTACATTTTCAATCAACATAGCTGAATATTGAGTTTTAACCTGCGAGGTGGAAGTTTACTAAAGTTTTTGCTATTTTTTCAATATCAAGATGGACAGTCTTTAAATACACCACCACCTGAAGTGATTTCAGCTTTATTTAATATTTATAAAGAGAAATAGAAGCCAGCTATGAATGAGACCTTCAATTGTTTATTTAAACGTGTGACAAAAATTTATCCAAGAATTGAACCCAGTCTGTTTAGTCCAATGATTCTAGTTCGGACCTGAACCTGAAAATATGTTTGAAATGTTGTCACCACAAGGCATCAATTCAACAAAAACGACTTTGCTGACCCTGAATGAGTCAATTTGTTTGGAGCAAATGAATACTGATGTGAACTAGACTGGTTTATAATCTTATTTAAAGCGTATTTAAGTTGCACACATCCATTCAACTGCACCATTCAATATCAGCCTCTGTAGTCGGTACCAGACTTGCTTGCTAGTTGAAGAACTTATTGTTGACCCGACATTCACATCTACTCACCGCAAGCCTGGGCTAGCAGCTTCGGTTTATGACCATGTCATAACCAGTAAGGGTCTACTACCCAGCTGTGTCTGGTCAAACTGGTACATACTAACTATAAACATGCCTGTAAAGGAGACTGAAGGCTGCTGGTGCGAGCTCTGCTGATATTACACACACTTAGCAGACCACTTTTGACGTTGTTTAACCACAGACTCTGTGATCCATGTTAAGTTGTGTTTAATAAATTGTGCTCCATTTCGACTGTTTACGGAGTGTTTTCATTCCTTACGCCATGTGCTTTATTTGAAAGTCAAATGTACCACCCATCCAGAACCTTTGCAATCAAGAATGTACTAAAGGTTTTATTCAGCAGTCCACAGTCAAGCAATCAAACAAACTTTATTTATAAAGCGCTTTGCCTACAGGAATGTGACTCAAAGTGCTTTACAAGTTAAAAACAAAAACAGAAAACTATCCCAGATGCCCCCAAAAGTTTTACAACTCTCCTGAGATTCTCTCATGAGATTCTTAAGGACTTCTATGACTTCCTTGGAGGTCCTGAGAAACCTTTCGGAGATTTTAGAAATATGAGCAGGATACCAAGAAACTTTGGAAACCCCAGAAAACTTTCTGAGATTCTTGGAGACTTGTGTTAGATTTTAAGTAACTTGAGAAAACCTGAAAAAAATTACCTGGGTCTCACAAAAGCATTTACTTCAGACCAGTCCCTTCTGCTGATCAAAGACATATTAAGACATTGGCTGCTGAGAGAGATTTGTTAATATAACTGAGCCCTAAATTGAAGGATCTACACACTGAAATGTTACTTTGTAAGATCGCATAAAAGTATCTACAGAAAAACTTAAAATATTTTCCTGCTTTTCCTACTTTCCTGAAAAGGCTGTGAAAATGAGTATCTTTCCATATTAAAAAAAATAATACACATACATACACTCTATGTAGTTTTCAAATTCGTTTATTACAGAAGGTTCACAGGTAGCAGACACATATCATATAAATACTAGACCCCAAACTCACACTCTGGATCCTCAGTAACACTCTGAGTCCACTCATACAGAAAAGTCCTGAGAAAAAAGCTGAGCAAAGAGTCTGCCTGAAAGAGAAAATTAGAGTGTTCAAAGAAGTTTGTGGTACACACATAAGGTTTATTTAAACTCACACTGGGTTCCACTTTTTAATCCAGAGATTATTGTTGTTGTTGTTGTGAGCACTGCATTACAGTTATCTATACTAACAGAAGATGAGTAAAAATTAATCTGATTTTGACTCATAATTCTCTCATTAAATTAAAAACTTGGGCTTTCATATCAGTATGAAGAACCTAGGCCCTTCTTATGGTCCCAATGTAGTTATCGTTTTGACTATTTATTTTCAGTAGCAGGTCAAACATTTCTATAAATTGAGAAAAAAATGGTTAGAATAATGTCACTACCCTCTCAGCCAGCTTGTATTCATGTTCATGGACAGGTGGGCTTGAAACCGTGGTAACAACCCAATCACGGACTATTATTTAAGATGACATCGTAGGAGACAAGATGGCAGCCTCCATTGCCAGAGGATCTGTTAGAGCCACTCTGGCGGCTGTTTCGAACCGACTGGCTGCTATATTTTCAGTAAACGAAGGCCAAACATTTAATACAGTGTCCATCAATGGGAAAGGTACATTCTTTCCTTTGCTGCCGCTGTATGGTTTAATGTCTGTTGCTATTCGCTACGTCACATAATCGTTATTACACGGTTGCTAACGGCTCCTGCAAAATGGATCAAATCGAGGCAAAAATACCACAGTTAATATCAGCTTGCTGTCTGTCTGTAAAGAAGGCCGTTCCCTCACCATTTGGATGAGATTTTGATGAATTATGTTTTTTTGAATCTGGTGAAACTACCTTCACTGGTTAAACATCAAGTCATCAAGTAAATTGACTATTTTACAGAGATACATACTTGACACAGCTGTAGCTCTTTCTAACAACATGGTATTGACTTGAATCTTTAAATGGTGGAGCGGGTCTTTGAGGGCATTACAATTCCACTTCACAGAGGAAATCTTTAAACTTTTCCCTTCTATAGTTAAGTAATACAAATTTTGATTAACCTTTTCTTTCACACAAATCAAGTAAACAAGACACAAAGAGGGTGGTAAAGAAAACAGCGTAGGAGACAGACGAGGTCACATGCACACACAGGCGAAATGGTAATAGAAGCTCATGACCCAGAGGTGCTAGATGTAGATATTCACTTATTTCTCTATAGCTGTTTTCCATCCAATTATTGAACATTTACATATAATAACAGCCTCAAAGTCTTAAATCCATTAAAGTCCATAAATCTCTGATCGTAAACAATTCATCCAACATTGTTCTAGAAACATGTTGAATGAACCTCAACGCAAATATGCTACATGTATGCACCTCTTAGCAGGCAAAATGTACAACACAAAGTTATGAGAAAAGGAAAAATAAATACAATATTTAAGCTGGAACATCCTCATTCATCTGTGTCATCACACAATCAGCAGTAGGAGCTTCATATATCAGTTTATATACGTTCTGTGAGACTTTAGCTGCTCATGTAGTGCAAATATTCCCATGGAGAAGAAACACACAAATACATTAATATGCACGAGCCCTCAGTATGTGCTGGCTTTCAGTAGTCTTTAAAAATCACCAAACTCTCCTCTTTAATACACGGTCAGTGTGGTCATCCATATCTTCTGCATAGTAACACTGGTAGTGCTTGACTCATATATTGGCTGATACTATCTAAGCAAAATACGGTAAAGATCAGACATGTTTTGCAGTTTTCTGTGTAACAATATTCATGTTGCACATGGACTCAGTCATTGACGTTGCTCTCAGCACTGTCTACAGCACATAATACAGAGTGTCATGACTGCGGTCTGCACCAAACTACTGACCATAACCCTAAAATAATGTTGAATATTCCTTTAACCAAGTGATCTATAACAGCAGTCCTCTGAGTAATTGTGCAAAGTCATATCACAGCAAAATCTGTACAAAAGCAACAAAGTAGAAGTCTTTTTTCATCCCAGCACAGAAAATCCACTTCTTTAGTCACCACATTGGTAATCTGTCATAATTTTCCAAACACTTATCTAAAAAATCTCCCACTGACCAAGCTCTGATAATAAGTCAATTTCTATGTGCTTCTTGTTTCCGTCAGGGCATGAGGACGTCATTAATGCAAAACCATAAAGCTGCAGTTCTTATACTGGCCACTAGGTGCTGGTTTGAAGCAAAGACTGTACATAAGAAATGGACCCACCCTTCAAGCTCCTGTGAGGAGGTTTCAGCAGGTTGTGACATGGATGCTGGTACCTCTCTATAATCTACAAAAAGAAACCAGGGTATTTGGAAACAAGTTTAACTATTTTTAATGTCCATCATGGCTGCTGGGGTCTAGCTGTCAGTTGTGGAGATTAAAGTGCACTTCAGAAACAGTAGACAGTTGCAAAACAGTCTTCACAGGGAGATGTCAGAGACTGCGCAAACTTCCTCACAAGAGCTTTAAGGTCAGAACCATAGACTGTATACACTATGGACAATTTGGTTCCGCTTCCCGCCAGTATACGGACTTGAAGCCAAAAAGCTCATGGTATTTCGAGAGCCTGGTCCTGCTCAAGGTTTCTGCCTGTTAAAAGGAAGTTTTTCCTCGCCACTGTTACTCATGTTAGATGAGATGGGCCAAATCCCATCTTAGGTTGGGTCTTGATGATTCATCAACCAATGAGCGTGGTCTACACCTGCTCTTGTTCTTTGAAAAGCATCTTGGGATGACGACTGTTGTGAATTGGCGCTGTATAAATAAAATTTGATTTGACTGATTGATTTCTGGGATTTTTCTTCATTTCCTGAAACCAGCGCTGCGCAGTAGTGTTGTGCGCTTTTGGTGGGAGAGTCGCTGTGATGACGCTCGGCTCAAACAGCGTATCCCCCGGGTGAGCTACGCAATCCCTGAACGCCAATAGGCTGTATTAGGTGTCAATCAAAGAAAACCTGAACCCCCTTATAACTTTTAAAAACGGAGCTTCACAGAAAAAAAGAGGACTTGAGCACAAACCAGTCTTACAATAACTACATGTCAACATCACAAGCAGGGAGGAGAAAAATTTATATTCCGTGTAATTAATTTCTAAAGTTTGTCCACAGCCCCATAAGCTTTGCTGGCAGAGGCGGGATTTATGACCTATACTGCAGCCCGTCAACAGAGGGTGCTGTTCTCGAAGTGGCTTCACCCAGCGAGGAGGCAGACACTGTCCATTCTATATACAGTCTATGGTTCTATTGTATGATACTACATGACTAAGTTGCCCCTTTCTCAGTGAAGTCACAACCTCAGTAAATATTGTTTTAAAAAAAAAAAAACGGGTTCAAATCCCTTCTTTAGCTCAGCATGATAGTTTCAATTAGAATACATTTTATGATAAAGCATGTTTAGCATTTTTCCATTGCACTTAAGTTCATTCTCAGAGCTTTTTTCTTAAGTTAATCATTAATAGGTTTCATTCAAAGCTTTATTTGGCTGCCTAAAATCTTTTTAAAAGTGGTGCACACCGTTGCTGTATGCTTCGTTTGCTAAACAAGCACAAGCCTTTGAGATTAGTTTGATATCTTAAACCCTTGCTGCTGTCCAGCACCAGACTCTTGATTAAGTACTAAAAAATAAAACATGGTGATGACCACAATGCCAAACACACGGATGGATGGCATAACTGTGGCGACATTCACTTATTTCACACAGTCTATGACACTAACTAGACCTTTAACCTTGACAGGTGAGGTTTTTCAGGCTTCAGTAACTGGTGTGTTTTAGTCTCTCTTTTCCATGTTTTTTGTGGGGGTAACAGCGTGAATGTTATTGTGTTTTTTTTTTGCTCGAGTTATGGCATCATCAGCTTTCATGGAGGACTCTGACTTCTGTGTGCGAGGTAAATCCAACATGGCTGCTGAGAGCTTCATGCTATGCATCATCTAGCTGGTGATCTTCTTGCGGGGCAGGTAGGCGTTAGTGATCTGATTCATCACCACCAAGGCGGGGAAAAGAGGCAGCAGCAGGAAGACCCACCAGGCAACCCCTCTGACTGTGGCCTGGAACCAGTCTGAAAACATGGCCATCACCACAGTGACTGTAGCCAGCAGGTAGACCACTAGGCCACAGGTGGCGTGGTACAGCTTTAATCTGGGCGGAGAGGATGAGGAGCGACGGAGCAGCTTTGGGAACTTCACACAGATACCAAACGCCGCCTGGAGCACAGTAGCCGCTAAGGTGCTGACGCCCAGCACACTGTGCCAGCTGACCAGGTGGGGGAGCTCTGACACGTTCTTACTAGCCACCATGAAGCACAACCCTGTGGTCGCCAGGATCAGAACCAGGGCCTGACAGAACCAGTGGAGACAGACTTTATTCTTCCTGGATTTGAAGCAGAAGGGGGATCCTTCAGCCGAGAAGAGGAGGATGCCCTCAGTCATACAGAAGCAGTACTGCAGGGGGAGAGGGGAGAGAGAAAGGGGATTTGAAACAGCAGGTGGATACAAGAAACTACTAAAGAATGAAGTAATGTGCCCTTATGTGTATGCTGTTGTTCAAGAGTGTTACGACAGTGAATTAGATAAGGGGAAGGAAAATAAACATGTTTAATCCTTTCTTCTCCAATTTTAAATGTGTACTGTTTCTATTAAGTTGAATAGTGCAGCTGATGTTGTTGAAGTTTTGTCTTTCCATATTCTATGGCTTTTTACCATTTCATTTTATACACACTTTTATTTACTGACGTATCCGACATAGAAATCAATGACGGAAGTCAAAAGTAAGATCTAAAAACTCTCTCAGGCTGAATTTCGACCCGCTCCGTCTTTGGCTGCTTTGTCGTGGAGAAAATGAGACACCAGAGTCAACACGCTGTTGCTGAGCAGTCGCCTGCAGCTGGACATTTTGTAGCCTCCATGGTTACAGCCCAAATAGCACAGAAACAACAGAATCAAGATCAACATGACCCTAAAAACCCTCCTATTCCTGGAGGTACGGTGGCCCTTAGGGTCAACTGCACCGTTTGTTTCCCTAACTGTACTGAAAATGAGCTGTGACTTCAAAACTGGGGTACATACTGAACTGTGATTTTATGTGCTGTTACACCTCAATTTTTGAGTTTGGTTTAGAATCTTTGCTTTTCTTCAATAAATATCTTTCTTAAGTATTTTTTAAGTATTTTGAGTTTATATTTATGTTTATAAGAAAAATGTATTTTTTGAAATACTTTTAGGTGAAATGCTTTTGGCATCTCAGGATATCTATTTTGCACTAATTAAGTTATGCAGCCAACCCTCAGGGCCAACAGGCTGAAGCCATAGTATATATTTTATAACTTCATAAAAAAAAATTAAAAATCCGCCGATTAATCGGTAATCAGATTTTTTCCCCCCATAATAATCGGCATCTGCCCCAAAAAAATCAATATCGGTCAGGCCCTATTGCAAAGCATCAAAAACGCTGCAGGAAGGAAAAGGAGATTAGCCCTTTAACTTCTTAAATCCCACAGAAAGTCTAATAATCACAACTTTCAGATGCAATGACTGTCAAAAGACGGTTTATTTTCTGTGGGATAAAGATTCAAATTACAAGTCAAATCAAGAGCAAGATTTTGGAGAAAAATAACATCTCTAATCTTGAAGCCATCAGACAACATGTCCATTCATTTTGTTTTAAACTCCTCCTTTTGTCTCTGGACATCTGTCTTTGAGTACCAATCACAACAAAAGCTATTCATATTTAAATGAGCAGCAACTGAATAAACTTTTCAAAGAAACTTTCTGCTAAAAGTCTGACATTTGTTTTGTGCGAGCCTTTCCCGTGTGTGTGTGTGTGTGTGTGTGTGTGTGTGTGTGTGTGTGTGTGTGTGTGTGTGTGTGTGTGTGTGTGTGTGTGTAATTAACAATGCAATGACTCAATAATAGCTGTCTAACGTAAAAAGAAAAGCGGCTGCATCAATCAAAAGTTTGCCACTCAAACTAAAGTCTTATCTCTGACAGGAGGAGGTGTGACGTGTGGACAGCTCCCCATCATGGCTGACAGACTGTGATGGCTGAAGGATCACGCTGTGCCACCATGATAGAGAAATAGCCGGCATAAAAGAGCCTGAAGCTTCTCTGACAAACTGGTCAGCCTGTAACACAATAGCTGATATGGCTAGTTAGCATTAGCACTCCCTCCTCCCAACCCTGCCTATCTATTATTTACAGTGGAAAGACGACAGACAAACTGGAGAGTCTGAATGTCTAATCTAGGTACAATCAGAGGAGTTAATATTTAACTGGAGAAATACCTCTTTTATGAGTCCATGTTAATTTTCTAACATCAGAAACACCTTCTCATCCAATAAATACTAAACCCTCTGTAGTGATCTGTAATGAAGTAATCACACTGGAGCAGTAACAATGCATGTGAACAGCTCAGCTAAATAGTTTGTGAAAATGCTGTGACACTCAGTTTGGTGAATATTATGCAACATATAAATATAACATCGTGTCATGCATAGAGGAGCGTCAATCTAAAGCTGTTTATTCAAAGTGGATCTGCAGAAATAACTTACAACCACCTCAACGCAACAGTTATTTTTGTCGATTTTGGTGTGTAGTGTGCATTTTAGACCCTACTGTGAATGATCTACCTCTCTATTCTTTAAATATAATTATAGAAGGATGATATATCAAACTAACATAGAACAGGGTCAGCTGGAACTTGTACAGATAGTGGATACTAAACCAAAATACACTTGAGTTCATGTTGCATGATGTCTCAGTTTGGGCTTGAAGAAGTATGCCCATCTGTTGGTCTGTCTTTCATGTTGTGTTGCAGTTTTGTTCACTTATCTCTTATTATTTTGTTAACATGATCAAATAAAGAGATATCAAACAGCACATAAATCAAATGAACTGTGGAAAATGTAAGAGCCACTGACACCACAGTGCTGTCACATTTAATCACAGCAAAGGATAAACGAGCAGAAAACTGCATGCAAGCTGCAGGCTGATTAAGTTTGACTGTAAAATAAAAACATCAGGGGACCGTTAGCTTGTTAAAGCAGCCATGTGTTACATAAAACGTAATCTTTTTGTAAGATATAAAGTTTTAAAGAACACACTGTGTGCAAGTGTGTGTGTGTGTGTGTGTGTGTGTGGGGGGGGGGGGGGGGTGTCGAACTTACTGCAACGGCCATACAAACTGGATGCCAGGAAAAGAAACCTGGAACAAAAGGGACACTGGTCAAACCTTTCACAATCCCAAAAGTATATAAAAAAATAATAATACAAGATTTTAGATTTGAGCAGGTCTTCGGCTTCATTCATACAAATTGATAAACAAAATACTACATTTTTTTAAGGATCTGCGAAAGGACACATAGTGACTAGATGACACATCAGATGTTCATTATCTATGATACACAGAAATCAGCTTGATGGCAGTTTTCCTGATTTTACACAAAAACACAAAAAAGAACCTCAAGATTGAATGATTTCTGAGAGTGGAATTAATGCTGTTTTACTATTATGATGACTTTAAATTCCGAAAGCACTGATGAATTAAACCCCTGAGATGTTCACAAGATGGTAGGAGGTTGAAAACTCTTAATAATTGCATCACAAAACAGATTACATGTTCATGATCAACACTATTTACGACACAATTAATATCTCGTAGGTGAAGCCATGATGATATAATAGAAAGTTGAAGTCATGAGATACTAAATGATACTTATAAGAAAAGGCATTTATGAGGTAAAAAAAAAGTCACAATTATGAAGTAAATAGTCAAAACTATGACAAAGTAAGTCATGATTATTATACAATATTTAATTGCAACTGGATAGAAAAAGTCAACCATGAGATATAAATTCATAATTGTAAGATACAAAGTGAAATTCTGATTGGTCAACATTCCATAGCAGCAGTCTGTTCTTTCTTCCATCAAACTGTTGCTATCAAGAAGAGACCGCTGCTAGGCAGTAGTTTTCGTGTATGGGTCTTTTTTTAAATTTAATATTAAGTATTTGTGTTTACTTTGAAAGTAGTAAAAACAGTGGAGAAGGAAGTTGATAAAAGTTCCTTCTATTTTAAAGCCTTCACATGCAGCTAAAAACTACATAAGAGGATTTTAAAAACATGTCATCTGTTTATTTGTGTTAAATCGAGCATCTACAACAATAACTGAATGATTTAAATCTAGGTTACTTATAATTGACAGCTACTGAACGGTACTTTGTTGCTGTTAATGGAAACATTAAAAACCCACTCACTTGTACCGGGTCTGGACAGCATGGAGATGATGAGGGTCAGTCCTATTCCGGTGACATGAGCCGCTATCACCGCCGCCCTCCGCAGCCACACGTACACCCAATAGTCCCGCATCCCCAGCCCCTCTCCCACCGGGCTGTACTCCACATCGGACGGCATGCTGCTCAACCACCACCCACCGCTACACGTGCCGGGCTACCTGCAGACTCCTCGCGCGAGGTTACAAGGTGCGTTAAAAAGGAGAGATGTGGCGCGCGCTCCGCAGACACACAGCGTGAGCTCCATAATTATTTAGTAAGAAAGTAAGAGCAGTCCTCCTCGTGCACCGGACACAACACAACCGAACTCCAGTTTCACAGAACAAAATAAAAGAACTTCCGGTTTAAATCCTTTCAAAATATGTGTCTTCGTTAAAATAATTCATCCCAACAGTCAAAAAATGGCTGTTTAACAATGATTCACTTTATAGAGAAGATATTTAATTGTTTTCGGGATTCAAACTTTAAATTTGTCCAAATAGTTTTCATATTTATCTCATTCAGTCCTCTGTTCGCAACGCGTAAGATGGTTTCTTTTATCATAGACGGAAGAAAAATCAATATACATTTCCGGTCTCAGTTTATTTCTTTAAAAAGACTTGACGAAATTAATCTCACAGGCGTCACAATCCTTGTCGAGACACATAAAACCCGACAGTGGGTTAAATAAAACCTTGTCCGGTGAGCTGTATGTCGACCCGCCGTTTCTTCTCTCTGCTGTCACTCACTCATTCCGTCTCTGGATATTTTTCCTTCACGGTACGGTGTCCCATTGTGTCAAACAACCACATTTAACGCGCATAGCAAAGACCCTAAAGTATCCGGGGACATCACAGTGGGTTTTTTGAGTCTCAAATGACTGGAAACGGTCAACCTACAACTTCTTTTGATGAGAGCTTTCGTAAACAAGTGTTTACTTCCTGGTTTGACGTCAGAGATTAGCGCAGCAGCAAGATGATTCGCTCCAGTTTGTTCATTACGTTTCCACCGTCACTATGGAAGTAAATCTGTGCCATAAATATTCAGCGTTAGAAACTCAATGTCTCTTTAATTTCAAATTCTGATGACAAAAAATTTCTACCAAAATTCCATTATTTCTTGTTATTTTCCATAAACCGTCAACTGTCTGCAGCTGTCCTCTGTGCCTGAGTTTACTATGCTAACCCGAGGATTAGTCAGGTGCAAATATGACTTGACCCCCAAAAAATTCTAACAAAAGGTTTCTCAGCTGTTTTTTTAAATAGTATTAGATGTCCTTAATAACACACTAAAAGATGTAGTATGACTGTAGTATGTCAACAAAATAAAACATGAATTTTGAAAGGGGCTTTATCCATTGTTCAGTTCTCAGTTCTGTAAATGTGCATACTTAGTTAGATATTGCCTCATTTACATATTCAAACGTAACATTTGACAAAACTTGTGTTACTAAGAAGACTCGGGAGCTCCAAGACCTTGTTGAGACATTAAACAAGCAGCAGCAGGCTGAAAAACACAGTGCTGAAACCCTCCAGAGAGAGTAGGAAGTCTAAGGTCTTCACTGCTGGGATTTGCCAACCAGGAAGAAGGTTGACAGGTTGAAGGCAGAGAGAGTTGCCGTGGAGCAGAAGGCGAAGGACCTGCAGGAGGAGGTCTTAAGTAGAATAAAAGCATAATCCAGCATTACCACGAAGGTGCAGGAGGCCCTTAACCTTGTTGCTTCCCAAACCAATCTGCCTGAGGCTAAGGGCTGACAACCTGTGCAAAAAACTTGAGGAAGTCAGGCATCAGCTTCTTGAAAGAAAGAGCAATGAGCAGAAGCTGGTTGAGAGGCTAACAAGAGAAAAAGAGTCTCTGGAGCAGAGGGCGGCTGACCTGCAGAGGGAGGATCAGGGTAGAGAGATGTCTTTGCAAGAGCAGCTGATGGAAGTCGAAACACCAGCTGCACCCCAGACACCTGTGATGGTGGAGATCTCCAGGTGGGGGAGGTTTAAAAAGGCAATTGCCCCCAGATATCTGCACCAGTACATGGAGACCGTGGGTACAAGACTGTAGGAGCAAGGAGTAGATGACGTCTATTCTATATACAGTCTATGGTACACTCATAAACAAAGTACACTTGCTCACCCTTCCCGCCTGATCATTAACATTATAACTACTTTACATCAAGGTATCATATTGTATTCCAGTGTATTTCCATAACACTAAAAAATTGTGCAAGAAATGGTGAAATGAAAATTTGAAGTCCTAAAATCTTAAGGGACTCATGAAGAACGTCTTAAGTCACAAGTACAACTAAAGACCTATTAGACTTCACAATGTTATAGTATAAAGTATAAAGATTCACATGTGTGGGATCAGATTATTCTTATCATTTCTACCATAATCCCTTTGATGCCTTTTTTTTCGCCAAGACTGCATTTATCTACATACTTGTGTACTGGTTTATCATTCTGAAAGAGTCAAAAATGCAGACATAAGTCACAAAGTCATTGGAAAGGAATAACACCATAGGAGATTGAGCAAATAAAGGTGGAGAATATAAATAAGTCTGTTAACTGGGACATAAGCTAAAAAAAATTGCTTGTACTTTCCATTTTATTTGTTGCCTATTTATTCTGTGTAAATAAGAACATATATCTTTTTATACACACTTTTGTCTTTATTCCACTACCACTCTACCTCCAGAGAGTGCAATAATACTGACCATGCTGCTATTTTACCCTTAGTTTTTATTTTTTTGATATTAAATTAATCACCATAGGAGAAATGGTGTGATATGGAAGCCGAGCAACGACATTTCATTGTAGAGAGGATTCACTGCTGTGTTTTATTCTGTACAATAACAATAAAGAAAGTCTATTTTTGTAGATGTTAAGGCGGTCAGTGGGTTGATTATCAAGTGTCATTATGTGCATCATTAGCTCCTTGGTAATGAATCAAGTCTAACTGTGGCTTAACATGTTTCCCAACTAAAAAATACAATAGCATTTAAGACAATTTAGAGGAGGATCTAAAATAGAGTGGGACTAGGATTTATTTTTGGAAAAGGCAGATGAAGAAACTTAATGTTGGGATAATGTCTCAGATTCATGGAGTCATCATTTTAAAATCCTAACAGATGGAAGAAAATCGACATTTTCAGAGCAGAAATATCACCAGAGAAGCAGTAAGAGATGAGTCACAGAAAGTGTAAAGGACATTTTTAATTCATTTTTATAAACCAACATATTTAATTTAGCAGCATAACCGGATGGTCTTGAGGTATATCTATATCCATACTCTGAATTTCAGCCAATCCTCCTACTACCAGATCTCCCTCAGACATCCATCCAGACGACACATTCACACAGCGACGCATCCATACTGCACTAACTCTGCACATACACACAGCCTGACACATTCATACTGGAGCGTTTGCTCAGTAGACAAAACACACACTCACACACACTTGCACAAACACACATTTGAGTCCTGTTGCCTCAGTCTTGGACCGAGCAGAGCTGGCTCCCTCATAGTGGCTTGTAAGGCAGGCACACTTAATGGTGCAGTTTTGGCTGCGGAGAAAAAGAAAATTCAAATCAGTGCTTCCATATGAGAACTGGTTCATAAATGTAGTCATAAATATAAAACCAGGAGCAGAATAAATCAAACTAAACACACTAGGTCAAAAAAGGACAGACAGAGCAAAGGACAAGACAAAAAAAATATTTTTCTAAAGCTTATGTTAAAAATATCTTTGTGATTTTAGACAGTTTTCCAAAAACAAATCAGAAGGTCTGTTGTGATGGCAACAGAAAGGAAGTTTAAGTTTTAATGTTTAAAGCTGACAGAAGTGAAGCTGGCCTTGTTAGAGACAAGTCAGCCCACGGACTAACAGCTGAATAATGATTAGTCCAGACTTTTAAAGGCTAAAGCTACAGAGAGGAACTTTTGATTTGATCAGTTTTGTCGCCCCCTGTGGACAAAGTGGTCTTTGTTTTTATACTCTACATGCTTAAGCAGTGACTTCTGGCAAAAAAAAACATCCTGCTGACCTGTGGAGTCAAATGTTTCACATATTGTAAATAGTTGAAGTGGGAATCATAAAAACATGGCTGCTTCCTCAGCTGCTCTGCTGACACCTACCCTCTCACACCTGTTTCAGGCATAAAAAATGTGTATTTTGTTGCTGATGGTCCTTTATGCTTTGATTTATCGTAAAAGGACATTAATGTGAATTTCCGTCTGTTTGGTGAAAATAAAAACTCCTCACAGGAGCCTTGGGGTAACACTAAAGAACTCTCATTGATGAACATCATCATTGTAAAATTGTGTTGGGGCTCTGATGTTTGTTTTTTCTTACAGTGACAATAATTGGGAGGATCACAGTGTTCACACTTTAGCTACGGCCTTCTGATCATTTCTTATAACAGGAAGTACCTTTGGTTTTAAATCTGGTGCAAATTGACTGTGATTTGTACATTCAAACTCAAAAAAGGAATTCATGACCTTTTTCAGCAACATTGGCTGAAACTTTAAAAAAAAATGTTTTGGCACAAAATTAAAAAGAGCAGCACTTTATATACACATCACCTGAGCCGCATTGAGCTCAATGCACAGAGTTTAACTGTGTTGTAGCTTTAATGAATGTCTATGTTATGGAGAGATATTAACTTTTCAGGGTTTGTCCTAATTTTTTTTATGCAGTGCTTTAGGGAACTTTACAGGATGTGTACATTGACTTCATTTCATCATTTTCCAGCAGTTTTGTAGATAGAGGCTACTGTGGAGAGTTATGCCCCCCTCAGAAAGAAAGCAGCTGTAGTGAAGCACCTTAGTATTCTCAACCAGGCATGTTGGCACATTTAAGTCAATTACAGACTTTGCCAATAATGTAAATGTGCCAACGTCAGGAGCGCTCAACAATGTTGACATTATACGGAGTGTGTAAATACTGATGAACTGCAGGGAAGTCGTACAGCTTTACTTTGATACTGTATAATGCGAAATGCTGCTGAAGCTAAAGGTCAGGATTAATGTCACAACATCAAATACTGAAAGAGGCACTGGTGAAGCAGATAATATGGTGCAGGAACACCTCAGAAGTTGTGTTGTGGGCCTGTTTATGGTCCAGGTGGAGTAGTGTGCGTGATGTGTGTATAAAAACTGAGGGTTAAGATGACCATCTTTAATCACAGAGGAACCACAAACATTAAAACTTATTTTTTTATCACTCTACATCTGTGTGTAAGCTGCCAGACTGTTATACAAAAGTTCTTCTGCAGTCATGAGTTTTGTTTTTCATGGTTTTTGTTCATAATTTTTCTTTTCAGTGACTTAGCGTTGTTGCTATTCAATTTTCAAACTCACCTTCTGTGTGCCCAGCTTCTTCTCCACGCCTCCAGCTAGCCCCCCACCTTTACTGTCCTTCCAGGGGTAGAAGTTGGAGCGCGGGGTGGAGGAGGTGGCAGAGCTGGAGGAGGAGGAGGGCAGGCGGTGCGCTGAGGGTTTGGAGGAAGGAGAGTGCTCCTCCATGCTGCCCCCTTTGCGTTTCTTCACCAGCCCCTGCTCAAAGCTCCTCCCACCGCTCTGTCCATGCAGTCCTGAGTCCCCCACGACGCCCCGGCTGTGGGAGTTGTTGGTGGCAGAGGAGGAGTCTGGGGGTGATGAGTGGCCAAGAGGGGTGTGTGTTCGTTTGTAAGTCCAGACCGCTTTTGCGGCTGGTGAGTGTGATTCTGAGGGGGAGGGCTGGGGGCGGGGTTTGCTGCTGGGAGAAAGAGTGCCATTGGTCTGTCCATGTGGTAGAGGTGAGGAAATGGGGGGTTTTGAAGAGGAAGATGATGATGAGGAGGAGGATGCAGTGGAGGGAGGCCGGCCCCGGTCCTGGAGGAGTATGCAGTTCCTGTCAGGGCCTGAGTGTTCACCTTCCTGGGACGGGGCCTTGCGTTTCCGCAGGGCAGCAGCAGTGGCAGCTTCCTCTCGCAGCTTGAGCATCTGCTTGCTGGGACGTCCCACGGGGTTCTTAAGTCTCCCAGAACCCCCCGAACGCCCTGATACAGGTGTACTGGGAGACCCCATGTGACCACCCGTAATGCTGCAGCCTCCGCCCCCCAAGTTCTCCGATGGTGCAGCTGCGGAGGGTCTCCCTGGACCACGACCGGAGGAGGAGGAAGAGGCAGAGGAGGAGGAGGATGATGATGATGATGATGCAGTTTTGAGAGAGGAGCTGATGTGACTGCCTGTGCGGATCTTTGAATGTAGAGAAGAGGAGGGAGACGAGGAGGTGAAGGTTCTGGCTGAGGGAGGTGGAGACTGGAGGTCTGTGGCTTGAGGTATTTTCCTGCAAGAAGAGAAAAAAAAACAGAAATCAATACAAAGGACCTCAGGTGACCAGAATTTAAAGTGTGTGACAGAAACGTTGACATTGTTTCTTTTTTTCCTTTTATTTGTTTCCTTGTTTATTTATTTATTTATTCATTCTTACCCTCATTGATTTTTTGTTTTAATATATTATTTGGTTGTTTTGTTTATGTTGTGATTATTATTATGATTATTGTTATAATTATTAACTGGAAGCAGGTAAATGATGATAAATTATGTAAGGTGAAGGGGTGGGACGGGACAAATTTCGACTTCCTCCCACTCCATTTTGAACATGCAAATGACAAAATTATTTGACTCTTGTTTTCTTTCTGTTTTTTTTTTTTGTATGTTTTTTTGTGTGTTTTTGTCTTTAATTTGTACTATGTTTAATTGTTGTTCATGTTCAAATAAATTCAATTTGGAAAAAAAAAAGAAAAAAAAAGGTATTTATTACCAAATCCCTGAGTGGAATATACTTCACCAAAATTTAGCCAAGATGCTTATAATCTGAAAAACTTTCTTCAACTCTCTTCCACCATTTTAAGTAACTCTGGCATCAAAACTCTTCATGAGTTACTGATGCTAGCTGACTGTTCACTGGCATGTGTCAAGTGTAACAATAACAGAGTGGAGTCCTACGTCTTATTGACTTATTCCAAATGAGATGATAAATTACATCAAATACAAAAGTCTGAGAATCTGCTCATGTCTGGTCAAAACAAAAGAAAACTATAAGTGTAGGATCAACTGTATTTTTATGCAGTTGCTGTTTCAGTTCTTGTTTAAACAAGCTTGGCCCCCCATCTCAAAAGAAAGTCTTTCTTTTCATAAAAAAAAAAAGCTGCATTCATATGATACTGTTGTGAAAATGATCTGTGTGCACACAGATCCTCAAAAACGACTGAAATATAGTTTCCATGCAGAGTGAGCGAAACAAAACAGTGGTTCTCTTTTGAACTTTTATGGTGTAGACAGCCTCTCAACATGAGTTTAACCCACTAAAACTTTTTAAAAATCTTTGATTTACAAACAACTTTTGTTTGATTGAACACACTGTTCTTGCCCTTGCATTAAAAATGAAAAAGGAAGTGCAGATTCTGCGTTGTTGTCCTACGTAACAGGAACCTCTTGGGCATTATTGCACTTTTGATCAGTATTCAAACTTTCTGAGCAGCTCGTTACTGAACGAGGCTCCACATGAGGGATTTCCTTCAAGATTGGGACTTAGATGAGCACAATCAGGTATGCCTGTTATTGGACAGTAGATCTGCTGCTGTTCACTCTGTGCAATAAGAGTTTTTAACAAATGTTGGAAATGTTTTCACATTTAAAGCTTGTTTGATATCATTAGTTTCCTCTATAACCTGCCACTCAAACTTGTGGTTAAGTATCTTACCTGACTACTCCAACTGGTGTTCTCAAGACAAAATGAGTCAAAAATATAGATTGGAATTATAATGTTTTTTATCTGGACTTTATCGTTATCACCAACATGGTAAATCTGATCGTAATTATTGTTTTAGCCTACATTGCCAATCCCTGATTCAAACACAACAAAAACTATCACAATGCATTAACCCCGATAAAAGGCCTTTTGCAACATCAAGCATAGCACTTTGATTGGGATGTCCTGATCTTGATCTCAACTGATCGGGGGTCAGCCGTTTGTGCCCATTATCTCACCACAGCTGATGTAAGCTGTGCACAATTTGGGGTACTTTTGGAGAAGCCTGGCTCTAGAGCTACCTTTGTATGGTAGCTCTTGGTCTAAAGAACCTTACAAAGTATATAACATGTCTGAAAATCTGAGTAAATTTCAAATAAAGTATGTTGATATATTAAAAAATACATATTGTGGGCAAAGGACAAATCTCCCCACTCTCCGACCACAGTGATGCAGAGATTTCTTCGTTACCCCGATGGTGCAGGGCTCTAACGGTCTTAAATGTCTTCATATGATCATGTAAAAGCTCGCAGTCAATATCAGCTGATATTTTGTGAAATCAGTCTCCATCTCTCTGCCAACTTCTCTGACTCCTCACCACTGCTATTCTGGGCGGCAGGACACACCATCTGCTTCATCTTCCAGTGACTAAGCGGTGAGATACACTCCCGTTCTTCTGCTAGTGTTACCAATATACGCAGCATCTGATCAAAGTCGCCTTCAAATAGTTAGCGTGTCAAAATCTGCATAGAAACCCAAACTGCAGAGGGGTGCAATCATGAGAAGACGAGAAGGTTTAGCTAACCATCCTCTATCATACTCCTTATCTTTTCACGTCTAAAAATGAAACAAGAATGAAACAATGAATTTATGTTTTTGTTTCAAATGTTGTCTCTGAACTTGTGCGTGTTTTTAGTTTGTTTGTTTTTTTGTTTTCAGTTTATTCTGTTTTATTTCAGTTGACTGTTGCGTTATGACTCGCTATTATTTACTTTCTTTTTCTATCTTGGATTTGTTGTAAAACCACTGCGCATTTTTCCAAAGCAAGTTTTGGTGTATGCGAGAGGGATTTTGAGTAGGAGTCTGCTAGTGTACTGCTTTATGTGTTTATATTTGTGTTATCTGTGACTGATGTACACAGGGTGAAAATGTTAATAAAAGTATGCAAAACAAAAAAAAAAATTGAAACCAGCACTAAAAGTGTACATTTTTGTGCCAAATACAACATGACCAAAGTTTATGAACGTACTTCCAAAGATGAGCACTGATGTGCTGCTCCAGCATGCTGCTGAGAGCCGACCTCAGGTGATGAAGCCTCCTGTCAAACGTGTAGATGCCGTGACCCAAAGCATGGCTGCTGAATGAACACACCTGCAGAGAGAACAGCGGTGTAAAAAAAAAACCCTGTTACAGCCGAGGAACAAGTCTCCTCTTGTTATCTGAACCAGAGGTGTCTCCAGCGTATGATGTTGTAATTTATTCTTAACGCGTCGTGTTACGTAAGACACGTAAAAACATCATTAAAACCTGAAAAGAAAAAAAAAACTCAACTATTTCCTAACTTTCCTCAACTATGGCCTTCACTGCAACATGAGAACCATGAAAAAGTATTTAATGAGCAGGACCTGAAGTTATCAAAATATTGAAAAGGTTTAATTTTTGCACCCAATAGCTTCCAAGAGACAAAACATGAGAGCAGGTAGTGCTGGTGGAGTAGCACAGAGTGCCAGTAATGAAAGTGTAAGCAGCAAATGAAAAACTTATCAGAGAAACAGACGGATGAGAAGGTGTTTTTTCCTGATACTTTCACAGCAGTTACACTAAAGAAGTCGGCACAGCCACACCTCAGCAGATTCCTTAAACTCTAAATGATCTCAGCTGATGTGTGTTTCTCTGCTCTGCCTTCCATCATACCTGTGGATCCATCTTACTGCCACCACAGAGAAAACTCAATTCAGAATGGAAAATTAAGATGAGATAAAAAGAACTTAAAAATTTGAGTATAATTTACAATACTTTAAAAACTCTTGTGGTACCACTTACAGATAGATGCACAATGTGTAAATGTGTCTGGAACAGACAGACTGAGCACAGAGGAGAGGTTTGTGTAAAAACTTTAAGTAGTCTCGACCTGTGTGCTTGAACCACCAATTGTCAAAAATCAACTAAATTAGTTGCTGATAAATTTCAGGAGCTACAAGTCGTCCGTGACATTATTTAGAGATCTTGTGTCGACAGATTCCCTGTTAAGTGAAGCTCATGCAAAACAGTCGCTGTCAGGGAGCCGCAGGTAAACAAAAAAAGCAACATGGCAGCAGCTGATGCAACATTATGAAAGGCGTACATCAGTGACGCAGGAGTGTTTGAAGAGCAGGGTTAGCTGGATGTCTGTCGTTTAAATATCCACTGACATTTACTGTAACAGCAAAGAGCTGGAGCTGTCTGAGTTTTACATTTACAGTCTCTCACCTTCAAATCTCAACTTTATCACACTTCACCTTCCTCTCTCTGTCTCATCGCTCTTTCTTCCTCCTACCTCTCTACAGTGGAGCAAACTCACGTTGCTATAGTAACCACGCTACACATTGAAACTAGGTTATCTGTCTTGCACTAACAGTGGTTATGTGAAGGGTAAAAACATGGCTTGAATTGAGATGGTAATTAGCACGTCTGGGGTGTAAGGGAGTTAATAAGCTGATCAGTAAATAACATCTGTGAAGTAATTGTGTAAATCATCAGGTGATTCACTGTCTCAATGCTGATTATTAAGAGTTTCTTGTAGACCTGTTTGACTTACAGTATGAAATGTTTCAAAGCACACTCTGCAGACACAGACACACTTTTGTGCAATGAATGGTAACTGAGAACTATTTGTTTTGGTCCGCAGATTCTCGGAGGATCCTTGCTGTGCTGCTGAAACAGGTATCTGCATTGTTTGGAGTTTTAACTTGCAGGAAGACACACAGCCTACTAAGCAGCTCTCAACAAATGGGATTTGCTGTTTTCAGTCCTTTAAAAAGGAAAAGTTTCCTCTGATCTCATCTCTATAGACAATGTCTTTATAGTGTGTGACATAACTGTCATAACCCTGAGGCTCTCATGATGAACAAAAGTTCTTGTTTGTGACATAAAAAAATCTTCACCTGTGACAGAAAAGCACGGGGAGCATGGAGGATCATTTGTACTGGTGTTTTATTAAAGGTGGGGTAGGCAGGAATCCGTTAAAGAAGCATCTTTTTTTTTGTGGTGTTTATACAAAAAAGCTTTTCATATCATAGCTATTAGTTATTGATGACATTTGGGAATATAACCATATCACTATGTTTTGTTATGTCTGTGTAGTCAACATTTTACATTTTTTAGGCGCTCCGCTCTTTCTGACTGTAAACAAAGCCGTTCCCCGCCTCCCCCAACCTGATTGGTTGTGAGGCAGACACTGCTCCCCCATGTCGTTCACGAGCTTAAACAAAGTTAGCGTGCTACAATATCGGAAAGTAGAAGCCAACCAGAAAATTCGGAAAATTGTCTGAATCCTCCTTTGACCACGACTGCCAACACAAGCAAGAAAACAAAGTAAATACCGGAGACTCTGGAGGAATAACGGGCGCTTAAAAAGCTGGGCAAGAACTAAAAAGCCGGGTCAACATAGCATAAATCTTACAGAGCCTGTAACCTTTCTGCAGGACAGGTAAACCCCTTTAACAAAGTAAGCCAAGTATAACAGAAGTGTTTCTTGTCAAATGGGACCTGCTGCGTGTTGTAGCGCCACTAAACTGTTTACCTCAGGTCCTGGACTATGTCACTTCATCCTAGTTGTAGAAGTCCTGCAAACATTATGTTTGCTGGTAGTCTGTTGGCATCTACAGTAGCACCAATGCTTTTTACTTTTACATTGACTGGGCCTCATTTGTAATTATCTGAAGTATTTATCCGCATTATATCTGAATTTAACTGGAACGATACAAGTGAGCAGGAGCGTCTGTTTGTGGGCGGGGCTTGCTGAAGCAGAGACTGAGGGGAGAGGAGGAGCTGAGAGGAAAACTGGTTGGTAGGGGTAGTGTTTACATTTAAGATTTCTCCCAAAAACTGGCACTTCCTCAGATCCTGCCTACCCCACCTTTAATGGGTTTTTATTCAAAATTTTAAAAACTGGTGTTTGAAAAAGCGTAACGCTAAAACACTCCCTCACTTGCCTGGTGCCAAGACATCCAGGAACATTATTTCATGAGCATCAGATGGAAGAACTGAAAAAGTTAAATGAGAAAGTTGTCCTTCTTTTATCTCTGTGCCTGTTTGACTGTCCTGCAGGTGCAAGTATGAAAAAGTATAGAAATAAATTTGATCAATTTCCAGGTCTTAACAAATATGGAAAAATGAAAAATAAAGTATGGAAAAATATTTATGTTTCCAGACTATTACCGCAGTTCAAAAATACTGTTTTCTAAAATAGAAAAGTAAGTACTTCAAAAAATAATTCTAAAAAGTAGGGTATGGAAAAGTATGGAAATTCCAACTGTGTAGGAACCCTGTGTTCTAGTATTGGAGGAGCCTAACCATTTAAAATGTGACTGTAAATAAAGTTGATTTATCGACTTGAGATCAGGTGAAGCTAAGTGCCTCTCAATGTGAAACTGAAGTCTAAGCTACTCACCGCTAGTGGTCTGGGATGTGTGGCAGAAGACGAGAACTCAACATGCTCCTCCGCTCCCTCTGCGTCGCTTTCGTCGCTGGAGATACGTCCATGGACGAGAGGTGAGGGGGCTCGGACGCTCCCCTCCTCCTGCCGTGGCTTCTCCTCCTCTGGGGTGCTCTCTGAAGCAGCCGTGGACCGACTGCACACAAAGAGAAAAATCAGCTGTTGTAAAACTTCCACACAGGTAGGCATAAAAATCTTAACAATCTCTTACTTTTACCAAAGTTATTCCAGAATTATTGGCTGTGCAACTCCTTAAAGTTAACAACCAGAGACAGGATGGAGTGGTTGGACTGTCAGGCACAGCCCTTTGCTGCATGTCATACCTCACTCTGTACTCCCTACATTTACTGTCCCATCTGACACAAAGAAGACGCAACAAATGCACTGCAGTTATGAGTCTCTGTTAAAGCAGATACAGCCGCCTCGAACCAGAGTTTGTTCTGCAGGTGTTAAGTTCACTCAGACATTCACATGTCATAGTTTCATTTCCAGATATTCTGTAGAGACCCCCTCACGCGTAGCTTCTACTGTGTCATCAGTCAAACTGTCTCACTTTTACTTCGCTTTCGACAGCAGTGGAAGGGTGCTTTTAAGGTGCTCTGGACTGCTCTGATGCAGCACCCCTGCCACATTAGCATACAATGCCGGAGGTGCACTTTAAAACAACAAATTCACCGAGTGCTGTCCTTGAAAAACTGATTTTTTTTTAATGAAAACAATCATGAAGAGACCCTGAAGACCAGGGGCGGTATGAAATTTGCCAGGGGCAGCCGCCACATACTTGAATATGCAGGAGAAACCTGCCTGCTGCTCTTAGTTTTTGGAATCTCTGTCTCAGTGTTCAGTGAAAGTATTTGTGTCCTGATTAAAATTGTGATTAAAAATGTGGCATCTCCTATTTGGATCTATCCAACAATAGATTCAGTACTAATTTCACTTGTTTACTTACTGCACATCAAACTGTCTCTCCACAGTTTTAAATTCTGCTACTGCACATTGTACATTTTTCTCCCATCATGTAGACCTTGTGTTGACAAATTGTTAATCTAAAGATATTGATGTTTAGGATCTTCTGAAGAAAAACAGGAGGAGTATAAGACAGTCTGAGCGAGTCTGTGTGAGAACCACAGAGGAGTGAAACTGTCAGTAGCTATATTTGGTGATTATGTTATGTAACGTTTTGTAATTCAGAGGTTTAATCATGAGCCGAGTGCAGACTGTGAATACTGACAAGTGACTTTTATGGAGACAGTAAGTAAAGGTTCACTTTAACCAATTTGCAGCATCTGCTTCTGCAGGCATGGATTTCACAGGCTTATTTGTCACTGCTGCAAGCCAAACGATGTGTCTACTTCACTAAGATAGATAAAAACCCTCACTGTGTGTGTTTAAATGAGTGGGCTGTAAAAGGTAGAGCTGTTTGAATCATAATCCTTCCTCAGCTTCAACCCTTAAGAGTTAAATATTTTGTTTCTTTGCTTTTAGTTCCTGTGAAAAATAGGAGGTTTTAATGTTAAAGAAAGTTTCACAGTAAATGGATGTTGCCGACTGCTTGCTTCTCTAGTTATACCAACTTTAGTAACGACCGCACAATAGCAATACACAGTGGTCTACTTCCCTAAGCGCAAACCTTAACCAAAAAGCCACTCTATAGCCACAAATAATGCTCAGAACAGCACCTAACTTCATCAACAGTATAGGGTCCCAGCACGTAGTTCTAGCCCTGATGAGTCGATCACCGAGTGCAGCGGAGTTTCGCAGCTCAAGGAAGAACATTTATGATCATTACTTCATGGAAATGCAATCAGACCGAGACGCTAAGGCAGAAGAACTACCGGGTCTGCAGCGCAAAATGATTATTATAACTTTAAGGAAATGATCCACTGCACTTGATCGATTCGTCAGGGCTCCCCCACAAACAAGCGGCTGCTGGAGGAGAGTGGGTGAGTTGTGTTTAGTCTCTTTGCTAAAAAACCAGGCAAAGCTAAAAAGATGTTTGATGACTAGCACTATGGCTGGGACCGTATATGTACTGTTGATGAAGTTAGGTGCTGTTCTGAGCATTATTTGTGGCTTTTTTGGTTGAAGTTTGCACATGGAGACGTAGCCCGCTGTGTATTGCTATCATGTGGTTGTTACTAAAGTTGGTATAACTAGAGAAGCAAGCGGTGCGCAACATTCATCTCTTGAGGGGGTGTCTAACTCTGTGTTACAGTGTGTTTGACCATAACTTAATTTTAAGTTGGAGTATCCATTTAACTAAGTGTTTTAAGCATTTTCAAAATTTTTAATGGGATAATAATGAAGCACAGACAAAAAATGCAAAAATAAAAAAAATCTCAGATATGAGTATATCTCCTCAGTTTGAGTTTAAACTATTAAGCCCGTAGAAATTCTGTGAATATCAAAACATGAAATTACAATCACAGGAAAAACTGCTGACTTGTTAACTGTGCAGGAGATGATTATCAGCAAGAGGAGGGCAAACCACAGAAGGTCGCTGCTGAAAAGACTGGCTGTTCACAGAGTGCTGCCTCGAGGAGTTTTAGCAGTGAGATGACTGGAAGTGAAAAGAGTGGTTGAAAGAGGTGCTCGAGCAACAGAGTTGAATACAGCCTTGAGTAGATGGTCAAAAAAGAGATTCAAGACATTCACAAGGACTGGGTGAAGCTGGAGTTTGGGCATCAGAAGCCTCTACACACAGACATCTTGAGGAAAGAGGCTATGAGCACTTACTCCTGATATCAAGAGAGAGACATAAGAGTCTCACCTGGGCTAAGAAGAAAGAGAACTGGTCTAAGGTCTGTTTTTTTCCTAGAATCAGGTGGAAGATCAGAGAGGCCCAGAATTGAGGGTGTTTGACGTCCAGTATGATGTCTTTAGAGTCCTTGATGGTTCAGGATGTCACGTCATCTGCTGCTGTTGGTCTACTGTGTTCTGTTTGGCAAGTCAAAAGTCTACAGAGCTGATTTAGCAGGCGATTTTGGAGCTCTTCATGCTTCAGTCTGCTGATAATCTTTACAGCAGTGCCAATGTCCTTTTCCAGCAGGATTTAGCACCTGCCCACAGCGCCAGATCTACTACTGAGTGGTTTGCTGACGAGAATGCTACTGTATCAAGAAGATGAGGAACACCTGACCCAAAAATACAGACCGGTTTGAGACTGCTATAAAAGCAACCTAGGCTTGAGAAACACGTGCAGTGTAAAAGGATGATCATCTGCATGCAATGCCAGATGAAGTCATTCCTGGTTAAGGAGCCCAAAGCTCTGGATTACTGATTTTTGATTGATCTCAGGAAATACTCTTAAAAACATCTCAATTTAAAAAATAGAGGTCTGAAATATTTCATATAACATGCCAAGAATTTAACAATATATGAAACTTTATTGTTTTTTAAATGAAGGTTATTATAGTGATCTAATTCCCTCAGATGTACCTGTATGTTTGTGTAAAGCTCACTAACCTGAAAGCAGGGAGGCTGGCCAGAGGTCTCCGGCAGTGTGGAGCCCCAGCTTGCTCTCTGGGGGCCTCGGGGCTGGGAGAGCGTCCAGTGGAGGAGCCTCCCTCCAGAGATTGGGCCCCTTTCTCACGAACCTTGGTCTTGAGTTCAGCCACGAGCTGGTCAAAGTTTTTGCTGCGGCCCAACACCTTCCTACGCTGGTGAATTGAGTGGATCTGTAAAGGAGGACACAAAATGGGTGTCAGTTTCAGTTTCAAGTAAACGGCTGCAGACTGTCACAGTGGTATTGTCAACATCCCTGCCTACCTGCTTGCTTAAGGTAAATATTCCACAGTATTATTTCCTATTTGGTCTCACATCAGCTTAGCCTGACTTAATGCGGGATTTTTCCCTAGAAGCTGGCAAAGTTGGGGTCCTCTTCAAGTCCTTGAAGAGTTTGGTGGATGTGTAAAAACAGCTTCAGAGAACTAGTCCATTCAGAGTTTGAATAATGAATGACTATCTGCAACACTTTCCAGACGGCTTTATGAAGACGACACGATGGTACAGCCACTGAAGTTCTACATCAATGTGCCTGATAAACACATTTCCAGTTTCAGTTGGTATAATAAGCATTACTTGATAGCATTCATCTTTCATGGGAGCAGGTGGAGGAGAAAACACAGCCGCCCACTTTGAGTGTGTTCACCTCCAGTCCAGGTGTAAAAAAGCAGGCTGTTTTCCTGCTTGTTTTTCCCGTCAGTACTGTCATTTCCTGTTAATCAGGTCATCCTGTCTGTGCTCGGCTGGATGTGGCCTCTCACACTCACTTCCCCCTTCACACAGCAGCCTCCATATAAGGACTGCTGCTGTGCTGGGAGCCATTTCAGCTCTCTGTATCAGACAGAGTGCATCAGTGCATCTCCTTTGATTACACATGAACTTTAACTGACTTATAACAACCTTCACTGCGACTTTTAAAAACACTGGATGTGGAGTATTTAATCAACACCTGAGCACATGTTCGAATAACAAACATGGAGGAGGATCACATAAAAATCTGCTTCTGTTCTGAGTTCATACTACTGAAGTAAACCAGAGTGAAGCATCTGTGTTACACCAAGTGTCTACCCTCAACAGAGGCCTACTTGAAACAGATCAGCAGACAGCGACTGAGATAGTCATATTGGAAATGCTGGTTTAAGCCACAGACAGTAATAATTTGACATAGTGTTGATGTCACTCATTTGTTCCTGAAGCACTGTTTTGAATTCTGTCAGCGGCGCTCAATCGAACTCTCAGGGGACCTAGCTTCAGCCGCCTCGTAAAAGGCTCTAGTGTGCCCAACTGGCAGTCAAGTTAGCCGGGCCTCTGATTGGCCGAGCTTGTAACCCTGACGTGTTAGAAAAATATTCACTCCTTGTACTGTGAGTGCTGTGGGAATTCTGCCCCTCTCAGACCTGAACCGTTTATGACCCAGGTCGTACATGTTTCGTTTTGACTCAAAAAACGTCTCATTTGGCTAAGTATGTTCACTTCTCAAGACCAGAGGTTGTCGCTTGATTTAACCTCACTGTATCGACTGAGCCAGCTGGAGGCAAATAGGGAGAGTTGAGGCGGGTCTAGCCAGCTAGTCTGCCAGTCAGCCATGCCTCTGAAAACTCACAGCTCTGCAGGGATAGTTCAGTTTCTTTGAAGCGTGGCTGTATGAGGTACTTGTTCATAGTACATGTATAAATTACAGAGGATGTCCTTCTGTAGAAAAAGCAGCTGGACAACTGGAAGTCAGGTGATCTGGGGTCATCTCTACTAATATCGTTTGGCTAATTTAACAAACCCCTGACCCAAACAGTTATATGGCTGCCAGAGCCCGTTTGTTTTCACATTGTTTTAAGAAGCAAAACTCTATTTAAAAGGAGACAAAATTCAGCCAGTCTAATACATCAATGATTCTTCTGACAAAGATGGTGGCTTGATGTTTAATTTGGGCACAGAAGGAAATCTCTGTGAACCAAAGTTATTGGGGGGAAGAACATAAAAAACAGGGCTGGGGTCACATGAAGAGAAAAAAATAATAACATGAAGGAGATTTAAGTCAAAATTTTGAGATTAAAATTTGAAATTTCAAGATTAAAGTCGAAATTTTGAGATCACAAAATGTCATAAAGTCGAAATTTTGAGATTAAAAAATTGAAATTTAAGGATTTAAGTCGAAATATCAACTTTATTCAAAATTTCTTTAATCTCAAATTTTTTAAATTTCGACTTTAATCCTAAAATGGAAATTAAAAAAAATCTCCCTCCTGTAATAATTTTTTTTTTCTTCTTGTGGCCCTTATCCTCTTTCATAAGAACAAGACTCAACAGACTGAAAGAGGGAGGGGAGACACTTCTGTGTGAACTGGAGAGGTCCCAAGTTACCTGAAGGTGCAGATGTGTAGGCTGGGATCTCATCCTCATGGATGGACCTGTTTGAGCTGGGCGATGTTAAAATGGGAAAAACTGCTTGATAGAGTAGACCCCGTCTTGTTTTTGCACCAGTGCTCCAGACAGTTTCCCAATTAAGGGGCTGAACTGACCAGGATTCTTTATAAGTAACGTCAACTAAAGAAAGCTATCCATCAAATGGTCTCTTTTTGTTGTCTGCTGATTGAGGCACATTGTCATTTAGATCTGTTTGGAGTTATCCGAGCAGTGAAGGGACCACAACCTCCCAGTATATGCATCGGCTCAGATTTTTACCTGGTAGATCAAGAAATACCTCAAGACTCTAAACCTTTCTCTTCACACAGAAAAGAGAGAGATGAGAGAAATATCACAGAGTCATGTGACACTGAGGTAGGAAAAGCAGTGTGTGTGTGAGTGGGAGTGTGTGTGATTGTTTGGAGCTTACATTGCATGTCAGGAGGCGAGTGCAGACCTTCTTCCTGTCCGGGTCAAGGACGCCGCAGTGTTTGTCCAAGTCACACTCCCTCTCTGAGGAGACACACACACAGAATCTCATCATTTGGCTTCACACGGGCAACAAAGACTCTGAAGATGTGGACATCTCTGAGCCACAAGGCCACTTTATTTACGAAGACGGCTCAGAAGAATTGAACATACTCTGTACATTTTCACAGGAATTTGATTTAAAAGCAACCTGCTGCATGTGCTGTACTCTTCTCTGTAATACAGCCAAGATTTTCAGGCGTCCATCAGCCAAGATATGCCTTTACTTCAAAACACTCAGATCTACAGAGGCTGTCAAGTGCTTCAGCTCTGCTTTTGACCAATGTGCGTTTTAAGAACTCCCTGCAAGATTCAAGTCTGCTGGGTTTTCCTCCTGGAAGCTTATACAACCACTATGATGAGAATAAATGATGCTGGATTCTGAGTGAGAGCTGCTGCAGGTTGACTGAAACTGAGCCTACTACATCTTTTCTTTCTGTGATATATAGAGAACTGCAAAGTGAAAGACAAACAGAAAATCACACCTATGAAAGTTTTTCATCGGTACTTTTCTTTTTTTTTAGTGTGGCAAGATAATATAATTGTGCGATTATAGTGGCCAAAATGCAATCAGTTACTGTGATATACAGTAATTAATAAGGATAGGAAGAACTTTATTTACCCCTGAAAAGAAATTCAATTATAATAGTATATAATAGTATCATTAGTCATAGCTAACAAGAATTATGCAGAGATTGGTTGTTTTGAAATACATATTCCTTGATTTAAATGCACAAATATCAATTTTTGAATACAAAAATAGAAATGCTGTAGAGCTGATATAAACAGAGTGCTCAGTAGGGACTCGTGAGATGCATGTAAATGTAAAGTGTGAGCACTTGCACGCAGAGCTGTCAACGTCTATGTAATGTTGAAACCAGGTGTAAATGACCTCTGAGACTCTTTTGTCGTCTCTCTTTACCTGGGCTGTTTAGTAAAGCAAGTAAACAAATATGCTGTGTGCACACAATCGTAATCAGTCGGAATAGCAGATAGGCATGGGCGATAAATGATTGTTCACGATATATCGTCAGAAAAATCCTCCATGATAAATATTTGCCATCTCATGATAAATACGATAGATGCGAGTTGTTAACATAAGCGCGAGCGACGGACTCACAGCCATAGCCCACACAGATCAGAATAACAAACAAACATGGCCGAAGGTAATGAAGAAGACGTTTCTGAGCAGCCCGTTACTGAACGAGGCTCCACATGAGGGATTTCCTTCAAGGTTGGGGTTTTCAACTAAGGTTGAAAATGTTTTCACATCTCAGACTTGTTTGATGTCATTAGTTTTCTCCATAACCTACCACTCAAACTTGTGGTCATTTATCTTATTTGACTATTCCAACTGGTGTTATCGAATCAAAATGAGTCAAAAATATAAAATGTAATTATAATGTTTTTTATCAGATATTTTATCGTTATCGCCAGAATGGCAAATCCCATTGTGATAAATTTTTCTAGCCCATATCGCCCATCCCTAGTAGCCTGACCGAACACACTCCAACCAATCAGATTAGAGGTTATAATGCTTAGAGACACACACTCAGGCATATGTAAATTGCAGCTTTTTGTATACAATTGTTCTCACATACTGTGTATTACCGATAGACTTGTTACTAATATTACAGGAACACAGTTTTACAATGGCACGCTTACTTGTGATAAAAGTTGAATGTTTATATAACAGGATACGTTTCTGTCTCGTGTCTTTGTTGAAACATTTTAACTAGGCTTCCTCCTGTAATTTGTAAAGCCGTATGATATTTATTGTTATGAACACTGTTGTGCTCATCTGACGGATCATAGAATAAAACAGTGAGCCACGACAAAACAATGGGGCGACAGAGCTGCTGTGCCACATTTCAGAACTAATTGGCTTTGGTCTAAAATGACAGCTCCACGGCACAGATGTCACACTTTGTTAAACGCCTGTTGCTTCCATTCCTCTTTCTCGTGTCTCTTCCTTGCCTCCTCTGCTCTCATCTTAGGTTGAAGGGACTGATTCGTGAAAGAGGTGGAGGAGGAGGAGGAGGAGGAGAGGCAAGGAAAGGAATACAAGACGTACAAATCGAGAAAGAAGAAAATGCTTCAGAGCGTCCAGACAGATAAAAACACTGCCTGAAAAACAAGCAGACATCATCATCATACTTGAATAAGACGAGTTTGTGGGTGGACACAGAAGGTTTCAGCAGAGATGAAAAACAAAGCACCAGATAAAATACATCTAATTCACTTTTTGTGTCCTAAAACACATCCAAACTACTTCTGATGGGTCATGTTTGAACAGCTGATCCATCCTTTGATTTGTTGACTACTGAGAGAGAAAAATGTTGATGCCATCAAGTCTTAAGGGTTTTTTAATCCTGCCTTGTAATATCAGAAAACACTACACAGTGTTTACTGCTCGAAAAGTTGACAAGTTCATATATGAAATGTTCAAACGACGGTCTGGAGTCAGTATTTTCTCCAACAGGCTCCCCTGTGTCGCCGTCAGTCTGAGCTCATTTCGACGTGTGATCTCAAATGTAAACATGCGATCAAAGCAAACAAAACCTGTCATGTGCTGTGGATGTTAACCTCAGTCTGAGCTGCACGAGACTCCCAGGTATACACAAGTAGGACAAAATCAACCCTGTGATTCCTGGAAAGGGTTAAGTATTCATGGAGTCAAGAAGAGAAGGTCTGTGTGTTCCTGCAATCTTTTACTTTTTCAGACCCTGAAACTCCAACAAACAGCCAATCCCAATGAAAGCTGATTCTGATGGACAAACTGGACTTGGCGGTATGTCTTAACAAACAAATGCCAGTCTCAGTTAGACGCCTGTTCACATGAACTTTCTGTCTCATGCTCTATGAGGTTAGGCGCCTTCTTTTACTTCCTTTAAATGTGAAGCGTCACAGAGAGAACAGTGAAACCTAAACGCTGTCAGATAGTCAAGTTTAAGCATCAAATCTTAAAAGGGAGTTAAAAAAAAAGACTGTTAAAAAAAGTCAAACTTGCTGGAGCCAATGGCATCAACAGCTTAATCGACTGCAGCGAGAAGGTGATCGTTTATATCCCGACATCTTCTGCGGATCTAAACGATTTCTGCCGACTTTGCAGAGTCAACTGCAGAATTAACGGCGTTCTGAATGAACGGCTTTGAAAAGTCCCGCAGCATGTGTTAGACGTCACCATCTACACATGGACCAATCGGGGGCTGCCTTTCCCTGTTGTCCGGGGAACAGTGGAAACACAGTCTCTGATTGGCCCGGTTATTTTCTGATCGCTAATACACGCTCCCAATGGGCCGAAGTCCAGACTGTTGTGGGAAGGAACGGCAAGTGATTCACGCAACAGGAAGGCCCAGCCAGGCTAGCAAGGAGGCAGATGGTGTCCATTCTATATACAGTCTATGGCTAGAACCTCCTATAAGACGATGAGTGTGAAGGCCAAAACTTTAGTGACAGAGGGGATGACTTAGACCAGGGGTGGGCAATCATGTGCCATGGAGGGCTGAGAGGCTGCAGGTTTTCTTTCCAACCCAAAACTCCACCAGGTGATTTCACTAATTAGTCCCTGCTCTCTGCTTGGAGGTGAGGTAATCAGTGAAATCACCTGGTGGAGTTTTAGGTTGGAAAGAAAACCTGCAGCCTCTCGGCCCGCCATGGCACATGATTGCCCACCCCTGAGTTAGACTTTTCTGCACTCAGTGACTTTAAAGAGGGGAACGCAGGTGAATCTATCACGCCAGGCCAACTTGACATGAGATGCATTTTTCATAACACAATGATGATATTGAAACATTTAGACAGCTTTATGGGCCTGTACATCCACACAGCACTTAAACTTGTTACTGATATTAACCGATTACGAACTCAGACAAAAAGCACAAACTCAAAGAGGTTTTAAAGCAACATTTTTCTCCCTGTGCCACATGAAAGTTTTGTTTTAAAAAAAATTTAGAGCCAGTATCACAAAGATGCCTGTCCTCAAATAAAGGCAGGGTTGTGTCTACTTGATAAAAACAAAGCAAACCCAGACTAATAGACGTTTTTCCTCGATCACATGGTTTGAAGCACATGAAGGTGTGTGTATTTTGCATTTGTACTCACTGGAGGCCACTTTGTTGTAGGGTCTGGGGATCCGGTGGCCCGGTGGCACTGCAGAGACCAGAGAAGAGTCTTTCCTCTGGCTCTGCGATGGGGGTCGCTCACCGGGCGATGGTCGACCTGGCGGGGTTCCTCCGTGCGGCCAGGGCGGATCTCTGAGTGACGGAGGTGGAGAGTTCATGGGAGGCTCCAGAGGTGGAGGCTGCTTGAATACTGATGACTCTGCGTGGCTGCTGTGGGAGGATTTCTCCAGTGGGGAATGTCTGAGTGAGGGAAGAAAAAGTACAAAACTGAACTTTGTTGCCTTGCGAAGTGATACGGGTCAGATCATTTTTAAATGACTTCTCAGATGCAGTTTTTTTTTTCAATCATTATGCAGAATATTAACCTCTGAACTTTTACTCATTTTTTTTTTTTTTTTTAGAATCAGTTCATTTAAGTCTGATATGATGAGGCGTTGTTTTTCATATATTTTGAACAAAGTGCACTAAGAACAGAGCTGTTTCTTTGGCTGCCTGGCTGACCAAATTAAAATTTTCACCAAATATCATAAAATGTTTGTTGACAGGCTTAATCACAAGCACACTTATAGAAAAAAATTATACCTATACATATACTCTTTGCACAGCCTGCTCATGTACATCCATCAAGTGACTGTAGGAGATACTGACGAGGCTGCCGGCAGTGTCTGCAGACATTATTTATTCATTTTCTTACTAGTCCCATGAGCGCAGACTGATGCTTTTAAGACGCCATATATCGGTCTCTCGGGTCAAAATTTTCAGTGTTGTCACTGATGGTCTTGTTTGCTCAATGTATTCATATAAATTATATTTGGTAGAATAAACATAAAAACCCTCACAAGAGATTAAAGTTTTGGTCACCTGTCACCTGATATCTATTCATTTATTTTTAATTCATATCGGTTTTGACATTCAGTTTAGGTGTGGGCATGATCTTTTAAGGAGTGTTTTGATATTCTAACTAGCGTCGAACAGTGACATGACGCTGACAGAAATGTTATAAAAACTGTAGCTTTCTCAGCTATCTTCTCACTGATGTCGAAGCTTTCTTTAATAACTTTTTTTAAAAAGATAACAAACATGGGATTCTTTCTGGATTTTGTCTCAGCTGCACTGGAAACCTAATGATGCAGACAAGAGGTCAGGAATCTGCTACAATCCAGCATATAATCCCCTTAAGTGGCAAGTGTTGTTTTTATACTTTGGTTTTCTGCAGATGAACAAAAGAATATGAGTAAAGAAGTGAGTTTTAGAGATGTCTGTGAACAGAGTTTGTCACTTATGATAGATGACAGCCAAACCAACAGGCTCATAAAGCTGCAGACAGACACAGGAGTGACACTGATCCACTTATCTCGAAAAGTGAAATGCAGTTTCATCCAAAATGTGCCACAGTTTGAGTCTACATCAATAAAGTTGAGCCATGTCTCTGTCACATTAAAACAAGCCCTCCTGAACATGCACAATAACCTAAGCTGGGACAGCCTGCAGTGCTGGTGATGTCCACAATTTTATCCAACAGGACCTGACTTTTGTGTTAAAGGTCTATTTCAATATTAAATAAATTCCTGCTCAAATCATGGGCAGTTTTAATTAGCCACACTTTTTGGATGAATACTCAAATTTTTCTTTAAACTTGCACAGCTTCACTGAAACCTGCAGGTCACAACTCAAAGTAGGCACAGGGTTGAGTTTAAGACAGCTCTTCTCAAAACCTGAGCATGAACCTGAACAGAGCCTCAGTAATAACTGTACAAAACAAATCTTTAAACTTTTCTAAAAAGTTCTGATCAAATAAATCAGATATGTTCATTTTGTCTTTTACTTCTCGGTCTAAACACTCTTATTTTCATATTAAGCTACAGACTGATGTTTGCTGCTTTCTGCAAGTTGGCTTATTTTGTTTCTGATTTGGGGGCTTGAAGCACCCCACGAGTGATGGTGTAAAGACTGATAGTGGAGATATTTGGGTAAAGAGGATGTGGGAGGTTTTTAAACCCAAAGTGCATCCCCGCACAGAGCAGCTGTTGAATGAGGACTGGGGCAAGGTGAGCGGAAGAGACGGCACCTCAAAGTGAACTAAGCTGACCCAGGAGGACCAATGGTGGCCACATTTATCAGACAAAATAAAGGGGCTGTAAAAATCCCCTCAACTTACACTGCAATCCAGTTCACTGCTCAATTCTGTCATGAGTTTTAATAAAGGTTTTAAATAACATTTTAAGCAACCTTGTGTACTGTCCAGCCTCAGATAAGAGATTTCTTCAAACAGTGTTATTTGTGATGACTGTGTTCAGCTTTTTTATCACTGTATCCCAGCATTACTTTACTTCTTGTTTTGACGGTTGACCTGCTTTTATTTTGAAAGGTCTCCATAATACATTGGTCAGGTCATAAAGTTACGGGAGTAAAAGGAAACAGCTGAAAGAACAGCCAACAGGAACAAAAAAAAAGTATAATATTTAACCAAACCCTTAAGTGGAGGCTTTCATTTAGTTCAAATTATGTCTGAGTAATTTTGTTCAGTGTTTTAAGGACTCTGTCTGTCTCTGACCTTCAACTCAAGAGTAGACTTTAGAATCAGGATTAAATGGTCATTCACTTTTGTTTTACAGGCGACAGTTTGTCTCCTCCTTTCTTTTGACTGTTTTTGTTATTGTTGCTGTATTTGCCCTTTTTTTTACTTGTTTCAAAAAGTTAGCAAGTCTATAAATTGCATTTCGTAAAGATCTCTCCTTTCTGATAACCGGAGAGCAGGTGTGGAGACACACTTACTTTAGGAGTAAAGTGAGAGAGTAAGTTATTTTCACAAGTTAATCAATCTTTGATCGCAATCTAAAAACGTGGGAAAGATGTGCCCTCCAGTTATCGTCAATGCACTGTAAATGCTGACACTCCAACCTCCACAGATCAGGCATTTTGCTGCGATCATATCTGTACTTTTAGTATTTTGCTCATAACTTTAGAGACATTATGATGCCATGAGAAGTCAAGTGCAGATAGTGCCCTCTGCTGTTAAAAAAGGTATTGGCAGTCATTTTCATCTCATTGATTTAGATTGCTCTGAATGTGGGACTTCAGTCAGATCTGTTGACACTGTCACATCCCTAGCAAAAACTGGACCAGCACTATTCAGGGGGCTCTGGCTTGGACCATGAATTCTGGGATGAAAGCACGGGGAGATCAGGACCAAATACTAGCAAGACATCCAGCTCACTGCAGTTAACATTGATCTTATTTTATACAAGCCGATGCTGTCTGTGCTTGAGAAACGATACTTCCTCTCTAGGGTGGATTCAAGTGTGCCAAAAGGGCTCAAGAACCCCGCCTTTTCTTACCGTACTCCATCTTTGGAGTTCTTTGAGTGTCTGTACTGAGGTGGTGTAGAAGGCGAAGGTGGAGCTGCTCGTAGCTGTCCCACACCCTGTCCACGACCTTCCCAGGAAGAAGACGCAGAAGAAGAAGCAGAAGCAGCGTTGGTCCCGTGTGAAGGAGAGTGGCTGTGGTGGGGTCTCTGCTGGGGCTGGGGTGCAGGGGTGGGTGAGCGCAGTCTGGCGTACAGTTTGGCCAGGGGGCCATGTCTCCGTTCGCAGTGCTTTTCAAACGCCTGTGGCTTCACTACTTGGCCACAGTGGCTGCACACCACCAGGTAGAAGTCATCATGGCCGGGGTAGAGCCCAAAGATGGACATGTCTAAGGAGGAAGAGGAAAAGAGTGAGAAAACAGGGATGAAGTGGGACAGGTAGGGTTGATATTTAGTCGTTCAAAGAGTTATGGTTCGATACCAAAACACAGGTAGAAAATATTACTAAATTCATCTTCTATCAAACTGGGGAAACCTGAAGTCATTTAGGTTAAAAAAATACAGGCATGAAACATTTTTAACAAGAGTAAGCGTGATCACTGGTCACCAGGTTTGCTGATTCATAACTGATGGTCTTGACACTCTCACAATGTCTTAATGGGTCTCCTCCTCTTTTGTACTCCAAAGATATATCAGTCCATGGCTTATTTGTGAGTCCACAGATTTAGAAAAACGACAAATTAAAGGAGAAGTATAAACTATACACACTATACAAAGTGGCATGGTTTGTATCCACTTGTCCCCTTCAGCTGTATCCAGACCAAAACTGAGGCTAATTTTACTTAGCATTACTCAAAGGAGTTTGACCACAGGATCATTTGATCTCGTTGCCTTTGTCAGTCACAACCCACAAATAAGGGCTTATTTAGATGCATCAGAAACCAGAAGCTTTTAATGTCTGGGTTTATGACATCATTCAGACTCAGCATGGCTCAAAAGCCTCTCCAGGGAGCTGGTTCTGGATCCACTTACTGCCACTAAAAGTACTCCAAGTGCCCAATTTGATCATTTGAGATGTAGCATAGGCTCAGTCAGTACCTGAACTACCTGTATTTTTCAAACAAACATTAACCATTATCAGGCTCTGAGTCCACTAACAAGCAGTTCTAGTGCATTAAACGAGTCACACGTTAGCTGAGTCCTGGCTCACTCACTCTCAACACAAATACAGAGATTTTAATATTATTTGCATGCAAAGGTGGCTGAGAGGATGCAGATTATTACACCTAACTTCATCAACAGCACATATAGGGTCCCAGCCATAGCACTAGCCACCAAACATCTTTTTAGCTTTGGCTGATTTCTTTCGCAATGAGACTAAACACATAAACACAACTCACCTACTCTCTTCCAGCAGCCGTTTGTTTGTTGGGGGAGCCCTGATGAGTCGATCACCGAGTGCAGCGGATCATTTCTATGAAGTAATAACTATCATAATAATCATTTTGCACCGCAGTAGTTATTCTGCCTCACTGTCTCGGTCTGATTGCATTTCCATTAAGTAATGATCATAAATGTTCTTCCTTGAGCTGCGAAACTCCGCTGCACTCGGTGATCAACCTGTTAAGGCTCCTCCAAAAACAAGCAGCTGCTGGAAGAGAGTGGGTGAGTTGTGTTTGCTCTCTTTGCTAAAGAAACCAGTCAAAGCTGAAAAGATGTTTGGTGGCTAGTGCTATGGCTGGGACTGTACTGTTGATGAAGTTAGGTGCTGTTCTGAGCATTATTTGTGGCTATAGAGTGGCTTTTTGGTTGAGCGCGTGGCTCTGTGTATTGCTATTGTGCAGTCGTTGCTGAAGTTGGTACTAGAGCAGCAAGCATTCAGCACCATTCATCTCTTGAGGGGGTGTCTAACCTTGTGTTACGGTGTATTTGACCCTAAATTCATTTTACACCGGAATATCCCTTTAAGTCGACAGCAGGGATATGCGCTTTTTTAAAAAACTTTCCCAAAACTCCTGGTGCTTCAGGATGACAGTGCAGAACTTTCTAGTGTTAAAGAAGAGTTGTGCTTCACAAGCATTGCAGTAGCAGTTCCTGCAGCTTGTTGATGCCACAATAATGATCTTTTTTTTAAGGATGTCAATGATACATGTTAATCCATTAATATGTAGATATATGTTTAAACAACTCATTCAATCAATGCCTATCAGTGTAGGGGATTTTTATTTTTTGTATTGAACCAAATGAGAAAGGGGGTGACGCAATTTAACAGCATGACCCCTACAGATATCAGAGATCGGGCACCACTGACCCAACATCCCCTCTTTGTCGTTTCTATGCAGAGGGGACTCTGTGAGGAAATGCAAAAAGAGAAAGCCTGAAATCAAAGAAAACACGTGGACCCCCACAGATTCTGTTTTCATTTCTCTTTTGCATCCTTTCCAACATGATAGACATTGATGAATCATGACTGAGCAGCCTCATACGACAACACATGCCGCCACACATGACTGACACACAAACACAAAAGGGGAGAGCGTCTGGCTGACAGCTGCTGCTTCACACCACTAAGCCAGGTGCCAAAGGTGTCTAAGCAACACGCCACCCAGCCTTAATGCTAGCCCTGGTCTTAGCAGGTGAGTGCTTTGGTTTACTGGACCCTGTTAGAGACCAAAGAAGTCTTCAGCAGGAGCCAACATGTAGGATTACGAGTGTGTCCCCTTACTGGTTTTTAAGTGTCATAAACAGCAATATATACTTGACTCCTGCGTTTAAATGACAGTGTGCAGACTTACCCTCCTTACTGAGTGACATGGCCTCTGCAACCTTTTTGCCATTCTTGCTGCAGTCGTCCCCATCAGGCCCTGCAACATCACAGACAACATACATGATTAATAAGCACCTCTGGGAGGTCAGGAGCTGTCAGGAGTTGATAAGCGAGACAAAGCCTAACCAAGTAGTCCACAAAAGCTGCTCATACACAGACCCTTAAGCTGTATTATGTAAAGCAGTGATTTGCAGGTCAACACGGTCTCCACTGACTGCTGCTGGTGTTTCCTTTCCATTCACTTGTTCTGACACAGTTTGCAAACAACAAGAAGGAGCTGAAGGTGTTGAATACTGAATAGTGACGGACAACTTAAGTAAATAGTTATAGACACAGTGGCACCAAGAGAGATGCCAGAAAACTTGTAGAGAGCATGGACAGGAGAACTTTTAAAGATCATTCTTTCACAAAACTTTAAATCACAAAGAAAAATGTAAGGAGGAGTCCAGAGGGGTGGCTCAGGACAGTACAGGCTGCTATTGGCCCCCCTAACCTTAATTTTTTGCCTAAATCTAAATGTAGCCCATGTTCTCAGAACTGGTTGATAATAATATTCATATGTGTGTGTAAATTTGTGCACCTGAATGCAAAACTTGTTTCATTTTTGTTATCTCAAGATGCAGCTGCTGTACCACAAAAGCAGCAGTGAGTGGCCACAGTTTAAAGATAAAGAAGTGGGAGACTGTTGTAGTGCAAAAAAAATCATTTGTATTGTTAAGATATTCTTGATGGTGAAAACTTGACTAACAGAGGATCACATAGGAGCTTCTGGTCACTGTCATGTCACCTAAAGGAGGGGTGAGCAAGACAGTGTTTCTAACTAGAATCTGCCTCAGACGTCACTAACCATTCCCTTTTTTTTTTACATTACTTTCAATGGCACGAATGAATGCTTTTACAGCCTGGTTAATATCTTTGTACTTCATTTTTTAATTTGTAAAAACCATTCAGGGTACGCAACTCTCCCACTTTGATTACAATAAACCTTACTAAGGACATTTAGGGGCATGGCCAACTTAACACCCAGGTGGATAAGCTGCACAGATGATGATCATAACCAGTATGTCTAATAAAGTGAAATCGAGGGTGAGGCTTCATAACACCTTTTCAAAGATAAGTGGTTGACTCCCTTGAGATACTGATGTTTCATTCGGTCTATCCAAACTGAGGTGATTAAGGCGAGAATTAGTCCATTAAAAACTGTGAGCAGACTACTGCAGAGTCAACTGCCCCAAAAAAACTTTAACATCTTTACAAGTACTTCACATATTTTTAAATCTGTACAAAGTGAATCTTTTAAGATTTACATGTTGCCACAACCAGTGCAATGCCGCTCCAATTTAAAAGTTGGCAAAATAATTGAATCCAAGGAGAATAATTGAATTTTGCTGCACCGAGAGGGGCGGTCATCAATATGAGCCCTTTAAGAAAACCCCCGTAGCAGCAAAGTGATGCCTGCTCAGTCAGCATGAAGAAGATCTCCTAATACACCACGCAGACATTTATAATGAGACAGACTGCTTCACTTTGTACTGATCTATAAACATACATTATAAACAGTGTTGGTTTTCTCTTTCTTTGAACCACTGGTCACAGACAAAGCATCACTATTAGTGCAATAACCAGGGTGAGAGTGATAATAGTCGTTACGCACCAAAAATATGAGCAGAACAGGAAAACAGGGGCACCAAAGCCCCTTTAAGACACACAAAGTTCCTGAGAGTCACTCAAAATCATCCAGGTGAGCTGTATGTGTGTACAGTATTTCCCGCTTGCCCCCTCAGAGCATTTAAGGATCAAGTCCAGATAATCTCAAGTGGGAACTAAACTGTATAAAAACTGGAAAAGCGTCAGTAATGTAACTCATCTGTTTTTGAAGTGGAGTTTTAAAGCCTGTTGGCGGTGGATGCCATATTGGAAATTCTGACTCAACCTACCAGAAGCGGGTCTTTAGTCGTCTTGCAAATGGCTACAGTGTGCACACCTGTCAATCAAATCAGCTGCGCCTATTTTGTCGATCTTGTAAGCTTAACAACTTCAACATGTCTGTGTTCAGTTTTTTGGTCTTAGAACTGCTCTTCTTGGCTGAGAGAGCATGTGGTTTTTAGTGCCAGCCTCGCTTGTGCATCGGCTTCATTTCTGGGGACCAGGGGTTGCTGCTCGGCGAGAATGTTCCTGACACTGTGACGTGAGAACACCAACACTTAACATGATCCACAACCACACAGCAAGAGACTTCAAGTTGAGTTGATTCCTGATTCGTTGCACGTGATTTAACTGCTTTGTTAAGTGTGTATTTTCCCCTTTCTATGGCACTGACATGTTGAAATAGCTCTCAAGGTTTTGTAGAATAATGATATTTGAGCCCTGCTACTGGGATGCACAGAGATGCATTTCGATAGCAGCCAATGTTCGGTGATGAGTAAAGTTATAAATCTCTGATTTTTCTTATTAAGATATGACCCAAACTTTGACCCTAGACTCGTTATCCAAACTGTAATGTTTGTGATCTGTTGCAGCCCTAGATGTCACTTTGTTGTGTTTTAAGGGATATTCCGACATAAAATTAATTTAGGGTCAAACACACCGTAACACCGAGTTAGACACCCCGTTGAGAGAAGAATGTTGCCGACCGCTTGCTTCTCTAGTTACACCAACTTTAGTAACGACCACAGGATAGCAACACACAGCGGTCGAAGAAGCTACACACAAACCTCAACCAAAACGCCACTCTATAGCCACAAACAATGCTCAGAACAGCAACTTACTTCATCAACAGCAAATATAGGGTCCCAGCCACCAAACATCTTTTTAACTTTGCCTAATTTCTTTCGCAAAGAGACTAAACACAACTCACCTACTCTCTTCCAGCAGCCGCTTGTTTGTAGCGAGACCTCAGGCCAGTACATCAACTGTAGCGGGGGACACAGCTCAAGGAAGAACATTTATGATCATTTCTTCATGGAAATGCAATCAGACAGAGACGCTGAGGCAGAAGAACTACTGCGTCTGCAGTGCAAAATGATTATTTAGGTGATTATGATTTCAAGGAAATGAAAAAGAAATTATCATAAATGTTCTTCCTTGAGCTGCGAAACTCCGCTGCAGTCCATAATGGACTGGCCTGAGGTCTCGCTACAAACAAGCGGCTGCTGGAAGAGAGTGGGTAGGTTGTGTTTAGTCTCTTTGCTTAAGAAATTAGGCAAAGTTTAAAAGATGTTTGGTGTCTAGTACTATGGCTGGGACCCTATATGTACTGTTGATGAAGTAAGGTGCTGTTCTGAGCATTATTTGTGGCTATGGAGGGATATTTTGATTGAGGTTTGCGCATGGAGACGTAGACCACGGTGTATTGCTAACGTTCAGTCTTTGCTTAAGTTGATATAACTGGATAAACAAGCAGTCGGCAACGTTCATCTCTCGACGGGGTCCCTAACTCTGTGATATGGTGTGTTTGACCCTAAATTAATTTTACACCGGAACATCCCTTTAAGTTTTGTAAACTGAACCCAGGATTTAAACCTCTGTATGATACTGTACTGTTAGTGGCTACAGCAGATCAGGTTAGTGGAGATAGACAGGGTAAATCAATGCTATGTAGTGCTCTGTGTGTGCAGACAGACTTGATGCCACCCCCTGCATGAGTCTGTGCCCCAGGTGGGCCACCCCAGTCAAAAAAAGTCTGGGCACGCCCCTGTGTAAATGTTAAAGGAACTAAATGAAGGGGGCTTCGTTAGCCTTCAAAGGGAACATTAAACGGAAAGAACAGAGAGTAACGTTAGCCAGTATCACAGGCTGGGCCAGCATCAGACTCCTCCTCCGTCACCGGTGTCTCCTCTCAGTCCCCCTGCTCCTGCTGCTGCTGGTAGCATTAGCCCGCTAACGCTAAAAGCCTCGTCCTCAATGGCTGGTCTGGCTTGACCCAGCAGGCTAACAGCTAGCTTAGCTCTCCACGGTAAGAAGTTGCTCTCCACGGCATCCATACTAGCCTCCTTCCGCTCTGATGCCACCGCTGCCCGGCTGCTTTCACCCAAATCAAACACAACCACTCAACTCTGGCAGCTTGATACATGACCACAGCCACAAAGCACTCACTGTTAGAAATATATCAAAATATATAAGGCAGATTTTTCTTAAGGACAGCGTCTGCAGGGGGACCTGGAGGAGAGCAACATGTTACCCACCCAGCGCTAGGACCCGGCAGGGTCTTTGTTTGGGTAACATGGTTAGCTCTGTCCTCCGTTTCCACGAAAATAAACCCCGCTGCTTTCATTAAACGGCTTTGTAGCTGCCAGTGTTTGCGTCAGTGTGCTTTCTTACCATCCGCCGCTGCCACACCGGCCCACTCGGCCCAGGCAGTCCAGCTTTGACCCACGAAATCATCGAGGCTAGGCACCCGCCGATCAAGAGCAGCCATTACTTTTACTGCGCGTTCACGCACCGCCATCATCACTGCGCGGCAAGCAGCTTACGTCATATTTCGCGCTCCCGACCGGAATGGAACTTCCTGCGTGCGCGTGCTCGAGACACCCACACACCTCAGACAGTCAGGGGACTGAAGAAAAAAAGTGTCTCCGAAATATCAATTTATACCTTATTAAACTCAGTCAATTTGATTTTTTTTACTTTTCCTGAAGACTATGGAGCCTCTGAGCTCCTTAAAAGTACAATATTTATAATGCACAAATTTTTTCTACCTTTATGAGAATAAATTAGTTATTGTATGCATACAATAAAAGAAAATATACTTTGATTCCCCTGAGGCAAATTTTTCTGGACCCTGTTCAGCTACAGGTTAAGTTGAGTTGTGGGTGAAACTGACTGCACATAGAAGATGTTTGCATGTGGGAACAAGGTGCAGAGTCAAGTTGTCATTGGGAGCAACTTATCTTGTGCACGTCATTTTAAAAAAAATGTCTTTTGTATAAAATCTTATCTTTCCTGTATAGATTTATGCATCTTTACTAGACCGACGGCTTTCGGCTTGTGGCCTTCTAGTGTTGCTGGAGCTCTTTTGACCTCTTTCAGATCCTATTTCTCCAAGCACCTTGGAAGTTAAAGTTGTGCCAGAGTTTTTGTCCTCCTAGATTTATGCATCTGTCAGATAAATATATTCATTGTATTTGCATTTTGTTGTTACATTTTGATAATTAATAGAGATATGAAAATAAAGAGAAAATAAAGTTTTCCTTGAAAGCTGTATGTGTTCCTGTTTAAATTAAGCTCTTATGATTGTCTAACTATCCCTAGGTTTAAGCCAGTGAGGAATTCCTTTGTTAACATCCTTTTTCAATGTTTCATATGGGTTTAAATCTTGTTTTATTTATATGTATTGCCTTTAATCTATCTGAAACCTAAATCAGTTCTATTAGTGTAACTTTTAATAGTTTAAAACTTTACTTTGAAGCCAAACTTTTATTGAATTAAAATTTTTATCGCTGTTAGTGAGCATTAGTCTCTTTATCTCAACACATTTTTTGTGTATCTATACATACCAAGTTTTGTCTTCAGTTTTCCTAGTCAGCTGCTCTGTGCAGCACTTTGAAATGCATTTGTTGGTATGAAAGTGGTTATGTAGGTAGTTTGATCCACATACTCCACTCTAACATACTCAGATGAAGGTTTCTCATATTTTATGTCAGTTTAGGTAGAAAACATTAGAAATATCTCCACACACAGTCTCGCAGATTCTTGCAATGTGAACTGCAGCTTAAATAATCATTGATGTGACATTTTTAGATTTACTGCTACCACCCCCAAACACACATCCACTTATGTATATTTTATAAACACCATGAGAGTCTGTCAAACTTCAGCAAACTTCTTTTCTGTTTTATTCAGACACTTTCTCTCTGTTGTCGTACACACAGCAGATGTGAGTCAGTGGACCCGCATAGTGCATACCTACGTGTGACTCACGTCAGTAGTCATCAGGTGTGGGTCATTACACGTGGATAAAACTGCGTGTATTCTAACTGCCGCTGCTGTTCACCAGCGGGTTGAAGCACTGGGAGAGCATTTTCCTGCTGTGGTGATCAGAAGTCACAGGTTTGCACACGTGAACACACCTTCCACTCTCCTAATCCTTCTAAGAAGTTAATCTGTGCAGTTAGTCAGAGCTGTGCTCAAACAGAAACATGAAGGCATGATATAAGTGCTCCTCGCATGGCCAGCATGTCTGTGTCTGCAGTCTTGTACTGCAATAGTTGTTCTGATATCATGAGTGTCAAGTAACTCCTCTTAAATAGCCTGTAACACATCATTCGGTCTCTGCTGCTCAATGCTATCATGTTATACTTAGGAATATCATCAAGTTTTTTCTTTTCAAAAACATACAGAAGCCCTGAGTCGACATGCATCCATACATCTGATTTTCTTTAGGAATTTTGTTCATGAGAAGCCTATGCAAAAGTGCAAAAATTTGCACTTCTTCCTGAGCCCACTTGAGGCTGATAAATACGGTCCCCTGAAACACTCTTAACCCAGTTATCAAAGTAGAGGAGGCATACCGAATATTAACTTACATTAGAATCATTACTAATAGTCAAATGTTTTCTGTCTTTAAATTAATACCCCACTGAACCATAAACAGCTATTAGACATCTAGTTTTTTTAGACCTAATTTCAACAGTTTAGATTCTGTATATTTTTACATGGAATTTAGACATTGTACTTTAACCCATTATTCGATAACCATTTATTTCAAAAAGGAACTGTGAGTTGCATAACTGATCTTCAAGTACTTAACCTAAATAATTATGATAGCCGTTGAGCAGTAAACAGTTAGACCTCTGTTAGCCGGCTAGTCTAAACTTGGTCAAAATGTAAACATCGAAAAACTTTCATTGTTAGACCTGTGGTAGCCTGATTTTAGACCAGTTGTCTACGCTACATTTAGCCTACATTTACTAGACCCCTTTTAGACCAAAAATGCTCAGTGGGATAGCGATTACTCTGAAATTGGTCTAAGGTTTCTTCTTGTTTATATCTGTTGTATTCAATTCTCTCAATACTTGTGTAATATCTGATTTCATCTCAGTTGTATGATTTAGTTAAGACTCTCCCTCGCCATTGCACTGTTGCTGTGCTGTCCCAGCTGATCTATTGAGGTATATAGAGGAATGATCTTTACTTCAAGTCAAATATTCCTCCTGAGGCCATTAAGGATAAATTTATTCTCTTTGACTCTGAAAAGAGGTTTGTTGATCAATATTAATAGTCACTCATAGAGGTGTTATCTTGGCTTCACTTCTTAGACTGTGAGGAGATGGGGCGCGCTCTCTCTATTAACATGCTGTCAATGTTTCAGACTTAAATTCCCCTTGAGGTAAGCTCGAACAGAGAGAGCGCAGAGCCTGTTCTCCCTGTTTTTGGCGTGTAGGGTTTCAATAAAATAAAGAAAGGAGACCGGATCCAGCAGTTGCAGCTCTCATGTTTAACACATTTCAATACAGATGGACCGTTCTACACAAACAAAGCATATAAAACACACAAAGTCCAATTTCAATTAATAATTACATCAACATCTCACGACTCACTGTGCTCTAATGAACAGATCTGTCTTTTAGAATTGTTACAGCACCTAAATGTGTCTAATTTTTAAATGATGTAGAAAATATATTACTTTAGTGATAGTGCCTCAAACAGCCCCTCACAAAGTCTTCCTTACAGAGGCTTGGCGATGAAATAATACAGCTGCACAGATAACCCGTGAGGTCAAATCAAATCATTACAGATAAAGCAAAGAGATAATTAATTTCTTCTGACTGCAAAGCAAATACTCATCAACAGTTCAATACAAGACCTTCACATGTGTAGCACTGCCTTAAAAGCAGAACTTAAGGCAGGAGTCATAAAGTGATACAGTAGAATAACATCAATCAAAGTTTTTTAGAGTTTCGATACATGAACTGTCACGATCGTAAGATTTAGTGTAAGGCATCTCTGTGGTGCAATAAATTTATCTGACAGTGTTACAGAAAAAAAAAAAAAAAAGAGAAATCAAGGAGAAGCTGCACACAAACATGTTTCCATTGAAAATGCAAACAGAAACCCAACATCGGTTTAAAAAATATATGCAACGGACCAGTTAATGTTGATAAAAATACATATGACGTGTATAAAAATGTCCCTGCAAGTTAGTTTTAGCAACGAGAAGTTCAAACTAGGATGTGTGCTAGTGTTACTGAGTAGTGTAAAGGTAACAAAATGATAAACCACAGCTACTGGAGTAAACACAGAAAGAGCCTGCTGTAGTCTAAACACAGGCCGACATACAGAAGACTGTGACGAGTGCTACCACAACAAAAAGCAACCATAATGCTTCTTTGTTTACAGTGTATATTGTTTTTCCCAGCATGTAAAGCATCATCAAGTCAAGGTGTGTTTGTGCTGCACGATCAAGAAGGTATACAAGAGTGTATGAGTGTATGTGGTGTGGAGGTGAGGTGAAACCCTTTCATCTGTTGGGGTGTGAACAAAATCACGAGAGGGTTTCAAAGGGTCAGAAATGTACATGTTCTTTAGCCTTCTTCTAAATTTCAGGCTCATCTTTAAGAGCGTTTTTATATGTTATCAGTTACAGTACTTTAGCTGTTTTCACAATTTAAAGGCAATCAGGATGTGTTGACCTTACTCAGTTAACTCTGCTATTTAGAAATGAATGTTATTCAAATATTCACACAAGATTTTAACATTTTGAAATAAAACACACATAAGGTGTCATTGTTGTTTACATCGCAATGGAGTATGGGGACAGATATCACAAGGTTGCATCTTTTTTTCTCCCGAACCATTTCTCTATCTGAGATACTGCTTGTGCTATTACAAAGCTACATTTGATAATTGGTTCTAATTGTTCAAAAAACCACATCATTGGCAAGTTATTTTTCACCAAGAAGATTAGGCCACTGCAATGGATGCAGCTCTACTCACACACACTATACGATAGACTAACTGCAATCATATCAGTCAAAAGAGGTTCTGTCAACTTACAATAGTTGGGGACAAAGAAATAAGAAGAGACTAAAGCCGAGATTGAAGACACAGAAATGTACTCTTTAACAGAGAAATCTTCTAAGTGAGTTAATAAATGCTTGGTAAACATAGTTTGGGATATGGCGGTGTTTAAGGAGTGAAAAATTAAAAAGGAAATATCACTGACTCTGAAAGTAACAAGGCAGAAAAAAACTCTTTTAGATATGCTGCTGATTTACTTCAGCATCAGTGGAAACGTCCAGTTCGAAGAGGGAAATAAAAGCCGAGTAAGCTCATTTGAACAAGGCTACCGAGTTAGAAAAGACGGAGCCCCAACTGTGAGCATGAATGGCCCACTTGTACTTAGATCAGAAGGCGCACAATTGTTTTAATAAAAATAGTTTTCAAGTCAGTTGAAGGTGCAAAACTATTGCTTTATTATTTCAGTGACCATAAGCTTAATTTTAGCTCATGTGCAGGAGGATTTAAGGGATTGCAATCTAAGAGATGAGGAGATGAGAGTAAGACTTGTATAATGCAGCTGCAAAACAACAGAGTTTGCTGTAATAACCTCCATATGGAACAGCTCAAGGGTATACATTAACCTATTGCTGTAGAACAAATATGTATCTTATTATCAGCCCACTACCAAATGCTTTATCATATTACTTTAGTTGTTAGACAGTAATAGGCACTCACATATCCTGTGCTTCACAATACATGACAACTCTGAGGCAGCCTGCTTCAAACAAGTTTTATGGACCATAACTCGAAGACCACATCTGGCTTGAATTTAAAATATGCTTTTGGAATAAATAAAGCAAATGATGGCAGGAAAATCTCTGACATGTCTCATTATAAAATACATATTTATAACAAAGCCTCAGGCTGTTCTATACAGTATCTCGGCATAGGGTAAAAGCGCAACAACATTACGTCACCACCCAGACTCCATTGCGATGTAAGCAATGATGGTTTGCCAAAACGCAGACAAACATTAAAAAAAGGTCCCAGCATTAATCCAAAAAGGTCAACACATCTCATTGTGGCTGTGCATTGGCCCCCCACTGCCTCTGAGTGATGCTCAGATTGCAGCACTTGCATTTACTGAGAGTGGTCCAATTCTAACTTGTGTTAATCCCTTTTTCACTGATGGGGGACCAGAACAGATACTGCTACTTACAGCATGATTTCATCACTATGTCGCCCCCCTGTGGAGTGGACATAGAGGGAGGACAGTGAACTCTGGAGGTAAATGCACTTGGGGCCTGCTTTTGTAAACCACAAATGCGCATTTTATATTCTAATTAGTGTGTTGGTGTCAAGGTTAAAACTAAGCCTGATCTTGTGGGGGAAGGTTAAGGGCAATAAAAAAAGTGTTGTTGAAGAAAGAAGGGAGAGGGGTATCCGGGGGCTTCCTTTTTTCCCATTTCTGCAGGTTAACATAAGAGACCAATGTTGGGCACAAAGCATTGCTGTGGGTACAGGACTGTGCTTGAGGATCCTCAGTGATGTGCCTACTGCCCAACGGGTCCTCCTTCCTCCACGGTGACGGGTGGGTTGGGATCCTTGTGGAAAGGAGTCTCCTTGTAAATGAACCAGCAGTTACCGCCCCACAGGATCAAGTTCAAGAAGCCAAAAATCTGTGGAAAACAAGAGGCCATGAGTTGTTTACTGGCAGCTGATATTAGTTTTGGTGTGTTTGTAATCTAACAGTGTTCGGGTTTCATCAACAAGTATTTTAGTGTTGCTGAATTTTAACAATTCTTTAAGAGCTGGGACGCAGAGTGAAATGTTGATAAAAACTGAATTTGGTGTTTGTCTAATCATCCCAGTAATGACCTCATGTCAAATCTCGAAGGTATAAAGTTGTAATGTTTTCTGAAAAATACAGGCTCATTTTCAACCTCAAATCAACGTTTCCAGAAAAGTTGGGACAGGAAATGTTTGCCATTTAGTTTCATCAGCTCTTCCTTTAAAAACACTCCAAATGTTTTGAAAACAAAGAGGCCGGTTTTTGTAGTTCCGAATGTGAAATGCTGTCTCATTTGTGCCTCATACAGAGTTTCAGCAGCTAAACAGTTCAAAATCTCCTGTATTGTATTTTTGGATCTATTACGCACCAATTGTTTTCAATGGGAGACAAGTCAGGACTGCAGTATGTCAACTTCGCATGAGAAGTCCCCTACTACAGAGCCATGCTGTTGGAATACTTGATAATAGTTTGTCATTGTCAGTGTTGGTGTAGTTACTCATAAAAAGTCATTTGTTAATAGTAACTAGTTACTTCTGTAAATTGTAATGAGATTACTTAACTAGTTACTGCATTTGAAAAGCTACTTCACTATTTATTACTTTACTTTTCCGTTCCTTAATTTACCATGTAGAGGTAAATGGACAAACACCAAAGCCCAATCATCACTGAACATAGTCAGCATAATTTTGTTTACTGTATGAATGTCACCTGGGCAAAGAGTGCATTTCACACAAATAATTTTGTCCTCTTGACTAATTAAGCAAAAGTAATGGAAGTATCGCCACTGGCCGAAAGCCTCTGTGTCGTCCGCCTCCATCTCTGTCTCCATTTCCATCTCTCTTTCGCATCAGCAGCTATGTCACTCAAATTGATCTCTCCATAGGAATTTCAAAGGACACATGATGATTACCCAGGTAAGGATATCTGTAGCCCAAAGAGATGTTTCCCCCAAGAGACTTTTTTTTTGACTAGGGCCGTAAAGTCCTAATCGACTGGTCGACTTATTGGTTGATACGTGCTGAGTCGACCAAAGTTCTGATTGGTTCGACTCAGTTTTTTTTCCGCATTACTTTACAGTCTATAGTTAATTTCATCAGGAGGAACTTATAAAATGCTGGTGTGTTTTCAGAGCACCCCCATTTCACAGGTAAGAGCCTGTCTCAGAACAACTCCCTTGTTTTCACCATTTTGGATTCACCCAACCCACTGAAGACCAGCTGAAGACAGGATGATTGAAGAGCATCCATGTTAATTAACGTACGGTGGTTTGCTGGATATAATATTTGTGTTTAATTGCCTTCTTGTGCTGATATCAGTATATTTTCACACCGCCGAGCCGCGTCGTCCCCCGCCGCAGAATCATTTGCCGTCAGAGTCTGTCAGAGTTCAATCTTTACTGCAATCATACTTTCTATAGCAGAGAGGACCAAGTCCTTGGTTTAGAAAAAAGTTCAATGTTTTTCTTTTTTTTCTGTTTTCATGAATTTTGAATCCCTTAAAAAAGAAGTTATGAAGTGATCAGGCCTTCTTTAAAATAACTCACCACAGAGGCATTGAGGCGGCCCATGGAAGGATAATCTCCTGGGCTACAGATATCCTTGCAGCGATCCACCAGGTGCTCCGGGTTTGTGGCCCATTTGACATCTGTCAGGCCTTTGCCCCAGGCCGCAGAGGACACAAACCACAGGAAGGCAAAGATAGCAGTCAGCACCAGATCCTAGTGAAGGAAACACAGCAAACATTGAGGAAACTTAGGGAAATATTAACAGACATGAGTATTCAGGAGGTTCTTAGCTCCTGTTACACATACAACCATTTCAATAAATCCCCCTGTTAAAGTTAAGGCTGTAGATTTTTTGTATTCTGAATTTTTAAGATGAACCTATATATAAAATTTAAAAAAATAATACATTTCTTAAACCTGTGATCTTTAAATGGCAAGTAGCAAAGTTCACACAAATGCAGTCAAAGAAAAATGGGAATGAGACCAAATAGATGACCGATAGTACAGTTCAACATTTGAAAGAGTTTCATCGGTTCAAAATGAAAAATTCACAACTTCTGAGTCTGAGACTGGACAGGTCCCTTAGAAAATACACATAAGGTAGTACCAGGTGCTGGAGTTCACCTGACACCACCTTCGTACTTCTTGGTAGGAAAGGGCGATAAATTATGGTTGACAATATATCGTCAGAAAAATCCTTCATGATAAATGTTTGCCATCTCATGATAAATACGATAAATGCAAGTTGATACCATAGCCCACATAGAGCAGAATAACAAACAGACATGGCTGAAGGTAATGAAGAAGACGCTTCTGAGCAGCTCGTTACTGAACGAGGCTCCACATGAGGGATTTCCTTCAAGATTGGGGTTTAGATGAGCGCAACTAGGTATGCCTGACATTTAACAGTGGATCTGCTGCTGTTCACTCTGTGCAATAAGAGTTTTCAATAAATGTTGAAAATGTTTTCACATTTGAGATTTGTTTGATGTCATTAGTTTTCTCCATAACCTACCACTCAAACTTATGGTTATCTTATTTGACTACTCCAACTGGTGTTCTCAAGACAAAATGAGTCAAAAATATAGATTGGAATTATAACATTTTTTTATCTGGACTTTCACTGTTATCGCCAGAATGGCAAATCTTATCATGATAATTTTTTAGCCCATATCGCCCATCCCTACTTCTTGGTCACTATTTTGGTCTCTCATTGAATTCAGGTCACTAGTCTGTTCATTTCTTTGGTTTGGTAATGACAGCAGTCAAGTACGTATCCTGTCCAAGCTTAGGGCCAAGCTTTGGCTCAGTAGAAGAGATATTCATCTCCCACTTGCAAGGTTGGGGGTTCGATCTTAGGTTCCGCTGTACATACGCTGAAGTGTCCTTGAGCAAAACACTTGACCCCACAACCCCACTCGCTGCACCCTGTGGTGTATGCACTGCAGTGGAAACTTTATGTAAAAAGAAATGGTTTCCCAGAAGAACCTTTGATGACGCACTATAACAACGATGCACTTCATCAGCACAGCCTCCACATCAGGAAGAAAAACTCAATCTCAACCCTCCCTTGACCCAGAAAAAGTCAGTGTTAAGAGTTGTTGATGGTTTTAAAAGAACTTTTTTTGTTGTTTTTTAAATTAATATTTTTATTCCTTTTTCAAAACAAAGAAAACAAATTAGACATACACTGCTGATACAACACGAATCAACAAACATCACATAAGACAAAACTCTTTGTTGATCAGAGGTGTGTACTCACTACGATGGGCCCACGGGTAGTTTGGCGGTAGACATGCTGGTAGCCCAGGTAGAGGATCAGAGTTGCGGTGCAATAAAGAAAAGCAAAAACACCGACACATACAAAGAACTCTGCTGAGGAGGAGAAGTCACCCTGCAGGAACATGGGGCCAGATTCGGTGTTGTTACAGAAAGTTAGCTTGTATGGAGTAGCTGACAACCTAAAGGGAGAAAGAGAAGGTACTTTCAAATTGTGCTCTAGTGGCTCCTGTTTTTACAGGTTTTCACTGTTTTTGTGTGATTTCAGAGAAAATAAGTCCTCACCTGGTTTACTCTTTCATCCAAAAGAGGCAAGCAGGAAAAATATGAAAGGATTAAGACTTATAGGATTTTTTAAAAAATTGTGTGCGCAAACCAAACAGAGGAGGAATGCACCTGTATAGCTGACATAACGGAAACTTTGCAATGCATAAATGATGATCGCCTTCAGTGATGTTTTTAGTTTTGGCCTGCACGCCTACATGAGAAAAAGGCTGCTGCAGATTTTATACCTGCTTTAGCCAGATGTTAGGTTTTTGATTCACCCAAAGTAAAATGCAAAAACAGAGAATACTTTCTAACAGTAGTAGCAGGGGTTGTCTTCTGCATGTCAACCTCGAATTTCCTGGTTCCATATCTTTTTGTATGGAATCGTTAGTATTGATACAATAGCACTGCATCAGTATTTTGTGTCCAAAGCAGGAGGGGTAAATTCTCCTTCAACAAAGTGAAGTAATAAAACTTTTCGCCAGATGATGGCAGCATCATCCAGTACAGTTAAACTGTTTGACAACTGAAAGAGGAGAGGGGTCTAACCAGTGTTTGCTTGGCCTTTCAGTTTTGGCGAATAAAAACAGATCTCTCAGTCCTGTAGTTTCCCTCAAGTTTCATTTGAAAATGTATTGATAGTCACGAGAACAAGCATAACAACAGAGAGCAATCTCTGGGACCTCCAGGTGTATGACAGTACCTGAACGGGTATCCAAAAGAGGGATAGACATCGGGCACCGGGGGCACCGGGGGTTCCTTGCAGGTTATTTTTAAGTGTGTTTTTCCAGAGTAACCTCCAGTGGTGGCGAAGGCGAAGATGGCAAAGACCTGCAGAGACAAGGAAATATGTCACTAAAAAATATTGCCTGACAAAGGTCTGAAGAAAGAATAAATTAATATTCAAAGGTTTAAGTCATAATTAAAGTCAAGATTTAATAAAGAGGGCATGAGTGATGATGCATTTTACAACCACAACTACTGATTAATAAAACTGATATTGTGGTGCTTTTTTTCTTTATTGTGATCAAAATATGTAGCCATTTTAACCTTCTGCTGAACCGACTTGTCCTCTTCACTGTCATTTGGCTCTGCCACAACTTTTTTCCAAAGAGGAAACACCCCTTTCCTCTTTTTTTTACCACCAAGAAATAACATCATGATTCTGGAGCCTTTACACCAAACACCGAGCTTCAAAATCCTAAACTAAGACAAAAGGTAACCTGTTCAATGGCTGTGCATGCTTTGTAACTTAGATTAGCTCAGTGGTTCTCAAGTCCAGTCCTCGAGGCCCAATGTCCTGCATGTTTTGGATGTTTCCCTGCTCCAACACACCTGATTCAAATGATCAGCTCGTTATTAAGCCATTACAGAGCTTGATAACGAGCTGATCATTTGAATCAGGTGTGTTGGAGAAGGGAAACATCCAAAACATGCAGGACAGTGGGCCTCGAGGACTGGACTTGAGAACCACTGGATGAGCTATAGGTTGCACCGCAAAACATTTTGCCTCCTCTGGTTCATTGTAGGGCTAGGCGTTATGGCCTCAAATCAATATCACAATATGTTTAGGCTATGTTCACACTGCAGGTCAATGTGACACATATCTGATTTTTTCATGTAAGAGTGAACAGTGCAATTCTGATATTTTTCAAATCCGACCCCGGCCTCTTTTGTATGTGTATTTATATCCGCATAAGACGTCGGATATAAACGATTTCTGCCGACTTTGCAGAGTCAACTGCAGAATTCACGGCGTTCTGAATGAACGACGCTTTGAAAAGTCCCGCAGCATGTGTTAGATGTCACCATCTATACATGGACCAATCAGGGGCTGCCTTTCCCTGTTGTCCAGGGAACAGTGGAAACACAGTCACTGATTGGCCCGGTTATTTTCTGATCACTAATACACACTCCCAATGGGCCGAAGTCCAGTCACTTATGGGAAGGAACGGCAAGTAATTCACGCAACAGGATGGCCCAGCCAGGCTAGTTGAAATGATGTACATTCATGTTGGAGGAATATTTTACTATGTTGCACTTTTTTTTTTTTTTTTTGCTTATTCCATCAGAAATCATGTCAACATAGGTCTCTCTTCAACGGAGAAAAACAGGCTGATAACTGCTGACAGAAAGCAGACACCAGCAGGAAAATGGAAAGTAAAGAGGAACTAAGGCCACTTCCCCAAAAATTCAACAGAAACTGACTGTGCAGAAAAAGTGTGATAACATAAATCCTGCTTCCCACTTAGTAAAAACATTCATGAGCCAGTAAGAGAAAAATCCTAGAAAGTCTTTGTATCATTTATTGAGGCACTTAACAGTAAACTGTGTTCAACCAGACAACAATGTTGTTAAGACCCTGACTGCTGCGGTTTCATGCTGTTTTTAAAGATGACACAACATGCAGCTAAAATAGAAACACAAACTAGGAACAGAGCAGAGTAGGATTGCATGCAAAAGCATTCTGTTGTACAGCCAACAGTGGCACACATTATACACATGCCGCCCATGTCATTAATATCTGGACAGTAGGAGGAAGAGTTTCAATACAGCTGCTGTTCACATGAGTGCTCTCTGCAGAAGGGTGACAGTCTAACCAGCAGAGCTTCACAGATGCTTTTTGAATATTTACATGGATAAATCAAACCTTAAATGGGTTAGGTTTGGTTTAATGCAATCAATATGACTAAAAAGTAAAATGTTTTATCGTGAGATTTAGTCTGAAATCATGTTTTCTCCTTCAAATGTCGCAGCAAACCATCACTGAAATATGACACTGAAAATCTTCAAACTTTGTATTTGTGATGTCTGACAGAAAAAAGAAAGTATACTTATTCACCCTTCAAAAACATTTCAGCAATAATGTAAAGATAACTGAAACTTTCACATGATGCAACACACAACATATATTAGATATGAATCATTTAATAATTTGACTCCCTGGTCAGGTTGAAACATAGCAAAACATGGCACAAGGGGTCTGGATACTCTCGAAAACACGCTGCAATTAGGTTGTCAGCCAAAGAATTCAGTTTCCATTCATGCCCTCTTCTGATTGGTTGGTTTGTAGATGTGGGTCAGAGCATCATTCTCATTGTGAGAATTGTGTCCTAAATTTCTGACTGTAGTTTCAAAAGCTCCACACACTCTGTCTACACACATTTGTGCCAAGTAAACTTTTTTTTAATTCATACATGTTAATTCAAATGTGTTCATATTGTCTCACTATTCACTTGGTGGCAGATTGTGCAGACAAGGTCGGGAACTGGAGAGTTTAAGTTCCTTTGTAGACTTCCTAAGCATTGCCAGAGCACCCCTCACCAAGGCATCAGACCAACAACTGCTCTGTGTGCAGTATTAGTGCTACCGTTTGTAAATGTAGTCTATGAAATTGTTGATGCAGATGCAGTTAAACACATGCAGTTAGTACATCGTGTATTTTAATGCTGTTTGATGACATAACACTTTCGAAGTTTAAGTGCTGAGGAGTCAGACATCCTGCATCTTTACTGTCCATGTTGAGAGTTCTGCATACCAGTCAGTGACTTGGAAGCAACAGGTAAACAAAACAAAGCAAAATAATCACTGAGGACTAAACATACTGCCTTTTCACTGAGTGTGGTGAATGCAAAACAGCAACCGCAGACAAAATTTCATAAAACGTGGATGCATCATACAGTCCTATTGAGCTGTAAAATTTCTAAAGTCTGACCAATCAGATTTCGTATTGTTGCGACATCAGATTTACCGGTATATGCAACATGGCCGACCGGCTGATTGTTTACGTGTCGGAGAACAGAGTGCTTTTTGATAAAAAACACAAATATTACAAAGATAACGACCTGAAGGACAACTTGTGGAGAGCTATAGCGTCGGATCTCTCATATGACAATGGTTTGTGTGCTTTAACAGTTTGCTAAACGTCTTTATTTTAACTTTCATCTGTGCTAAGTAACTTTAGCTCGTAAGCTAATCTGTTCAGATACAACATAAGTATTTTCACTGTCTCAAACTCAATCGCGTTGCTGTCACAGCACCATTAGGTCTCTGTTGTTACCTCACTTTTATGGAAAACAGTTTAATGTGCTTATCTGGTACTGACCCCGACTCAGTACATGCTATCATGACAGACAGCCATCTCAACACTAGTGTCTAATCAGAACTGAAAAACAGTCAGTCTGGTGTTGTGTCAGTCTTCACCCCGGACACGTCTTTTTCCCCCCCCCGGAAAGTCGCAAATTCGCAATGCGCTTGATGTGTATAGTCAGGCGCATCAAAATTCCCCTCTGAATATTTCGGAATTTTGCATCGTACATTTGTGTCGTTCCCGGTGTGTAAGGACCTTAACTCTGACATCTCTTCATCAATGCATACTGTATGCATAGGCCTGCTAAGACTACTGAAGGGTTACTCTGTCTGACATTATCCTCTAGGCCACAATTTGCTTGGACTGTAAATCTTTGATAAGCCAAAACTGTGTCAGGAACAGACTTGCTGCTGGATGACACTTCATGTTTAATGATATACAACATGTTTTGATGAGCCAAAAGAGTTTGGAAAATTGCCTTAATTGAGAGCATGCAGTCCTTCAACTGTAACAGTTTAGACTTTTCATGGTCACAAGAAACTATTTTGCCCCAAACCAATTGGTAGTGTTTTATCAGCAGTCTTGTAAAGTTTGCTTACTTAAGTTTCTGAACACAGAGAGCCAAAGGGCAGCCTTCTTCACACACCTCTCCCCCCTCCCCGGACATCCTCCTGCCAATGAAAACCTCCTGATTACAGCATGTGATTCATGCTTCCGTACTTTCTCTCAAGAATAATGTCCTTTGTTCACTCACACCCACTCTACCAAAGCACACACATTCCCAAATCATCAGGATCCTTTTCAACTACACAGCAGATGTGCACAGTAGGCCGCAGCACAGGAGGGGGCTGCAGTGGTGGAGCAGACAGCAGCTTTGACAGAAGGAATAAACACACACATACAGGGAAACAGAGTGCAGTATTTAGCAAGCTTCTCGCCCTCTGAGGATTTAAAGGAATGGGTTTCATCTTTCAGGTGTCTCAGGATCCCCATAACATTTCTCAGCTACCATCTGAGCCTTGTTTGACCCACCCAGACCAATCTGACAGCACCCTAAATAAGACCTGCTGTTAGGGCGGGGGTTCCCTGTCTGGAGTCTAGTGTCCCATCCACGCCCACCCTCCCTCACAATTCCTCACTGCTCCTCCTGATCAGGGAGTGTCTGGCAGATAAGGGGACAGCAGCACACAGTCACAAGGCTCTGACACCAGCAATAAGGAAATCTATGCCACAACCTTTGTTTGTGAAAAGCATTTCATCACAGGGATATAAAGCTAGAACGACCCAGAAAAGATTCAGGGTTGTAGAATTAACCAGAACGCCAACTCCCTTAACGGTGACCGCACTCCACCTGACACTGTGACAAACAACTGTTACTGCTAATGTTCATGTTTACTGGCTGAGGCACACAGACCAGTCTGATATCCAGTCCTATCATACTAAACATCTTCCAAATAGCATTATGATTGAAGAGGGAGGGGAGCTGTTTTCCAGAACTCAGATACTAAGAAAAGCCTCGCCCCGGAGGAGTTCTGGCAGCTTTGGCCCTGAAACCGCAAAGACAGCCAGGTTTAATGATTCAAAGCAGCTAAGTCTGCTGGAGAGTTAATGCTCAGAGGAAACCACAGAATAGAGAAATCATGAAACTCAAATGTCTTGGCTGAGAGGACAATCAATAATTCCCATGAAAAACTAGCGGACAAATCAATGAGAAACCAACTTCAGAGGAAAATTAACTGAAATGATAACACATCAAAGTTATTGCTCATACATATCAACATGGGAAATAGTGCTTACTCACTGGAGGAAGAAATGAAAGTAGCAGTTTTATCGTTTTTGTTTCTGTTTTCCACAAAGTCCTTGAGTTTGTTTCACTCTGACTGAGCAGCATAAAAAAAAATCAACACAATATTTCTCCTCACCAATTTTTTTTTAAATGCATTTTTAAAAAGTTTTTTATTAAAAATGGAAAAGGGATTGATCAGATTTTAATTTCAATTACGATTTTGGTCCCTTGCGATCATAAAAACACGATAATCAGGAGTGAACAGTCATTGTGCGGCCTGCAGTGTTTCCATTACGTCCTGTACATGGAATAAAGTGTACCTTTCCTCTCATCCTCAACAGCAGAGCGTGGGTGCAGCCCATCCACTTAAACAGCTCTCACTTTCCTGTCATCATAAGCAGCTTGGATCAAAATGTGAAGTTTAGGAGAGTGGGGACGTTGCAGCTCTCGCTAACATCAACTGTGGACCTCTGTATTTTCCAGACATTGTGCTGCAGTGGTACAAACTATCAGGCAGTGACAGGTGGAGAGAGGAGAGGGGATTTTTACCATGATCTAGCAGCCCTAAAGTAAAGTCAAAATACTGTCCAAGTCCAAGGATGTGCAGAAGTGATCTGTCTGCTGGATCTATGAAGGGGCTGACCTCACCTGGAACCACAGCACGCATTTAACTTCCCAATGAAATGTCAAAGATCAGTCAGTCCACACAAAGCAGAACAGATTCTTGTGTCGGTCTAAAGCACACACTTCTGGTTAAGTTCAATAACTTTTGTGTCAGTGTTTACTATGCTTTCTCTCTGCTAATCCAGTTGAGGATTAGAGGAGTAGTGCAAATGCTGCAGGAGCTGCATATGTCAACAAAACTCTCAATCAATCACCATTTTCTGTAAGAATAACTGACTCAAACTAGAAGCAGAAGTGCAAAAAATGCAGTTTCTTAATTGTCCCCATAAGGCTGGCTCCCGCGGCCAAGGAAACCCTATCAGGTCCCATTCCTACAGTAGAAAACAACATGTTTACTGCCTGGTTTGAAAACCTGTTTTAGTCTCTGTAGCTCACTTCTTTACAGATTAAAACTCAACACTCTGCAAACCCTTCAGGCAGGTAAAGTCACAAGGGGCACATCATGTATGCTTATATAAAATACAGCAGTAAATGACAGACTACTGTATCACATTGGAACTCCGCCTGCATAATACCAGAAAAAGCATACAATGGGATATCAAATTCCTCAATCGCAAATTGAAAATGTGAAATCAATACATAAATAAATCACAAGTGCAAATGAACTCTTACTAAAATGATCTGCATCTTTCTGCAGTTCTTTGTGTAATGTAAACTCCACTCTCCTTGACTCTTTGACTTTTCCTAAAACCAGAAAGCAGTCTTTCCTTCACTTATAGTTGATAATTAAAGCTATTCTGACTGCAACGAAATTCTTTAAAAGGTCATTATACAGGGGTCTTAATGTGTTTTCTTCATTAAAACCCATTGTATCATTTTGTCATATTCTTGCCAAAGCCACCCAATATTAGCTCCCTATAAAACCACATGTCTTTGGTAAAGCCAGTAGGGGTAGGAATCCCCAGTGGCCCCACAATACGATATTATCACGATACGATATTATTGCGAGTTTTAAGATTTTGCAATACAGTGAGTATTGCGATACAACAGATTGTGACTTATATAATTTTCTTTCAACTGTTTAGCTATTTGTCTTTCCTTTATGTTTGTCTTATTTACATTGTACTTTATTTTCATGTAGCACATATGCAAACCTTATATACTGCATATTTGTTGTACTAACCCTCTCCAGCTCTTTGATGTCACCTCTGCCAACGTCACTGGACAAGTTTATTTTTCCATTATCATAGATTTGACTTCATTTGACTACCAATCAATCACAAATCACAATCACTTCTTAAATTAGTATCTTCACTCAAGTATTTTTTTTTTAAGATTTACACGTTACATAGATATCACCAGTTACTTTGCCAAAAAACTGAGAAAAACAAAAAACTTACAGCTTTCCGTTGACTGCACGGCTGCCATCTGATTGACTGACAACGACCGCCTCATGAACAGGTGAAGTAAGAGGAAGCGAGGGAGAAGAAAAGGTTTGTCCTTCCTGGGTCAATAACTCACCAGGGAAATGCTGCTTTACATGACCTATGACTCTTTCTATCCAAACATGGGATAGACAGCCAGGTAAAGCCTGATATTCATCGAGCTGTTTGTAACCTGAACAATCCACAATGAACTCTTTCCACAGCAGGCTGTGACTCAAGCATTAGGGGCTGTCCCCAAAGTGCCTGAAAAAAAGCTAAAAATATATCCAATTACTTCAACCTGAAAGGGTGTTGTGTCAACAAACTCCTTTCACACAGGACAATTTTGTTTTCACTAATTTTATAAGTGGCATATCTTGGGTTGGGGGTGTAGGATATGCCCACAAGTTTTGTAAAAGCCTGGTTTTCCTAACTATTCTATAAAACACACCTAACACGACAATAAGTGAAATTTTATTGAATCTGCAGGTATCCAGGGTTAAGTTCTCCAATATTTTTGCAGCTTCCTTTGTCAGTAGTGCAATTGTTAGATGGTCCTCACTCGAGGACCCACTTGAGCCATGGTTGATTGTAAAGAGAGGCACAGGATTTCATTGACCATAGTGGGACAAAACTGCAGCAAATGCAGTAAACAAAACTTCCCTGACAAGCTTCTGAGAACTAAATGCGATACTCACAGTGACAAATAAGAGAAAATTGGCTTTAACGTACTGGTTTTAAAAACTACACAAAAGTTTAAGTATACACAGTGCTCCTCAGTCACAGCAATATGAGCAAATGTAACTAGTGACTCTCCACCCCTGCAGTATTTACAGTATGTTTTACAGCACAGACTGTATTACTAAGCTACTTGATTCTTCAGAGCTGGCCTCATTACATACAGCTGCACAAAAATCCAGTCCACGTGAACAACAACACAGCATCCAAAACACACACTGAAACTGTTCAGCAAGTATTTTCATAGCTTGCTTATTTAAGAAGTCCTGATATCTGGGATTTAATCAGAAATTGCTTGAGTCTTTTGCTATACACATACAAATTCACTTTGAAATTAGCTTTAGGGCTCATGGTGGAAGGTTGACATCATTATTTGGATTAACATTTTACTAAGGAAATCTGCAGCAAGCCTACACCGTGCCTTGTAAACCGACTAAAGATCGCCTAATTTAACTTAGAAACGACGGGCCAAAAGCCAAGACCACAAAGCTTCAGCTCAAGAAAGTAGACACAGAGAGATCTGCAATCTTTGGGACTTATCTCTGCTGTTTTACCGTGCTGGTGTACTGAAATACCAGGCTACCAACACTTGACTAGTGTTTGGTTGATGGTATTAGGGGAGTGGACAAATTACTAGTAGAGAGTATAGACACTGAGAATAAAAACATGACAGGACATCTCAGTAGAAAACTTGTAAGATATTAGTGGCTTGAAAACTGTTTTGAATACATTCAAATGGATTTATTTGGCTGTACTCACCCATTCTAGGACACGAATAAAACCCAGAGGTTCTTTCAGTGGTCCCAGGTCCAGAGTAAACCCAGTCGTAATTTTCTGCGGACGGCAAACACAGTTTTTGAAATCACTACCGTACATGGAGAAAACATTTCCCGTCAGTTAATCTAATGTCAAGGAATTAGACTCCGTCTGAGCACTAAAACTACTTTCTTTACCTGTTCGTCACCTTGCAGCAAACTGGCCCTGCCCTTGTTAGCCAACCCCTGCTAGCAGCATGCTAACGCTAACTCATGCCAACCTGGTTACTCAGCTAACTCATTTACCTGAACAGTTTCCATGGAGACGTGCAACGACGAGACGGTTGGTTTCTGGTTTCGCTCCTGAAATAATCAATTAAGTGGTGAAGTTCACTTTAAGTTAACCTCTCCGTCTGCATTCAACAAGTGGGAGGCGAAATGACGGTTCGTCACGGACAGTCAGCAGGCGGCAGACTAACACAGTCTGATAAGAAGGACTGCTGTCAAACCGTGAGCAACTCGGCCGCTGTCAAACCACCTCCACAGCTTCCGGGCAGACGTTTCAAAATAAGATTTCCAGTTGGCCCATTTTCACAACAAAATCCAAGATTTATACAATTTATACTAACTGCATACATCATTCTCTCATCTGACATGTGCCTATACATTTTTTATGTTTATTATTTTATATAATAACATATTATTTTAAAAATATACCCATTGTATCCCTCTGTACCCTAAAACAGTATTGTATATATAAGATGAATTTCTAACGTAAGCAGATTAATATTTGTGTGATATTTTATGTTTTTGCATGATTTCCTGTTTTTCAGTCACTTTTCTTGTAAGTCTATGTGTATGTATACTTGGCCAAAAAGATGATTCAGATTATGGACTCCATCTCTCCTCTCCAAACAAGAAACAATAATAATAATAATAATAATGATAATAATAATAATAACAATCTACAGTGTTTGGACCATAACACTTTATTAAATCTTTTTTATTCATCCTCATTGAAAGGATGTTCTTGGGTCAAGATTGACAGCTTCCACACCACTGGTGTTTCTTGAGGAGTGGCCAGGGGTACCATGAATCACTCTTATAATCGGTTTGGCAAGCCTAGGTCCTTCCAAAATTCTAAGTATTGATTGGCATATTTTTTCAGAGGGAACTTTATTGATGCTTGTCTGTCCCTTTCTTTGGTTGGCTGTGAAGAAAAAAATAGCAGTCTTTTTCAAATTCTAACATGTGGTTGGATTAATAATCAAAATTTGGCCTCTTGAAATTTTCCTGCCATGTCATTTGAGGTCAAGTCCCTCTGCTGCCACTCAAAGCCATTTTTAGTTTGCAGTAGGAGAGGCACATAGGTGAAGAGAAGCTTGAATGAGGGGGAAATCCAACCAGTTGTAGGGCCTCTGAAACTGCAGCTGGCTGGGGTACAAAGAATTAAGGTTGAGGATGGATGTTTGGCAGACATGCTGAAACTAGTATGGAGCTGTATAACTTGGATTGTTGGCGGATGATTTTAGATTGTTGAGGAAACTTGAGGTGGAGTGCTAGGAGGTTAAATGGAAAATGACTGGCAGAGTCCCATTAGCCTCTTGTAATGGACTGGGGAGATCATGGCCTGCTTGAGCTGCTACTATGCCGTCTGGGTCAGGGCGTTGAGTGAAAAAAACAACACACAAACAAGAAACTGGCAGAGTAAGAGGCATGGACTGGTTAAAATCATTGACACATATCAGGGACATCACCCATTGGTTTATAATCAGTGTGACACAAAATGATGATCTTTACCCTGTTGGAGATGCTGATTCAGCATAACTCATGGTGTGGAGTCATGTCAGTTCAACCCTAGTTATGCAAATTTAGGCAGAGCCTTTGGCTATAACGTCTTCAAAACAGCTATGTTATAAAACAATTGACCCCCATACAGTATAACAAGTGAAATGAAAAGCTGTTGAGCCATTTCTGTATCAGCTCATAAACAGGTTTAATTTGGCTGCAAAAAATGGGTACTCTATAATGGGTGTTGATGGTACTTACACAGCTTTTAGAGCCTGTCTCAAATGGACACTTGTAGACCTGCAGTGGTTTACACTCTGCGCTTGTTTTTTTATTTTTATTTTTGATATATTGTATGTTTCTCTCAACGTTGTGGTGTATGTCATACTATTGGGGCTTAAGCCTGTAATAAAATTCATATATATTCACTCTTTAATACCAGAAGCTGCAGCTTGTTCGTGTCTTTCAGTGCAAATTCAGGCTTTTTTCAGGAAGAGAAGAATACTTACAAAACTTCACAATCTGCCCTTCTAATGTAGAACAATAATTTACATAACTTTTTAGGCCAAAGTGTTTTTTTCTGTGGTCAGCAAGGGACACTGGGGCTTGTTGTCACACTTTTTACACTCTTGTATATTTCTTGCAATCAATACATCATTTAAAAACAAAATGTATGCCAGATGAAAGACCAAAGTCTCAAGTATATATTTCGTATTCATGTAATTTTCATACCTTAATTCAGTGCAGTTATAATCAATCAAATAGAGAGTATGAACATGTGACATGTTGCCCCACCATCGGGTACGTTGTCTCACTACATGGGGTAAAATGTCACAGTGGATTTTTGCAGCTAATGAAACAAGGACAAAATTATTGTTCTTCTCATTTTTTTTACCTGAAAGTGAACATCAAAGTCAGGCACAGAAAATGTTTATCACTGAGCCAGAGAAAGTCATTGAACATAGCCACTGAACAAATGTTAACATAAAATATTATGCAACATGCACTGGAGTTTGGAGATCTGTCTGATTCTGTGTTTCAGCTGGGGTGAATATTGAGCAGTACCGAGCCAAGGTATGGTAGTTGACGTTAAAGTCCTTTATTGTACTCCAGATTGATTTATTAGCGAGGGTCACCTGTCTGACTGCCCTCAGCATCACGTCAGGTACTGCACTGCCATGTTCTGTTTTTCTTTTGTAATTCATGACCACGTCTTTTCCCTTTCTCCTCTCCTTTAAATTACTCTTTTTTTTCTGTAAAAAATAAAGTAAAAATTTCTGTGTGACAACTGCTGATAGGCAGACTTTCAATGTTAATTTTTATCCCTTCTAACCCCAAAATAACTGAGAGATGTTGCCCCAAACTACCATGTCTGCTAATTAAAGCTCTAGCTTTTAGTTAGAATAAAACAGAACAACATTGGGGTATGACAGGATGCCTTTATCTCTACTCTAACAAGTCCACATGTATCACTGCTAGGATTTTTATCTGGAAGAAGCTTATTTTAAAATGTATGAAGTTATTTTTTTTTCCTTTGGGTTGTGCAAAATGGTTTATTGGTGCTCATCTCAGCTCACAATGTGCTCTTCCCTTCTCAGACATGACACAACCCCTGACCATGTAAAGGAATAAAACTAGTATTTCAATTTTTAGTTGCGACCTCTGGTGGCAAAGATAATTGCAATTTGACAACTTATCCGTGTGACAACAAGCCCCTGTCTCCCCTACTCTTCATGTGATATTGATAATAATAAATATTTCAAGCATTAAGGCTAAAATGCAAAACAATTTAGAAGTTCCCAGGATTTAAGCTCCCATGAGGAGTTTTCAGCAGGTTATGTCACAGATTGACAAAAATGCTGTTTCATGACCTTTATAATGATTGATACATTTGACTGTTAAATCTAAGATGTTTCCTAAAACAGTTCACATGTGAGTAGTGATAAACATGATCAGAAAGGGGCTTTTTTGTCTGGGATATGGTAACCAGATCGCTCAGATCTCAATATTGACTAAAAAGGGTAAAAATTGTGTTACCTGAGAGTTGACGTCATTTACGCAGCAACATGGAGGAGTATGTGTTACCTTCGCGGCCCGAAGAGACAATAGAAATGTTAAAACCGGGACTTATACGAACGGTAGATACACGTTTTGTGAATGAAATCAGAGTTTCAATAAAATTGGTAGCTTTTATTTTGGCGTCCATTTTTAGCGTGCATCACTTTGAGTACTCATTTTTCATTTCACGACAGGCACGGCAAGTAAGAAATGTATTTGTGTAGTATTAATTTCAAAGACTCACCTAGCTTGTTGTGCTTCTCACAAATGGAAGACATCTAGTGGGTGTCAAAACAATAGATGACTAAAGAATCTAAATATTGACGAAACGATTGATATACAACATGATAAAAAAAAAAGTAGACAACGATTTCAGCATTTCTGGACACTTAAAATGTTTTTGCATCAGTAATATTTTTCATTTATAAAATGTTTTGTTTATGCATTTCCGTGTTTTGGGATTTTTATGTTGTGCATTTCATTAAATAGTTTGGGGTTTCTGGAAAATCGTGTGTCATTGAATTAACGTGTCATTTTGTGTACGTTTCTCACTTAGTTTTTTGGCTTTAAGTTAAATGTTTTTTTTCCTTCATTTAAATTTATTTTGCGATGAACTTTGTGATTTTTTTTGCATTGAACAAAAAGTCAGCTTTTAGTTTTAATTGAAAATCTCAAATCAAATCTTCATCAACCTCTAAACCACAAAATTACTGCTTATAAATGAAAAGTGACATACAGTTCTGACTTTTACAAACCTTCAACAGGACATGAACGCACCACCGTCGGTGGCTAACCCTCGCATTTTTACCCCGTCGCCGCCATTTTGCATCAGTCAAGTGAAGCTGCGGCGGTCAACGCTCCGGGACAGTTGTTTTTCCCTACAATTTTTAAGTCTTTTAAACCGGAAACTGGTAATTAACACCTAATACACTGTTTACATCACATATTCGTTCTCACGCTTATAATGTCGACTTACCATAGCTTGAATACGTAGGTTATTACGAAGCGAACAACCGTCTGTACTACGTTAAAGCTTAGCTAACGATAAAGCCGCGAGGTATCAGTGGAGGAGGTAGGCCTCTACTGTGTAGCTTTAGCAAAGGAAGCCTCGACTCATTTAACATTATCTGATGTTTGATACGACAATTTCAACGATAAAGCACTGACATTGATATTAAAGGCACACAATTCCCGACTATTATATAAACTTAACGACCATTGTGTTGTCGTGTTTAGATCTCGTATCGTAACGTTCAGCGGTGTCTCATTAGTCCTCTGCCGCCATTGTTGGGCAACTTTGTGTTATTCAAGAGTAAGTATGTGATTAATTTCTCCACTGTTTTTGTCTTACCTTATTTGCCGAACCTACTTTGAGAGTGACCCAAATATAGATATTAGTAGAATATGTCACATATTATTTCTAACAATAGTGATCAGTCTGTTTGTCCAATGCGACAAAAATAATTCTGAGAATTTGTGTGTGTATCATTTCTGTTTAAGTGCTGTTTTTTTTTCCTGTAAGATGGAAGCCAAAGATGTTTTTCAGTCTGATTGTCCGTATCAAACTGAGGCCTCCATATTTCAAGTGAATAAACAACCCAGATGTGGGCCACTGGAAACCAAAAGTACAGCTTTTGATCCTGGTTAATAACAATATCAGAACCACAATGATATAGTTCGATTATCCAGATCAGCGGCAGTGAGTTTTCACTTACATGGATTTCCATTACAGCAAAATCCTGGTCTACTGGGGGCTTATCATGGAAAACATTTATCAATGCCATACCTCTGTGTCAGAAAGTCTTCTCTGTATTTGTGCACTTCCTTCTGTCTCCTGTTAACCCCCTTTCAGCTCTTTGGGGAGTGTTTTTGATTGATTTGTAGGTTGTAAACCATCCTCTTGGGCCTTGGGGGAATCCCTGGATATGGATAGCTTTCCCCCTCTTGAGAATACATTGGCAGAAGATTTTTCTTCTCTTCAGTTGGTAACCAACAGCTGAAAATCCCTAGAAGCTTGAGTACCCTGCCCAAGTTTTTTTTTCTACTTCCACCAAGTGTGCAAAAGGCCTGCAGCCCAAGAAGAAGCCGAGGATTTTTTTTTTCAACTCGTCACCCCTTTGTTCCCCTTCTTTTTGCTTCACCAGTCTAAACATTTTTGAAAGCATTTTTCTTTTTCTTCTCTGGCTGTTTATGCACCATTTTTCTTTGGTTAAACCAATTAGAATAAAAAAAAAAAAGAGTAGTAATAAAAGAAAAAAAAAGAAAGCCCCAAAGGACTCGATTGCATCCACCAGCTGTAATGCTTAGCAGTCTTGGCGGAGATAAAGATGTCTCAGAGAGCCTCAGAAAAGGGATGTCATAGGAAGACAAGTGTCTCTGGGCGACCCACCCCCCTTTTCCTCTTATCTCACGGATCAAGTGTTCCTTCAGGACTCTAAACCACAACGGAGACATCCTACCAGTGCTGCATTCACGAGGGAGACAACTTCTCAGCCACCTCAGGTAAAGGTGATGAAGTTATGATTGGCAGATAGACGAAATGAAAAGAATATTTATTCTGGCTTTGGCTGTTTTATGCAAGATTTCCATGAATACATTTCCTAATCTAATTCTCATCACTGTTTGGTTAGTCATAAGTTTATGTTCTTGTTTTAGGTCTTGCTATTTTGTCCTTATTTATCTTCCAAATATTTAGTGAGACATTCTCTTGTATTGTGGTTTTTAATCCTTAAAGGAACCCTGTATGAAGATTACTCCACATAAAGATAAAAAATAAAACTCGTTCACCTTCACTTTTGCCCCTTTGCAGTTGCATGTTCTTGTTCCAGAGCACAGCGTGTTTGTGCTACCCAACGAGGTTACAAAGGACAGACTTTTTTTTTTTTTTGACTTATTGATTGACTCAAATTAAACAAGATACAACACATATTTTACATATCACAAAAGGGTGCAAAAAACACATTTAAAAAAAAATGTTACAGTCAGCATTAATGGTAAAAACGAGCACATATTTGCTCGAGCGTGTAGACATGCCAGGACCAGCCTCTGCAATTCCCTCAACTCCACTCAGGATCTAATCCACACCTTCAATTTTACAGTAGTGTAAAGGACATACATTTACGTTCACAGCGTTTAGGGCAAACTGGTTCAAAGTGTCACAAGATCCAAGTCGGAAGTGCATGGCTGACTTCTCTTTTTTTGACCAGCAGCACAGAATATGGCACATTGTGTCCACAACAATACATGACAAACTTCAAAAACTTCCCTGTTGCGTGAAGCCTCACAGGATCTTGACTGCAGCGTGAAGCGTTTGTGTAATTCATTTAGTTTCTTTAGGTCATGCCTTGTGTTTGCTCTACCTGGGTGGCATGTGAGGAGTTATGATAACAGAGGAGTTGTATTTGCCGTTTCTGATGTGTTGTTGTGTTTGTATGGTCAGGGAGAGTCCTGTTGGCCCTGAAGAGAACCAGCTGCTGGATTTGAAGACCAAACCCTCCGCCACTGAAGACGCATACCAGCATTACTATGACCAACAATGGAGATGACTGCTACTTCTTCTACTATTCCACCTGTACCAAAGTAAGCTAAGTTAGGCTACTGAGCCCACTCACACTTTACAGTGAACCCAGTTGGGAAACTTCAGTTAAAGAGCAAAGCCTGACTGCGTTTGACTTCCCCTGCAGGGAGACAGCTGCCCCTTCAGACACTGTGAGGCAGCTATGGGCAACGAGATCGTTTGTAACCTCTGGCAAGAGGGACGCTGCTTCCGTACTGTCTGCAAGTTTCGCCACATGGAGATCACAGTAAGCTGCATTCAGACATTAGATGATCCCCCAAAAAACCCTGAAAAAGATCCCCTTCAAGCTTTGCCCATTGGAGGCTGTTGATGTCTTTAATGGCCATTACCGGAGGGTAGATAATGTCTCCCTGTAGACCTGGGTCAGAATCTCCACCTCTGCCTCTGGATCTGCTGGGAGGAACACTTAAGTGCTCTCTCGACTCAATATGTCACATTGAAATGAAATCACTGCAGCTAAGAATTAGACTTGGAATGCCTGCTGGTTGTAATCACCTCACCAAGCTTGTTTTCCCTCTAATGTTATATCCATACATATCAAGATGTTTCTAAATATATCTATATGTTTTCCTCCTTGTTTTCATTTCGACACACCTTGTCCACAGCAGGGGTGTTTGTGAATATTTCTCTGTTCAAGAAGCACTTAATAATTATTTATTCTGGTAACATTTTTGGTGAAACAATTACTCAGACGGTGTTAAAAGAGGAATAGATCCTGAAATTCGCACTTGTCCTTTTCTTCCTCACTGTCAGATTTGCTGTTTTAGTTCAAGTGTTTGTTTGCTTGGATGAGTTTGAGATGTAATGAGCCGGTCTCCTCTCTGCGTGCTTTTACATGTGTGTTTTCCTTCTTTTTCAAACAGAAAAACCGAAAGGAGATCCCTTGCTATTGGGAGAACCAGATGGGCGGATGCCAGAAGCCACACTGTGCCTTCTTCCACGAGAAACCCCGCTACATCGACGGCATGTTTGTCGCACCCAGTAAATGTAAGCGGGTTTTGTTTGAGGCCTTTAAACCACGACCTAACACCTCGTCTGAGATGGCACTAACTGGTAATGCATTTCTTTCAGCTCAAATCAACACTGAGGAACAGCCACAGGAAGAACCAGCCCCCCCACCAGCTACTCCTCTCCCTCAGGCTGCAACCAACCCTCAGCTCAGAGGAGTCATCAAGACCGACAGTCAGGAGCCAGTACCGAGCCCCACACACCCGCCGGTGGTGATAAATCCAGCAGATGATGATGAGGATGAAGATGGTGAGCTGGCGTTGATCTCATATTGACTTCCTGGTCTCTTTTAGTCCTGGTTCTTAAAGGGGTGTGACTTTGGTCTGTTTCATTCATGAGTGTTTGTCTTTTACAGAAGAGGGAGAGGACGGCAAGGTCGGCCCTTCTCCTCGAAAAATACCCAAATCAGGTGAGAATTAGTGCTGAGACTCGTCGAAGCAGAAGGCTTTACCATTTGTGGCCACAACCGTTCTTGTCTTTTATCACTCGCTTTATCTGGTACATGGCATGCTCTGTATTACCAGGCGATTCGTTGAACTTTGGAGTGAGCACCCTGGAGGAGATCCGGCTGAGGAAGGCCCTCAAAGCCAGCATGAAGAGGGCGGGTTACCCCATCCAGAGTGCCGACACCTCGACCAACGGAGAGAAGGAAAACATCCGCTCGTCTTGTCTTGTCTTTGAACCAAGACAAGGTAAAAAAAAAAAAAGGGTTGTAAAAATTCTCTCAACTTCTGCAAGTTTGAAATTTAGTTAGTCCTTGCATCCTTCAAGATTCTCCTTTTTTACTCAGTGAAGTCAATATCAGGAGCATGACAATGAAGATAATGATTGTAGATCGTTAAAATCAAGACGGGGAAAGTGAGGTGAGCAAAGTGAACTTGGACCAAAAACTTAAAAACAAGGCAACAGCAGGAAAATGTGAACAGGTGGAAGTGGTGACAGGAGAGAACTAAACTCACAGGGCTGCACAAGGACTCTGGGAATAGAGAAGATTGATGGACAGTCTCCCAGAGCCCCAAGTGCTGTCTTGAAATTTTCTCTCAATCGGAAACACTCGACAGTTTTCGTCATGATTGATAAAAGCAGCAAATGCTTGTTTTAAAATAGGTGCAGGAACCAAAAAATTGCAATTAACTGAAGACATAAAAGGCCTGAAACAAACATTGTAGTCGACTCGACAGTTTTTCTCAATCTGTAAATTGCTGCTTGGATTGAACGAGTGCAAATCCAGTGTTGCTGTTTTAGTATGTGATTGCAATGCTTGGGCTATTACAACTTGAGAGGAAACATGTTTTACCGGTCTTAATAAAAGCTTTTTCTCTGTCCCTTTTTTTTTTTATTTTTTATTTTTTAACCTAGACCCACTTTTCCTTGACGAAACTGTGAGACCAAGAAGCAGTTTGTCTGACAGGCTCGGGAGGAAGATGAACAACACAGGTACAATTTTCACTCTTGTGTCACCCGATCACCAGATTTCTCTTTGATAAAGTGATTCTAAGAAAGGAGACCGATGAATTCATGAATCGTCTTTGATGTAGATGGGAGACAGGCAGAAGGCGTCCCACTGAAAAGGAGTCTTGCCGAGCGTCTGGGCCGAGTTGTGGAAGGTGATTCCTCGATGCCCCCTCAGAAAGGTGAGAATTGATGAAAAGAAGCTCACTCTCTGGTGCTTAGATAAGAAATGACAGTTGTGCCTCTGACATGTGAATATGAAGTAACTGTTTTGGTGGTGCTGACTTGTTTTTTTGTGTCTGCAGCAATGAAGCCCATAAGGGAGCGACTTGGATTGTCCGCTGGTTCTGTTTCACCTTCTCAACAAGGTAAGAAGCCAGGTGAACATCAGAGGTCAACGTCATACTTTGGTTTGTTTGAGACAAATGAATCATGCTCCTTGTTTATTGTTTCTGCCTGTCCTTTCCTACAGATGAGACCACCACTGAGCCCACAACGGCTCCTGAGCAGATTCAAATCAAAACCCTGGAGCAGATCAGACAAGAGAAGGCGGCAAAATCCCAGAACCAGAAAGATGGCCCTCCAGCTGCGGCTCCAGAACCCAACATCACAAAAGCCATCAACAATAAAACTCGAGGTGTCAAGCGAGCCATCACGGTCAAAGACGACTCCATCAGCGGTATCAAGACCTTCTCTGAGATCCTCCGGGCCAAGAAGAAAAGGCAGGAGGAGGAAGAGGAGGAGGAGCAGCAGAATCGCAGCCCCAAGAAGGCCAAGCAGCCTGCAGAGAAGGCTGCAGGCAAGAACCAGGGGACAGCCGGACCTGAGAGTCCAGCTGCGGGGGAAGTTCGAGTGAAGACCCTGGAGGAGATCCGCAGAGAGAAGGCAGCGAGGATGCAAGCTCAGCAGGCGGAGACTGAAAACAAGAAGAGCTCTGACAGTGAGGAGAACACCGAGGCGAAGAAGCCTGGCCTGCTGCGCCTAAAGAAACCTGTTCCTCAAAGTAAGACACCACCTCATAACCTTTTGAACAAAAGCCATGTTCCTCATTCTTCTACCAAGCATATTTATGTTTTTGATATGATCTCTGCAGGCACCACCCCTCCAGAGAAGACCCCTGCAGTCCCAGAGAAGCCTCTGAAGCCTGCAGCTGCTGCTCTTAAGGTAAGGTTTCTAAAGACTCTGCAGTATTGGCAGTCTGTCCCGTCATCCCCCGTCTCATTGGACTTTTGTGGACTGATGTACTTCCTGTCTTTTTGCAGACCGGTGCTGCCAATGGGAACAACGTCAAGGTGAAGACCTTTGAAGAGATCATGCGGGAGAAACAACTTCGCAAGCAGGAGATGGAGGAGCAGGCCAAAAACTCAGCCGAAGCAGAACCTTCCCAGAAACAGACCCCTGAGGAACCCCTGAAGAGGAAACCCGTCAGTCTTAAATCACCGGGCTCTTCATCACCGTCCTCCACCACTCAAGCCCCCGACACCACCAACACCAGCCCCAGGCTTCCTGTCCGTAAGCTGGCCCCGCTGAGATCCAAGGCGGCTTCTCCTTCAAACAGCACAACCGCTGCAAGAGGAGCCACAGTTCCCTCAGTCCCTGTGACATCGAGTTCTCCTCCACAAGAGCCCGAGTCCAGCTCCAAGGAGGTCCCGGACAACACTAAGACCCCAGTCACACTGTCACCAGCCAAACAAACTAGAGCAGCGCCCAGAGGTCCTGCTGCAGAAACCCCTGCTGCTGATAAAACACTGAAGAGTAAGCAGAAGACGACCCCAGAAAAAACTGCAGACACCAGAGGTATGACAGCTAGAACTGAGTCAGACATGTCTTCAATTTGAAGCTCACGTTTCGACTTGTAAACACTCCTGTTACAGTCGCAGAGTTAAGGAAAACTTCATCACACACGCCTGTTCGACCTGCTTTTGAAGGCTCTCTGCATGAAAAGAAATCTTGTGGAAGTGTACGTTATGTTCAATGTCATTAAACCCTTTTTTTTCTCTTTCAGTGAGGCCCAAACTGAACGTGAAGCCGTCCGTGGTGAAACCTGCTGTGCAGGTAAAACCGGGCCAGAAGAGGAAAGCTGCGGAGCGCTCTGCTGTGGCTGCTGTTAAACCTCTGAACAGCGCCTCCAATGTGAAAGAAGAGCCGCTGAAGGAGACCACATGCAGAGACGGACAGGTGGGTCTGCATGTTTACGTCGTGTCCGTCTGCAACCGCTTTGAGTCCTCTCTACTGCATGTCTGCTTTTTCTGAAGTTTCCCATTCTTTTTCTAGGTTTAATTGGGGAAAAAAACCCTTTGTGGTTTTAGATCATGTAGATTTTGTGGTTTAACTTCTATCCAAAGCGGTTACAGGTTGACTAAAGCGTCTGCTGCCCCTGGTGACTTTAACCTTCCGAGTCCCTCATAAAAACTTCCTTTAGAGTCCCTCGTGGCTGAAAAAAGCCCCTACTTTTGACTGCTGTAAAATCACATTGGATTATCATGTTTTTCCGATTTCTTTTCGTACATCTCTTATTTTACTTCTGCCCTGTTCAAAACTAGCAAATGTTTCATTGAAAACAAAAATTCTAACCCTTTAAGGGCCCATTTAAGACATACAGTCACTAATACAGCAAAAAATGGAAGGAAAATGACCTATGTTTATTATAAAACATAATCAGAAGTTGGTGACTTTTTACATGGTGCATAGTCTTGTGCATGTGGAGGATTAGAAACAGCAGAATGTTTGGTACAGTTTTGTGTAACATCAGATTTTCATAAAAACTGCATTGATGAAGTGATTCTATAAGTGCATTCTCTTTCACAAACAGCAGGTGGTAGTCATGTGCGAGACAGAATTTAGTGTGTCTGTGTTTGTGTGTGTGTGTGTGTGCCTGCATGCATGAGAGAGATGGGTGAGACTGACCCTGCACTGACCTGGCCAAAAAACAAAACAATGCTCTCAGAACTACAGTCTAAAACAACAGGAGCATAAACAACTCCAGACAAGTTGTTTATGCACCTGCTGTCTGGCCTTTTGATCTCCGTGGGCTCCACCCACGGCCTCACCCCAGCACCTTACAACTTGAAGATTATCATGATCATTTTCTCGTGGGAAGAGCCCGAGAAACACCATGAAGAGACGCTTAAGCAAAGTAGAGGCCCTTGAAATGGTCCTGGAGTCCGACGACATGGAGTCCAACGACATGAAGTCCGACAACATGGAGTCCGACGACATGGAATCTGACCCCGGCGTAGATCCATTGTCTTCTGATTCAGAAGCCATCACCTCAGCTTCCGAATCGGATCCCGATTTTTTCCCGCTGCCCTCGTCTTCTTCTTCTTCTTCTTCACCTTCCTCGGAAACAGAGGAGGAGACAGAGACTACGCTTGACCGCTCTGGATGGAAGGGGAAAAATGGACAAGTTTGGTCTCCCTCCCACATGGAGACAATTTGCAATCCACCTGCAATGGCCACAAGGAAAGCGGAACCGACCTACTACGCCATCGTGAGGAGCCATAGTATAGAGTCGACATTTGACCTCTTTTTCACGCCAGACGTGATTGACCTTGTGGTTAAATACTCTAATCTTCATGGAGGCCGCACTCAAAAGGGTTGGAAAAAATTGGACACCTGCGAATTTCGGGCTTTTCTGGGGCTCCTGATTTTTGCAGGCCTTTTTCGTTCAAGAGGAGAAACAACTTTCTCCCTGTGGGAGGGAATGCATGGTCGAGCTATTTTTAGAGCAACCATGTCGCGAAAGAGGTTCCACCAGATATTACGTGCAGTGAAATTTGATGACGAGACGGAACGCCAGGCCCAATTCAAGAATGACAAACTGGCCCCCATCAGATCCCTGTGGGATATGTGGAGACAACGCCTCCCTCTTCTGTTCAATCCCGGCTCAGAAATCACAATTGATGAACAAATGGTTCCTTTTAAAGGGAGATGCAGATTTAAGCAATATATGCCTAAGAAACCAGCAAAATATGGGATAAAGATCTGGACGGCTGCAGATGTCTCCACGTCTTATGCTTGGAAGGTCTCCATTTACACGGGTAAGAGTGAAGCCGGGAGAGAGTTTGGCCAAGCGAGACGGGTGGTTTTGGATTTGCTGGAGGATATTACTGGGATCACAGTGACCTGTGATAACTTCTTCACATCTTACCAACTCGGCCAGGAGCTGCTGAAGAAAAAAATCACCATGGTCGGGACAATCAGGAAAAACAAACCTGAGCTCCCACCCCAACTCCTGAGTGTAAAAGACCGAGACATCCTCTCCTCCGTCTTTGCGTTCACCAGCAACACAACAGCGGTCAGCTACATGCCTAAGAAGGGGAAGAATGTGCTCCTCATAAGCACGAAGCACAGACAGCCAGCAGTAGAAGAGGGCCCAAAGAAGAAACCCACAATCATCATGGACTACAATCACTGCAAGGGAGCTGTAGATACTCTGGACCAGGTATGTTTCTTTTTTGTTTTTTTTCTTTCAATTAGTTGTAAGAGATGAATTTAGAAGATGTATTTTTTGTTCTGACAATATTTGCATGATTATTTTCACTGTCATGTGAGGCTTTAGAGCAAAGTATATTTAGTTCGTGTTATTTTATCTTTACAGCTCGTCCACAACTTCAGCTGCCAGAGGAGAAGTAGGCGGTGGCCACTGACTTTGTTTTACAATATGCTGGACATTTCAGCTTACAATGCTTACGTCATCTTCACCAATGTGGATCCCTCCTGGAACAAGGGAAAGCGAGTCCGGAGGAGGCTGTTCCTTCAGGACCTGGCACTTGCTTTGACGACCCCCGCGATAATGAGGAGACGAACCCTGCCTCGTTCATCTCAATCTTCTGCACTTGTGAAAGAGATGCAGTCTACTGCACATGGCTCTGTCGCTTTCAAAGCAGAGTCCAAAGAAGAAGAGCTACTACCCCCCAACCTCCCTGCAGGGAAGAGGAGAACATGCAAGATGTGCAAAAACAGAACCATCAACACTTGTGTGAGCTGTGGGTGTCCCATCTGCAGAGGACACAGCGCAATCTCCTGCCTGTCCTGCATCCAGAAATGAACACACACACATGGTAACACGCACATTCTTGCTCTATCGTCTCTCTTTTCATCTCCTCATCTCCTCCTCATCCTCACAGCCAAAAGGTAGCTGTTGTTCTGCTTAACCCCTTGCAACATTGAATTTTTGAAACTTTGGTCTTGTTTTTATTTCATTGCATTTTGAGCAAAAATATCGATGTGATCAAATGTTACAGTGGTTAGAACTTTGTTTATGAAAGCAAGCACACACACACACACCACTTGCTGCCACTTGTGGGCGGCAGTAGCTCAGGAGGTAGAGCGGTCGTCCAATAACTGGAAAGTTGGCGGTTCGATTCCCTCCTATCCCAAGTCTGTCCGTTGTGTCCTTGGGCAAGACACTTAACCCACCTTGCTCCCAGTGTGCGTCCTCCACTGGTGTATGATTGTGAGTGTTGTGTGGTGGTGGTCGGAGAGGCCGCAGGCGCAGAATGGCAGCCACGTTTCCGTCAGTCTGCCCCAGGGCAGCTGTGACTACTAAGGTAGTTTACCACCACCAAAAAAAAGTGTGACTGTGTGAGCGAATGAATGATGTATCCAATGTACAACGCTTTGAGGGTCTCTGATAAAGCGCTATATGAAATCTGATGCGTTACTTGCTACATTTTAATTTTTGCTATATTAGTGACTTTATGTCTTAAATGGGCCCTCTAAGGGTTAATTTTTTTATTTTCAATGAAACATTTGCTACTTTTGAACAGGGCAGAGTAGGGCTGGGCGATATGGGAAACAGTTTATCGCGATATGTTTTTTCACATCAGTTCATATTGATATATATCAGATATGAGAAATGAAATTTAACAGTGCTTATTAGTAGCATGTCTTTTGCAATACAATAAGCTACAGCATCTGTGAGGTCTTTGTGTCTCTTCAATGTTTTTTCGTGAGGCGTTGCGCTAGCGAAAGCAGCCTGAATGGTCGGCTGTTTCAGCTGCACAGGCGCCATGGGCTCCTTGCTTTGCTCGGGGTTTGTAAGCTTTTGCATTGTACGTGCTCTGCTTCAGTGCTGTTGGCTTCACGTGTTGAAGTGCTATGGTTGCATGTTGCTACTGCCTGCTACTACGTGGCTGTTTGCTACTTGTTTCTCATTCAGCACATGATTGGTTTAGCATGAAACTCCCCTTTTCATCGGCCGTTTGCATAGTCTACCAAAACATGGCAGAACGCAGACTATTGAAAAGCATATTGACCATGTTTCATATCGATATTGAGGGAATTTAATTTTCGATATACATTGTTATCGTTTTATCCCCCAGCCTTAGGGCAGAAGTAAAATAAGAGGTGTATAAAAAGAAATAGGAAAAAAATATTTATCCAATATGATTTTACATCAGTCAAAAGTAGTGGCTTTTTTCGGCCCCGAGGGACTCTAAAGGGGTAAAAAAAGGGGTCCTAGGTGTATTATTGATCTGGTGAAAATGTTGAATTCATGTTTTCAAATCGTATGTCAAATTAAGCATCTGTGCAAAAAAATTTATCCCATTTGCTGCAGTAAAAAAGAAGTTCTATTCAGATGAGTCTCTAGATTTTTCCTCAAATGGCTTTTTTCCGCAGGTCTTCCCGTCCTCCAGTGCAGAGGCCCTGCTTAGCTCAACTGTTCCCAGCGGTCCCAGCACCCTCCTGGACTCCGGCTGCAGCTCCAGCCCTCTGAGAGAAGACCCCCAGACTGTCCCTGTTTTCAAACAGAATCTGAGTGAAGAAACCAAATCCACCATCAGCGTCCCTGCTGCGAGAGAGACCTGCGCAGTCCCACAAAGGTAAAGATCCACAGAGAAACCAAAAGTCGTCCTCAAAGTTCAAACTTAAACTGCTGTTTTTACAATGAAGGCATAAATGAAGGTCTTTGGCAGTTTTGGTGTTTTTTAGACAGAACTTGACCGTACTTTGATAAGAAGTTGGTGACACATACCTAACTTTTATTCAACTGATAGGAAGTGGTTTAGATTTTCGATAGAGGATTCTCATCTGTCCATACATGCATAATAATTCATGGACTTGTATACATTTCAGCCCGGTCCTCAAGACTCCCCCTCCGCCCAAGTCCAGAAGATTGAGTGCAGCAGCGTCCCGCGCGGCCTCCACCTCCAGCATCGCGGTCTCCACGTCCGCTGTGGATGACTTCGAGGACCTGATCAGCGAGTTCACCGATGAACATCTAGAGGAAGACATGGACCCCGCTATTGGAGAGGACGACCTGCTGCAAGAGCTGTCGGAGATGATTGACAGCTGAGGAGTCTGCCGAGTACAAATAACCCCCCCCCTTACGAACACATCATGTCTTTGTATTTTTGAAAAGACTTTGTTTCATTTCAGTTTTTAAACACATTTTAGGTTTATGTTTGTCACGTTAGTCTTCTCTCCTTTTCATTTCCTTCTCATGTGATCATCTGGCTGAGTTTTCCTGCAGGGCTTACATTTTTCATGTCTGTTCATGATCGTTTCAAACTTATCAGGTTCTGAAAAAATAAAGTTTAAAAGAAAAACCTTAACGGTGACAGATATTTGTAAGGAAATCCTCAGTCTGAAGATGTTTGAGGATGATGGTCATGTTGTTATAGGGAGAAGTTAAATCTGTATACTGTGTATGCAATGGGAAAGAATGAGTTGTGTAGAAAGAATGCACTATTGGTAACCTGTCCTCACCTGTTTGTGTTTTTGGTGTGTCAGTGATTGGATTAGTCGGCTGTTCCCCAGATTATGACCTTTAAATGTGTGATTTTTACTTTTGTTTTCGGTCCCGTGTTCAAAACTCAGGTCTGACCCTGAGAGAAAGTTGAGATAATTTTCCAAAGTTCATAAGCAGTTTTACATTCAGGACACTTTGTTCAATCAAGTGGACACGTTTTCCACCTCTGCCTCTGACTGTCCTTTCTGGTTTTTAAGATCTTTGAAACGTGTTTTTTTTTTAATGGATTTATGTTGAGAGCGCAAACTCTGAAACAACCAGTCTTGTCTTTGTTACCGTACACCTCAGGGACTGTTTTCTGATCTTTCACACAAACACTGGTCTTACAAGTCAACCATGCTGTCTTCAGTTGGCCTTTTCTATTCAATGTGATGTTGGTTTATACGTGTCTTCTGAGGAAAGATCAGCTTGTTTTTTGGTCTTGATGTTTATTCTGTCCCCACTCTTTCCCAGAATCTTACTGTTTAAAGTGAATTGTACAGATGATGTGTAAATAAAGAGTACTTTTAATGACCTGCAGAACTGATGTGTGTTGATTTCAGTAATGACTAATGGCTGAACTCCACCTCATGAAACAGGTGAGCCTCCACACAGCTCACCTGTTTTTGAGAGCAGACATGGATCATCCTGAGTAGGGTTGGGTATCGAGTATCGATGGGGACCGGGACCAACCTTCGATTCTCCCGATTCGTTCAAATTTTAAAATTTCGATTCCAAGTTATGATGTTTCGGAGTCCACCAACCGGAAGAAATAGCTGCCGAACACCAACGAAGAAGATGCCGCATAACTCTACCGAGGACAGAGCATATAGTCCATTGCAACCATAGACTGTATACACTATGGACAACTTGGTTCCGCCTGTATACGGATTTGAAGCCAAAAAGCTCTTGGTATTTCCGAAATTTTTCTTCATTTCCTGAAACCATGGCTGCGCAGTAGCAATGCGCGCATTCGGCCCCGCAGTCGCCGAGAGTTGCTGTGATGACGCTCAGCTCAAACAGCGTATCCCCGGGTGAGATACGTCCACGTATGAAATATGTGTACGAAAGACACGTTGAATATTTGTCTTGCTTAAGCTAGCTAAAGCTATTGTTAGCTTGTCAGAAATGTTTGACCCATAGACGACTAGCCGCCATTATACTTACTGAGACTAAAGTGCGCTGGCAAATAATTTTAGCATGTGTATCAGATTGAACATAAAAAAATGTATAAACAGTTTAGGTGTTCTGAACCGAGATGTCCCATACATGTTGGAAATGTCTTTGAACGTATGCATTTTTTCTTATATCAGGTATTTCTCAGTATATCATTTATTTATTTATTTATTTTTAATTATATGCATATCATATGTAATTGACATTTAGCCCACATTTCTCTTTTATATGAATTAGGTTTCTGTCTATGCATACAAAATCTCATCTAAACGATTTGTCTAATTATGATCTCTGTTTTTAAGATGCATATTACAATTCAACAAGGGCGAATGGTGCCTGAACTGGTCTGTTGCCAGACATGTTGCAGGCAGTACCTCTGCCCATTCTGCTCGTCAGAGTTGTGTAAGCCTACCAGTTTGAGGAACACTCAAATTCATCTGGACCATCATTTTAACCGTGCTGTCAGCCATGAAGGTATGTTGGCAAACATTATCCTGGGATATGTGTACAGTATGTAGTTATCGAGTTGCTACTACCACTTCATTATCCAACAATTAATCAAATAGGCCCCGTCGGCCTCCACAGCAGCCCCGTCGGCCTCCACCCCAGCCTCACCGGTCTTCACAGCAGCCCTGTCGGCCTCCACCCCAGCCCTGCCGGCCTCCCTTGCCCCAGGTGGAGCGTTGAAAAAGGTCTGCATGAGGCCAGTGCTGAAAAAACAATGCCCAATATGCCAGCTTTCGATGAACATTGGAAATGTGAAGAAGCACATTGAAAGAAGGCACACCAAAAAAAAGATGGACATAACCGCTACCTACCACCTACGTACTACGACCAAGCTGATAATGGAGGAAATACAGTATTCCCGCAGCTGCAGCATGGAGACCAGATGTGGTCATGTCTGCAAATGCACATGTTTGGGGAAACAATATAACTACTTTTAGTGGCTCTTTGGTCACCCAAAGCTGAAAAAAACTGTTCCTCATAACACATACAGCTTTGTAAGGTTATCATTAATGTTATAATCTTCAAGCTTAGGTTCTTCTTCTAAAGTGAATCATGCTCATCTCAGGTGCTTTGAGATTTAACTGTTTTTTTCTTTGTTTATAGACCCTATAGGAGTCTATTGGGAGTGCGGTTTTTCCTCAACACTCAGTGAACAATCACGCCCTCTTGAGGCTAACTCCTTTTCATTCTTATCAAACACCCTTTTTTTAAAACATTACTTTTTAAATAAACTCAATATTTTACTTATCTCTCTCGTGGTTTCTCATTTATGTCACATGTGAGGTAGGACTTACACTTCAGCAGCAGAAATCTGCTTTGAGGCTGTTACAGTTTAACACAAAGGAAGAAGAGCCTGGACGTTCGGTATTATTTAATCAAGGGAGGAAAAAGGGCCAAACAAAGAGAGTTTGTGAATGGAGTCAGTGGACTTCAAAAGCATCCAAGTGAGAATGAAAAGGTTCAACAAAAGGGTGAAAAAAAAAAACAAGAGAGGGTTAAATACAAAATCTGATAAAAGGAGCAACAAACAGACAGACAAATAACATAAAAGACAATAAAAACGTCACACTTCACCCATAAAATAGACTGAAATGCACCATCTTTTCAGAAATTGGGACATGATGAAACTTTAATGTAACATCAAAGCAACCATGAAATGACCAAACAACATGCCTCTACATTCAGGTAGTATAAACATACTATTTTTTGCGTTATTACATCAGGAAAGAGTGCAATAAAGAAAGTTTTTGTGTAAAACTTAGATTAAAAAAAAAGGTTTGGGAGATTCAACAGAATCTCCAAAACTCTGCCCTTTTCTCTTCCTGGAAAAAAACCCAAAAAGCATTCCCTTGAACACTAGAACAATACTAAACCAAAAACTGCAACCAAAACAAAGACATACCTTTTGAGCTGTGAGCTGACTACTGCTGCATCTTTACTGCACTCAGATACAAAATGAAAACTTGTAGAAATTTGGAAAGGTTGAATATAAGGCTGTCATGACAACAGATTTTCTACATCAGGATTATCGTGGCTTTAAAATATCTCGAACCAGGAATCTAATGTTTAATATCCCTCCAAAACCTAAGCCAGAAGCAAAGGACGAGGACTGCAGGGTTTGGCTTTTGAATTTGGACTTTGGTTCCTGTACTTCTCCAAATGTACCGGGAGGCACTGGTTATTTACTTTATCACAAGCCACCACCACACGTTTTTTTAATCTCTTAAGTCTTTGAACTTCACACTTCCCGTTTGTGCTGACTTTGACTTCATACTGACGTATATTGGTATTGCTGATGCACAGGTTACCATAGAAACTTTTGTCCAGGGGCATGCCAGCACCATTACAGATCTGCCGTACGAGTCCCTCATCCGTCTGCTCAAAGAATGTTTGCCGGGGTCTGTTGCAGAGATTTTTCTTTTCTAGGTAGCTGTACAATGAGATAAACACCACTCAGTTTCATGACTCTATGGCTTTTGGAGGATTTACACACAATCAAAGTTTGATATGCAAAATGTGCATCAAGGAAAAATAACCGTCTCTCATAAACTTGTGAAATAAATTTATATAGGTAGTGACAGTGCAATAAAAAATCAGACAGGTGTAACTTAACAGTGAAAATATTGTCTTAACCAGTAAACTTACTTTTTCCATGCAGACTCCGAGCTTCTTTTAAAAGGCTTGCTGAGAATGTGTTTCCAATCAAACATTATAGCTGCATTGTTGTTTTTATTTTTTTGACAAGGTTTATTATTGAAATGAGGTGGAGCTGAGTTTCCACTCAGGTCATGAGCCAGGAGAAGAGTTAGCATGGTGGCAGTCAGGAAAATCATCATGTCTAGGGTGACAAAGATTGTTAGAGAGCATGCTTTATACAGCACAGCCATCAGTGTAAGGATGTATATGCAGCATCTTGAATAATTAGATGTCTGTGCAAATCAGTTCCCATGTGGAGTTTTGTGACATTTAAGAAATAGTCATATTTTTCAGTTAAACTCCAAACTGACCCACAAAAGTTGTCATTTAAAATACTTTGAAAGATGACAATATTTTCTTACCTCCGTTGATAAGTCGACCTCTGTTTTGTGTATGGCGCTGTAAGTCTGGAAGATATTGACACTGATGTTCCTTTAAGTGTCTGCTTATATTTCAAATATTATCAGCTTTCAAAATATCTGACCAATCATTGTAAAGCAGAGTAGGTACATAACCAGCCAATCACAGAGTCAGCCTTCTCTTTTTTACTATATATGTCAGTGATGATTACAAAGAGCTATTATTATTATTTTCGCTGAAACAAAACAATGTTGAATTCTGTGAAGGAGGAAGTGGTCGATACAGAGGTGTGACTACACCCGTCGAACACAACAGCGATAACACTTTAGGTGAGAAAAGACACTGATAAAAGCTAGACCGGAAACATGAGCTTGAACTTTTTTTTATAGTCGTGCATGAAAACTGCCCAACAATTAACAACACTGAAAAAGGACTTTGTAAAAACCTTCAAGAACTCATGTAAAACACAACCAAGAAACATGATTCACAAGTATGTGTTACTGAAGGACAAATAGATCAGCCAATTTAATGTCGAATACAATCCAGTTGTTCAAAATTGGAAAATTTGAAGTTAAAAAACTAAAATTGAGCATCAGTACAAGTTGTGTGCATGTCATTCATAAACAGACCAAAAAGCAAAAGGCCAAGAATGGAGCCTTGAAGAACACCCATCGTCAGTATAAAAAGGGATGACACTAGCAAGTGCTGGTTAGAGTCATTTATTCAATGATGTGCAAAGCAAACAAAGCAGAATTGCAAGATAGTTGATCAAAAAAGTTAAACTCATAGAAAGCATGATGATTAATGATTACATAATTTGTGTTCATTTCTGTTTTTGTTTTATTTTGTTTTAGCTGAAATTACAAAAGTCAAAACACAGAGATGTCATCAAGAATACATTCATTCTACTTAAAGATCCTATGAGGAGTTTTTGATAGTTTATAAAAGTTTACAATGACAAGATTAAATCAGAAACAGTTCAAGGTGACCACTGTGTCCACAGGGGGCACCAAAATCAACACAGAAATTTCCTCACAGGAGCTTCAAAGTGACTGTCTACTAGTGAAAAAGCAGTAACAGCTATATTTGTCATGTGATATTAACCTTTTTCTGTTAAACCATATTGGAAAACACTTAACAGGACTTATCAGCATGTTCACACTTTCACAGGAATCATTGATGAAGCAGAGCTTTGCGGATGCTTTAGATGTCAGGAAATCATCAGCCTGACAGTGGGAAAGAATTGTGCCGTAATTCTACCCAATCCTGCGAGGAGTGCAAGGAGTTTTAGATGGCTTTTGGTTTCTGAAACGCTCAAAGTGAATGGGCAGGCAGGTACCATCGACCTGAGCACATCGAACAATTACATAGTGATTAACAGCTGCCAGACGCCAAATGTTGCAACGCTTGTCAGAATCAACGTCATACAACCTCATGATTGCATTACTCATGCAGAAGTCACCCTGAGCTTGAGGAGCGTTGTTCACACGCCGGCCGGAGTAGGAACAGATCCTCCTCACGTCTGCTTCTTCAGCGTCAATGAAAGACTGCGTAGGAACTCTGCCACAGAGGTTATTGTTCCGAAGGTATCTGTGTTGTCAAAACAAAGTTTCAGTTAATTCAGATTAACTATTAAAACCCACTTTTTAGAACTCTGTTGTAAGCTGACGTTATTGGGCTTTATTACTCAGTTAGGGCCAAATATACTAGTCTGTTTCAGCATCTAGACAAAAATAACATTTAACCCTTATAACAGATGAGTTTAAGCCATTTTATTGATCATTTTACTGTGGTGCAGACATGGCTAGAAGAGTCAGAATTAATTTTTTTTTCTGAAAAAAAAAGTGATTAAAATATTCCAGTTTTTAGTTGCCCTAATCCTGCTCTTTAATCTGCAATTCATTTCTGCCTTTATTCATTTGAAAAAAGTTGAAACTTTACAGAAAAAAATGTTGAAAAATGATTTTGACCTTATTAAAAAACTGAATCCAGCAGTATCAAAAACAGTTAGGTCAGGGAGAACAAGACATCAAAAAAGTTTTGTAATGTACAGTGAATGAATGTGGGAGCATTACCCACTCCCTCAGGTGAGAAAAGGTTCACTACTCTGTGAGAGACTGCGTGAAAAAGACATGTCTAGTGTGGCGAATACATGCCAATGGATATTTGAAAGTTGTAAAAAGGATTTAATGTTCAAGCACACCTTGCCCACTCCTGCAGAGAGTTCCTGTCAAAGGTTTCGGTGATGATGTGTCGTCTGGCAAAAGTGTTGTATGCTCCCGGGGTGGCCGGCTCCTGGCAGGGCTGTAAATGTGCATGAGGGGCACCTCGCCCCTGATGAACAAGAGCCACGGAGATGATGATGACAGTCAGAAGAATGGATTTCATTTTGCCGAAAGAAAGACAAAGAATAATGCAAAAAAGATTTCCAGTTGTCAAATAAAATCAGCTTTAAAAATATCTGACCAATCATTTTAAAGCAGAGTCGGTACATAACCAGCCAATCACAGAGTCAGCCTTCTCTTTTTTACTATATGTGTCAGTGATGATTACAAAGAAGTTAAAGAGCTATTATTATTTCACTGAAATAAAACAATGTTAAATTCTGTGAAGGAGGAAGTGGCCAATACAGATGTGTGACTACACCCGTGGAACATGACAATGTTCACACTTTAGGTGAGAAAACTGCACAGCAATAAACAACACTGAAAAAGGACTTTGTAAAAACCTTCAAGAATGCATGTAAAACAACCACTAGTGTCAATCACTTGACACTAGCAAGTGCTGGTTAGAGTCATTTATTCAATGATGTCCAAAGCAAACAAGCAGAATTACAAGACAGTTGTCCAAAAAAGTTAAACTCATAGAAAGCATGATGATTAATGATTACATAATTTGTGTTCATTTCTGTTTTTGTTTTATTTTGTTTTAGCTGAAACTACAAAAGTCAAAACACAGAGATGTCATCAAGAATACATTCATTCTACTTAAAGATCCTATGAGGAGTTTTTGGGACCATCCACTGAGTTAGGTCGTGACTTGTTTGACCTTTTGATCATGGTCAGCTCTGCTTTGCAGTCTTTGAGCTGAATCCTCACCCGACGTAGCTCCTGCCGCAGTTCATTGATTTCAGTAACAAGAGTCACATTTTCCTGCAGATCAGAGAACATTCACAGACATCATAGACACATCATGTCTTCAGTAAAACTGTTCACTTTAATCATGGGAAGCTGAAATACTGACTGCTGTTGGTGTTTGGCTCAGTCTTAAATCCCTGAAAACCTTTCAGATGAACTGTCTCTGCAGTGTTCTGTATTTTATGATTTACCTTCATGATCTTGTCATAAACTCTTTCGTGATCTTCAGCTGATTTGTCCAGTCTTGTCTTTAGGCTGCTAACAGTCTGCTCCAGGTGATCACGATGGCGAACAAAGGCCCCATAAACATCTTCATTTACAGTCTCTTTTTCCACCTTAAAAGCAGGACACACATGCTTTTCCGAAAGTATGTAGTTCAACTCTTAACATAGAAATCAATATGATACTAATGGTGCAATAAACTCTCAGCTTCGTCAGCACCACATGAACTACTTACCCGATCAGATTGCGAAACATAGCGAGCATAGATGCTCTGCACTCTTTCTTTCAGTTTCTTGGGCTCCTGGATGAAGCCAACACAGCTGTGGAGATCTGACTTGAGCCGTTGGAGATGTGTCTCCAGATCTTTTAACTGGTTAGAGAAAAGACGCTTTAGGAGAATTGAGGTATAACATTTTCTTCTCTTTTTTTTGGTAAGATATTGCAGAATCTAAATGACTCGAAAGTTTTTGAATAGGTCCAGTACAATGCCTCACTTGAATCTGCACTGAGTTGTAAAAGCCATACTGTATAATCCTACAGGGAGACTACCTTCTGCGTCTCTTTCTGCATCTCTTTGTCTCTGGTCTTCAGTTTGAGCCTCAGTTCAGAGACGACGAGCTTCAGCTGAGTGTTGCTGTTGAAAATTTGCATCAGATCCTCCTCCAGCTGTCAAAACAGAAAGTCACTGTCAACACTCCACTGTCTGTTTGAAAACCCTTATATTTCATTATGTTTTCATAATGATCAGAACATCTTTTTTTTTTTATGTTATCTGAGACTTGCAAGCGAAACCACACTAAAAGGTAAAACTACTTCAAAACATGGACACAAGGCTAAAATTGCAGCTGTCAGAGTTTTAACTGGCTGTTTTCTGTGCTACTGATTTGAAACCTTTTCTCCTGCTCATTGTCCTTTACACACAGACCTGATGGATCCGCTTCTTTTTCTCACTGATTTCATCTTGTTGTGGCTCAGTCAGTTTCTTTAACTCATCTAACTGGAAATCAAGAACAAACTTCAATTTCTCCAGTTCCTGATTCTTCTTCTTCAAGTTGGAGATGGTCTTATCCTGTAATCAGGAGGGAGACTTGTCATATTTATTTGAGGGTAAAGTGAATACAGGTTTGAAAGGCAGAGGTGTGTAGCTGAATAAACATGACTAACATCTACTAACATCACCCTGATCCCAGCTACCTTGTCCTGGTTGGTTTTTTCATGCCCGGTAATCTGCCTCTTGAGCTCCTCGATGTCACTCTCCAGTGATCGGATCAGTCCCATCAGGCTCTGGCGCTCCTGCTTCATCTTGTTTATATCTGTGTTCTTGTCATCGACCTGTCTCTGCAGACTGTAGACCTGAGAGCATATCCGCCAAAATAAGACATAAAAAGAGCTGCAATCATGGGTAAAGTTATCGGTAAAGATTGAAGAGAGAGTACGCCTCAGATTCAGATTGCCCACCCTTTGTGTAATGCCAACAGTTTCTCCTTTGAGATTTTTGTTGGCTTCCTGCTCAGTGTGCACTTTCCGCTCGTACTTGATTTGGATGCCGTTGATCATCCTCTCCTGATCCTCCTCTATTTGCCTTATCACCTCTTTGTAGTGACGGACCTTCTCCTGTGATTCCTCCTGACACTGCATGAGACAAAAAAAAGTTATACTCCATTCATGTTGTCACCTGAGCTCTTCCACTTCCTGTGCAGCTCCTGTTGCCTGTACTTACCTGAGCCAGGAGCTGAGTCTTGTCTTGCAGCCTGGCCTCATAGAGCTGTGTCACCTCCTCCAGGACTCTGGTTTTGCTCTCTTCTGCAGCCTTCAGTCGCTTCTCATAGTCTTCCTGCATTCTTTCATAGTTCTGCTGAAGATCCTGGGACCTCTCGTGCTCCACAATCAGCTTCTGGCTGCAGGATAGCTCTTTAAAATTTAATGAAAGACAGACAGACAGACGATTAAGTTACACGGCTCCTGAATTGCCTCGGATATTATCATGTTCCTCTCTCACCTAAATCTGTGAGTTCTTTTGAGTGATTCAAAGTGACCTCTGCAGAACTCTCCTGGTGCTCACGTTTCTGCTTTTCCATCTCTGTCATCAAGGCCTAAAGGTACAGTACATATTAGCAAAAAGGGTCATCGTTTATATGGACTCAGCAGCTGTCTGGTAGGTGAGCAGCAAACCTGTTCAATTGTCTTCAGAGACTCTATTTGCTGGGTGAACTTGTCACTCAGTTCCTTTATCTTCTCATTATAGTTGATGTCCTTCAGACGGAGCTGATACTCATTCTCCATCTGCAGCTCCTCCAGGCGCATCCTCAGCTCCAGCATGTTCTGATTCTGCAGCACAGACAGCAGCACTGAACTTATCGGATTACACCAATATGTGTCCATGTTAAATGTCAAGCTCTCAGAATTTCCCTTCAAGGATCAATAAAGTTCTTTTTCTTCGTCTTCTCTGAGACAAACTGTAGTGAACTTAAAGTAAAAGTTACAAAACAAATACAAAAATGTATTATTATTATTTTTTTTATTTTATTTTTTATTTTTCACAGCTTAACAGATCCTCCGGTTGTTTTGAAACGTTTGGATCCACATACATTATGCCCCCCTTGGTAGGCACAGGAGGGTCCTGGATCATAGTGGAGTAAACATGCTCACTCTTATGGAATTTCAGGGGTGATCTGGATTTCTTTCACCATGCAAAGAAATCCAGACTACAGGTTTGATCCCTTTTTGACTCAGCAAATAAACTGCATGCATCGTGTGCAGAGGCTACAGCCCTTTGAGTGGCAGTGCACAGTTCAACCCCAATTTGACCCATGTAATTCCCTATTATCCTCCCTGTTTCCTCTCACAAAGGCATAAAAAGTGCTCCAATAAAAAAAAACACCACTTGAAAGAAAATGAGTAGTTGTTCACATGATGAGATAACGTGGTATAAGGGAATACTGACTTAGATTTTGGATAAAATATGTATCTGTGGGTGGACATGAAAATGTGTCACTGCTTGGTTTAGACAGATAAACAGTTCCTTATGACTAACCGCCTCTTTTTCCTTTATTTCTGTCTGAATATGCAACAGTATTTTAGCCCAGTGCCTGATGAGATAGGCTCAAAACTCTAGCCTAGAAAACAAAGTATTGGACTTGTGCATACTGATGAACTCTTCCAAGTATATGAGATATATTTATTTTAAAATACTGTCAACAAGCTATAAAAAGAGTTAAGATTTCCACTAAGAGACAGCTACTGGCTGCCATGGTAGACACACGGACCTTCTCCTCCAGGTCTGACTTGGTAACAAGGATCTCTTCAGTGTGGATGATCTGCCTGTTGCTTCTCAGTCCACGGCCCTCCTTATCAATTATCTTCCACATCAGCAGGCAGCCATCTTCAGAGACGGTCAGCAAGAGCTGCTCGTCAAATGTGATCGCCATCTGAGGACACACAAAGTTATGAACTTAGTTCTACAATTGCCGACATGACAAATTTAACTCAATGAGCATTTGTACGGTGGCCCTGAGGTGCAAAATGCAATGGTAAACCAGAAAACACAACACAAAAAGAGAAAACACAACGGCAAATAAGAAAACACAAAGACATTAACCATTGTGTTTTCTTTCTGTATTGTGTTTTTTCTTTTTCGTTTTTTTTCTTATTTTTCTTTGTGTTTTCTCTTTTTATGTTGTGTTTTCTCTTTTTGCGTTGTGTTTTCTTATTTGCCGTTGTATATCGCACCTCAGGGCCACCGTACATTTCAGGTCTTTGACCAACCTTTGTGACAGGACCACAGTGAGCCTGGTACATGATCCATTCCTTCTGGATAGGTAACGGGTATTTAATGGCTCTGATGGGTCCACTGGAAGTCCCAGTGAAGACAACCCTGCCAGAGTGAGACACTGCCACAGCCGTGTGAGCCACTTCATCACCGGGAACCTCTTTAATGACCTGTGCAACAACAGACCTAAATATTCAACTGAGCCTTGAAAGTTTGTTAATATGTGCTAAAAAAAAAAAAACAAACAAAAAAAAACACTGAAATGTTGGCTTTTGATTTATTAAATGTATGTAAATTAATCTATGCCCTACACGGTTTTATTGTCATTAGACGTGAGATAACGAAATGCAAATGATGCTCAGTTCCTCAACATTATGTAAAATAGTAGCATGCCTTGACCTGCTTTATATATTTTACAATATCAAAAATGAATCTTTATGTATTAAGAGATATGTTTCTGTTTTTTCTTCTCTCAACTTTTTAAAGCTCCCAAAAAGTTACTCTTGCAACCTCGAGGTAAAATGAGTGAAGATAAAGGTGAATGGCTCCACTTAAACCTTCTGCTCGTAGCAGCTTCTTTTGAAAATGTTTGGTATGTAGTGTGTCGTTTCTGACCTGACAATCTTGGATCTCTTTTAGCGTGAGGTCTGTTCCCACAGCTAGGATGGTTTTGTAGTCTGCAGAGAAGGCAACACCAGTGTAGCTGCAGGACTTGAGGACACTCTCAGACTCACGCTTGCCAGTTTGGATGTTCCACTCATACACTGCACCATCTACCCCACATGAAACAAGCTGGCTGTCATCCTGTCTCCATTCGACACCATGCACCTGCAAACAAAGTCTGTTCATTAATATTTCTTTTTGAAAAGTTATGTTGACCGCAGCAAAACTCTTTTTTTTGAAGGATTCAAAGAACTTTATTGTTATACCCCACACCTTTTACTGTCTCCACTCACCAAGCGCAAGTAAAATTATTCGCACCAATGAATTACATGTTGAGTCAATGCAATGACGCGATTTGACATTCCTACTCCTCTGGCGGCGCGAATGACGCAAATTGGGCGGAAGCTGAAAATGTCTAAACTTGGGCAGATATTTGCGTTGCGCTAACTAATCAGCATGAAGGTTGCCGGGTGATGTATTAAAACGGACTGTTGTTCACTGGTATCGAAAATGTAGGACAAACTGATCGTGTCGGAGTATGGGTGCCCCGAATTACATGATACCTTTTCTTTCAATTACCGAAACCAGAATAAAAAGGAGCTCACCTGGAGGGAGGCAAGTGCATGAGGAGGTCGGATTACCTGGTAATTTGTAAAAAAAACCCTTTGTCTATCACCTGATCCAGCTGGTTGAATTGGCAGGGATTAACGTTGAAATTACCGTGAGTAAATACTATTCATTCACGCGTATAGATTGTGAAGATCAAACAAGTAGATGATTTTACTTGCGCTTGGTGTGAGCGCCCCATTACAGTTTATGGTATGAAATTAGTACCCAGGTCTGTTTCCGAGCCAAAATACAATACAATATAATACAAAAGCAATCATAAAACTGTAAGAGCAAAAATAAAAATTAGCAAAAATTTACTCACTGCTAATTGTCTGCATAACTCACCTTTCCATTGTGGCCCTTGAGGTTGATAATAATCTCAAAAGAAAGGGTTGAGTAGATGTGGATGACGTTTCCATTGACAGCTGCAAACATGTGTCCACCATGGCTAAAAGCACACTAAAGGGTGGGGAGAGGAGATCAAACAAAAGCTCAGAGCAGAGAAGTGAATCGTGTGGCTGTGATGATCAAAACACATGCCTCACCTCTCTGCAGCCGCGCACAGTGAACTCCTTGAATGTGCAGATGTCATCAATCAGCAGGTTCATCAGCCGGAGTTTGTCTGAGAAGCCCACCAGGATGAAGAGGCCAGTGGGATGCAGAGCAACACTGTAGGCCTCCTCCTGGAACTCCTTGTACAGCTCCAACACTCTGGTGACAATCCATGGTAAGAGGCACAATTACTTTTAGCATGCCATGCTTTGTATCTACATCTATCTATCTACATTTAGAGCCATTTGGTGTTTATGGATACAAAAAACACTGAACAGAGACTTGCTGTCTTGTTTCATGTTAGATCAACTGTGCCACTTGATTGCTGGACCTGTCCTTCTCCCTGCTGGGCCTGCTATGTTTGTGTGCGTGTCTGTGTGTGTACGTTTGAAAATAAGAGTGTGTGTTTATTCATGAAGCCTCAACATGCACCTTTCTAATCCCTCAATCCAACACACTTCATCCTCTCTCTTGTGGGAACCGTGGTATATTTTTTTATACTCTAACCCAGGTAAAAATTGGGGACACGTTTAACAAATACACAGCTTTGAGGACCCAAGAAATGATTTGACAACATGGACAAGATGGTGACTGGCTGCAGCTGCAAAAGCAGGATCCGCAGAAGACGTCGGATATAAACGATTTCTACCGACTTTGCAAAGTCAACTGCAGAATTAACGGCGTTCTGAATGAACGGCGCTTTGAAAAGTCCCGCAGCATGTGTTAGACGTCACCATCTACACATGGACCAATCGGGGGCTGCCTTTCCCTGTTGTCCGGGGAACAGTGGAAACACAGTCGCTGCTTGGCCCGGTTATTTTCTGATCGCTAATACACGCTCCCAATGCGCCGAAGTCCAGACTGTTGTGGGAAGGAACGGCAAGTGATTCACGCAACAGGATGGCCCAGCCAGGCTAGGATTCTATGTTGGCCACTCGAGATATTTTTCAATATATATATTTTCAACATATCATCATATAATTCTTTTGGCACTGAACCCAGACTGAAACAGTAGGAAGCTCCTCTATCTTGAGGAGCTGGGAAAGGTATTGGTGAGACTTCAAATCCAGAGAAGGCATCATCTCCCAAGAACACTTACGGAATCCCAGCCTCTGCAGTCATTTTAAGAAGGATTCAGGAGGAGGATGGATGGGGGTTTAAGATCTGCAAAATTACAGATCTTTGTATTGTACTCATTCTGGGCTGCAGCCAGTAGCAACACAAAAAGTTGCTGCTCTGTAAGTGGACCGAAGACAGACAGGCAGACTCAGTATACGTGCATCAAGTGCAAGAAATACAGATGTAACACACACACACACCTTGAAGCTGTGCCCCTCACGTGTTACATAGACTGGCATAAAAGGCTGAAAAAGATACTATATCTGTTCGTTGAGGCTCCTGTCGTGTAGACCGACATATTCATTTTATGCTAAAAAACTTGTTGCATTTTTATTAATAAAATTGATCCAACACGAGGGGTTCCTAAGTTAACATAAGTACCTGTGTTTTTTACCTAAATTTGGCTGTGCTGATTTAGAAACCTTTGATGTAGTGAGTCCACCAGACCCGGAAACATGGGTGGAGTAACAAAACCTTTTAGGCTGCACGAGGGTTAAAAACACTTGACAGAGACGTCATGACCAAGGTTTGTCTTTTACTTTGTTTTATAGTTCCAGATGCGAACAGAGTGATCCAGCGAGCTGGTGGCGATGAGGGGTTTTCGAACACAGATGGACAACCCAGTGATAGATTTCGAATGAAAGGACTGGGACAGGAACTCGAAATGGTGCCCCTAATAAAGAAAAACAGAACACAGTCACCTGGAGGATTCAGAGATCAAGCCTCTTTGATGAGACTTAAATGGAGGTCATTTTCATCTCTTTTGATGTTGGAAATGAAGTCAGCGTTACTACTGGCAGGTGTGATTGTTATACCTTGCTCTCTTCCACGGTGGACAGGCTGTAGCTGTAGAGCTGTCCTCTGTTTGTGCTGATGGCAAGAGTCTTCTCTGCTGGACTGATGCACATTGTGTCAATCACCTGGCATTCAGCTGGGGTCATCTCACTGCAGTTTGGGTCTGAAGGGATCTAACAGAAAAATGTACACATGTATATTTATGAACATACACAGAGCTTTTTGTGGTATTGCAGCCTAAAAATGTACCTTTATCTCCTTGATTCTTTTGTAACCATCCTCCTCATTCTTTTCAAAAAGGTAGACAGTGCCGGGCCCAAAGGAGCAGGCAAAACCCTTTGAGTACGACACAATGGCTGTGATATGAGGTACGCTGGGATCTTCACTCACATCAGTGTCTCCGATCTTCCTCACCTGTGGGTGCCTGAGTAGCAAATTAACACAATTTATAACAGTGAGCTTCTGCAAAAACAGAGATCAGTCAAGGCCCACTTCGATGATTGATATATAATGCAAAGTTTGCACAGTGAAGGAAGCTGACAACAGGATTTCAATATACTCTGACAACACAAAATCTACCAGCTCATTTCAACCTTTATCATTTACCGTAGAAAAATACGTACCAGGACACACATTGATGACTAACAAGTGGAGCTAAGACTAAGATACTCAGATAAGATGAAAAAAAGTGATTGATTATATTTGTGAAAATCTTATGTGGTCAATGCTCTGACCTGTCGGACTGATCTTGCACAGCCTTAGAGGCCAAGTTGATCTCTCTTCTGAGGTCCCCAGACTCAAACATCAGCAGCCTGCCTGTGTCTGTTCCTGCCATCACATGCTCTGCTGTCATCCAGGCATGACACAGGAAGTTGATGGACTCCACCTTTGGGAAGCTGCTCTGTTTCAGGGCTCCCTCTGAGTATCGGAAAAGCTTGAACACACCGGTTCCACTCACACAGAGCTGCATGTTGTTGTAGGGGTTGAAGCTGACCTGATAGGACATAAATGATACAGGAGAACTCGCTCAGTGCGTGCATGCCCGTATGTTAAAGGAGACATGGCTGCATTGATACTGCATGTTTGACTCACCTGGGTAACGGGATTGCTTGAGTTACTCGTCTTCACCGTTGCCAAGACTTTCTGCTTTTCCCAAAGCCAGAAAAACAGCATCCAATCCGGGCCACCAGTTTGGGCTATAAGGTACTTAGAATCAGGAGAGAAAGCCATACACACAAACTCTTGAACCAGCAATTCTCCTGTGGTGAGGACTTTTCTTCTTCTGCCCTGTTCATACTGCAGGTCAAACACTGTGATAGTGGCCCTCTCGCCACTCTCTGACACTGCCAGGTAACGCCGGTTGGCGCTGACAGCCAGAGCATGCATGCCCTGGCTTTTCTCTGAACCTGTAGACACAACATCACTGTAAATAACAGACCAGAAGATGGTGGCAGATAAATGTGGTGTCTAATTAAGTTCATTTGCAAAATATGCACAATGTGATTGTAGTTAGACTACCAGCAAACAACTAACAAAACTTGCTTTAAGCTTATTTCACTTTTTCCAGATAATTTACCAAAGGAAACACAGCAGCTGGGTTTATACGGGAAATAATCGGAGTATCTCAAAAGGCACGATAAAAGACCATAAAAAACAGTTATTCATCTTACCTGGAATGAACCGCTGGAGATTTTGCACAGTGTTATAGCAGACACAGCTGTTTCCACTCGGAAACACGACAGTTTGTTCATCCGTAAAACTTAAATTGTTACTCACACCTGTCCTGACACCGAAAATAAAGTGGGGCTGTGCTACAACAGCAGCCATTTTTGATTTCAAGTTACGAGTTTGCAAAGTCAGCCCGTCGATTTAAAACATTAACAGAGTTAATATGAGAAATTCTTCCACTCCTTCCATTAATTTGGCTTTGAAAGCCAGAAAGGACCAACACTAGGCTCTGCTGGTGGGATTCGAGTCCGGTCGCTAAGCAACCCAGGAAGTCCCGCGACAACGTGGAAACCTTCAGGCTCACAGCACTGTGATGCATCGTCTCGCGGTACTTCGGGGACTGTCGGTAACGTACCCTTAAAATACGTCCTGCAAGGAACTTCTGCTCCTTTTAAAGTGTAATTGGCAGAAGAGACAATTCGGGCAGAAGAGACAATTCGGGAGAAAGCCAGAGCTATCTCTAGCGGTAAAATAGAAGTGATTGGGCTGGTATTTTAAAGGTTTAAAGTAGTTACGGCTGAATTTACGTCCTCTGTCCAGACGTGACATTTGAACTATTGCACTTACTGTTTGGACTGTCGCTTATTTCATTGGGGCTATGAGAGGAAAGCAGGAAAGCAGGTTGGACATCATTTTCCGTATGACCATATGAACAAGGTCAGTGTAAGGTTTGGAGTCATTATCAAATTCTTATTGACAAGTAATTGAAATTTCTTCTGGGTCATCTATTTTTGCCAACAAGAAAGAGAGAGACAGGGAGAGAGAGAGATTTCTTGTTTGCATGGTGAATTGGTTAACTAATTTACATGCAGACAGGGACTTATTTCTCTCAAACACAGATAAACTCTCACCAAACTTCATATTTTGACTAATTTGAACACGTCTTGTGGAAAATCCCCCCTTCCTCTCTGACTCTCCTACCTGACTCCAGGCTCCCTGCACGGGAGGAGGAGCCCCAGAGTCATTAAAGGCAGCCAGCTCACCTGCCGCAAAGTCTCCCTGGGATCACTGGAGACAATGGAGCTGGCCGACAGAGAGAAACACCACCAGTAGCATTGACTGTGTGCTTACCCTGTGAGTTTCCTTTGTTTCAGTTGTTATATAACCCATCTTTGATTTATTATCCTGAATTAAATAAAATTTTATGGTTAAGAAAGGATGTTTCTGCTACACAAACCATTGAGCTGAACTCCACCTTAAACCCTAACCATTAACGGTCAAATATATAATATTGTTAAATTTCTGTTCGACATCAGATTGTCTTGATCCAGCTATTGTATAGTTTTACTAGTTTTACTTGTCTGGCAGGAAAATGCTATTGCCAAAAAAAAAAAAAAAAAAAAAAAAAGCAGTTGAATAAAAATAATAATAATAATACTTATTATTATTGTTGTTGTTGTTGTTGTTGTTCTTCTTCTTCTTCTTCTTCTTCTTATTATTATTATTATTGACCCTTATTTTATGACCCTTTTTTAAAACCTGAGTCAGTATGGCAGGGTGTAAGAATGGAGTCAGCTGTTTCTTATCTGTGCATGCAACACTGTTTTTAAATAAGGATTTTTAAAATTGTAAAATTTTGTTTCCCATACATCACCATTTGTATGAAGAGATAAACGTGAAACATGAGGATAAAAATAGTTTTTATGATAAATGCACTAAACTTCATGAAATCTTTGTTTCTTTTTGTTTTTTTATTATTATTATTTTTTTTAGAGTTTGAGGTAGAGGCTCCAGTTGTTTTAAGGTTGTTTGACTTGGAGGTGCTCTAAGCAGCTGTCTTTCCTATCATAACTCTGGAGGTTTCTGGCAAAGGTTGGAGTTGCAGCGAGGAGCCCAAATTGTAGCCAGGGAGAGCAGGTGGACTTAACAGGTCATTTCAGGCAGGTGAAGATGACTGCAGGCTGCTGGAAGAGGCCTATGAGATGGATCAATGAAGAAAAAATATCTGCACAGTCAGAAGCTAGCAACAACAGTCAGACACAGGTGACGTCTCCAGGTGGTAAAGTTAAAGTTAATTAATGGACATTAGAAGACCGTAACAACTCCTGAACTTGTGGTAAAAGGGCACATATGTAACTGTATTTTTATTTTGTATGGACACTTTAAGTTTGTGGATTTATCTGGTGCTTAACAAATTCCTTTCTCTGTGTCTTTCATGGTGTTTGCTGGTGAGAAGAAGAGAATGAATACAAACCTCAGCTGGAGCGTGGCTTTTCTGTACCAGAAGAAAAACTTAAGGAAGAATTGCTCACAGAGACTTAAGTTTGATGATATCAGAAGAAGCTGTCTTTCATATTGCACAGGTGGAGGTAAGGCTCCAAAGGCTGTTGGCATAGGCTTCAGGCATGGCATTGTTAATGCTCTTTTTTTTTTAAAAAAAAAAAAAAAAGGTTTTTACCATTAAAGGAGAAAAAAAAATCTGAACTAATAGGGATTTCCTTCCCTGTTAAAATATAACTGGTTTATCACACCTGAGTTCAATGTAGCCACACCCAGGCCTGATTACTGCCACACCTGTTCTCAGTCAAGAAATCCATTAAATAGGACCTGCCTGACAACAAAGTAAAGTAGACCAAAAGATCCTCAAAAGCTAGACATCATGCTGAGATCTAAAGAAATTCAGGAACAAATGAGAGAAAGAAATTAAAACCTATCAGTCTGGAAAAGGTTATAAAGCCATTTCTAAAGCACAACAACTACTCATCCAAGAGGTCACAAAACAACAACAAAAACATCCAAAGACCTGCAGACCTCACTTCCCTCAGTTAAAGTCAGTGTTCATGACTCCACCATAAGAGACTCTGGGCAAAAGCAGCCTGCATGACAGAGTCACAAGACGGAAACCACTGCTGAACAAAAGAACATTAAGGCTCGTCTCAATTTTGCCAGAGAACTGATTTTAAAAGTGTTCACGTCTGATTTTAAAACTTTCTAACCTACTGTGCATGTTATCAAAATAAAAAACTGACCTCCAGAGAAAAGTTTTTGATTCCATTTAAACAAAACTTTATTTAAAAACAGAGTCAAGTTGACAAGTTTTACCAAACACAATCACGGTATTTCACTGTCAGAGAGTTATTGACTCAGACAAATTATGTGAAAAGTTAGTTATATGTGTAATACAAATGCAAAAAAACACGGAGCAGAGAGAGGAATAAAGCATGACAGAAAAATGAACAAAATAAAGACAAAGCAATATGAGCAAAATAGAATATGTGCATCCAAAAAGATGACATTTAAGACAAGCTTTGTGTACAGAGTGAGTTTGGTGGAGGTAGAGATGAAAAACCAGCTGGGGAAAAATATTGAAGGAAAAAAAACCCCAGTGGATAAAAAGCTCTCTACATGCTGTCACAGTTTCAGCCTCCATTTAACAAAGTTTAAGCCATAAATGAAGCTCAGATTAAACATTTAGTTTTACAAATATAATGAGAAAGCAAATTCAGTACAACACAAAAACCACCTGGTTACAATTGTAAGAAGACTCTACTAGCTGTAGATCTTACAGGTTTGCACCAAAGAAACTCAAATGTTAGCAAGTTTAACAACACATCATCTGGTCAAACAGATGAATAATTTATAATAGATTCATCAGTACAGAACTATCCTCTATGACCCTTGTGTCACAGACAGGTCATCCATCTTCATCACTGGGTCCTCAGTCGAGACTCGAGTATCCTCCTGTAAATGAAGAAAACTGTCATGAGTGAATATTCTGCCTCGTTTTCATTTAGTTTTCTATCAGTCAGAAAAGGTCTCAGTGATAATCCTATAATGTCAATAATACTGATAATGTCAGCGATATAAAGGTGGAGGAGATCTATAAAGTGACAGTGACACAGCAAAGCTTGCACTCTTCATGGGTTGTGGGGGTTTATCTATGCCCATCGAGTAAAAACATCCAACTATCATCATCTTAACGGACTCATCTGTTAGAAGGATTTAAGAAAGCTGCCCATGTGTGCTCCTCAAAGTAGAGCCTGAAAGAGAAAGGCGCACTCACCATGTCCTGAGTAAGGGTTTTCTGGACGAGGTTGAAGGTCTACGGGCTCACAGTGAGACAGGAAGTCCGCCTGCAGGGTGGTGACTACAGAAGGCAGACAGGGATCAGATCCAGTTAGTGGACTGTTAACATCAATTTATCACCATAAAACTTTGACTGAAATAAGCAAGACCACTTGCAAAGATTGACTTACCTCTAAACAGGGGACCAAGTCTTTGTCTTCATTCTTCAGCCGGTTCCTGGAGCAAGAGAGGGTCATCGACGTCTCGGTGTAGTCCTAAAACAAAAGGACAAATTTATTCTTTAGACCGGCACAGTTTTTAACCTATAAGTGAATCATTCTCTGTTTTATGTACCGGTTTCTCTGGGATGGTGCCCACGGCATCTGGTAGAGTCTGATGGTGTCCAGAGGCAGGTTTCTGTGCTGGTGCAGACTTCAGTTAAAGGGGTCCAGAATGAAGAAGATCCGTCCCTCAAAGAGGGCAAAGCACTGGTGTTTGGGAGAGATTAAAATTGGCAGGGGTTAGGAAATCTGGATGCATCAAATAAAACTGCTGTACCAGTTTTTTTTTGTAGGTGGTGGAATCTGTACTCCATGCTCACCTGTAACCCAGTATGCAGGAGCTCAGAGTCCAGCAGGTGATGGGGTCTGCCAGGGTCTTCTTGGATGTAGACTGTAACAACACAAGATAGATTTTGGAGAAGCAGAAAGATGGGTCACTACATTGGAAACAGACTTAAAAGATTCAACAGACAGATTTAAAATCAATTTTCTCTTAGGCGTCTACAAACCCCCAGAAAAGCTGGAGTGTTTGGACCTCGGTGAAAACAACTACAAGAACTTTGAAAAGTTTCTCAAAATCATTAAAAGAGAACTTCAGAAACCTTCAGCTTGACGGTGACTCTTAAAAACTTCCCAGTCTGGATGGAGGAGCAGCTCATCGAAGTGGGGCAGCATCAGATCCTCCCAGGACCTGGTGGTGGTCAGCACATCCAACGCCACGGCTCGACACCTCCGTCATGTTTAGGGGAAAAGCAGAGACATACATGTGCAGCCAAAGGGAGGCATAAAAACCTCGTACAGAATAACAGGACACAAAAAACCATGACAAGTACAGATCTCAGATTTTCACAGAGACTGGAGGGTCAAAAAGAAACAAAACAACAACAAAAAAATAAATAAAACAAACATCTTAGATTTTTACAGACTGGAGGGTCAAAAAGAGAGAAACAAACAAAAAAAAAAACCCTAAAAAAAAAAAAAAACAGACATTTTATGGTAACAGTTCATTGTCCCCCTCATGTTAGTTGAAGCTGTAGAGGAGATGTGGGTGAGGCCTGAAGTTGAAGTTGAGGTTGTCCTTGTTGAGTTGGTTTCCTTTTGGAGAACTGAGTGAACTTTGCTGATTTGTTGTTTCCTTAAGAGTTGTTGTTTTGCTTTTTGCGTTTTGGATTTTGTTTGTTTTTTTTTACTGATGGGCTCAGCAAGTATTTGGTAAAACTTGCAACTGACATTTTTGCAGTTTTTTGTGTCAACCAAGTTTCATGAAAACAGAAATAACCTTTTTAGAGTCATAAAACCCTTTTTAACCTTGAGTGATGCTGAACCATTCTCTGGTTGGTTGTGAATTTTCTTTTTTTGGTTTGGTTTTTATTTAGTGTTTTCAGCATTTCTTGATTTTTTGACTGTTGTCGTTAAGCTTTTGAGTTAGCTTTTGGTTTTCCCTTGTGTCATTGAAAGCACCATTTAAACCTTGTATTACCATTGTGTCCCTGTGGGCACCACTTAAACCTTGTTGATTTGCCCTTTTGTCATTGAAAGCACCATTTAAACCTTGTTGTTGGGTCACTGAAAGCACAATTTAAACCTTGTTTGTGTTACCATCATGTCCCTGAAAGAACCTCATGAACCATGTTGTTCGTTTCCATATTGTCTTTGAAAGCATCGTTGTGAACTTTGTTGGTTTGTGGTTGTGTGGCTGAAAACACTTTTTAAACCTTGTTTTTGGTTTGATTGTTGTGTTTTTGATCGTTGAAGCTTGTGTTGTTGCATCTTTGGAAACACCGACCCAGCCTTACATGTTATCAACATAAAAACAGGCATAGATCGAGCTTAGGTGGGCCTTAACTTTGGGAAAACAGCTGAAGCACACCCATGTTACCTTGCGCCTTTGTGAAAACGATTAATGATCAGAGAAAAGTTGTTTCTGGAGTTGAAGCATTCAGACTTTTGGGTGACAATAGGACAGTGTGGTGTTCCCTGTCTCATCTTACCTGCAGCACAAGGATGTCTGACTTCGTCTCTTTAGAGGTGATCTAGATCCTTCCTGAAGACATTGGTGGTTGCCAGCTTCAACACTGAAGATGCTCACTTCTGTGATGGTTGGGGAAAAGGAGAGAGACACACATACAAATGCAGAAAATACTCGACTTAAAAACAGTGAAGGTGAGGTGCAGCATTAGAAAATCTGTTTGAAACTGAATATGGATGAAGTTATCAGAATGCAGGATTTGGTTTCTTACATGCTTTCTTGTGGTTACTTTGGTGAAAACATAACGTTACCACAATGAAAAGTTCATCTTACCTTCAACAAGATGACCACCCTTGGATTTCCCAGACAGAACAGGAAGGTGGCACTTTGAGTTTCTGCAGCAACTGTTCCTCCAGGAAAAGAGTGGTCACCTCGTCAGACCTGCTCATGTTCGGAGGAAAGCAGACATACATATGCACCAAAAGAAACATGGCCAAACATACAGAAAATAAATAAGTTTAAGAAAAAAAAAAAAAAATGTACAACACATGCAGATCATGACAAGCACAGTTCAAGGATTCCATTTCAGAGATTCAAAAGGTTCACAAAAATACAAAGAATAAATAAAAATAAGAAAAACTACAGTTTTAACAAAAACAGTTGGAGGATCTACACAGTTTGTTTATTGTCCTCGTTCTGTTTAGTGTTGACAGTTACATCTGATAGAAACACTGTGCAAACGTTGCTGTCTTGTCGTTGTTTCAGTTGGATCCTTTGGAAGCACTTTGACGGTTGTTGCGATGTTGGTGGTTTTGAAACTTAGTTTTGGTTGATAGTGATTTTGCTGAAGTTGCTTTGACAGACCTTTTGAGAGCAGACTTTTAACATACCGTCTTTGCTTGTCTAAGAACCAGTTTTTTTAAGCACCTTTTAAACCTTGTATTTTGGGTTTAAGATCAAGGCCTTGGAAGCACCTTTGAAAACTTTTTTAGGGTTTGAGGTAAAGTATTTGAAAGCACCTTTTGAAGCTTTTTGCGTTCGAGACTAAGGCTTTGAAAACACCTTAAAAATTTCTTTTGTTTAAAATCAAATCTTTGAAAGCACCTTTCAAACCTTTTTGTTTGTTTGCGATCAATCCTTGAAAAACAACTTTTCAGCCCTTTTTTGTTTGAGTACAAGTCTTGGAAAGCACCTTTTTTTTGAAGCCTTTTTTGAGAACAAGTCTTTGAAAGCACCTTTAGAACCTTGTTTCTGGGTTTGAGATCAAGTCTTTCAAAGCACCTTTTTAAGAACCTTGAATTTGGTTTGAGATCAAGATTTTTAAAGCACCTTTTGAACCTATTTTGGTTTGAGATCAAGATTTTCAAAGCACCTTTTTAAGAACCTTTTTTTTGTATGAAATCATACCTTGAAAAGCACCTTGTGAACCATGTTATTGGTTTGAGAACAAGTCTTTGAAAGCACCCTTTAAACCCTTTTGTGTGGGTACAAGTCTTTGAATGCACCTTTTTTTGAAGCCTTTTTTTGAGAACAAGTCTTTGAAAGCACCTTTAGAACCTTGTTTCTGGGTTTGAGATCAAGTCTTTCAAAGCACCTTTTTAAGAACCTTGAATTTGGTTTGAGATCAAGATTTTTAAAGCACCTTTTGAACCTATTTTGGTTTGAGATCAAGATTTTCAAAGCACCTTTTTAAGAACCTTTTTTTTGTATGAAATCATACCTTGAAAAGCACCTTGTGAACCATGTTATTGGTTTGAGAACAAGTCTTTGAAAGCACCCTTTAAACCCTTTTGTGTGGGTACAAGTCTTTGAATGCACCTTTGGAACCATGTTTCTGGGTTTGAGATCACATCTTTTAAAGCACCTTATTAGAACCTTGTTTTTGGTTTGAGCTCAAGTTTTTTAAAGCACCTTTTGGACCTTGCATTTGGTTTGAGATCAAGATTTTGAAAGCACCTTTCAAGCCTTTTTTGGTTTGAGATTAAGATTTTGAAAGCACCTTTTGAACCATTTTTTTGTTTGAGAACAAGTCTTTGAAAGCACTTTTGGAACCATGTTTCTGGGTTTGAGATCACATCTTTTAAAAGCACCTTATTAGAACCTTGTTTTTGGTTTGAGATAAAGATTTTGAAAGCACCTTTTGGACCTTGCATTTGTTTGAGATAAAGATTTTTAAAGCACCTTTCAAGCCTTTTTTGGTTTGAGATCAAATTTTTGAAAAGCACCTTTTTAGAATTTTCTTTTTTGTCTTGAAATCATACCTTGGAAAGCACCTTCTGAACCATGTTTTTGAGTTTAAGAACAAGTCTTTTGAAAGCACCTTTTTTAAACCCTTTACTCTAAGAACAAGTCTTTGAAGGCACCTTCTGAACCATGTTTCTGGGTTGAGAACAAGTCTTTGAAAGCACCTTTCAAACCTTTTTTTGAGAACAAGTCTTTGAAAGCACCTTAAGAACCATGTTTCTGGGTTGAGAACAAGTCTTTGAAAGCACCTTGGGAACCTTGTTTTTTAGTTTGAAATCAAGTCTTTTAAAAGCACCTTAAGAACCTATTTCTGGGTTTGGATCAAGTCATGAAAGCACCTTTTGAACCATGTTTCTGGGTTGAGAACAAGTCTTTGAAAGCACCCCTCAAACCTCTGAGTTTGAAATCAAGATGATCACATCTAAAAATAAGGTGATCACCTACCCTCAGAAAGATGACCAACCTTACAGCAGAATCCATGTCAATGTTGTCACGGTGTTCTTCAAGTTCTCGTTGTCCTTCTTGTAGTTCCTCTGGATCTGTTGGTCTTAATTCGTGAGGTTTTTGCAGTTTTAACATTAGCATGATCCTGATACTATGAAAGAATAGGAGTTTAACTGGACATATCAATAAAGCACAGTCGAATACTGTGCACTTGACAAGTTTAGCTGGGTTCATTTTCAGCATAGTTATCCTTACAGTTTTGACAGCTGTTACTGCCACTGCATCAAAGTTAACATTACTGGTTTTTCATTTTCATGTCACTCCAGAGTAAAAAAAACATTTTATCATTAAGGTTTTTTTGGAGTGTGATCATCATATTGAAGTCAAATGTAAAAGGAAAAAAAACAGACCCAGTCCTGTTCAGAGGTTTGGGCGTTGACACACAGGGTCCACCATCAGGTCTTCTTCTACTCCTTCAGTTCTTCTGAATGGTCTTCTTGTTCTCCGTGATAGTGCTGCTGAGAAAAAGCTTTGATTGTTTGGTTTATGCCATTTTTTGATTGAGTAGAGGCAATTTATTTTTAGGCTTGAAGGTGCTCTTGTTAGATTAGGTGCTTTTGTCAAATTAGAAAGGTGCTTTTGACATACCTTTTTGAGACCAGACTTTTTAACATACCGTCTTTGCTTGTTCAAGAACCAGTTTTTGAAAGAAACCTTTTAAAACTTTTTTGTTTTTAAGATCAAGTCTTTGGAAGCAACTTTTACAAATCTTTGAAGAGCTTGAAATCAAGTCTTTGAAAGCACGTTGAGAACCTATTTCTGGGTTTGGATCAAGTCATGAAAAGCAACCTTTGAACCTTGTTTCTGGATTTGAGATCAAGTTTTGGAAAACACCCCTCAAACCTTTTTTTTTTTTGAGTTTTAAATCAAGATGATCACATCCACAAACAACGAGATGTTCACCTACCCTCAGAAAGATGACCAACCTTACAGCAAAAGCCATGTCAACGTTGTCATGCTGTTCTTGAAGTTCTCGTTGTCCTTCTTGTAGTTCCTCTGGATCTTGTCTTAACTTTTGAGGTTTTTGCAGTTTTAACATTAGCATGATCCTAATACTATTCAAGAATCGAAGTTTAGCTTGACAAATCAATAAAGCACAGTCGAATACTGTGCACTTGACAAGTTTAGCTGGGTTCATTTTCAGCATAGTTATCCTTACAGTTTTGACAGCTGTTACTGCCACTGCATCAAAGTTAACATTACTGGTTTTTCATTTTCATGTCACTCCAGAGTAAAACAAACATTTTATCATTAAGGTTTTTTTGGAGTGTGATCATCATATTGAAGTCAAATGTAAAAGGAAAAAAAACAGACCCAGTCCTGTTCAGAGGTTTGGGCGTTGACACACAGGGTCCACCATCAGGTCTTCTTCTACTCCTTCAGTTCTTCTGAATGGTCTTCTTGTTCTCTGTGATAGTGCTGCTGAGAAAAAGCTTTGATTGTTTGGTTTATGCCATTTTTTGATTGAGTAGAGGCAATTTATTTTTAGGCTTGAAGGTGCTCTTGTTAGATTAGGTACTTTTGTCAAATTAGAAAGGTGCTTTTGACATACCTTTTTGAGACCAGACCTTTTTAACATACCGTCTTTGCTTGTTCAAGAACCAGTTTTTGAAAGAAACCTTTTAAAACTTGTTTTTTGTTTTTAAGATCAAGTCTTTGGAAGCAACTTTTACAAATCTTTGAAGAGCTTGAAATCAAGTCTTTGAAAGCACGTTGAGAACCTATTTCTGGGTTTGGATCAAGTCATGAAAAGCAACCTTTGAACCTTGTTTCTGGATTTGAGATCAAGTTTTGGAAAACACCCCTCAAACCTTTTTTTTTTTTGAGTTTTAAATCAAGATGATCACATCCACAAACAACGAGATGTTCACCTACCCTCAGAAAGATGACCAACCTTACAGCAAAAGCCATGTCAACGTTGTCATGCTGTTCTTGAAGTTCTTGTTGTCCTTCTTGTAGTTCCTCTGGATCTTGTCTTAACTTTTGAGGTTTTTGCAGTTTTAACATTAGCATGATCCTAATACTATTCAAGAATCGAAGTTTAGTTTGACAAATCAATAAAGCACAGTCGAATACTGTGCACTTGACAAGTTTAGCTGGGTTCATTTTCAGCATAGTTATCCTTACAGTTTTGACAGCTGTTACTGCCACTGCATCAAAGTTAACATTACTGGTTTTTCATTTTCATGTCACTCCAGAGTAAAACAAACATTTTATCATTAGGGTTTTTTTGGAGTGTGATCATATTTAAGTCAAATGTAAAAAGAAGAAAAAAACAGACCCTGTTCAGAGGTTTTCTTCTACCTGGGTACTGGTCCAGGTGTAGCGCAGACATCTTCACCCTGCTTCTTCCAAGTCTTTCTGGTGTCACCATGCTGCTCCACATCATTCTTCATATATCTTCAGGTTGTACTTGCTGACTTAGCTCACAGCACTTTGCACAACTTACAATCAATAGAAATCCTAAACTGGTCTAAAAGGTCAAAATAAAGCACAGCAAAATACTGTGCACTAGAGTTTAGCAGGGTTTGTTTTCAGTCTAATTATCCTTACAACAGCCTTGAATCCCTATCTTTGTAACAGCCACTGTAATTAACATTACTGGGTTTTCATTTTCATAATCACTCATTTTAAGAGTGAAAACAACAGTTTCAAGACAAATTAGGGGAAAAAAAAAACAAGCAGTATGAAAAAAATCAACCTTGAAGATCTTCACACCTTTTGAGATCTTATATCTTCAAGTTGTACCTTCTGCGTTAGCTCACAGCACTATGCACAATTTACAATCAATAGAAATCCTAAACTGGTCTAAAAGGTCAAAATAAAGCACAGCAAAATACTGTGCACTAGAGTTTAGCAGGGTTTGTTTTCAGTCTAATTATCCTTACAACAGCCTTGAATCCTTATCTTTGTAACAGCCACTGTAATTAACATTACTGGGTTTTCATTTTCATAATCACTCATTTTAAGAGTGAAAACAACAGTTTCAAGACAAATTAGGGAAAAAAAAAAAACAAGCAGTATGAAAAAAATCAACCTTGAAGATCTTCACACCTTTTGAGATCTTATATCTTCAAGTTGTACCTTCTGCGTTAGCTCACAGCACTATGCACAATTTACAATCAATAGAAATCCTAAACTGGTCTAAAAGGTCAAAATAAAGCACAGCAAAATACTGTGCACTAGAGTTTAGCAGGGTTTGTTTTCAGTCTAATTATCCTTACAACAGCCTTGAATCCCCATCTTTGTAACAGCCACTGCGGCTCCTGTTTCCATCATTAACATTACTGGGTTTTCATTTTTGTTGTCATTCATTTCAAGAGTGTCAAAATAAAGCACAGCAAAATACTGTGCACTTGAGTTTAGCAGGGTTTGTTTTCAGTCTAATTATCCTTACAACAGCCTTGAATCCTTATCTTTGTAACAGCCACTGTAATTAACATTACTGGGTTTTCATTTTCATAATCACTCATTTTAAGAGTGAAAACAACAGTTTCAAGACAAATTAGGGAAAAAAAAAACAAGCAGTATGAAAAAAATCAACCTGGTCTGTGCATCGGGCATCCATTCCTCGTTGAAGATCTTCACACCTTTTGAGATCTTATATCTTCAAGTTGTACTTGCTGCGTTAGCTCACAGCACTATGCACAACTTACAATCAATAGAAATGCTAAACTGATCTAAAAGGTCAAAATAAAGCACAGAAAAGTACTGTGCACTACAGTTTAGCAGGGTTTGTTTTCAGTCTAATTATCCTTACAACAGCCTTGAATCCCTATCTTTGTAACAGCCACTGCGGCTCCTGTTTCCATCATTAACATTACTGGGTTTTCATTTTTGTTGTCATTCATTTCAAGAGTGTCAAAATAAAGCACAGCAAAATACTGTGCACTTGAGTTTAGCAGGGTTTGTTTTCAGTCTAATTATCCTTACAACAGCCTTGAATCCTTATCTTTGTAACAGCCACTGTAATTAACATTACTGGGTTTTCATTTTCATAATCACTCATTTTAAGAGTGAAAACAACAGTTTTAATACAAATTAGGGGGGAAAAAAACAAGCAGTATGAAATAATCAACCTGGTTGGTGTCCTTCAAATGGGTCCTTCGTCGGGGAAATTTGAGGTAGTTTGGGGCGACGAGGAGGAGTATCCACTTGGGCAGAGAAACGCTGCTTTCCAAAAACGCATTGCAAAAATCAGACCTTGTGACGCATCCCGACTATTTTAAAGCTTCCCTCAGGAAGTTTAATTTTAATTCGAGTGAACTCTCATTTTTGTTTTGGTAAATTTGTTGATTTACACGTTTTTGAGGACGGAGTTGCTATTTTCTTTAATGAAATCTGATAGTAGACTTGTTTTGGGGGTCTATGTTGCTGCACTGGTTGATCGTTAATAGTGGGGATTCTTGTTTTTGTGGTTTTGGAAGAGAACAGTTTCTCTCCACAATTGCATCACCAAAACAGAGCAAAACTAGACAAAAATCTGCTTCTCTGGAAGAGAACAGTTTCTCTCCACAATTGCATCACCAAAGCAGACCAAAACTAGACCAAAACCTGCAACCCCAGAAGAGAACACTTTCTCTCCACAATTGCATCACCAAAACTAGACCAAAACCTGCTACTCGGGCAGAGAACAACTGCACTGCTTGATTGTTGATGGTGGGGTTCTTGTTTTTGTTGGTGCGGTTGTTGTCAAACCAAAAGCAAACTGACCTCCAGTGTCCCTCGTTGATGGTCTGTCCGTGGAGTGAAGTAGTCAGTATCTTACCTTACAGGGTCCAGGCGTTGGACGGTCATGAGTTCTGCCTCAGTTTGACTTGATCCGGCGTAATTTCAGCTCCTGGTTAACACACAGAGAAATACACAACCATCAAACCTTAAGTCCTGAATGTAAGACTCAGAATTAAAAACCTTGACCTCTTTGACCTCCTTCAATAATCAGCTTTCACACAATTTTATGAGTTCAGACCTATTTTAAATACTTTACAATAACTACAATTTATAAATGGTAAATTGATAATTAAAGTTTAATCATCATTTAAAAACAGCCTATAGACCAATTATAAATGCCAAATAGATAGTTTTTATGTAAGTTAATTGTTACTTTAATGATTGATAATTCTCATTAATTATTAATGGACTATTTATTAAAGGTTTATATAGGGTTTAAATATTGGTTTTAAAACATCTAGATTAAAATGTGTGTCAGTACATGGTTAATATTTGTTTCTTAAACCATCTATAAACATTACTTGATGGTTATTGTAAAGTTGTAACTGATGTTTGTAATACTTTGTAAATTATTAATAATTGGTTTATAAACCACCTATAAACATTATTTAGATGTTTATAGTAGCGCTAGGGTAAGGTTTTCATAAAATTGACAATTTATTTATGGCCTATATGCTATTTATAAATGATTTAAATATTAATAAACTATCTGCTTACCATTCATAAATGGTTAATTAACCAATTATGGTTATTGTAAAGTGTTACCAGTCATTTTAAACAGCTCATGTTTGCATCATGGTTGGCAGCCATGCTACAAATCAGACCATTTTCAAGCCTCATCTTTATTCTCTTTCTGGGCTTATAAAGTTGCATCCCTGCCTCAGTCTCACCTTTGGCCTCATTGGAGTGGAGTCATCGGAGAGGACATGAAGTCAGCTGGAATCTGAGGAACATGCTGGAAAAAAATAAACACAGAAGCACAGTTAGTACACACCAACAACAGCACTTTCCACGGCAGACTCAGGGTACACCAAGACAGATCTGAATATGCAGTTTCACTTTTTCACACTGGGCTTTGAGATCTTATTGTCTTTACTATGGTCAGAAAAATAAGAACAAGGCCAAATGCAGTCTTCTGAACATTATATTCATGGCACCATCATGTAAACCTTAAAACAAACTTATTCATTAAAGTAAAACACTTAAATGTTTTTATAAGTGTCAGATTCATGTTTAGGGTAGCTGTCAGAGGATTTTAAGGCCCAGTCGCCTGAATAACGCCATCTGCTGGACATTTAGTGTACACACACACACCCTCTGCAAGCTACAACTTGATGCCAGAGTGGAAATTTACTGGAAAAAGTCTTGTGTTTAACTTTGTTATTGCTTTAACACGTCAGGCCTGTATGATAATCCCATGAAAATAAAAGCATTTTAAATATGAAAGCGTGCCTAAAACCATTTTGTTCAAACACTAGCTCAGTAGAGATTGTATATGCCTGTAGATTCATCAATATAAAAATCAATCATTACGCTTTTAAAGCTTTGCATCCTTTTGGCTCAATTTAAGGAAAAAAAAACAAAAACAAAAAAAAACAACAACCATATGAGTCGAATTTTTCGAGTAAATTTCGGCGAAGCGCGTATCGAAGCTTGAGTTGATGACGTATGTGATCACGTTTGAAGCCTCGCGAGCCGGTGTTATGCCGTGGAATGCATCCCCTCCACTCATTAGCTTCTTAAAGTGGGAGAAAATGATCTTATATCTAAAACAAAACACAAGTATTAGATCATGACAACATGTCAAATGGAAAAGCAAACTTTCCCTCTGTTTTTACGTGTCTAAAAAATGCACATAGAGGTGTACATTTTCGGGACAGCAAATATTCCCAATCAGAGGGCTGTTGTTTTCGGTTTATCTGGACAACCTGAACAAAATCATTAAAAGGCATACACTTTTTAATTCATCCAATGCTAGGGAAAACTTGGATTATTTCGCCTTGTTCTGTACTTTCAACCGCGCTTCCATCAGGGGTTGCATTTTACGGCAGGGGTGCAATTTACGACAGAACACCGGTCGTACCACGGGACTGATTCAGGAACCGGCTCGCGGTTTTGGCGGGTGATTTAAAATCTAACGGGCAGCGGAACGCGACGGAATACCGCTAAAAGTCCGAAGACTTGTCTTAAAGTTGTTTTTTAATGAAAATGAATGAAATATTAACGTGTTCGATGCTGTCCCCGTAACAAACGCACAGTCACAAACCGAGTTACACACAAGCACATTCACATCACAACTGTCTCCATTACTATTTATGTCCTGTTCCCCTTTTCACCCTGCTACTGTGTCGTAAAGACAGACAAAATATCAATAACTTAATAATTTCTGTATCGATATCTAAAACACATGACGTCACATTCATTCACTATTTATTCAATTCAGAGATTCGCGAACCAAAGGGGGTGTCTCTGATAATCACTCTGCCTGTTTTACATTTATTGTCCACGATGGCACAGTTGAGCAAATGAAGTTTCAGACCAGAGTAAAGCAAATGCGTGGAAATGATGATTCATGTCACGATCACCCACTGAATCCTTACCTGTGCCCTGGACGAAGGTGTTGCTTCCTCTCAGTTTGCTGGCGAATGGCCCGATAGCTACAGTTACAGTTACAGCTACAGTTTATTCCTCTAAACTCTTAATCCATCCGCAATCACTTATTTTACACTTTTATATTCACTTAATTTCAACAATAGAATGTTTTTTTATCCTATTTGTTCATTTCTGAACCACGTGACCGTCATTTCGTATTTACTCTGTGGAAATCCACCGCCTCGGTTTGAGTGTGAATGTGTGTGCGTGTAAGCGAGACCCGTGTAGGTGTTTGCCCACTGAGCAAAAGACGTATATTAGACGTCTAGTCTAAATTTATACTTCATTTCAACGTCGGGATTCGGTCTATTTTTAGACGTGATTTAGACGTATAAATTTATACGTCATTTCAACGTCTACATATAGACCGAATCTAGACAATCGATTTTAATCCACAATTCAAGAGTTGATAACTGAACGTTGCAGAACTCATCTCAGTCTATGGAACTATCATCCTCCTGAGCGTGACCAGTGTTTTCGCCATATCCGGTCAAAACGCATATACGGCAAAAAAATAAAATAAAAAAACAACTTAGGATCTTAAAGCCTGGGTCCTGCTGAGTACTAGACAACAAAGTTGGTCGCTGAAATTCAATTTGATTATTAGATTTCATGTGTTTTATCCGTCTCGGTAACGCCGGCTGCCACCGTGACAATAATCCAGCCAATTTATTGGTGGAGCACGCTCACGTGACCCACCGTGCAACCACTTCGGGTAGATTCTAATTCCGCCAAGAGCGAAGTAGTCCGTGATAAAAGTTATCGGCATAGCCGCAATACTACGAGATGAGCGACAAAAAGTATTTGGTATCTCTGCAAGAACCCAGCTTTACACCCGTTTGGAGATCGTACCATAATCGGACCATAACATGAAAACGGCTTCAAATTGTGGACCGCACAACATCCGGCTGAAGCATTGCGCTTTGTCCACACCCGACCTCACGACCATCGGACTACGTAGTCCGATTAATTAATTAATTGATCGGATTAATTAATCCGTGTCACACAACAACAAACTCACCACCAGGGTGGAAAAGAGCACGAAATTCTTGAAGTCGTAAAAGTTCATCACAGGGCTCTAATGGTATTGGTGTAGAACTTGTATGATTTTAGGGATTTTTTTTACTCAGGAACAGATCATTTGTGGTGTGTGCACGATTCTTTCAGCAGAAAATACAGTTCAGGTAAAGTTCAAGTATTAATTTAATGAACTATTCAAGTAAAAGCACAAAAAGTTACTCAAACAAAATGCTCTCAAGGGTGTCTCTGTTCAGGAGAGGTGCTACATGCATTTTACACAGGTTAATATTATAAAAATTAATTTTATTACTAGCAAGATCAGTTAGATTCCTGGTTTACACACTGTTCGTGTTTTCGACTTATGATGGTAAAGTCAATTAAAAATAAGTCATAATTAAATCACTGTATACCTAGAGGTTGTTAGAAAGGTGGTCCACTGTACCTCAGAGTCTGTCGTGTTCAGTTCATGAGCTTGTTTTATGTTTCCACATGGATGTAACTTACCATAGAGCAAGCATGAAGGGACAGTTTGACATTTGTTTTTCACAGAAATAAATGATAGAACAGTTATTTCAACTTTGTACATCAAGGCTTTAATGGCATGATACAAATAAACCAGCTGAGTGGTTTTGCATTAAACACCCTTATCCCCTTTTTGATAAAAAAAACAAAAAACAAAGTCCTATTCTAGAAACAGAGATCTGCCTTTTGAAGACACTCACACCTTCTTATAACGCAGAGCCTTTGACACTGGAGCTCATTATTTCATGTAGACCTTTAGCTTAGACTGTCTATCAGAGACAGTAACAATGCAAGCTGGTCAAAGTTTTCATTTGACCATGCCATTTAAACGTACCTGTTCTCAGGATGCAAACAGCTAACATAAGCCCCTGGTTAATCCTAATGAACACACCTAAAACAACAGAGGTACGTGGTGGGTCACCGAGTGCAAAGAAAAGGAAGAAATCTGGGTCATCACATTTCAAAAACGCGAAGTGCACCATCATGACAGGTGTGGTTTTCTAATGTGCTGCCATCTCTTCATGATGATATTGACAGAATTGTATACAGCTTTATCTGGGATGTTTTGACCTGACACATTTCACAGATATTGAAGGGCTAGCTTAATTCAGCATTTTCACATTTAGACTCTAGTGGGAAAAACAAACATATTGATATATGACAGAGTTATGTACAGTACAAAGTCTTGAAAACACATATAAGGCAGATTTTTTAATATGTTTAAAGCCCTTTGCTGCTCTAATTAACATTCTAGACTAATATCCCTTTATACTGTAGATAATAGAGTCTGAATAGTAGATAAGAGAAATATGAGTAACACAGTAACACAGTAAGCAGCGTCTTCTGTGACCTGTCAGGCTTTCATTGTCCTGTTTTATAAGAATGCTGGAACAGAAGTGGACCAGCAGGGGGCAGTCTTGATCAGCAGGAGATGATGAGGGCATTCAGAGACTGCTGACTCTGTGTTCGCTCTAAAGGGCCACCTGAAGACAGAATCTCACAGGCAGCCAGTTCATGATAGAGCGCGTTGAGCACCTCCAGAATATGGGCTTTCCCTGGGAAAAAAACAAACAAAAACAAAATAGATATGACTGCTGAGTCAACCACAGTTTCATTCAATTCCATGTCTGAGGCAGCTGTAAATTTTCCTGATCACATTTCACAGGACTTCCCTTGATCTCATTGGGCTCTTACCATGTTGTGGGTCACTGCAAGACTCCAAAGTGCTGAGCAAGATCTTCCCAAGAGACCTCCGTGACACGTTCTGTAAAAACGGAGAGATAATTCTTAGATGGCGACGAACAGGCGCTGTCAGAGGCAATCTGACTTTTGTGACCAGAGAGGCATTTACACATGTTCGACAAGTGAAACTCATTTGCTCTCAGATCTTTAACCAAAGCCGTACTATTACAGTATCTCAGACAAACAGACATGTGCCTAAAATTGACTCTGAACTCTGACCCCTAAAAGGAAAATCACTCCAGTGCAGCGTGGGTGGAATTCTATGACTGCTACACCAGAAAACAATTTTTATGACTTGAGTTTCAGAGAGGAGTTTTCGTTCACATGTTGCCAATCTGCTATTTCAGTTTGCAGCTGTGCTAAAAATCAAAACAGTGTGTTTTTGCCTTACAGAGAGAAACATACTGAATACTGACACTTAACCCTAACCCTCAGCACCTTTCCCTCCTTCTCCATCCTCTGTCTGTCTTTGTCATTAATTTTGAATCATCATGTCCCATTAGAGTCACTAATATAGAAATCAAAATCTTGACTTGAGTCGCCCATCATCCTAAATTTAAACCAAGGACAATTGACAGTAGTTTTGAATGGTGGACAAATATTAGTATAACAGCATTGTGTACAATGATTGACAGGGGCAAAAATGATAAACTTTCAGAATCTCAAGAGGGAACATGGCTTGGAGGATTTTGACAAGTTTAGGTATCTCCTAGCTTAAGAATTCTTTGAAAAAGAAATCAAACTAGATCTTCCCCAAGAACTACATAAAGTGACTACGACCTTATGTAAGGCATACAAAAATAATACTGAGAAAGTGATTTCATAATTATATCAAGGACTAGTAGAGAATAGAGGAACCTCCACATTGTATATTCAAGACAGATGGGTAAAAGAGAGTGGGACACCACTAACAGAAGAGGACTGGTATAACATATGTGATAAACAACGAACCACGACAAGCTCCAGGATGCGGAAAGAATTCTGCTGGAAAAATGAAGTCAGATAATTACTCCTGAAACTAAAAACAAATTCTTATCCATACAACAAGCATGCTAAAGATAGTGTGGGGAGCAGAAAGCAGGTTATACTCATATTTTTGGGAATGTACTAAAGTAAAAAAAAAAAATACTGGAATGATGTATGGGTTGAATTGGGGAATATACTGGGATACAAACTACCAATGTCATTTGAGGTGTTATATCTATGTAACCTGACAAGGGAAAATGTACAGTGTGAGGACAATTATCTGGTCAAAATACTTCTGGCTGTGACCAAGCAGGCAATCACAAGACTCATATATATATATATATATACTGTATATACTCCAACAAACGTAATTCAACACTTAATGGGACAAATGGACAAAGGACGCCACTGGAGACTCTGAATGAAGTTAAAAACATTGTAATACCACAACAAAAGACATGTATCCCTCTAACACTGCTATTTTTTGTTTTTGTTTTTTTTGTGTGTTATTTTTTCTTACAATTAAATAAAGAATAAGTTAAAAAAAAAAAAAGTTTCACTAACACAGTCTTTTCTGGGTGTCCCTGAGCTCCATCATCAGAGAGCTTCATCTGGATCAGTGCTGCAGATGTTTTGCTATTGCGAACCTGTTTGATTTACAGCTGCTTCATCTACAGTCATTAGTTTCTTCTCTTTCTCTCTGTCTCTCCCTCTCTCTAAATCAAGCTCAGTCTCAGCAGATGACTGTCTAACATCAGTCTGGTTCTGCTGGAGGTTTCTGCCTGTTAAAGGTAGTTCTTTCTCTCCACTGTAACTCTCTAAATGCTGTGAGGTGTTTTACACGTGTGGTTGAAGATGGGTCTAATCTAACAGGATGAAGCTCAGTCTGGTCCCATCTTTACATTAGATCTTTGAAAACAGAGTCTGGTCTGGACCAGCTTTTAGGCAGGACTCTCTGGATAACACTTGTTGTGAATAAGCGCTCTATGTCCTCTCGAAAACTGTGACTAACCAGGTCTCTGAGCTGCTGAAGGAGCTGCAGGATGTCCACAAGTTTCTCCTCCACCAGTGAGAGACGGACCCTCTCGGTCTCCAACATCTGCAGCTCCATCTGAAGCAGCTCGGTCTCCTCAGCCTTCTGCTGCAGCTCCTGCAACAGAGACTCCTTCATCTGGAAGACACGGCACGAAACAATTCAGAAATGACAATTCACAAACAGAGAACAACTCTATTTAAGATTTTGAAGGTGAAGTGTGGTTTCAAAGCTTTAAATGACTCATGTTACAGTGTTGAGGAACACTGTGGACATCATTGTTGTATTTTTTATTACCATCTACACAAACATGTGTCCCCAAGCAGTCCACAGTATTACTCACAGTGAGCTTTGAAATGGTAGCCTGCTGTTTTTGGAGCCTTTCTACAACAGACCATTGTCCTTCCCTGTGTTTATTCAACAGGAAACGGCAACAACAAGAGGCACTTTATTTGGCAGGCAGATGATGATCTACAAGCATCATCTATGATTTGCAGAAAGAAATCTGTTTATGAATATGTACTCGTCCTAGAGTTTGGTTTTCTTGATTTCCGTCTCACTATTGAAACTTGTGAATGAGGAGAATAATAATGGAGCGGCTATGATGGTGGTCAGAGCAGAGACGCATAACAGGCAACGAGAAGTGACACTACAGCTGCAAACAAACCAAATGAAGCACCTTACCAAACTCAGGCCAAGGAGTGGACATCTTTAGTCTTTTAGAGTGCAATGGCTTCTTTGTTTTCAGGCACTCTCTTAAGTCTGCTATGGTTAACTTAAAGGGATATTCTGGCATAGACACAACGGTTTACATTTCCATGTGCAAACCTCAACCAAACGGCCACAACAAGTTGTGTTTAGTCTCTTTGCTAAAGAAACCAGGCAAAGCTAAAAAGATGTTTGGCGGCTACTACTATGGCTGGGACCCTGTATGTACTGTTGATGAAGTTAGGTGCTGTTCTGAGCATTATTTGTGGCTATAGAGTGGCTTTTTGGTTGAGATTAGTGTGTGGGGAGGTAGACCGCTGTGTGTTGTTATTGTGCAGTTACAAAAATTGGTATAACTAGAGAAGCTAACATTCGGCAACATTCATCTCTGTCTAACTCTGTGTTACAGTGTGTTTGACCATAACTTAAATTTATGTGGGAATATCCCTTTAATGCGGGTATCTTAACTTTTTCATGACCTGATTATGGTTGTGGGTTTGTCTAAAAATGAAATATACAGTGGTGATAATTATAACCAAGAAACATGAGTTACAGTGCAACAGCAGGACTTGAAATCTGTTCTTAGCTGCTGTTGCACAATGATAGAGCACAGATACAGGTACATATAGCGCAGTCAACTTTAAATACATACATTTTACTTGCTCACTTGTCTCTGATTTTTATACTTGTGGAAAACAAACTTAAAAATCAACAAGAAATGCCAGCCTGATAATGCCAGCCTGAACCTGTGAGCGTCACCCTTCCAAATAAAACATATGACATGACTGGTCTGCTAAATGTCTTAATACAAAATAAATATGTCCAGTGTAAATAAACGTCAAACTCTGAGAATAGAGTGAGTGGGTTTGTCTGCCAAAAAAAAAGGTTGGAAATCCCTGCGGTGCACCATTACGTCAAAGTGTTTGGAAGGACAAAGGTCTCACCCCATACATCCTGCACATAAACAAAAGCCTTACAGTCAGGACTTGTGTTGAGCTTTAACTTTTCCTCTCCGAGCTGTGGGAACACATTACATCACTGTTCCCCTTCTGTCTGTCTTCCTGTGTTGTGAAAATACTACTCGGCTGTAACAAGAGAGCTTCAATTTATGATATTTCTACATGTCATGCGGGACAAGGGGGGAGTTTTTCTGTGGTCAGCTCCAGTGAGGAGCAGCTGCAAACACACCCACCCACACACTCAAACACTCACTCATTCACTCACAGGGCGTCTCTGGTGACGCTGCTGGTGGTTTGGTTAAGTCGAAGCTGCAGGATCATGCCTCTCGCTGTGGTTTCATCTTTGAAGCGCCCTCCACTTTCATAACAACCATTACCATCCTCTATAATCTTGTTGAACAGCCACAAAATGACTAATGATGAAAAGCGGGGCAGGACATTGTCCAGTGAGAATACTTTGAGTGGGTACTGTTGTAGCCCACCCTGGTGTGATGGAGGTCAGTGGCGGTCCATACCTGGTCCATGTCTATCTCCGCCCTGCTCTCTTTCAGCTCCAGCTGTTTATGCAAACGGGTCACTCTCTCCAGGAGCTCCACCACAGCGCTGCAGCTCTCCTCGCTTCTCGAGCTCCCAAAATTAGACATCAGCTTCTTGAGCGCTTTATCGTCACACCTAGACAACATAATTTACAAGAGGACAGGAAACCAGTCAAGCTCAGAACATCCATCGCTGTCACAGGTGATCAGTTCCTCTAAAAAAAGACATGCATCCATATCTGTTACTTCATTTTCTTTCATAGAGACCACATTTTAGCTGTTTTCTTCAGAACTAAAGATGATCTCAACACATCATGTTGTAAAAGCTCAAAGCGGTGGTTAAAGGTAGAAGAAGAAATGTGCTGAACTTACAGCACAACCGATATCAACTCTTCATCAGAGGGATAAAGACCATTGAAGGTTGCAGTGTACTTTGTTGCTAGTGTTTAGCATTATTTTACAGTTGACACTATTTTACTGATCTCGACTCAAATTCACAGACACACTAAGATTTAACTACCATGATGAAAGGATGTTTTTTTAAATATTTGTCAAGTGTACTTAAAGCTCCCATGAGGAACTTTTGGTTTGTATCAATGTTGGTGCCCTTCATAGACAAGACAGTCTTTTCTTATTTTATCCTCTACATGCTTCTGTAGTACCATCTGATAAGAAATCACATCGTGATTACTTTTTGCATTATTTAATGATGAAGATTTATCATAGAAAAAAAAAAAAAAAAAGATGACACCTACCCCCTCACATCGGTTTAGGGCTTTAAAATTGCAGTACTAAAATCATAAATCCTGTCACTGATGGTTTTAGTAGCTTTTTTGTATGTGTGTACAAGTGTGATAAAGAATGTATGTCTTCTGATGCAACTGAGGCGTGTCGAAAGATGAATTTCTGTCACTTTTTTGTGTCAGACAATAAACTTCTTCTCTTCTATTCTATTTTGTATGTCATAAAAAAGGCATTGTTTTGAATTTCAGACTATTTCATAAACTGAAAAAAAAATCCAGACAGGAGCTTTAAAGAATATATAGAAAAAAATTAAATGTAAAATATTAGTAATTATCTAATCTTACACTATTTCTTATATCATGTTAATATTACGTAGAATTTACATAGAGTATAGTCCCATCAGTATTTTGCTTTGGTATGCCTTGTTGTAGGTAAAGGCTTACTGAATCCCATGATAATACTACTAATAATACTAATACTACTACTCCTACTAATAACAATAATAATAATAATAATAATAATAATAATAATAATAATAATAATAATAATAACAATAATAATAATAATTTCACACACTTAAGACTGATTAAAAAAAAAAAAAGGAAACAAGATTCATGTCCCTGGACGTCTCTGGGTAATAGATTTCTATGACGCTCACCATGCAAGGTGAATATGTCAGGTGTGGACTGTTTGTTTTTCAGTCAGTTAGTTTAGAAGACGTTTCTGCCTAAAATGATACCACAGGACTAATGCAGCTTCAAAAGTGTTTTGTCATCCAAAGCTATTTATTATGTTCAATTATATATATTTTTTTCTAATTTACAATGACTTATTTCATACTACTCTGCTGTGCTCCATTGTTTAACTGGGTTATCCTATTCAACACAGCAAACTGAGGATCATCAGAAGCACCCTGGTTGGTCTCCAACTCGCTGTTAAACCACAGAGTTAAAGGATGAGGTGAAGATATGAATGTGCAGGACCTTTCCCCACAGCAGGACAGCCTGGTCAGGATCCTCTTCACTTCAGCAACCTGCCTCTGCTGATCCCCGGTCCATTTGTCCTCCTCCTCGTCAGAGGCTGCCTGGCCCTCCACCGAGCGGAAAAGCTGTTCCTCCACTGGACATCACCACAGACAGTCATTATTAATACATCACCACCATAATATCAAAGGTTAGCATAACAGACACTAAGGAGTTAGTGGTTGATGAGAATAAAACTTAGTCTCAGATAATCTTTCTCCACATTTCTACTCGGCGATGCACTCATGTTGAATAAAGAGACATTATTTGACATATTCTGTGCTGTGATGATGAAGAACATGTCTTACTCTTATCTGGGGTTGTAACAGCTCTTCCTGTTGGAGAGCATCGGTCATGATGGGAGTCAGAGCAACATCTTTGGCTCGACCTGTTGCCAACACTCAGTGGCAGCTCTGTCCTAGTGCTGCTTGGGAGCTGCAGTTTGGACACCTCTGACCTGAAAGAGAGAGTACGGCAAGTTCAATACGACTGTTAGCCTGCATCGCCTTTATAAAGACTGTTTTGTGAATACCTAATCCACTCTTCCTGCAATGCTGACACTGGTGGGGCTTCAGTGCTCCTCAAATTTGCACAGATGAGAAATACTCAGTCCAAACCAATAGCCGACATCAAAGCGAACATATCAAGTAACACAAGGCAGCATGCATTAAGGCACATCTACAACCGCCATGATAATTTTATAGAGGCCTGTGATGTTGTATGCCAAATCTGGGTGGGGTAATTGAAGCCAGACTTTGTATCTTTAAGGCATTTTTACAGTAAAGTGGGTCAGTGGTAGTATGGTGCAGTTACAGTGCAGGAGTTCACTTTCAAGATGAAGAGTAAAAACACACTGGCAATGGAGAGAATAAAAATGAGCAGACATTTTGGGCACATGAAAGTTTTTCAGTCCTTATGTCAAGTTTTTATCTACAGCTAAAAAGATTTGTAGCAGGTTTATTTAATATGCAATGTCAAAGACACATTTCAAACATCTGTCACTGAAAAAGTCTGAGACTGCAGTCTGTGCCCATCAATTGTCCTGTAATGGTTTGAATCTTGTGAGTTTCTCCTGCTGTCTGCTCTTTTGTGTTAGGGGAAATCCAATAGGGGGCCTTCGTAAATCACTGAATAAGTGTTTCCAGATGATGATGTCTTGCTGAAGTAAAGGAGAAAATCTAAAGAAAGGTTTTCAACAGCCTGACTCTGTTTAAGAAAAGAAAAAAAAACCCTCACATCATTCATGCTTATATCCTGTTGGCAGGAGGCCGAATATGTTGTAAGACAACGTTAAACTCAACATTTGTGCTTTGCTTTAAGTTTCTCTGTGCAAAACTGGCAAGAGACGACTGACTTCAGAGTAAGTCAATAATTGCAGCACGATTCCAGGCAATCAATCAGAGAGAGTCATGTTTAAGTTAGTGGGGGCCGTGGTGGAGGAAAGAAGGAGCTAGTTCATGAGGGCCAGCAGCTGCAGTCAGATCAACATGGAAGGAGCTGGTGCATAGATGTGAAGACACACAAAACTTTCCTGGTTGCTGTGGAGACCCTGGCACGCTGGAATGAGCCAGTGGAAGGCTTTTCAGATGCAGACTTTGGTGTGACTAATTGCACTTTACTTGACAGTTGTTTGAGAGAGGCTGAAGCCTGTGTCCAGTGGACACTGTAGAGAGGCCACGGCTTCTGGCTCTAGATCCTGACATGAATAGAAGTTAAAAAATCAGCCTGGCTTTGAATCTTCACATAAAAAAACGAGCTCCACAGTTTTCAAGCTGTTAAAAGAAAGGCATTCCAGCTGTCACATGAAAACTAGCTCAAGTTTTTGTTTGTTTTGAACGTGTATGTAATTAATGATGTTAAAGAAGGATTTCCATCACAGTTTGACAGCTAGGAGGTTGGAGCATTGGAATTCCAGCACACGGACACCTGAATGTAGTCTAGACAGACACCCTGGATATCGGTCAGACTGTGGGATGCAGTCGACTCAGACATAATTTGATCAGCGTGCAGTGAGACACGCTCAAGCGCTTTGCCAATACACCAAATGTGAAACCAGCATTGGTGGGTTTGACCTGCCAAAATGAAAATATCTATAAATCTGCAATTTCTGAAGAGAGAGGGGGAAAGCAAAACACACTGCAGACTTGAAAGTGTAATATGAGAGTAAGTGTTTTTGCATATGAGAGGGGAATGATGAATATTTACTGTCCTACCCATCAGATTTTCTGTCAATACTGGAAAAACTTTTCTCATGTTGATATACAGAAAATGATCAAGTTAGACCCAGCTTAATGTCTTCCAGCTAATTTTACTGACTTCAGTCCAGCTTTTAACTCTCTTTTAGCTCTATCCCAGTACCAAATGACAAAGACAGACAACAGCTAGCATTAAGCTAAATATTTCCCCTGGAGAATTGATGCAATAATCAATTAAGAGTCGGGGTCATGAAGAAACACGTGTTTACATAATGACAGTAACAATGTAAACACTAAAAGCAGCAAACTAAAATTGATCTTAACAAGTGGTGAAGACCAAAAATCCCAGGTTTAAATATTCATGAGCTTATGTTTGAGCCCCTTTGGCTCTACATATTTTTACTATATTTCACAGCATACTGTATGAATCTACCCTATAGTTAGCCTGAAGCCCAATCTTCCCCTAAAGGAGTTCACATAGACTAGACATTTAAAGTTGAAGTCCCACTCCGATCGTTTTTTTTTAATACGTAAGTGTTCTCAGCTGTCTTTAAATTGTGATTATGAACTTCTTATCCCAAATCACATTACCTGTATCATTTTCAAGGGCTTTTCTTCTGCAGAGCTCCAGTAGCTCTTTAGCAATTCGCCTCTGAGACGTGGGCGGAGACAACGCTGCTCTGCACACTCCTTTTCAGGCTAGTTTGCAGCCCAACATTGCCGGTGTAGTGGTAGTGGCAGGTAACATAGGAGCTATTCAGCTCTCGGACACTAATGTCTTTAGGGACATGATGAAAGCTAATATCATATATTTTTTTATTTTGTTATTTGTTCATTAGCGTTCTTACTAGCATTGCAGTCCGCTAACGCACACGCTTGGTCCGCAATCTTCCTCTCTACTCTCTTCTGGCCTGGCCTGCATAGTGGGGCTCCGGCAGCGAAGCTTGAATTTGCTAGCAAATCTCACTGAATTTGAGCCTGACATTTGGGTCTGCCAGAGATTCACAACGATTTGAATGCAGAAATACTCAGAAATGCAATTTCACTCTTAGTTTTCTCATGATATGTCCTGCAGCATCAGAAAAATGCCATATAAACATGTAGACAACAACAAAACATGATTTTCATTGGAGTGGGTCTTAAAGACAGTAGAGTGTTTATCTTAATAAACTTACTTCAGCTTTTTCAGACCCATGTTTTGGTTTTCAAAGCACAGCCTTTTGTCCAAACCTGTCACCAAACTTGAATGTATCCTGTTTTCAGCTGTGCTAACAACCCCGACACAACGCGTAATGTCCTAATCATCCAGACAAATCCTCAATCTGACATTGAAGGTGAATCCTCATGCACATATTTCAGCCTCTTTAACTCTTTGGTTTTATGGCATACTGTCTGAATCAATCACCTGTTTCTGGTAATACAGAATGCTGCTGGACACAAACAGTCCCTGATAAACCAGCTCAACACCAAACAGTAAGAATAGTCTAACATGTAAAGCCGTAACGTGTCAAATTATTTTAAGCAGTTGCCAAGACCCACATAAAAAAATGTGAAAAGGCCAAAAGGACAGAGAGCTTCATTGATACAACTTCCAATCATGCTTATGTTACTTTATAACTACTACATATAAGTGGAGCATGTAGCGTTTTCTACCGCTTGCCTTTCTTCTAATTGAAGACAAAGAACGTGGAAATCACCCAAACTGAATTTTCCTGGGCCATAAGTCAGCTGGACAATCAGTGCAGGATCTGTCGGTTTAAAGAACCCCAGGTTTTCCAGGATACGCTCTACAACTGGAGCATTCAGATAATCAATTTAACATTTCCTCTTCTGGCGCTGTAGTCTCTCCTTCTCTTAGATTTATATATCAAAGCTGCTTCTCCTTGGCTCTTCTGTTACCAATAAGAAATAGTGTCTAGCAATCGGCTTTGGATAAGAATCACAAAAAAGGAAGTGAGCATTTGTCGAAAGAAATTCAGGTGAGTGTCTTAACTTTCCCAATCTATATGTGGAAATACAATCTTATCAGTCTTACATTAGGACATTCTTGGCTTGACAAATTCAGCCTTTTGCAGGGAAATGTTCCAGTATAGTTCAGCATGTGTGGTAGGATTTTGTGGCCTTTCTAAGCCTGATATTACCACCGACCCATGAGTGAAAGTCAACATGAAAAGCTCTGCCAGGGTATTTCTAATTAAAAGGATCCTGTACTCAGCTTAAGTGGCAAAAGCCTTAAGCCCTTTTCAAGCTTGTGGAGGGCTGTGTGCAGCTGTTTGTTGTTACAGCCAGGACACCCAGAGTCCTTCCTATGTTTACCACAGTGTGAAGCTGAAGCGAACGCTCTATCAACAGTACCCCCCATTAGTCCTACCCCTCCTCCCTGAAGAGCCGTTTCCTCTTTCAGGTGTCATTGGTCAATGACAGACTGCCTGCTTTGCTGAGGTTAAAAATGAGGGCTCACCGTAAACTCCAGCTTGAACTTGAAGGTCAGAGCGGGTATGGGCCCTGAGGCATGACAGAGATGGGTTAGGGGTCATGTTTATATAGCTGATGGGTATTAATCAGGTCCTCTTGGGTAACACCAGTACCGTGAGCTGGTTTCTGGGATACCAATAGAGCAGCTTTAGTGATGTTTAGCAAACTGAGGATTTCATCCAAAAGTCAATGGAGGTTAACATTTGCAGAGAGGAGCTCGGCTTTCCTTGAAAGCAAAGTGCAGAGAAACCCACAAAGTCAAACAAACAAGGGTGTTAAAGAAGAGGGAAATAGAGAGAAAGAAGTCTAACGGGTGTGGGTGGCACAAGTTTATAAGATATTTTGTGTGTGTGATGCATTTCTGCTGATGTAAGCATACTTTCAAACCAGACAGAGCAAAAGCAGGGCAGCGGTTTGACTTGAAAAAGAGCCAGCTTGGCTGTGTAGGTTTCTGAAGGCTGTTCAAGGAAAACAGTGAGGCAGCAGCAGTAGACTGCCATAGGTCTCACACATGTCTCGAGTGTATCCTTATTTTAAAGGGTAGGAGGAGTGCCGTGGTGGTAGCACCTGCTCCACACAATGCTACAGCTCTCGCATGGAGGCAGATAAATGGTCCGCTCGACCCTCCTCTTCCCTCAGCTCTCAGGCACCATGCAGGGAGCATGAAAAGGCTGGGAGATTATGTTTCCCATGGGGCCTGGCTTCAGTGGACCAGAGGTTAGAAGCATACGGAGCATGAGTCTGCAGGCGTGCCAGTAAAACAAAAGGAGAGTTTTAAACCTGCACGCTTGGGACACATGTACTTTCTAGAAATCCACAGAATACACCATGTAATACTACCTGAGAACATGAACATAATAAAACCAGAGAGTCAGAAGTGTCAGGTGACCAGAGTGGGGTGCTTGTCTGGCTGCACTCCTCGTCACATTGGTTGCAAGTTCAAATCTTGGTTTTGTCACTATTTGTTTCATGCTATCCCCCATTCTCTCTCTCTCTCCCCTCATTTCCTGTTTCACTTCAGCTGTCGGATAAAGACCAAAAATTAATCTTCCAAGAGCAGAAAAAAAAGAGGCTGTAGCTCATTTTCAGCAGATACTTTCAGTCTCCATTCTACGTCTTTTCTTTGGAACGACAACAAAATGACGGAAAAAAAGCTTAATGAAGCCATGCCTCTCCTGTGCGCCTTGAAAAACATGTCCATCGTGTCATGAACAAACAGATGAGTGTTTGCTTCTTCCTCCAGATGGTTGACTTTCCTCCCCCGTGTTTCTTTTTGTTCCTCTTGCTGTGTTTCCCATTGTCTGATCCTTCTGGCTTGCAGAGCTCTATAGGCTACAGTGACTGATTTAGACTCTTTTTAACCTCTGAAGAAAAAAAAAAAAAGAAGTCTTCGAGACAATTCAAGCATACAAAGACTTTCCTGAGCAAATCAATTCCTGTTAAAGGTGCAGTTCCCATCGGAGTCTCAGCCTCTGCTCTGATCTGGTGCACAACCCAAAGAAATCACAGACAAGTTACGCAACAACACCCACTCACCTCAAGTTTCATACCAATGACCACATCTTGTAAACTGACTTTTACCAGGACGCTGATGGAAAGTCAGGGGATTTTGTAGATCGAAAACAGACAGCAAGATTCAAAGACCAGGTCTAAATTACTATCCTGTTTACCCCCCCTGTGGATAAAACAACAGTGGCTTTCAAGGACAAGAAGCCCCCCGCTGCACTCAACAATCAGGGAACCTGCATCTTACATAGTCTTTATAAAGGGGTCATTCTAGGCTGACAGGGGAGTGACATGCAGATCCAGGCCGCACACCTAACCTCCCTCAGGTCACTGTTGAGCAGAAATCCCATATCACCATATTTCATCATATTATGTTTTTAGAGATGGATAGTATTTTTCAAAAGCTTGTGATTAGATCTCACAGAGTGTAAAGTTATGTGAAAAATAAAGGGTGTAGTGGTTTTGGACATACATGCTAGGACCCATGCTAAGACCACTAGGCCAGTGGCGCCCACACACTGGACCTTTAGGGAAGAGAAGTCACTAAAGGCTAACAAACTCTTACTGTTTGCCACTTGGAATTGCCACTTTGGCTGACACTTTAGTCCTTTTAATGATTTAAAGGGATATTCTGGCATAAAATTAAAATAGGGTCAAATACACGTAACGCTGAGTTACACACCCCCTCCAGGGATGAAGGTTGCAGACTGCTTGCTTATCTAGTTATAGCAACTTTGGTAATGGGCACACTCTCCTCCAGCAGCAGCTTGTTTGTGGGGGGAGCCCTGATGAGTCAATAATCGAGTGCAGCGTAAAATTTGTGAGTATTACTTCATGGAATTGCAATTAGACCAAGACACTAAGGCAGAAGAACTACCGTGTCTGCAGTGCACATACAAGATGAACAAGAACTCTGATTGCATTTCCACGAAGTAATAATCATAAATGTTCTTCCTTGAGCTGCGAAACTCCACTGCACTTGGTGATCGACTCGTCAGGGCCTCCCCCACAAACAAGTAGCTGCTGGAAGAGAGTGGGTGAGTTGTGTTTGGTCTCTTTGCTAAAGAAACCAAGCAAAGCTAAAAAGAGGGTACATAGCTGGTACTATGGCTGGGACCCCGTATGTACTGTGAATGAAGTTAGGTGCTGTTCTGAGCATTATTTGTGGTTATTGAGTGGCTTTTTGGTTGAGGTTTGCACATGGAGACGTAGACCGCTGTGTGTTGCTATCATGCAGTTGTTACTAAAGTTGGTATAAATAACTAGAGAAGCTAACAGTCAGCAACATTCATCTCTCGAGGGAGTGTCTAACTCTGTGTTACGGTGTGTTTGACCCCGACTTTATTTTATCCCTTTAAGTGTTAAATAGTTAGCTTGAGGGTTCCTTTCAACAGATTTTGTTTTGGACTAACTCATTTCTCTAATTCTGCTCTACCAGCTTCGAAGCAACCCTCCTCCATAACCCCAGATGCAAAAGCAAACTTTCAATCGTTCAGAAACAAGCCTGAAGGATAAAGCTGTAGCTCTCCACATGACATGCTACTGCATCTCTACAGCAATGGTCTGAGAAATCTGGCACTGTGGCAGCATGATGATTAAAAACTAACTAAATTTTGATAGGCCACACAAAATCATAAGCAAGATATTTCCTTGCAGAGCAGAAAGAGTGTAGCACCTTGGCCTGGTATGTTGTTTTAAAAACACCTACACATTCTTCTCTGGCCATGCCCTTAGATGAAATGCTACTAAGCAAGCATTGGGGTTTTCACAGAGAATATTCATGGAGCTTGGTTGCTAAGATCCATGGGACGGGGGTGCCTATGTGGCATTGTTCCTTCAGGACCAGAGAGAAAGAAGCAAGCAGAGATTGATGAAAACGGTCAGTCTGTTGAGGTCCTCACTCAATAGAGCTTTCTCTTGACAAGTCAGGGCCTTTGTGGTGTTGAATTATTTGCCATTAGAGAATCAATGGAGGGGCAGTGAAAAGACTTGGAACGCAGTCTGCATGGATAAGAGGAGTTTAGGTTAAAGGACGGGTATTGTGCTGATGAAATTTGTTATTTAAAACCAGCTTAAGGCAGGTAGCAGTCAATCATGTGTCTGGTTGTGTGTAACTGTGTCTTAGTGTTCATAATGACAACATCAGATGGATGTTACCAGCATTTACAGACATCTGCTACTTAAGAAAGCCAGACCTGCAGACACTGATTACAGGGTAGGAGCAGAGACAACAGACACAGAGATAAACATTAAACCAATAGCTTTGTACTTAAAAAGTCCAATTACACCCTTACTTCCACCAAAATGAATAGTTCCCAACAGCAGCGGAGCTCGGGCTAAACCAACCCGCCACACACGATGCCCGTTAAATAAACTAAATGACAACAAGGCTGAAAATTAGAAAAGTAAACCACATCAAGCCTTCACGGGGAGCACGGCAGAATTTTCCAGACATGAAGCCACAGCTAAACACAGTTCATTCCTCTCTTTATGACAAATAATTAACATTTATTATGTTCATTTCAGCCACACAGCCTTCCAAACTGCCAAAACGAGCCCTCATTGTCATGGCAGGATGGGTTTGACCCTGATTGGACTTCACTAAGTGAAGAGGTGTAAGAACACCCCTGTCTAGATTATGAACTCTCTGTCTGAGCTTGGAGCAGTGTTTCTTCTCTAAGACAGGCTTTTATTTTGATTAAGTAATTTTCCACATTTTAATTTTATTTCATTGCATTTTTTATTCCATGCTGCTAATCACGGCTCTGGTGTTGTCACTTTCAGTGAACCACATTTCACCTGCCTCTAGAGGGGAAAGCCAAATCCAAGTTAAAGTTAAAGCAACAATCATAAAAAAGTTGTCAAACTTTGTTAGCTTTCTGACTACAGATGTCAACAACTGCACACTAGAGAAATGATAGCACAAAATATCCACCCATTTTTGTCACAGTGGCAGTAAGTTAAGCAACTTACTCCAAACATCCCTCTCACCAACAAATCTCTTCAGCCCCTCTGCAGGGGTCCCAGGCCAGATGGGATAGCTCCAGTGCGTTCTACTCCCTGGGTCTCCTCCCACTTGGATGTGCCTGGAAATCCTCCATAGGGAGGGATCCTTGTCAGATGCCCCAACCACCTAAACTGTCTTTTCTCAAATGCCAAAGAGCAACAGCTTAACTCTGAGCTCCCCCTGAAAGTCTCCAAGGCTGGGTCCAGCCACCCTGTTGAAGAAACTCACTGTATCCACTAGGGATGGATGATAAATTATCATCAGAAAATTCCTCCACGATAAATGTTTGCCATCTTACGATAAACGTGATAAATTCAAGTTGATGACGTAAGCGCAACCAACGGACTCGCACTCGTAGCCCACACAGAGCAGAATAACAAACAAACATGGCGTCAACAAGAAGTCTCTGAGCAGCTTGTTGCTAAACGAGGCTCCACATGAGGGATTTCCTTCAAGATTGGGGCTTAGACGAGCGCAATTAGGTATGCCTGACATTGGACAGTGGATTTGTTCATTCTGTGCAATAATAGTTTTCAATAAAAGTTTAAAGTGTTTTCACATTTCACTAGTTTTCTCTATAACCTACCACTTAAACTTGTGGTTAAGTATCTTACTTGACAATGCCAACCTTGACAATGATTGTGGGGTTCTCAAGACAGAGTGAGTAAAAAACATAGATAGGAATTTTCACATTTTTTTTAACAAGACTTTTATCGTTATCGGTAGAATGGCAAAACTTTTTTAACCTATATCGCCCATCCCTATTATTCACCCATATCTGCACTTTCATTGTTTTAATCACTACTCAAAGTTCATGACTGCTATATTGAAAGCTTTGCCATTGGCTTGTAGATACCTGCAGCACTGCTGATGCTGCACTGACACAAACATGTTCATTTGTATTTTTTCCTTCATGTAGTCTTTATTATTTTAACGTTATGCATTTTAGGATATCAAATTTTATGTCTAAAGAGTTGACTCCTGTTCTTAATGTGGATAGTCGGAACCTTCAGTGTTTCTGTTTTTCAGTCTCTTTCTGTGTCACAGAAATCTGTGTCTGTCTGGCTTCAAATCCGTGGTATTTGTCTACGTCTTAATGCGTATAACTTGATGTGACGGATTCTGATTGCATGGTTACATTACTTGTTTCATGCATCTTTATTACACTTTTGGAATAACAGTTGGGACAAGTATTGGGCAACCAAGGGGGCAATTTCTCCAAAGCAAAACAAAGTTTCTGTAAGAGACTATGACCATGTAGCATAGTTTTGGTTCAAGTGACGCCCACATCTCAGGTTTTCTCAAACAGATCTGGTGTTTACCCACTGAAGGCTGTTTCTGGCAGGTTTAGTTAATGAGCAAACACAGCAAAGAAGGTAGGATTAAGAAAAGGGCATGAGATTTTCCCACAGAGCTCGCTGTCAAACCACAAGATTAATGGGAAGTAAGGTTTGGCAAAGGTGAGATTGTAACAGATGAGATGTTGCTCTTAGTCAATGTTCAGGATCAACATTTTTTTTTACCTGTAGTACACGAGCTCAGACTCCAGCTGGGTGATGTGTCTCTGCAGGGCTGGAACATGACTGGCTTTGGCCTCCAGTTCCTTCACCTTGCCCAGGCCATTGAGCAGCGCCTGTCTGGCCTCCTCCACCTTCCTCCTCATGCCCACCTGCTCTCTCTTCAAGACCTGGTTGCAGTCCTCCAGGGCAGCCACAGTCTCTTTTGTGCTCCACAGTTCCTTCTCCAGTCTCTGGTTACTCAGCATAGCCTCCTCTACCTGTCTGTCTCTGGTATTCTGCAGCAGCTCTATCTCTTGGATGAGGTTCTGCAGGCCCTTCAGGTTGCCGTAGGTACTGCTTTTCAAGTTAGTGTTGCTCAAACCTTTCTGTGGAGATTGTTTCTGTTGGGCAACAAAACAGCCGTCCTCTGGTTTGTGTTTGGAGTGGCTTTTCCATAGTCCTACCTAAAGAGAAGAAAACAGGCAGTAAAATAGGAGTGGATCAACATATGGATCCAAACAAAGCAAAGTTCCACCCCTATTAAAGATTTACTCAGCACCATATATCTTTTTAACTCTTCTAGCTGTGGGTAGTAAGCAGGCTCCTTATCTCCTAAATCAACTTAAATAGACACCAACACGGCAATACACTCAATAGTTGCCAATGAAGCCTCGTACCTTGCAACTATTCTTCCCTCACTTACTGAGGACTTGAATTGCTGCAATACTTTAGTAATAGTAAAAAAGACAATCAATCAGTGCCTTATAGATATGTACCAAGCCACCAATTAAGCCGGTTTCAGCTGATTTAGTAGGAAATCAAATGTGGCCATGTTAAGTGTTTCAGTCTGAGATAAACTCAGAATACATTTGCGCAGTAAGTCACAGTTACAAGCTGTGGGTTGGCAGAATGTGGAGATTCCCCGTAGCTGGTGTTTACCTCCCTTCAGGATGTCATGTTGCTTTGTCTGTTTGGTGAAATACTCCCCCAGGAGACTGTTGAACCACTTTCCTTTTTACAAGAGCAGGAAAATAACTGAAGGAAAAATGGTTTGTGTAACAAATTAACTGACCTTCACCTGGTAGGATATAACAGACTACTTCCCCTATTGGTTTGGTGTTTGGATAGTGGAGAAGCCAGCACCTATAATCATGAATGTGATCCTGACTTTTTAAAGATATTCCTTGTAGGGAATGATTTCATTGCCATTTTGTGCTCTTTTGAATTTTATTATAAACTCCTGAGAATAGATGGCATTGTTTGGGGGTCTTGTACCCTTTATTCAAGGTAGTGAGGGGAGTCAAAACACTCTGTTTCTTGATGCAAGGGGCTGAATGATATCACTATGCACAAAGTAGGCTATAGTCTTCAAACATATGGACATAAAGTGCAACATTCACACAAGTGGGGAATTTCTCCACTTCTGCTCTACTCTCACCTGCAAGGCCAAACAACGTGCATCGCTGCTCTGGAGTGCGGCTCGCATGTCCTCTATCAACTCTCTCAAACTTGCATTCTCGTCCTCCAGCTTAGCTATCCGGTCTTCTGCTTCCTCCAGTGCCACGATCTCTTCATAGCACTCTTTGGTGCAGGATCCGAGTCTGCAGCCGGAGGCGTGCCGTCCCTCCGTGGAGGAACAGGAGCCCTCACTCACACCCACAGAAAGCAGCTTCTCTCGCCGCCTCAAAGGGCTTCTCAGGCGGATTTGAGTCTCTATGTGCTCGCTGTCCTTCCCCACCAGCAGCCGACCGTTCTCATATTGACAGCCCGCTTTGGTGCTGAAGTGTCCGCAAAGTTTAGCGTGGAAGTGTCTGAAGGACAGCTCGCTGGGTAAGTTGTCCAGAACCCCAGCGCATTCTGTATCATCCGAGTCTTTGTTCAGTCCCAAAATTTCACACAAAATGTTAAAATCCTCCACAGGGATTTTACCTCCACCTTGATAGTCGATGTGATGGAAAATCTCCTGTAGGTACTGATCCAGTCCTGTAGCCAAAACTATAATTTCGTTCTCCACTCCCCGATCCAGTCCGTAATGGTAAGCCAGGGTGCTGACTATCCATTGTGTCCTGCGCGCTGGTCGGCTGTACGGATCAATGGAGTCTATTGCATCCATCATTTCTAACGTGCAACATCATATTTCCTCGAACCCCCACACAGCAAGTTGATTTCCTTCAGCGTCCTTTGTGTGTTCCGTTTTCATCCCCTCACCAGAAACCCCGAGCAGCAGCAGACTGGAGGAGCAGAAACGAGGCGTGTGTTAAACACGGCTCCCATTTGAATTAGGCACTGCCCCCCAAATCCAAAAGAAGGGGTCCCAACCAGGAGTCAGGAACACACACACACACACACACACACACACACACACACACACACACACACACACATACACATACACATACACATACACATACACATACTAACGGTTTCTCAGTGCCGTTTGCCAGAGTGTAATTACCACCAGGTGTGTAAACGTCTGTCATTCTCAGCGGTAAGGGCTTGTTAAGATGTAGAATACTCAAGAGACGCACAGTCAGAGCTGCACTGGCCTTTTTACAACATGGTCTCTTGATTTATGCACAACTATATGGAAGTAAATCTGTGCCATCTGATTTTAAATTCGAATTTCTAAAGCTCTTATTTTTTTATTTGCATCAAAATTAGACTGAATTTTAAAACCATTGAATTTCAAGCATGCATTTTTATTTCTGACACTATATTTTTTTCACAATGATGAAATAAATTCAGTGTAAAAGAAATAAAAGGTCCCTCAAAAATGGTCGTTAAGTAAAAATTCAACTTAAAATTCGGTGTAAAAAAAAATTTTTTTGTAATAAAAATTTCAGTGTCGAACAATTCAGTGTAAAAGAAAAAAAAGGTCCCTCAAAAATAGTCGTTAAGTAAAAATTCAACTTAAAATTCGGTGTAAAAAAAAATTATTCGTAGTAAAAATTTCAGTGTAAAAAAATTAATTGTAAAAGAGACAGACTCTGACTTTGATGCAAAAAAAATTTCAGCTTTAGCAATTTAAATTCAAAATCAGATGGCACAGATTTACTTCCATACAACAAACAATCTACTTTGTACCTCACGTTGCCATGCAGGAGCTCTTAATTTTGGTTTAATATTTCAAATAAGCTGATTGTGATGCCCGAAAGTTTGGTTTATAAGACAGCACTCCTCATATCTAAAAAAAATAACGCTGCACATTATTCACCATTGTCCTTAAGTCCCCTTCCAACAAGTTTCATGTCCAAACGGATTCTGCAAAAAGTGAATTAAAGCCTGTTGCATCAAATGTAGGCTACCACACCATAACCTAAATAGAGGGTCGTGTTGTAATGAACCGGCAAGTTGCAAAAAATGGCACGCATCCCTCAATATTAAAACCACCTCTGCAACCTTAACATCAGCATCTGCGACCATCCTACCCAGACCAGGTTGTGTTTTGTTCAAGAGCTACCCAAGTACTAAAGGTGCTCTGTCTGAATCAGCATGTAACGGACAGCCTATCACCTCTTTCTCTTAATCAGCCAAGTAAATCATGGCGGGTCCTCTTCTTTTGTTTACAGGACGCACAAAACTTTCTGAACAGAAGTAAAACATCAACAACAACTCCCACCAACAACTTCTACTTGAAGGAAATTCCGATAGTCCCAACAGCACGTGGGGGGCAGTTTCTCACCTCACTCCTTCACTACTGGTTGTCATGGCGACGCGTTGCTCTCGCAGAAATCGTAAAGTTGAGTTGCTTGGGTTGAAGTTTGTGAGGCAGCTTTGCGCACTTGAGGAGTTGAAAACATTTTGTGTTTTGGAAATTAGATTGGAGCTGGAAGTACACTGGCAGATACTGTAATGCAGAGGTACGTTTATTTTCGTGTCATTTTGTCGTTGTTTTAAAATCTTATTCAGAAATACGACATTTGTGTCGATAGCTTAAATAGAGACACCCCGGAGTTCACATTATTGAGAGCTAAGGTGAGCGTGGAGAAGTAAAAATATCCTTTGTTTAATCAACTCTCGAAAATCATGGTTTTATGTTATAATTTGAACTGTTTTCTGATTTCATTTTTTACACTTTGTTGGATTTTCATGCTGCAAAACTCCAAATGACATTCAGAAAACACCCTAAAACTGTCTACACTACATTTTATTCATGTAGAACATTTCTGATGTCTGATGTCCATTCCAGTCTGAGTTACATAAACTAACAGTGTGTTGTATTGAGCTGCATCCGGGAGAACAGACTTGGTAGAAATGGAGTGTAAAATGCATAAATATGTTAAAATAAGTGTATAATCACGTGAATAAAAATCCATTTGTTAACTAAGAATTAGCCTTTTATATCTACATGGGAGCCAATTCCCCTCAGGGGTCACCCTTTTGGACAAACTAGTATTGAAGTTTTTGTGTTTACCCAGTAACCTCTTTAAATTAAAACAAACTAGTCTTCACAAACTTTACAAATGGATGATCACTTCTAGCATACATCACAGATGCTTCCTGTCCTCATTATGCACATTTCATTAAGAGGTTGGAGGGTGAGCAAGGGAGCATTAAGTCAATAATCTGACTGTTAAATGTTGTTAAATATCCTTGTATGCTTGTATCTCTTAACTAAATATGCCCTGTACACGTGTTGAAAACTCCCATTATTCGTACCTCTTCATGGCCAAATGTAAAGGGACAATTTTCTGTGGAATAAGTCAAAAGACGACCGTTTTTCTTGTTTGCTTTTGTGGGAAGACGTGTTTGAAATCTTGCAATAGTAATCTGAAATATTTCACAATCCCAGCCAGGAAAATCACACTGAAAATACAGTAAATGTGACTCTTACGATCTCTGATCAGCTCTTTTTAAACTCTTAGAAACTTTGTTTATAAGGTTGTTCTTCAGTGGCTGTAAACAGATACAAACATTTACATTTTTGGAAAGTAAGAAATGTGTTTGACTCTCCACTGATGGTAAGCCCTTGATTTCCCAGACTCAATGTGAACTGCAAGCATAAGAATCTTCCTGTTTATTTCTCATTTACAGTGTCCTTCATGGAAACTGTCACAGTGGAATCAGCCCCTGCCACCAGTATGTTAGAGACAGGTCATAGTAATTCACTGTTGGACTCTGACAAAGAGGGCACAGATAAAAGAAAAGAGGATACCACTGTCCCGCAGACTGAGATGTTGTCCACGGAGCATGATTTGGAAAAGAGGTCAGGTTCTATTGGAGAGATCACAGATGACAGCTCCTATTACATCACATGGACAGTTTACATTGCGCTGGCTGTCCCAAGAAGTAAGTTTGCTTGAAAAAATATGTGTCAACAATTTACATTAGCTCCACAGGGATTTTGAAAAATTCTCATACTTACAGCCAACAGGATGATTTAAAACGCTAAATAAAAACATCAATTATGTAGAAGAAACTCAGTTGACCTCCTTCCTTCCTTTTTTCTTTTTTTTTTTTTTTTTTTTTAGAGGAAGAGACTAATGCTCATGAAACTCCAAAAAAGGCCAAAGGAAGACATAAGGACCCTTCTTCTATTTTGATGAAGACTCATGAAGCTCAGAGCTGTTATCACATTGAATACAAGCTGTTACCAGGTGATACAGAAACAGTGAAAGTGGATCTAGTGGTGTTTGGACCGGTGGTGAAAATATACAAACAAGATGAGGTCGAGGTAACAATGAATTGATGAGAGATGTGTCTGTTTGGATCACCTTAATGAACAATGAATAAACAGTGACACAGTAGGGTGGTTTCTATAACTTAACATTTCATGATTTAAAAACACATGCAGGAGAAAAGGTGTGACTTTTTTGTTTCAGATTCTGAGAACATGGCAGGAAGGAGCTCACATGTGGATAGTTTTGATTCAGAAGGTCGAGGTTAGAGTCGACAAGGACATGCTTACCAGTCTGCTGTCTCATAAGATAAAGCTCCAGATTTGGAACAGTAAAGATAAACTGTTCAGCCAGGCTCGATATGACAGACTGAAAGCCCTTAGACTGCCTCAGGATCCACCTGAGGATTCAACAGACATGTGCAGTAAGTATCAATTTCAGCCTGAACCCTATATTCTTCTCTTTTCGTTTGAACAAAAATGACCTATTATAACAATATCCGTCCTCTAAGGTGAAACTAAGTGTGTGGTGACCAAACTGAGAACCTTATGGGTAAAGAAGTCAAACATGTTCAGAAAGCACAAAAGTGAAACACCTTTTAGCTGCGATCCAGATGTGGGCTCGAAAACAGGTATTTTAAACATTCATAGTTTGCCTCTTTAACTGTGGAGTCATAATAAATAATGATGCATTATTGTAGTTTCTAATTCCACTTCTTTACCAATATCATTCAAATATATTTGAAGGACGTCAATGAGAGATATATCTCCATAAACTTCTCCTTTATCGTTCAGGTTTTCATCAATTACCATCTGATGCCTCTATCGTGGAGGACATGAACAAGAAAAACACTGCCTCAGCTGAAGTCAGTCCTGTTCGTTTGTTGGCGGGTGAGTCAATACCATAGACTGTATATAGAATGGACGCCATCTGCCTCCTCACTGGGTGAAGTCAACCCAAGAACCCGAGAACAGCACACTCTGGTGATGGGCTGCAGTATAGGTCATAAATCTCGCCTCCTCCAGAAATCCTTAAGGAGCTGTGGGCAAACTTTAGAATTTTATTACAAAGAATATGCATTTTATTCTAAGGGAATGATGCTTATTAATGCTTATTACCACTCATGTCTGCACATGTAATGAAATGCTTTGTAAACAAAATTAGATTAGCTCAAAACAACTTTTTCTACTAAGCCAACTATTCAGTGGAAAAAGATGGAGCTGATAGAGTTACAATCTATGTGACTTGAGTGTCTAATAACTGCATCTTCTTTTGACTACAACAAAAGGATTGGGTACTACCTCTTGACCACAAGGATTAAAAAAGAAGGTTTATATTTCCAAAGCAGGGTTAATTTTAGCAGACAAACACTAAAAAACATTCATATTACTGTATTTTTGTGCTTACCAGGTGAGACTTCATTGACTGAATGCTTCCCACTCTGTTCAGCTGGTGTATTTGAGCTGATGTGCAACATCTCTTTGGACAAACCGTTGATATCCCGTGAACTGAAGGCTGAACTTAATCCACTGGTCATCACAATTTTGTCTGCCACCTCACTGCCTGCATCACCAGTTCCCTTCCATGTCCTACAGGTGAGGCTTACACACATATTCGCACTTACAATGCCATACCCATTATGTGGCTTTCACAGCACTAAGGTGTTGTTTTGAGTGTAAATAAACTATTATTTGATGGCTTTGGCATTTAGAAGTGAGCTCTGACTTAAACAAGTTTAATCGACTGTTTTACCAGGAAAAATGTGAGCCTGTTTACTGCCAGTACAAGTTCCATAACCTGACTATGCACAAAACCAGTCATCACAAGCACAGCACCAATATCTACTTCAGAGATGTGAAAGTGATCCTGACTGGCTTGATGAATCCGAAAGAGCTCCAAGAGTTCCTCTCTGGACCACCTCTGGAAATCGAGGTTCACGATCGTGACGCAAAGTTGGAGGAACTACCAAAACCCCCTGCAGAGTTTTACACAGGGTTAAACTATGATATCCAGTGTGGAATGGCACAATCAAAACAGAAGACTACAGCCACTCATTCTTATGGGATTTGCAGCCTGGACCTCTCAGAACTGTTACTTGGGAAGAAAAGCTTAAAGGTGCAGTTACCGATCAGAGGCTGCCCTCCACCTCCTACACAGCTGCACTGGGAGCGAAACACGCAGGACAGAAACATGTCGGACATCGCAGCCAGCAGACATCGCGTGCCGCGGGGACACTATTTTGAAGCAAATTCCACACTCAAAGTCGAGGTTCAGCTAGCGTATCCATTCAATGCCAGGAATGACAGCTGTAAAGTGGACACCCATGATAAACCTTTTGGACGTATTGTCTACCTCCTTAATCACAACAACTCCTCTGTGGTGAACAAACTCAGGTCAGAGATCCTTAGAATTAACGTATCAGCCTTCAATCTGGGCTCACGCTCACTGGAAAATATTGAGACAGCCCTATCAAATTACATAATGAATTTCAAGCTTCATGAAAGCCAGGATCTGGACTTTGTTACAGGATTCCATGTGCTGGATAAAAGGACACACATTTTTGTTCTTGAAGGGCTGAGACACAAAGCGGTGAAGAGACTTTGGGAGGCTGTTCCGATGAAGTAAGTCCATGAGCACTTTCCTGCCAAACGGGCAATTAACAGTTTTCAGCTGTGCCGTCTACTTGAACAGAGAGTTTGACTTCCAATGAGAATCCTGAAGTTTGTTCAATGCTTTACAGGCTAAGTGGGAGCACAGAGGAGCAGGTGATAGTCCTCTACAACTCAAACATGAGTTTCTTCAAGCGCCTCTATGAGTCATTAGACTTGAGCCTGAGTCCTATCTGTTTATATGAGCCACTAGAGACCATCATGAGACAGCCAGTCATCTACATCAGAGGCACAGTGTCCCCACCATGTTTCCAAGCTTTGACAAGGTACTAAAAGACTGCAGTAAAATAAAACTTGTCTGGTTGTGCCCATAGACTGTATATACTGTGGACAACTTGGTTCCGCCTTCTGCCATTACACGGATTTGAAGCCAAAATGCTCTCGAAATTTTCGTGTTTTTTTTCTCCACTTCCTGAAACCAACATTGTGCAGTGGCATTGTACGCATTCGGCGGGAGAGTTGCTGTGATGATGCTCGGCTCAAACAGCGTATCCCCCGGGTGAGCTAAGCAATCTTCGTACACCCATAGGCTGTATCAAGTGTCAATCAAAGAAAACATGAACCCCCTAATAACTTTTAATAACGGAGCTTCACAGAAAAAAGAGGACTTGAGCACAAACCAGTCTTACAATAACTACATGTCAACATCACAACCAGGGGGGAGAAAAATTTATATTCTGTGTAATAAATTTCTAAAGCTTGTCCACAGCTCCAATGGGATTGCTGAAGGAGGCGGGATTTATGACCTGTACTGCAGCCCGTCACCAGAGGGTGCTGTTCTCGGGTTGGCTTCACCCAGTGAGGAGGCAGACTCTGTCCATTCTATATACAGTCTATGTTTATGCCATTAACAACAAATCATGAACAACACACGACATAAATCCTGCTCGAATGTGTGTTGCAGTTTGAATACTTTGTTGGTCACTTTGTGGAAGCGGAGCAAGCTGTGAACACAATAGTACCACAATACTAATAATCTGCTTTTCTGCAGAGTGTTTCTGTCAAAACAAGGATATGAAGTAAAAAACGTATATAGGCTATGCCCCGTTTTTTTCTTGCATCCAAGTTATGTATCTCATAACAATGACCAGTTGTTTTAATTTTTTTGTTTTTGTGTAACTTTCAAAATGGGGAATTTATTTCTCCTACAAAAAATGCAAAAAAAACAAACAAAAAAAAAAATGCAAAAAACAAAAAACAAAAAAAAAACAAACAAAACAGAAATGACTGTCAAGTTTCCCTAATTATTGCTCTGATAACAGATAAAGCATGAAAAGTCTTTTCAGCACTGAAAGTACTCAGAGTTTGTTACAAAGCTTTTTAAACTTATAAGAAACCATGTCCTCATAGATTCTTGTGTTAATTTTTTTAAGACGCTCCTCTTTATGAATGACATTGTAGCCTTGAGGATAAAAGTGGTATAACCTGCAGTCGACTACATCAGGTTTCCTGTTGATTAAGTTCTGGTAAATTTCCACCCAGGTTAAGCCAGCTTTGTCAAGCAAAGCAACTCAAAGATGTGGTTCAGTGCAACCTCTTCCCTGCAGCTGACATGATTCTCAGCATGAGCAAAGAATGTGGCCTAACTGATAACCAATGGAGGCAAAAGGCTGACGCTAAAACTGAAACTGAGATTGACATCCCCACTCAGCCAGTCCAGATAAGAAGAGATGCACCGCTTGACATAAACAACAGAGACAACATGATATGGAAACGTACCAACCAGCAGTCACCTCGCAAACAGTTCAAAAACTTCATTGAGGTCTGTAGGCTTGAGTTATTCAGTGAATATTGAAACATTTTTTGCAGACTAACTCATTTTTCCTGAATTTCCAGGAAAATATTAAAAAGGTGCATGAAGACAGTAAGCAGTTGCAGAAGCCTGAGGCTGCTGTGCTGAGGATGGACCAGAATTCTGATAGACCAGTGCACAACTACAGCATTCAGACCCTCAACGCCAAAGAGCAAGCCATGAAGCTCACCCAGAAGGAGATGGCCAAGGTTAGGGTGTAATTCACAATAACCTCTCTTTGCAAAATGCATATAGTGAACCTGGGCTTGTATGTTGTAGTTTGGTGGAACAGGAGCTAGCACCACTGCCTGAAACAAAAAAGGTTTTGATGTAGTTGTAGGTCTTAGTAATATCTACAGTGTGTTTTGTTTTAGCAAAATCTCATGACAGCAAGAAAGCAATGCTGTAGAATCCTCAGCTGTTTGAATCCACGGTATCCTGTTGAGTCCCAAAGTGTATAAAACTATGTATATAACTATATACACCATAGACTGTATATAAAATGGACACCGTCTTCCTCCTAGCTTGGTGAAGCAAACTGTGACTCTTTCAGCCTTGCATACTAGAGCTGGGATGCTGTTTTTACAGCTCAAAATAGTATTAAACAAATTGATTAAGCAGCTTCTTGGCTTCAATGTAAACATAGTTTTAAATTTAGGAGCTTAAGTGTCTGAGATTTTCCTCACAGGAGTTTGGTGACTGGAATCAAGATTGAAAACGTCTGTTAGCTTATAATAAAACAATAATTACCTAGTCCTTTTTGCAGTTTGTTGTTTTTGCTGTCTTGTTTCAATTTCTCAGTATCATCTGTCATTGCTTTTAAGGCTCCTGGGATGATTATTATTTGTGAAGATAATCACTGATGTAATACATTTCTCTGTTAAAACTTCAGGCCCCAGAGCGAAGGTTTACTTACAGTCAGCAGTATCAGAGTGCCACAATAGAGCCAGGACGCATGCCCTCTAAAACTGACTTCAGCCCCACTGCCACCACCACAGTTTGGATCTCAATTATGGGCGGCGGCAGGTGGAACGGTCACCCAAAACGCCCTGATGAGGCTCGTGTGGAGGAGCTGAGGAAGGTAAGTTCTTCCTCTTCACAGGAAAAGGAAAGTTTAGTTTACAGGCATTCCTCAAACCCTGGCACAGGTCTAACATTTTTATGACTGTTGACTTTGACAGTCTTTTTCTCTATCGCACAAAAGAGCAAAACCTCACACAACTGGTGCAGATCTCTTTGCACCTACTCAAAAGACAGTAGTTCTTGTGTTCTGGGGTTAGACTGATAGTTTTCGTCTTCTCTTCCCTCAGCCATGGAGGGAAAACATCCTCCATGCCAACATACTGAAGCCCACACTTACACGAGATAAATGGTCCTGGAGCCAGCGCAGTGAGGACTTTCAGCTCTACGGCAAACCTCCCCTACTCTTCAGCCCGTCTCCGCTCTCTATTCACCTGGCTGGTAGGCTTCTCTCTCATCAGAAAACACCACAAATAACATCTTCCATGAACCGTTTCATTTGGCTGTATGTTGGAGCAATTCTCTTTTTCTTTAAGTGACTGCCAAAAAGTTAACTACCACTTGTCAGACAGAAATATGTCCAGTGTATTTATTAAAGCTCTAGCTGTAAAAGTCCGTATTTGCTGTCAGAATCAAAGCGAGGCCCTTTTTATAGAGTCACCCAAGTAGAAATCCATCATAGGTCCAACAGCTGTCTTCTATTGCTCAATGCAGGCCATATGACAGGCTGTGGGGCATGGCTGCTCCCTGCTTTTTCCATGGCTCTATCTGTCAATGCAGAAGTATAACAAATACACATAAATAAAGGCGTCTAACAGAGACGATGATGTTTCTGTGACCCATTATGCTTACTTAGACCTTGAAGTATTCATGAGTTATTTTTATCAGTTTATTGTCTAGCTAGCTTATGTGGCTACATGCGTTTCTTCCTCATATTTATGCTAAAAATTCTGGGAAGGAAATGTTCCAGGAAGTCAGCAGGTCATCACACAAAAGAAGCAACGGGAAATGGAGCCGATTAACAAAAACCACAACAAGGTTTTTAACATTCACAACAAAGTGCAGCAACTTTTTTTTCAGACCTCATTGTGTTCTGGGACTATTTTTCCTGTTGTGTCGTGTTTTCAATATGTCTGGGACCTTGCAGTGAAGAAATCCTGACTTAAACATGTCTGTTGAATTTGTCCAAATCCACATAAATTATTACATCAGATATATCTGCTCTCAATCAAAAGGCGAATTTAGGACACGGGCCATTAGTCCAAAAATTGAAGTCACTCTCCATCACCAGCTGTGCAAAGCCTGCTGTAATCCCTCTAGGCAGGGATAAGGGAGCAAAGACTAGATGACAGCTATGACTTAGTTTACACTCTGTGTTCACAGAATAGTCTTTTCCCAGTAAGTCAAGAAACTGAAAAGCACAAATTAGGACTACTAGACTGGAGAATGAATTTGGTGATGGAGGGATTTTGGTGATATCAGCAGTAAAGAAGAACAGAGCTAGTGTATTTGTGTTTGTTCATTTCACAGACCATCCAGAAGAGTCACTGTCCAAGCTGTTAAGCTATACAGTATAAGATAAGTCAATGTGCTTTTGATCCTCAGGAGACCTTCTGCAGCAGGAGCAGCTGGAGGCAGCCAGGATCCAGCACAGTCGCTGGCTGAACAAGCTACTTCCTGACAGCAGCACCAAACCACCTGGAAACACCCCCTTCCCACGGTTCAAGTGTCACATGGGAAACTCCAACAGACTGCAGGACATACTGAAGGATGAGCCCAAGAAGTATTCACTGAGGAGAGCAGGCATGATCCTGAAGGTACGGTGATTCTACATTCAATTACACAACACACAAACTTCATGCTCAAGAAGTAATAGAGCGGTCCATGAGGTGACGCTGCTCCATTTTTGAACACCTCTCATAGATGTCTTCGACAACGTCAGAACAAACTCTCATCTCTCATTATTTACTGTGTTTATCATGGAGTAACCAACCAAACCACTGATGTGCTCTCATTGTAGAGACATCAGAGCTCCTGTGACAAACTTTTTTTTTGTCAGTAGGATGGGGGCCACACCATGAGTGTCTCTCCTTTTATCTCCCCAGCACAGAGGTATTCTTTGCAGCTTGAAATGGTGCGTTGTCATGCATGGAGATAATTTCAGTGTAGAAGGCACGGTTCTTCTTTTTGTTCTATGGAAGAAGGTGGTCAATCAGAAACTCTATATAGCCAACTTCAGGGACCCTAAATAAAAAGGGTGTACCAGCTCTCTCCCCATGACCCCACCACCTCCTTGCCGACGACACAGCCTTGTTGGGAAATGGTGGCCATCCACCAACCATCCACTACCCCATCAATCTGGACTATCAGGGTTGCACGGCACTCATCATTAGACAAGATTGTTTGAAAATTAGTCTTCATGTATTTCTGGGCCCGCTGCAACGCTTTCTGCTTGTGAGCATTGGTTAGTAGGTTTATGCACAACTGCAAGCCTCTGGAGGATCCTACACTTTGAGGCCGAGGGACTCCTTGAGCACCAGCAGCTTCAAATACCTGTTTGCTGTTTTGTGATGACATTTTATCAGCTGCTCTTATGATCTGATGAAATAGTCTGGTAGAAACCTTCCCCGTCGTCATCGTTGTCTTCTGCTTCCCCTTCATTGTGGGGGCAGCAGCTTCAGGAGGGAAGCCCAGATGGCCCTCACCCCAGCCACTTCCACCAGCTCCTCTGGGGGGATTCCCAGGCACTCCCAGGCCAGACGAGAGATATAATCCCTCCACCTGGTCCTGGGCTGGCTACGAGGTCTCCTCCCGGTGGGACATGTCTGGAACACCTCTAATGGGAGGCGTCCAGAAGGCATTCTAACCAGATGCCTGAACCACCTCAGTTGACACCTCTCGACGTGGAGGAGCAGCGGTTCTACTCTGAGCACCTCCCGAGTGTCTGAGCTCCTTAGGCTGAGCCCGGCCACCCTGCAAAGGAAACCAATATTTTGTATAGGAGACAGAAGCTGAGGCAGCGTTGGAGGGGACGGTGGTCGGTCAGGCCACTAAATGCGTCACGGTTGAAGGACGGAGAATTCTTTTCTCTAGTAGTACTGATAAGAGAAATTGACGACGATCATCAAAAAGCCCCGCTTTGTCTTCTTCGTTCTTCTCTAGAAATGCGTATCAGGTTGTGAGAGCAGCAACACTGCCCCCATGGTTTCCGGTGGTACTGCTCTGTCTGGCCTGCATCTGTAAACTTTAAGAATACGTGCAGAAATATGGACGAAAAGAACGCAAAGTATGGACGGAGAGCTCCGTCTGTATCCGGATCCATACAGAACGTTGAGCAAAAATGAGCCTTTACAATAATAATCTTTAGCTTGAGAGCCAACAGCACTGTTTTGTTTTGCAGCCTTTGCCTCAGCTGTCTGTGACGAACTTAGAGGTAGAGGAAGAGAAGAGTGTGGCCCTGGCTCCAGGCCCCTACACGGACTGCAGCCTCAGCTCCAAAGACAATGCTATACCCAGACTCCCCTCTCAGCACAGCAAGTACCACTAACATGTCAGTTAAAGTTAGAGTTTTATTCAAAAAGAGAAAAAATAACACTAGGCAGACAGAAAAGGTCATAATCAAAATCTTCTGTGTTCATATTATATTATGTCCTACTTCTTATAGGGGATTCAGTAAGCAGCCTTCATTCTTGTACAAGCGGACTGCCCGTCTTCTGACAGATGATGATAAGGGTATCTTCATCTTTCAAAAGGACACACCTGACATGAAGGCACGTACCTGCAGAGCTGATGCCCAACCTACAAAAACTGTAAATGAAATAGGAGCTGAAGAATAAAACTAACATCCTGTGCAGCAGTTCCTGGTAGTACTTAGCTTAATATGCACTTTTGATCAAACTTCAAACAAAGTCATTAGGTCTCTGGTGTTATCTATACGCCACAGTTGTTAAAATACAGTAACTGAAGCAGGAGTCTCTTAATTTACCAATCAAGCTTACAAATCGTGTTAACAAAGCCCAGTCCAGATTGTTGAGCTCAGACGGATTATTGGGACTCGAAGTTTGACTCGTCCATATTGTCCAATCTCAGTGGAGTAGACAGATCAAGTATGGTGGCATGGTTGAGCTCAGAATGTTCTTTCCAGAGGGTGAGAGCAGACATAAGCTCGGTTCTCCAAGACCTCCCTGGCAATCTTTTTGATGTTGGCATCATTGTTCTCCGGGGAATCTGGAACAAATTGAGATGAGAATTACAAAACAAGCCGCTGCCTTTTATAAAAACCAAAACAACATTCCCATAAGTCTGGATCATGTCACCGGAAAACCCTGGATTACATGTGGGTCATTAAAAACACGTGCACGGTGTGAAAATGAAAAGCAGCGGGGGGTTTGGGTGTTGGTATGTAAGGTTTGGTGGGGAAATTCTGCAACACATGCAAGTCTTTTGTACTTAAGATGCTGTATAAAAAAAGTGACTGTTCCCAATTACTCTTTTGCATGTACTTACGCTTTTGCAGCTGAGTCAACCAGTAGTTATTCTTGAAGAAAGCTTCGCTGCAGAATGTGTTTGCGAGTAGCACCTAGAAAAAAAACACATTCAACATCAGAAAGAGCAGGCGTGAATCCAAACAGGAAAAGGGGTTATGAGTTAATACGATGCAGGAGGCGGATTAAAACACAAGATGTCAACAATTGTAAGACAATGGTAAGCGTGGGTTGGTTCACTTTTATCTGCTGACAAAGCGCAACACAACAACCAGACACATTCGACACCAATCAAAAGAGAGCATGCTGATTATAATAAAACTGTCTGATTTGTTGTTATGGAAATGAATCAAAAGGAACGGACCTTTGTAATCACAGTGAAATGTAACCACAGCTAAAATCTGCTTTTAAATGTTCTCACATCTTTGAGTGAATCTTATGTTACTGTCTGACCTTCAGGCGGGACTGTTAAGGAAAGGCACAGATGTATAAAGGGTTTTCAGTTGGACAGGATCCCTGCAGCCTGTGTGTGTGTTTTACATAAAACTATAAAAGGTGGAAAAAGTGACTGTTTGTGGTCAGTTATGCCTGAAGCTGGAAAAGGCTGCCCATCTGAAACACAGAAGAGTGTAATACAAAGCATTTGCTTCCCTCTTTAATGTCTCTCTGTTGAGGATTATTGTGCTCTGCTTTGCTCCACATCACTGTTTCTGATTACACTCGTGGACTTTCTACAGTCAGTGTTTACACTCGGCCATCCTGTGTCCTCCTCAACAACCTCCGTCTGCTCTCATACACACTGTTTTTCTTTTTCTTCATGGACATGCGTGACATTTTAAAGCTGCTTTTAAGTGCTTTCAGTAGACCAACACTTGCTTTCGTAAGTGAAACCAGCCTAACCTAAATACACAAGAATGTGTGTTTAATTAGGCCTGAAAACTTCACTGATCTTTTCAAAGACCAGGCGTGCTTTCCCTGTAATTTCACTGCAACTGAAGGCAACAACTTCAATCATGTGGTTCTCGACTTCATCGGTAAAATGTGACAGTGATGCATGCGTCCTTCACATGTGAAATAAAATAATACATTTTTAATTATCCAAGAACCCAGGAACACAAATCAGCAAATGGTGGGAGGATATTATGCCAAATATCGCCACCCACTGTTCTTGTATCATGCTGTCCAGTGATCAATTTTCCTCTCAAACAACCGTAGCCAGCTCGATCAAAATAGCACAACTGTTCCAACTTTAAATGGGATGAAGTCACTTTGAAATGCGGTATATAGAAAGTCCTCTTCATTTAGAGGGAGACATAACTGAGCAGAAACTACAAACACCAATTCTAGTAAAGTTGGGACAGAGTAAAAGAGAACAAGTACTGGATGAACTTTGTGCTGCAAGCTCCCTTAGTCAAAGCGGCAAACTCTGGACTTCTATGGGAAAGAGAAGTTATCAACCGAGGAAATTCTTGGTCGACTAAAACCCTGAAATTTTCAACTAATCAGGTGGGGGGGGTCGCTGGGGACGACGCAGCACGACGCGGCAGTAGGGTGAAAATATACTGACATCAGCAAAAGAAGGCAATTAAACACAAAATGCAATTCAGGAAAAATATTCAGCAAAGCACCGGACATTGATTAACATGGACACTCTCCAATCTTCTTGTCTCCAGCTGGTCTCCGGTGGGTTGGGCGAATCCAAAATGGTAAAACAAAGGAGGGTGTTCTGAGACGGGCTGTTACCTGTGAAACGGGGGCGCTCTGAAAACACCCCCATTAGCACTTGGTATGTTCCTCCTGATGAAATTAACCATAGACTATAAATTGACGCAGAAAAAAATCGAGTTGACCAATCAGAATTTTGGTCGACTCAGCACATATCGACCAATGAGGCAACCAGTCGACTAGGACTTTACAGCCCTACTGGAAAAAGCAAAAAGACCCAAAATAGAACAGAGAAGATGGTTAAATTCGCTGCTTTGGACCACCAATGGTAGGTTTATGATGTCTATTTTTGATCCACACTATGTCTGGCCAGCTCAATGTTATGTTTCCTATACTACCTTACTAGAACTGTGCCAAAAAAGTTCTTTACAGGATATGAGATCATTATTCACAATTAGGGGCTCTGGGGGCGCTTCTCACCTCATGGTCGTGATTCCTGAGGCCGATGCAGATGGAGCGACTGGCTCTGGATAGGACAGCTGTCATGGCGTAGAGGTTGATCAGCACATCTGCTACCCTCTTCAGGATGAGCTGTTCGTCCACTATGGTCTGACAACAGGAAATAAAAGCACAGAAACTTAACTCACCGGCCCAGACTGGCAAAGGATCATTCTGCTTAAGTGGGTCTCTGTTATGCCATGAAATAATTGCATGATGGTGGTTGGTACCAGAAGGACTGATTCATTCACTACTCCGGAAAACTTTTAGATGTTGCTCTGAAGTTGTGATGAATGACTTCCTGTGTTTGGTGGCTTTAGCAGAGACTCCATGATTAAGTCTGGCCTAATATGTGATACCTAATGGTGTCTCTTTTAGGTCTGTTTCAACATAAACAACAATGAAGTGGATGTGCCGGAATCCCGAAGCTTGGGACACATTTAGCAAATAACAATATTACAGATGAAACTGACAGGGTAACAATTAAAAAGACATCCTTTTTTATAGTCTTGTTTTTCGTCCTCTGTTAATGAGAACATTGTGAGGGGCAGAGCAGGACAGAAAACCGAGAAATACAAGCAGTCCGATGAATTAAACCCACTTGCAGTTCACAGAGTCAGAGGTCAATTACCATATTTGAATCTATCAGAAGGTTGTAGTCGACAGTAGGAGGAGAGGACCAGAATCCAACCTGTTTGATATTCCCACAGTGTGTGATGGTTTGGGGCACCGTATCATCTGCTTTTGCTGCTGTGTTTTATCAAGTCCAGAGTCAACACAGCCTCAAGTCTACCAGGAGTTCTGAGAGCCCTTCATGCTTTCACCTGCTGAGAAGCTTTATGTCAGTTCCCCTTTCTAGTGAGGTACAGCGCCTGCCCACAGCGCCAAAACTAGGACGGGGCATTTTAAGAAAGTCCCTTGATCGATTAATGATACAAGTTAATGATCAATCATCGATTTTGATTGATTTCTTTTATGTGAATCTCAGAAAATACACAAAAAACGTGTTTTTCCTCATTTAACCCCCCCATAACTGTTGTTTAGGACTTCGCGCAACATTTTTTTTTTCTCATTCATGAAACACTAAAATTGGGGACATTCCTGGCAGACAACTCTAATTGGGGACTGTCCCCCGAAATCGGGATGTCTAGTCAGCCTACACAGGTCCTCCTTGCTAGCAAGGAGCTGATGGTAAGTTGAGACTGATCATTTTTCCGCTCGAAATGGTCCCAAACCGCACTTTGTTTTGCTTTCCTCATGTTTTTTTTCCAACTTCTACGGAAGCTTGCTGCAGCCGTATCACTCCCCTTGTAAAATGTCAAAACCATTCCTCATGGTGATAGTCAGCATTGATCAGCACACACACACACACACACACGCTGGATGCACACTCTCAGACCTTTTTAATAATGTTTGATCGATCAAAATTTTGCGTGGTCAACATAATTCTTAATGATCAATTAATCGATCATTGATTAATCATGCCCTTTCCTAGCCAAAACTATGACTCAATGGTTGGTGACCATCCTGTTACGCGATCATAGCCTCGTGGTCCTAAACAACACTTCAGCAGGGTCACAGTCTGATATTTTTCACAAGCGCTCTGGTTCCGTGTGGTATTTTGACAGGATACTTATGTTCACCATAAGCCTGGATCTGATTCAGCTCAACTAAGGGCCAGAATCATACTTGAACATGTGGATTATTTTACAACAACAGCTTACTCTAAAGAGTTCAGATAACAACACGATTTGTGGTAGTAGAACCAAGAAAAAGCTAGAAGCTATTCAGTCTAAGCCTGGTGACTGTAGCTATGACACAACAGGCTATTCAGTTCAACCCACGGCAGTTTTCCTGGCTTTATCATCTCCAATTTTCATAATAGGGGACTTTTTGGATGGAGTAGCTTCAACATAGATTCTGAGATTTCGCAGTTCAGTGAAGGCCCTCTGAGGATAAATCTCATGCAATGATTCAGTGGATGTAAATGATACAGGAAGTGAGGATTTGGAAAGCTGATCTTTTTTCCAGAGGATTTACAGCATCCTTCGGAAAGCTATGATTACAAAAGCACAGTCCAGGAAGAAAAAGAGAGCACTTCGGAGGCGCTATATAACAAACACTTACTCAGAGACACTGAAGATATGAACAGATCTACATTATAGTTTGTGTATCACCCCATCTGATACAAACAGAAACTAAAGAGCAGAGAAATGTCACAACACTTCCTCATTATGTAACATCAATCAAATCTTACCTTTCCATATCTGTACAGCAGGCTCTCCACCGAAGATCCAAAGAGGCTGACGTTCTGCTCCAACTTCTTTGCACTGTCCTGTAAACAGAAACAAACCCCCTAAGCCTCTTCAGCTTTTAACAAATGGATTTAGTGTTAGCAGGAAATGTATCCTTTCATAACTCTTACAGTCAAACTGGGATGCACTACTCCATCGTTTCCAGTCAGGCCGAGGTCCACAGAACCCCCTAATGACGTCCTCAATTTCCTTCCTGCCATCCCCAGTGCCAAACCTATATTCCCTTTCTTCATCTCCCTGCAGACAGAGCAGAAAACAAACTGTGATGTAGCAGTTTGCGGCACTTACTCATGTTTTTCATTTGTCTAGATCTCTGTTTGTGTTGTATTTCCTCTCAAATACACGTCACTTTGGACAAAAGCGTCTGATACATAATAAAACACAAAATGTAAGTTGCAATTATCAATATTTATCATAAGGCATTATAATGTGCAAAAGTCTGTTATAGCCTGAAAATAACACTCACAAAAATCAATACATTTAAATGAACACCCCGTCATTTTCTTACTTTATTTTCCCTGTCATCACGTTGCCAGCATACTGCATCCCAGTTAGAGCAACATACATCCTCAGGATTTCATTGGTCCCCTAAAAAAAAAAACAAAAGATGTAAATTGGCATTTCTCACACATATTGTTGGACGTTGGATTCAGTCCGTAGAGGACAGAACAGTATGCTACATTTTTACCTCCGCCAAGGAGGTTATGTTTTCAGTAGCATTGGTTTACTGAGAAAGTAACAGACGGATTGACCTGAAATTTTCACCAGGGATGCGACTCAGTCCCAGGGGGATCCCATTAAATTCTGGTGGTGACACGGACAAAATTCTGGATACTGTGATCCAGAACACACAAAAATAAGGGTGTCGTAGGAATTTTCAATGCTGAAAGATAACCAATGGGCGGCACAGTGGTGTAGATAGGTGGTACAGTGGTGTAGTAGTTAGCACTATCGCTTCAAAACCAGATGGTCTTGGGTTTGAATCCCGGTCAGGGTATTTCTTGTTTAAGGGGGGACATGAGCTGCTTGGCGGAGGTCTGCGCTCTCTGAGTGCTTTTCTAGTCATCTCTGTAATGGTTGTAAAATTTCCATTTCATGACAGTTGGGGTTAAAGGGATATTCCGGCATAAATTTAAGTTATGGTCAAACACACCATAACACCAAGTTAGACACCCCCTCGAAAGATGAGTGTTGCCGACTGCTTGCTTCTCTAGTTATACCAACTTCAGAGACGACTACACGATAGCAGTACACAGCGGTCTACGTCTCCACGTGTGCCGCTGTGTATTGTTATCAGGGGGTGTCTAACTTGGTGTTATGGTGTGTTTGACCATAATATAAGTGAATGTTAATGAATGAATAATCTACTGTGATTTGACACTGATATTTATCTAATGGTACATACAGGAATAAACATGTTTTTGTGTTAGTGAGCTGCAGGTCTGCTGAATCAATTTAACAAACAAAGTTAAATGATCAGCATCCACATTGAAAAGCGCCAACCATGAAGAATCTGTTACCTCCAAGTGAAGTGTGCCCCCTGGAGGAATTTTTACAGAATGCAAGTGCTACAGAAACCACCGGCAGAACTACACTTACCAGCCACTTTATTAGGTACACCCTATTAGTACCAGGTTGGGCCCCCCTCTGTCCCCACAACTGCCTTTATTCTTCATGGCAGACTTTCAAAGAGGTGTTAAAACCTTCCTCAGAGATTTTTGTCCATATTAACATGAGGGCATCACACAGGTGTCTATGACGGTTCTCACACAGGTGCTACAGACTTGTTAGCTGCACATCCATGATGTGGATATCCTGCACCTCCACATCCCAAAGGGGCTCTACTGGACTGAGATCTAGGACTATGGAGGCTACTGGAGTACAGAGAACTCATTGTCATGTTCAAGAAACCAGTTTGAGATGATCTGAGCTTTTTGACATGGAGCATCATCCTGCTGGAAGTATCCATCAGAAGATAGGTACACTGTGGTCCTAAAGGGATGGACATGGTCAGCAACAAGACCCAGGGAGGCTGTGGGGCTTAAACGATGCTCAGTTGGTACTAAGGAGCTCAAAGTGGGCCAAGGTAATATCCCCCACACCATTAGACCATCAGCAGCCTGAATCGCTAAAACAAGGCAGGATGGATCCATGCTGTCATGTTGTTTAGGCTAAATTCTGATCCACCATCTGAATGTGTCAGCTGAAATCCAGACTCATCAGATCAGGTTTCTCCGTTACCCTATAGTCCAGTTTTGGTGAGCCTGTGTGAACTGTAGCCTCAGTTTCCTGGTCTTAGCTGAAAGGAGTGTCCCCCAGTGTGGTCTTCAGCTGCTGTTGTCCGTCTGCTTCAAGGTTCACACCAGCTCGTCTGGCACTGACTGCTCAGTTTGGACTTCAGTAAGTCCTCTTGACCAAGTCTACATACCTGAACACATTGAGTTGCTGCCATGTGATTGCTTGATCACCTTTTTGTATTAACAAGCAATGGAACAGGTGTACCTAATTAAGTGGCCAGTGAGTGTATATCACTGCAATGGCTGACTTTTTGTGTACCTCAAAGATGGGCAGGATGCGACAGTCTCTGACGTAGCGCTCGTAGGGATAGTTTTTGGTATAACCCAGACCTCCGAGAATCTGAAGAGCCTCACTGACACAAATCCAGCCTCCCTCTGAGCTGAATATCTGAACACAAGATGAAAAAATTAGTTAGAGGACTTTTTTAATCTTCAGTCATACTTTCAATGTTAAAGGGATATTCTGGCATAAATTTAAGTCGTGGTCAAACACACTGTAACACTGAGTTAGCAATACACAGCAGTCTCTGTCTCAACATGCAAACCTCAACCAAAAAGTCACTCTATAGCCACAAATAATGCTCAGAACAGAACCTAACTTCATCAACAGTACATATAGGGTCCCAGCCATCGTACATCTTTTTAGCTTTGCCTGTTTGTTTTTAGCAAATTTAGACCAAACACAACTCACCCACTCTCTTCCAGTGGCAGCTTATTTGTGGATGAGCCCTGAAGAGTCGATCACCGAGTGCAGCGGAGTTTCGCAGCTCAGGGAAGAACATTTATGATTATTACTTCATGGAAATGCAATCAGAGTTCTTATGTAACTTGTTTGTGCACTGCTGACACAGTAGTTCTTCCCCCTTAGTGCCTCGGTCTAATTGCAATTTCATGAAGTAATACTCAAAGTTTTCAGCTGCACTTGGTGATCGACTCGTCAGGGCTTCCCCACAAACAGGCGGCTGCTGAGGGAGAGTGGGTGAGTTGTGTTTGGTCTCATTGCTAAAGAAACCAGGCAAAGCTAAAAAGATGTTTGATGGCTAGTACTATGGCTGGGACCCTATATGTACTGTTGATGAAGTTAGGTGCTGTTCTGGGCATTATTTGTGGCTATAGCGTGGCTTTTTGGTTGAGGTTTGTGTGTGGAGATGTACACAGCTGTATATTCCTATCATGCGGTTGTTACTAAAGTTGGTATAACTAGAGAAGCAAGCAGTCTGCAACATTAGTCTCTCGAGAGGGTGTCTCACTTGGTGTTATGGCGTGTTTGACCACGACTTAAATTTATGCTAGAATATCCCTTAAAATGACAAAGTGAACAAACCTTAACCATTGCCGCCTCTAGAGAACAGTCTGGAAGGCCCGGTCTGTCCATCATCCCTGCTGTCAGGTAGGCCATGCTCTCCATCACAAAGGCATTCAGAGCCATCAGTGCAAACTTCTCCTGCAGGTACAGAGCAAATACATACCTTGATTCCCTCTGACTTCACTGAGGAGTGTTTCATTTAAAGAACCACATAAAGGAGGGGTAGCTGTACCTGAATCATACCAAATTCACCAAGGCTTTTGTTAAACTGCTTTCTGGTCATTGCATACTCAGAGGTCATTTCTATAAAAGCCGCACACAGTGAAGAGTTATGTCAAACTGAGCACAGAAAAAAAAGTTCAACAGATCAAATTTCAACAGCTGTTCAGGGTTTTTACCTATCAGCTTCTTAATCATTCCAGCCGAGGAGCTCCCCATACTGAACCTCCCAGAATTCAAGATGTTCATGGCAACCTGTCCAAAACAAAGGAACACTTTGGTTGGTTAACAGACCAATCGAACCTTACAGATGATGATGAGCAGAGTGACACTCACCTTGAATCCACCTCCTACTTCTCCGATTACATTCTCCACTGGCACTGGGACATTGTCAAAGTTCACTTCACAAGCTGAAAGAGTGAAAAAAAAAGTGAAAATACTGACCACATAGAAGGCTTACTATATTAGAAAAACACCCCCTGAAAGTGTGTCCTTTTGACAAGTCTTACTGTTGGATCCTCTGATGCCCAGTTTGTCCTCCAGCTTGCCGTGAGTGATGCCCCCAAAAGCTCTCTCCACAATAAATGCTGTAATCTTGTCCTTCTTCTGACCGTCTACATCCACCTGTGTCCTGGCAAACACTGTCATTACGTCTGCGATGTTTCCATTAGAAATCCAAAACTAATGAGGAAAAACACAAAGATTATGGATCTCCAGAGGTGAAGAAGAACAACAACAACAACAATGAGTGATGTTTAAGTCATTGCACATTTGAACTCTTCTCACCTTGGATCCATTGAGCAGGTAATGTGTCCCGTCTTCTGAGAGGGTTGCACGAGTCTGGATTGAGGCCGCGTCACTCCCACTAAGAAGAAGGGATCGAGTGTTAGTACAGACACATTTCATTATTAGTCATTTTTAGCCATTCAGGTTGTAAATTCAGACCTCTCACATGGGGGGTCTGAACTGCACACGGGAGGAGCTGGGTTAGGGAGGGGGGATACTTACGCCGGGCTGCGACGCTCACCAAAATGCCAAAATGTGCTTGGGCACGCCTTGTCGGCGCGGCGGACCTGACTTACGCCTACGCCACGTCGCCGGCGAGGAGCGAAAATAAAGCCCATTGTGTTAAGTCCAGGTGTCCTCTAGACTGGGACGTAAAAGTAACATAATGCTAACTTCACCCCGTTCATGTGCACACACTTGCAGTCTCTGGGTTGATACACCAGCTTCATGGGACTGTGATTTCCTTTGTGAGGGTTAGTACTTGAAGTTTAAGTCTTGATTTTAGACTTTACTGGTTGCTTTTAAGGCTCAGAAGTGGTTCACAGTGAGCCATATAGCAGCTAACAGTGTCCTGCTGAGCGACTGCAAATCTAGGGGCCTCCTTCTTGTTTCTCTGGTCAGGGTTTGGCTTTTTTCTCAGGGGAGAAGACTGGACATGTGATTTACAAAGCAGGGACACGCTGATGGAGATGTGAACAATGGGTCAGTGACTTTACCTTCCAGGCTCTGTGAGGCAGAAAGCTGCGATGTGTTCTCCTGAGGCCAGTCTGGGCAGATACTTCTGCTTCTGGGCCTCATTTCCTGCTATCAGAATCCCCTGAAACACCAAACATCTGTCAGCAAACTACGCACAGGGATACCCTCACAAAACCAGATTTGTTTTGCCTGTGAAGTTCTCTCAGAGCAACACTTGGACTACAGTCTGTCCACATAAAACACATGCAGATAATGAGTCCAGAACAAAGAGCTTCATGTCTGAGACATTTTGTTTTTACCTTCAGGCCAATGGCTTGATGTGCAGCGAGTGTTACAGCAATGGAGCCATCTAATGAGATGATCTCTGCCAGCCGTGCATACATGGTGTTGGACAGTCCCAGACCACCTGTGAAGTAAAGCAGAAGAAACTGCTCTAAACTTGAGTCGATCAAAGTAATTCTGTATTTCTAGCCTACATGAATGCACGGGAAATGAGTCATCTCAAATTTAAGGATCTTGTTTAAACTATATAACAGACAGGGAACCTGTATGGTTATATGTGGCTGCTCATGTTGTACAACAACACATCTTAGTAGATGAGTCAACAAAGTGAGGTCTCTAGTCACCACGGTCATATAACACATTGCTCCAGGTAGAGAAGTTCCTCAGTGAACTCAATGCTGAGTGTTGGGATGAGGTGTAAAAGTTAGGCTTGGAGGCAAACACTCCAGGATAATGACTGAATACTATTATTTAACAACAGCTTTTTGATGAGTTCTGAACTGAGAGTTTGTGCACGTAGTAATCGTGCAAAGTTTGGGCTTCACTAAATGTGTTCATTTATACGATTTACTGATTTACCCATACACAGGACAGAATACTGCCTTGAAAAGTCTAAGTTTTATAGGTATCTTCAAATGCGTAACCATTTTGAACATAATATTAAAAATTAAAGGACTTAAATGACCCCATATTTAAGACATTTATTGGTGCTATTAAAAAAGACTCAAGTAAAGGTGTTCTCTACAGACTGTATAAAGGCCTTAGATAAAAAATAATAAAAACACTCCACTGAATACATTAAAGAGAGATGGGAGGAGGAAGGTAATTTCTCAATTACAAGTGTGGATTGGCTCGAAATATGTAATTTCCAATGGAAGTGCACAAATTCATACACATGGCGGGAATTTAGGTGGAGATTCCTGGTATGATTTTTCAAAACACCAAAACAGACTTGGAATTACTGTTATCCATTTGTTTAATATAAAAATACTGCAACTAAGTCCAATATATTTTTCCAAAATTATTATTCATAGACAATAGTCAGAATCCCGACTTTAAACTCAGAATTCTGACTTTTTTCTAAGAATAATAATTTTTTTAAAAATTATATGAAACTTTTTTTCTTTTTTAGTGGCCCTAATCCTCTTCCGTAAAATGAGCTGGTACTTTTTCCTGTCAAAAAAAAAAACAAAAAAAACAACATGTTTTTTATAAGGAGAGAAATGTATTTTGCCTTGTCTGAAACCCACTAGATTGTTTGTCCCATCCTTGATGATGATGTTTGCTTTTTGTGGCTCATAAAGAGATATTTTTGTTCATTTAATCTGTTTCTTTAAAAAAAAAAAAAAAAAACAGGGGCACACAAACAAAAAAACTCCTCACGTGGGCATTTAGATCACAAGATCCACACCACCTCTGTTTGGAGCCAGGGACACTTTGCCCAGCCTTATTAACACTATAAATAGAGAGACACAACTCTATTGACCCCTACCAAATGTAGAAGAAGGAATCTCTAAATCTGCTGAAAAAAAAGTGTGCATGATTTTAAGGACACTGCATGTTAGGTCACAAATACCAAACAGATAGAAGTTAGTTCATCATCAGAACATAACACAGAATAATAAAGCTCAGTATCTAAAGGAAGGCTGTTAGGAAAGACGAGCCTTTACCTTATTTAATCTTGAATCTAGGTGTAGGTCAAAAATTGGCAAGGTTATGTCAGCTCTGTCAGTTACATCAGTGAGCTACATAACAGTTACATGTGGCAGTTGCTGTATGCAGATTTCCACTTTAAACTGATCTCTACTCACTGACTTGTTTGTATAGTGTAGCCTCTTTACATAATATGTAAATCTCCATTCACCTTTCAATTACTCAAGTCTGGACGGACAAATAGCTCCAGGTCACAATCCTCTTACCATACTCTTCAGGAACCATGATTCCAAACAGCCCCAGCTCCTTCAACCCATCCAGAGTCTCCGGGGGGATCCTGGCTTCCTGATCAATCTTTGCCGAGTCAACTGAAGCCACAACCAAAGTGAAGAGTTATTCATCTCGATTCATCTAATAATTTATCAGACAACACACAGAGATTGTCAATCCTGAACTGTGTGATCATTTCCAAGTTGCAAATGTTTTTTTTTTTTTTTTTCTTCTTCATTTTTATTTGCTCTCCTACCTTCCTCAGTGAAGAACCTTTCCACTGGTGCAACGAGCTGGTTGATCTCATCCACTTCTTCATTTCCAATTTCTGGATAAGGGAAAACCTCCGCCTAGAAGAGAAACATACTTTTTAATAAAAAAATAAATCACCAGGTGTTAAAAGATGAAATCTGAAAGTGCTCAACTGTATCTAATCTCATATATTACACCCACATGCTCATTCAGTCTCTCTACTACTACATTCAGCCTGAAGACTAATAAGCAACAGCTGATGAGACCTGCCAAGAGAGAAGTTTTGTAACCAGTGAAAGCAAGTGACTGTTAAATTAAAAGATATAAAATAGGTAATGGGTAACAAAGCTGAAAAAAGAGTATACAGAGTAAAAGACCTGGAATTGTGTTTTTCAAGTTAACTGTTGATTAGATTTTGTTTTAAATCTTGGATGTGCTCCAGCTTTCTGTTGAATTTTGAAAAAGGCTTTAAATGGATATCACACCTAAGAGCAACTTAAGGAATTTTACTTCAAACACAAGCCTTCAGTCAAAATATGAGTCCACTTCAGTATCAAGTGGCAACTTAACAAACATATCTACTATAATAAAGGATCAACTTATTTAGTAAAATTCAAAAGAACTCTTTCTTTTTAATATAAAACTGAAGATAGTACAGCTTTAGGTAGAGAATATCAAAACACACAATTTCAGTTGATGAACAGGGCTTTCTGGACAAATCATTTATATTTGCTGCCACAGATTGGTATAAAAGAAGACAAGAGTGTGAAACCATAAACAAAAAACGTCTCTGGTAGAAGACAACTCAAATACATGGGATACTATGAAATAAAGCAGATTGTATTACAACAGAAGAGAGTATGGGAGTAGGGGAGAGTGGGGTAAGATGAGCAATTTTTCATATTTCTGATCACTACATAAAGGCAATCACAGTTTTGTCTCTAACTAGTTTATCTGCATATATTTCAAGATGTTGTGCATCCCTGCAAACCAATAAAACGAATGTAAACATAACAGTCTTGACAATATAGCATGCCAGAAAAAGTGGTCGCCCCTATGGTCAACTTACCCCGTGTATAATAGCTTCGAGGACTGTGGTAAATAGGAAAGTAACACATTTCAACAATCTGAACTGAACTCTGATCCTCTCATCAGACTCCTTTACTTTCTCAGTTCAGCCACTGGCTCAACTTACCCCAGAACTACTATGATGACTTTATTAGTCCTCTCAACTAAAATGGTGGACTTTTATGCTAAGTTTTTGACCTTATGTTGTAGCTCATAGATACCACAATTGATGCATAAAACAAAATTAAAATGATCTTTTTTGGTCTGAACATAATTCTAATAAAACTTGTGCCAGACTAAATCCACTTTCAAGAGTGAAAAATGTTTTCTTTTTTTTTTTTTTTAAATAAATGTCTAACCCCTTCATCCATGTACTTCTCACCTTCACAAACTCCATGAATTGATGCCTAAATGATCTCCTAAATATCCTAAATAATACATGATCAATTTCTTTTACCATTTCCAAGCAACAGGGGGTGGCTCAACTTACCCCTTGGCTCAACCTACCCCACTCTCCCCTATAAACGGAGCAGGTTATATTCCAATAGTTCGTGCTGGACACAGAACAAATCTGGGCTTTCTGAACAGAATATGTATTAATAATTATAGACCCGATACTTTAAAGACCACTACTTAAAAGGAGTGTATGAAATGAGGAACCATCCTAATAATAGTCTTTGTTATCAGCCTTAAAGCTCCTGTATGAGGAACCCGCCGCCATATGTCACAGGGTCCATGTGTCTGAAGCTCTGTTCACTGTCAGGTCTTGGGTCAGGGTCTGGTTTCGGCCATATCAGTAATTCTGCCCGTTTACACCAAGTGTCCGGGTCAAGCTCGAGACTCCGGCTTTGTTTGATGACAGATAAGAGAGACCAGTGAAGGGTCAGGTCGGGGACGACGGTCGGTCACTCCAGGTTAAAATGAGACGGCAGACGAAAATACTCCCAAAGCTCCACACTTAAAGTAAAACACTCGAACTACAGAGGACGAAGTCATAGCCGGATATTTTCCTCACCTTGTTCACCTGACCCAGAAACAGATCCTTGGCATAGGCGAGGTTTCTGGACTGGGTTCGAAAGGACCTCCGCTGCTGAGCATGAAGCACTTCTTTCCCAGCATGCCCCACGTTACCGGATAGTAACTGTTTGGCGATTCTAACCGATTTAGAGAGGACGACAAATCTATTTACACTCATCTTTCTTGTGGTGCAGACCTCGATTAAACTCTGCCCATGTATACAACCGCAACCAGGACACCTTTCACCCGTTTCTGTCCCACACTGATGACGTCTTTACCCGGTTGGTTAGATAATAGCTTCAAGGACTGTGGTAAATAAGAAATTTCAGGAGTTGAGATGTTAAAAATACGAATGTACCCATCTCAGCAGCGTACAGGATATCACTGCGATTGTAACAGTCAAAACTCAAAAATTAAAAACAAAAAAATCAGATGATTCATGGAAATATATCTGTTCTTTAATTCATTTAGAGAAAGTCAAAGATTATTCAAAGTTTATACAGCATAACATTTCTCACTCATGGCTCCTACCATGCTATTGGTATCTGTAAATTTAAGATCCGATACTTTTCCTTTCATTTTGGTTTTCTGTCGACATTTCTGATATTTTGCACTCGCTGACTTTATGAGTGTTTAAGTTTTACGACAGCACTTGAATCTAACATAAGCACAGTGAAAGGTGCAAGATCACCGCTTGGTGTCGCAATAGACAAATAAACTAGAAAGCTGTCGAGGAAAAAAATGAAATAAAAATGAATGAATGAATGAATGAATGAATGAACACGTTTATAATAGACTTTGTATTGTATTTTTATCCTCACACAAATATAAGAAATATTTGCAGCAAAAAAAGACTATCTACACAAACAAAAGAAATGATTCAAAGATAAATACATAATTTAGAAGCCCATGGATTATTGGGTTCCATAATAAAAACCATATCATGCTTGCAGAGAAGATGAAGCCCTGTGCTAGGGCCCGTCCCAGCTGCTGACGATGATGACGTAGTCCTGCTGACACTGAGGATGTGGCCCTCAAAGCTGGGATCTATTTTTAGCTCCAATCTCAAGGGCCGGCCCAGACAAACAGGGCAAACTGTCACTCAGACCACCTGCCACAGTCAGGCAGCCAGCCAGCACTGTTGGTGGTGCAAGACTGAGAGAAGAATCACTGCATTGCCCTTTTAGTTTCGTCATTAGTGACAACCTCTTGAAATTTTTGTTTGGGCTGACTGAGGAGTTACTTTTTACAGTAAAAGCGCACGAAAGCTATATTTATCAGATTAAATGCTTTGTTCACTGCTTCTTTTTTTTTTTGGTTGACTAAGGAAATGTTCATCACACCAATCCTATTTTCTTTTACCCTGACTACGGAAAGCCCAGAAAACATTTATCAGGAAACTACCACCACACACTTGACCTTTGTGCATGTGTAAAAGGGAGGGTGTTGCTCTGAGCTCACGCAGCACTAAATCAGCGAGGCCTTACTTAGGCACATGAAATATATGATAACTTGCTGCAAGAATATAAAGAAACTGTTTTTGTTGTTGTTTATTGCAGGTGTATGGAGTTTTTGCTTCATAATTTGTCACAGTTTAGTCCAATCTACATTGCAATTATATCAATATAATAATAATATTCATTATATCTAATGAATTGTTTGAACTGACCTTTTAAAATTCACCATGAGGAAACTAACAATTCTCTCTAAATATGTGCTGCAGTTCTGCGTATATCAGTTTGAGGTAATTGGTCAACTTGAAAATATAGTCCTTGAAAATAAAATGTGGCTGATGCTAACTTTTCAGGGTCATCAATGTTAGTTGACAGTAAATCAGCACAAAAACTGTGTTACATCTGTATATTGAAAGTAATTTATTACAATTTATTCAGCTAAGATGGTATTATGTCATAGTTTGTTTGTAAGCACTTTAGACATATTTTTTTTATTCCTTAAAGCCTTTAGAAACACATACTGGGAGGACGTGGCTCAGTACAAAGGGATCCAGTATTCATAGCCTGGTCCTTTTTGTCTTGCCCTTGAGCAAGATGGCTTCAAGTGATAATCTGGCAAGACCCGGTGAATCACTTTCTGCTCTGTTAGATAAACAGAGCGGCAGTTTTGGTTGAAAACCTCTTCCAGATGTGGTCCCAAGACTTGTAGACACATGTGGGTATTTTAGACAAGGGTACTCCAAACACTTTTAGATTAGTTATCATGACTATTAAGGACAGCCATAGGACAAAGCACCAGTTTTAGATAGAAGACCATAGGGAAAGAATTATGTTATCACACAAATATCTGTAATGAGACCAAGATAGAGTATGTATGGTTCAACAAAATCAAGACACTCAGAATGAGCTCGGGTTTAACAGTATATCGCTTTATTTTGCGTTCTCAACATTGTCACAGTACTAGTTTTACATCAACAGGGTTTTGTCTACTTAGAAACAGAATGCATAACAAAATAAGAGCACTCCTCCTTTCCCTTTGACTTGAAAATTGGGCTGTGAATGTGACAGAACAGGAGATTCTTAGGAAATAAGTCAGAGGTTGTGTCGACTGTGTAACAGTTAGCTGTTCATCTCTAGATCCTATGATAATTCAGTCCTGTTGGAGGCAGAGAGAAGCAGTTGATTATGTAAATATCAGAGGGAGCAGGAATGCAGCTTAAATTTAACTGCAGACATTGAGTAATAATAATCATAATAATATAATAATCATAATAATTTACAGACTATTTACATATGTTTTCTCACTCTTAATCATCCACCCTCTCTTGAAAGGAATCCTCCTTTTCTTCCTTGAGTTACATTAGATTTTCCCCCAGATGGAGTTTCTATTTACACTCAGCAGTACACTGCCATGTCTTTATACTGTACAGTGGTAATAAAGGTGAAATGCATGCCAGAGGATAACTCTAAATGAAAAGACACTAGCAGGCCAGAAATCAGCTAAATGTAAACAAGCATCAGTCAGAGAAATCAAATCTACATTGAAAAGTTGAGGGTCCAGTCAAGCCTGCTGCTCAACAGAACAACACATAAAAAAACAAAGACTGAAGAAAAGACATAAAAAAAAAAAAAAGAAGAAACAGTAGGCATTAATGGCATGCAACAAAGGACCACACGTGGAACCTGGACAGGCTTTACAATACATTAGTTATCTGAAAGGAACTGAATCTCTTATAGTTTGGAGAAGCAGGAATATTTCATGAATCGTTGTTTATTCTTGGCTGTTTTTATGTGAAATCACATGAAAACACAAGTTGACTTGACTCTGGGTCTGTAATGGGCCAACGATTTAGCCTCTAGTTGATCTAAAGGGTTTGAAATGTAGTAACCACACAATATTGGCACTTTACTGACTCCATGGAACTTAAACTACACTTGATTTCAAATGTCTAAAACTGTGTGTTTGACAGAAGTTTCAAAAACAGTACTGCTGTCCAGTAAGGCACACTTTATAAAGGGTTTACAGGTTTTAACTGGTGGTAATAAATACTTGATTCACTGGTAAGCCCTATTAACATTAAATTGAGTGTACAAACACCATCAAGGCTATTTTTCTTGGCTTGACATTTGTCATCTTTCACTCACTCTCTTAAAACAGGGTGGCTTAAAAGACATCCAGCAACAAGAAATATATGATGTATGAAAAGCACCTGTTGTTTTCTTCCTGTGGTGTAATGGTTTTGATCTTATGAATGGCTTACTACTTAAGATAGAAAGTGTTACGTTTAAACTAACACAACTTAACTCCACGGAATTTACATGATTAAAACTTTGTACCATTTATAAAGGGTGCCTTATTAAATTGAACATTTGCTCCATTCTTGTCTATTTGACACTCATCTGCAAACATTAATACGTGGCCCATTGTTGGAGCTGGGTGATGCACACGAATACAAAAGAGTTCCATTTATCACACTCGTCATAGCTGCCTGTCTATTATCACCGAGATCTCCAGATGACAGAGAGCAACTGTCATTAAGTCTACTCTAAAATTCATCCCATTACTTTTATTACACTCTGATATTAGTGTCACTAAAGCTTCAGTAAACTACTATCTGAGGGTCAATAGAAGTCAAAATCCTTTCTCACAGCTGTCAACTTTGTAACGGTTGTACTTTTGGAATAATATTACTTAACAAAAAAGCTCCAAATTCATCCTTTCACGCAGTTTTTTCTCAATTAGAAAGGTCCAGTCCTTCTGAGTCCAGGTGGATATCCGCAATTTACTGAAATACTGAGGAGAAAATGACAAAGAACACAGAGGGGAAAAGCACAAAACTAACAGAACTAGCAAACAGAACAACCACAGATTGCAATTGCTCTTATACAAAAAAAAGGTAAATACATATTGCACATACAAGTTTAAAAAAAAACAAAAAACAAAAAACCATCTCATAGTCTTAAGCAGATACAGACTAACTTCTGCCGTTGATATTTACTAAATAGAACAAGTGCTGCATCTATCACTGTCAATAGAAAATGTGCTCCAGCACAGCAGCCCCCTGCCTCCGCTCTGCACACACACACACACACCACAAATACTGTGCTCAGGATGGCCAGGAGGTACAACCAGCCATCCCATAATATGTCAGAAAGATGATTGATATAAAACTGCCATTTGTGGTGAGTGAAGCACAAGAGAGCTATCACCATCACAGAAAGATAATTATTGATTTTCGTACTGTGGCGTCCGTGTGGCTCAGAGGAAAAGTCTGATGGAGGGAGTAAACAGCACTGCACGACCCGCCTGCTGCTCAAGAGACGCACAATAAAACCGAAGAGGGACACAGAGGGCACACTCAGCCAGCTGAGAGCTTCCACAACAGGAGACACACTTTTACAGTCATTTTGCTGTTTCCCTGCTGCACACACAAAAAAAACCTCTTCCTCTTGCAGAACAGACTTGAAGAATCCTACTAGGTTGCTGTACAACATACAGGTCATCTTATCTTCTTTATTGGACTCTAAAAAAATAGATAAGAAAATAAAATGATGGCAGACAAGCAGCCATTACTAGAGGGTGGACGTTTCAAAGTTTCTGTTTGCTCAGCAGCTCACTGGAATAGAGAGACGACTCCGAACCAAAGACGAGTGCAGTCACTGGATCAGACTCTTTCAGACTGTGTCAGCCTGCACCGGCCTCCCACTTCATAGAAAAGTTCTAGCTCAAGGCAACCATATATGGTAGGTAGTGCTCCAGCTTATTCAACGAACTACTATAAAAAAAAGCTCTGGTTGTTTCTTAACAGTGAAACTACGCCCCCTATGTGCGGGGATAATACTGAGTTTTAATTGATGTCATCTGTTCAGTTGTAATAATAAGTATTATAATAACAGTTGATATCATTTTTACAAAATACTATGCACAATATATATATAAAGCATTTTTGTGACTAAATTAGTAAATGCTTTAATAATAATTGGCACATTTGTCACTGCTTACAGAGATATCACAGTGCACTGTGAGCTACCGCTACATTAAATACTTGTACAGCTACTGTTTAGTATGACTGTCCAATTTCTGTCTGACCAGCCAAACTACCCTTCCACTATATAAACTCACTTTGAAGACATTAGAGTCAAGATTACCTAAGATTTACCTTTGTAAAATAGTAGTAAGCAAGATATTTGATCATATTCCTTTAATTTGTTGAGGAGGAACAGTAGTTGTGGTCTTTGTGCATGCTCCTAAGTTATTGTCTGTCGTTCCTGAAGCGGTCAGATATTATATGTGACTTATTGTTAAATGAAAGAAGCATCCGGAAAAGAAAAGTGTTTCTATTCTGCCCGAGTTATGGCTGCAAAGAAAATATGCTAAAGGAGGCACAGGAACTCGTCTGACTTCACAAGCTCAGACCAGCACTGCACAGTGCTCTCCTCTCATCAGCCAAGAGCCTTGGGGTAAAATCAATGTTCAGTGAAAGAGCAAAAAGAGAGCCCCTGTGTGTCTCAGACCACCGTGCTGATGCCGCTGTGCTTGGGCTTGGTGCTGCTGGGAGCCTGGGAGGATGCTGGCGGCGGGCCATGGTGGTGAGCCCCATGAGCAGTATGGGAAGAGTGTGCCGGGTGGCCCCCATGGCTGTGTTGTGCATGAGGCGGGTAGGGTGGCTGCTGGCCATGAGACGAGGGTGGGAGGTACTGGTGTGGAGGATGCTGCAAGTGAGCTGGCGGGTGGTAGTGGTGGTGGTGGTGGTAAGGCGGGGGGTTCTGAGGCATATGGCAGAACTGGGCATGATGTGGGTGCATGCCAACTGCCGCGTCTCCCTCCCCCCGAGCTGTGTGGTGTAGGTTGGCAGGATGAGGGGTGTGGGAGATGAGCGTGGGGTGCAGAGGCTGCGAAGTGGGGCTGGGGGATTTCACCCGCCTTGTGCCAAACAAAGATCCAAGCAGTGAAGACGAGTTGGGCAGGGACTGGCCGCTGTGGCGAGATGGGCAGTCTCGGCTGGAGGGGGTTCTCCGCCGCATGTGAGGACTGCTAATGATGGACCCCTGTAAGACAGAAAAGACTGTCAGATATCAACAGCAAGAGAGTAGGAAGAGCTTTCTCTGCCATCTCCACAGAAAATTCCACTTGCATGCTTTTTTGTGGTACTTAAGTATTCAAAAGTGGAATGGGAGGCAGAGTCTTCAGCACCCCTTTGTCGTGATATCCTCGAGTTCAGTGTAGGATGCGGACATTCTCTGTTATTTAACCATGAGCCCTAAAATGTTTAAATGGAGTTAGGGCTGTTTACATCGCTTTAAACCAGCCCCTATGTAGGTGGTATATTGCTAATCAATCAATCATTGCATTTTTCTATGGAACCTTTGCAAACAGCTTGCTGATAGACAGATTGATGTTAGCTCTCAGAAAATAATCCAACATTGATGGCCAATATCAAAACTTTTGTCCTTATTTGGCATAAACCGTTGCAGTACTCTGTTTGGCAGAAAGACCCAAAATGAAGTTTTATTTGTTGTAAATTCAATCTTCCTGTGAGGATAAACAAAATATCTGCAGACAGAAAACACATCCCATCATTGGTGTGAGACTGCTGCAGGGTGTCAGATGCTTCATACAGCTGCACTAACTCCACAAACAGCCTCAGCTGATCTCAGATCTCAAATGACTGCCCATGTCTCCTTGTGGAAAAGCCTCTCCATTTCCTTCTGCGGTTCACTACCCGTCTTTGTCTATTCTACACAACATCTCACAGTCGACTCTCTTTAAATTGTTTGTGGGCTCAGTTTGTTGAGCTTATCCAAGCCCTCCATATCTGACACAAGCTGACAAACTGCCTCTTGAGTCTTGAGACTCTCTCTCTCTCTCTCTCTCTCTCTCTCTCTCTCTCTCTCTCTATCTTTCTTTCTCTCTCTCTCTCTCTCTCTGACTGCTGATGCTGTTGTGAATTTAAGTCACTATTGTATTAGGGATGGGGCTGATCCAATCCAGTATCCGTATCGGGTCCGATACCAATGTAATTCATGAGTTGGAAATTTCTGATCCAACCTGCGAAAATTTCCCATTCCATTAGTCATGTCTTTGCTTTAACTTTGTCTGGTGAAATGACTGTACAAGTGATTCTTGACGGTCAGTCTGCTAGCCTACTGGAAACTGCGGAATGGATTTCCTAAACGGAGGTGTGTCTCAATGAGACACAAAGATGAGACACAACCCCGTTCAGGAAATCCATTCCGCAGTTTGCAGCCAGGCAGCTATCAGGCTAGCATTGAGCAGCACTAGGGCTAGCAAACTTTTCCACACAACATGTCTGCTGTGTTGAAATATTTTACAATCGAAACACTGCAAAGTAAGACAGCAACATGCAATGTCTGTGAAGCCGTTGTACCGAGAGGCGGAACCTCCGTCGTGACGTACAATACCACTAAAGTAATCAAACATTTGAAAAAGCACCACATGAAAGAGCACAAGGATTTTTTAGTTGGGGGACAGAAAGAGGAAAAGAGCCGGCAGGAATTACTTCTGGAGTAATTCCAAAAGCAAGGTAAACTTCCAGCAGACAGCGTGAAAGATAATAATGGTAAAGCTAACAGAGCTCTGGTATCGGAATGGTGTCAGTATCGGCAGATATCCAAATTCAGGAATCGAGATCGGATCGGATTTGAAAAAATGTGGATTGGTGCATCCCTACATTGTATCCTGTTTGCAAGGTGACATTATTCTCATTGACTTCCATGTGCCCTCACTCCTGGAGCCTTCACAGTACAGTCTGAAACTGCAGTCTGTATACAGAACATACACCTCAGTATGCAGTAGTGTGATTTAGCAGACAGAGTCAGCTTTATGTCAACCACCATGAAGTAGATGCTGTGTTTTGATGTTTCTAAATTCAGCAAAGCTAATTAGGAGTTTCAGATGAATTAAAAAAAAGCAGAAAGACATATTTACAAGAAACATACAGAACAATCAAAACAGAGGTTTATGTCAAAGATATGAAGCGCTTTTGTCAGAGCCATGCACAGCATGCAAAACACACTTAAGCAGCGATGTTTTTGCAGTTCCATAAAAGGCTTCATAAAGAAACAGTGGAGTTCTTTTACACAGAGACTGAGCCAAATGGCTTCATAAAAGCAAATTACCAAAAAATAATTCTTGTGTGATACTCAGAGCCCCAAGAAAGCTCTACCTCCTTGACAGTTTGCCACACCATGGATTCTGTTTCCTTGAGGAGGATGGCTCCTGAATAGGTTTGATTAGGAGCATCGACTAAAAGATCTATCATGTCTATCATTCAACAAATATTTAGACCTCTTTTTGGTTAGATCAAGGTAGAAAAAAAGGCTAAATGAAAAGATTCAGTCTCTTTTAAGGAACAAGTCTGATAAATTTATCTGACTCAGAGGCCAGAAGAAAGAGAAGCCCTTACCAAATTTAGCACAGGGAGCCTACAAGCTAGTGAAACTGAATGATCGAGTTAGCAATTAGCTAACTCAAATATTCAGTTGTGAAAAGTTCAAAATATTTGGGTCCTGTTTACCAATCTCACAATCTTCAGCTAGAACTTACAAAACCCAAAGTATCTGCAACAACCCAGATTAAGCTAAACTAGCTAGCTACATACAAATGGTAAGTTGTACAGATTTCCTGCCTTGTGGCATATCTGTGCCATCATGCATGGCTTCTTTTGTAGCAGTGCATTTTTAGTTTAATGTAATATGAGGAAAGAAAAGGGAGGAGCTTGTCAAGTTCATGGTTCAGTGAAAGGAGGCAGTGCCAGTCTGTCATTTCCAACAGTGAGAGCATGCAGGAGCTGGAGCTGACAAAACACAGTGAGGTTTACTCAAAGTGAACACCAAGGAAAAAACTTCAGGACTGTCCTGGATTGAAAGATTGTTGACAATGACTGAAAAATGAGAGTCTAACACTTACACAGGGCAGCCCCAGTGTGAGTCAGGGGTGTTATTAGTCATGCTATGTTCAACGAAGCTTTCCATGTGTCAGCCACAGCAGATCATTCACTTTCAGCCTGATGCGCATGCACAGACACCAATGTGCTCACAACAAAAACACCATCAAACAGAATAAAAACTCAAACTACAAAGAAACAAAAGACAGAGACCAGTGTGTTCAGACTGAACGACAGAAAGTCAGAGGACAGCTCTGCATCAGTGTCATCCTACTTACTTCCATATTGCTGTCTAGTGATCCTGCACTGCTGCGTCTCCCACGCTTGCCTGCCCAGAACATGTAACATGACAGATTAGACCAGCTGATAAACACGACAACGTGAGCATATTCCTTCTAAAGCCTAAAGTGGGGTGAAGAGTTGGAGCTAAAACCCTACAGTGACTAGCACATTGCTAGCTAGCAGCAGTCTATCGGCGTGGCTGAGGGAGGGGAAGACGGACTACAGGAAAGGGAAAAAGCAAGCCACTGCAATAACCTGACAGCATTCTTGAAGGTTTTTTTGAGCGCCTATGCAACAACTGAACAAACCTCTGAT